AAGCGTAAGCGTGGCAGTGGAAAGAACAAGAAGGCTAAGAAGAATGCAAACACTGCCCAAGCTGATGCAGACTCTATGGACTTCAGTCCGATTGGCAGTACTGTTGACTTTGGTCCGGTACGTACTGATCTTACTCCTTCTGTTCAAGATGTGCGCAAGCACTCCATCCATCCTCCTTACAACCCTCCTCCTAATGCTACGTCCCTTCATCTTCATAAGAAGACAAGGATGGCCATCAAACGTGCCCGTGACATTGGCGTCCGTGCGACTGCCGAAGTCATTCGCACCCTTGAGCCAGCTGGGCATATTTCGGAGTTGGACAGTGATGATGAACTTGATCCTCCGACAAAGCGCACTCGTGCAATGTCTCCTGTGGATGATGTTGAGAATGGCAGTAAGGCTCCTACGCCGCCTCCTCCATCTCCTCCTATGGACTTTGAGGTCCCAGGAACTGCCTCTTTCGACCCTGATGAGTTGATGAACTTCGACTTAGATCGTGAAATTTTGGCAATCACTGGATTCATGGACACCATGGGGTCAGTACCCTCCTCTGATCTTGACCATATGGGATATACTAACGCACCTTCATCGGTTGCAGTGGCGAAGACATGCAAGTCAGCCTTTGAGCCTGATCTCTTGTCCCGTTTGTATAATTACCGTATCGATGCCAAGTATATATCCAATGAACATTTTTGTGTACATGACGTTTTATACTCTGTGTGCAAGAAGTGTAAGGGTAAACAGAGAAATCAACCTAAATGGTGGATGAACGACTCTGGTTGTTCTGAACACACTACCTTTGACTTGAGTGACTTCATTGAGTATGAAGACCTTGAGGAAAAAGTGCTCATAGCAACTGCAACCACAACTGCCTACATTACTGGCGTTGGGACTGTCTTGATAAATTTCAAGGATGTTAGAGGTCGCATGCATTCGGCACGAATCGCTCCAGTATTCTATATGAAGGAGTTGAGTCATCGCCTTATAGCACAAGGACGCTTCCTACAAGATGGCAAAACTGTTCGCGGCAACGCAGACAAAGTTGACTTCTGGGACAAAGACGGTTTATTCCTGTCATTTGAACCACGAACTCACAGCGATACAATCTACATTCTCAAAGATTATTCGCCACAGCCTATGGCTGTAAACCTAGTGATCCACTCAGTGGACTACACTACCATGCATCGTCGCATGGGTCATCCATCGCGCGAAGCACTCACTCAACTGAGGAAACATGCAGAAGGTGTTCCCACCTTTAGCATTCCCCATGAGGAAGATCTATGTGAAGGTTGTGCCAAGGGAAAGATGACTTTACGTCCATTTCCGCCAACTAATCGTCGGGCATCACGTCCCTTCGAGATTATTCACTCAGATCTCAAAGAATGGCCTACCATTTCGTACCACAAGTACAAGTATACGATCTTCTTCATAGATGACTATACTTCGCATGGGTTCTACTGCCACTTAAAAAAGAAGAGCGGAGCTCTTCCGGTGATAAAGCAATTCATTGCCACAGTCAAAAATCTATACGAGACTAACGTCAAGGAATGGATGTCTGATGGTGGCGGAGAATTTAGATCCAATGCACTTGATGAGTTCTTTAAAGACGAAGGTATCAAAGCACAATGGTCATCTCCTCATATCCACCAGCAGAATGGAAGAGCCGAAAGGTTTATCCGGATTATTATTGAGAAAAGTGAACCACAGCGCTTTCAAGCCTGTATTCCTGATTCCTGGTGGGAATTCTCTGTTGCACACGCTGTGCATGTGTATAACCGCACTCCTATGCGTCGTCACAAATGGAAGACACCATATGAGATTTTGTACAACAAAGTTCCGCGCATAGATCACTTGCGTGTCTTTGGCTGTGGCGCGTACGTCTTTCTTCATGAAGAAGTACGGGTAAACAAACAATCGCCCAGGTCAGAACTAATAACATATCTCGGAGTTTCAGATGGTGGACACGGAAATATCTACATGCGGTCGAACAATGCAATGTTCACTGCTACGCACGCAGTGTTTGACGAGAAATTATTTCTTCGTTGTAAATCCTCAGAGCGTCATCGCTCTACGCGACTACCAGATCGCAACCTAGATCCTAAAGATCCTATTCCTCCACCTGGTGATGATGATGTTCCCATCTTTCATCAACCTACCACTCCCCAAATGAGACAGGATCCGGAGCAAGACGTTGCACCGCCTGTGCCAGCTGAACAGCCAGCATGAGATCCTAGTCCGCCGCCACAACCCCGGAATGAACAACCTCCTGCTCAAGAACAGTTGAGACGTTCAGGTCGTGTGCGGAGACCACCTACTCGTCTTACCGGTGATCCTAGAAGCAGCACTAAGCTTCCTACGGAACAACAGGTAGAGAGACCAAAGAGGGATATTCAGAGACGCGCACCACAGCCAGGTAGCTCCTCGGCTGAGCAAGAACGTCCTGAGCCAAAACAGGTTCCCGGACCTAGTACTGAGCATCCTACTCCTGAAAATGGAGAACAACCCTCTGTCACTCCCGGTGACGAAGCTAATACCCTGATCAGACTATGTCGGGAAGGGGGAGCTGAATTAATATATTTTCTCATGGCTAAGGCCGTTCCCTTTGAGGGGGAGCTGAAAAGCTCTGAGAACGTCCGTGAATGGACTTACAAGGACATTACTCGCCTACCTAAGGCTGAGCGTGAGGAATGGCTTAAGGCCTGCCAAGAAGAGCTTGAAGCGCTCAAACGGCGTGGTACTTTTGAACTCATGGATCGTCCAGCAGACCGAAAGGTCATTAAGAACCGCTGGGTCTTTGACGTCAAATCTGATGGTCGTAAGAAGGCACGCCTTGTTGTCAAAGGGTTCTCACAAATTGAAGGTCTTGATTATGACCAAGTCTTCTCCCCTGTAGTACGGTTTGAGACTGTTAGACTGTTGCTCGCCTTGACTGCGCTGAACAACTGGTATCTCACTGGACTCGATGTTCGAAATGCCTATCTATATGGCGTCTTACATGAGACTATCTACATGGAACAGCCTGAAGGTTTTCGAATCAAAGGCAAAGAGGATAAAGTCCTCTTACTGCGCAAAGCTCTGTATGGACTGAAACAAGCAGGTCTTGTCTGGTGGCGAACACTGGACTCATACATGAAAACACTCGGCTTCAAACGCCTGAGCTCTGATGCAGGTATTTTTATCCGATGAGGAAAAGATGGCTCTCTAGTCATCGCCATCATCTACGTTGATGACGCACTCTTCGCTGGACCTGACAAGAAACTCGTAGATTCCCTTAAAGGGAAATTCATGTCACACTGGGAATGCAGAGATCTTGGTGAAGCCAAAGAATTCCTTCGCATGCGGATTAATCGTCGTGGCAAAAAGATCTATATTGATCAATGCGCCTACCTTGACAAAGTCCTTAAGCGTTGCGGTATGGAAAATGCTAAAATGGGTGATACACCACTTCCTGCAGGGTTCCAACCCGAACCCACCAAAGGCCAATCGAATTCCGCTCTTCGTAGCAAGTTCCAAATGGTTATTGGTTCCCTTCTCTACCTTATGTTGGGTACACGTCCCGACATCTCCTTTGCTGTTACCAAGCTTGCACAACATGCAGCTAACCCATCTCAAGAGCACCTTAACAAGGCACTCTATATTTGCCGCTACCTCCTAGGTACTAGATCATATGCACTTTGCTATGATGGTGAATCGGGTATCGGTCTCAGCGCTTGGACTGATTCGGATTGGGCTTCCGATCCCTATACACGCCGGTCACAGACTGGATTTTTCATGAAGCTTGCCAATGGCATCTTCTCTTGGACCAGCCATGCGCAGAAGACAATTGCTCACTCGTCTACAGAGGCTGAGTATATGGCATTGTCTGATTGCAGCCGTCAAGTGGTTTGGATCCGTAATCTACTTGAAGAACTAGGCTATAAGCTTGACGCTATTCCTATTGCTGGAGACAATCAAGGATCCATTTTCATGGCATCAAATCCTGTCACTAGCAAGCACTCGAAACACATTGACATCCGGTATCATTATATCCGTGAAGTTGTCGAACGTGGCCTTGTGCAAGTATTCTTCGTAGATGGCAGTAACAACCCTGCAGATCTTTTCACAAAGAATCTTGGGCGTATCAAATTTGAGCTATTCCGCTCAATGCTTGGACTTGAGTTCTACTCGTCCACAAATCCTTAGGCTGTCTGCCCTGCCTGACGCCTACCGCTATTGCTTTGAGCAAAGTACTTTACTGTGCTGCTCAGCAAGGGGGTGTGTTGAACGCGGCTATGCTGTTCACATGCCACTATTATGATCATGTGTTATAATATGTCATATGTAGTCATATCTAGTTATTTACTATATGCGGATTCCTCAGTACTTCCTTATGTAATACTGTCATACAGTTATGTATATAAACAGGCCATATCCTGTACTGGAATCCAACTCGCTTCTCTCTTACTTTTATTGCCTCACTGAGACACTAAGCTCTACTACCAGGTATGGTACTGGAGAGTGTTCCCACTACGCACTCCTTGCCTGCTCAACATGTGGATTACGCGGGTTACGCTAGGTGTGCAGGTTGGGCCACGGGTTGGATTTTGCATGCCACTGAGAGAGAGTTCGGAGGAAGGACTGAGAGTAAAATGGGTTTGGGGGATGGTGGGGGAAAGAAGTTAGGGAAAGGGTAGTCGATTTACCAGGTGAATAAATTGACCTTGTCACCTAGGTCTCAACAACGTTATCATGATTATTTTCGTCGGGCCGTATTGATTTGCGGACATGTTCTGACTTGTTCTTCGTGACTCATAGACAATTTTTCTGATTTGAAGCACTGAGCAAGGACCGAAAGGCTGCACATTGTACATACTTAGCGAGTAATTAGATTACACATTTACAAAGCACACAAATATCATACGTACATGTACTATCCTTTACCCTAGTATGATTCAATATCCTGCAGATAAATACGTACCTCTAATTCTACGCATTCTCAAAAAACAAAAAAAACACTGACACTATGCATGCACCCGATTAATGAGCCAAAATGACGAAAACGCCAACATCCCCGCGCCCACATATATTGCCAGCCGTATTTCGAATGGGTTGTCCGTAAGGAATGGGTAGGGAACTAAAACCCATAAATCAACATCATGCACACACTAACAATGACAATGCAAAAAATAGCAATTGAAAACTTACATCTTCCCCCATTGAACCCCGCACACCTCTCAACCCACCACGCATAGAAAACTGTATACACCACCGAAATACCTGTCCCCCCATACCGAATCTCCTTTCGAGTGTATTTCTTTTCAAATAAAAGGAAATCAGCGAGGAGGGTTAGAGCTGGGACGGCATGGAGGGATAAGTCCATGGGAAGGGGAATACGCAGGAGGGGTTGGGGAGCGTGTGGTGAAGACGAGGGTTCGCCGCTGCCGTTTTGGAGGATTAGTTGGGTGGCGAGGAGGAGGAGGGGCCAATATATTGAGGAGATTGTTATGGAGAGCTGGTATACATGGGGGATGTGAATATGTATGGAAAGTTTAGGGTGGATTGATGTGACATACAGGCATAGCGATTATGAGGAGGATACGTTTAAGGGGTTTGAGGGCTGCGAAAGGAAGGTAATTTTCAGTTAAAGCTTGCAAACCAAAAAGCCGAAACTTCGACTCTGGAACTAGACTCACCATTAACCGAAGGAAACAAATCCATCAACAAACTAATCAAGGTCGTAGCACATGTTATGAACAGCCTACCAATGAATATAAATATATATTAGGGCGTTTTGTGAGAGCGAGCGCGGAATGAAGCGCACGCACCCCTGAATAGTCAGATACTGCAAATGCCCACCGTATTGGGTACTAATAAAAGCGTTTATGGGGAGCTTGGTTAGGTTGTGATACCCGGAAATCATTATCGCTGCAGCGGCGGAATGGAGGAGGATACGGGCTGTACGAAAAGGAGGAGGAGACGCCATTTTTAGTGAATTAATGTTGAATATCGAGGTCTTATTGATAATGAGGTTTGGGGGAGATTGAGACAAGGATTTGTTGCCGTCGTCGTGTGCGCCACGTTATAAAGTAGTTTGAGCGCTTATACAACGTCATGATGGTCATGATGATTATTTTTTGTCGGCCCGTTTTAGCCGTTGACTTTTTCTTCGTGACTCACGCGTTTTCATACTATTAGTCTATCACCAGCTCGACAGCTTGACCTCCTTGGAGAATGGCCAACGAACCGACAAAACAAAAATTATGGGGTGGAAGATTTACGGGGACGACGGATCCGTTGTGCGTGTCTGTTTCTTTCTTGTAATCAATACGGGTTTTTCCAATAACATTCCATCTCATTTTATCCGCCTCATCCCCTCATCTTTCAATCTGTCCATCCCTATCCTCCTTATATGCATTCAATACAGAATGCACACCTTCAACCAATCTCTAGCCTACGACCAAAGAATGCACGCGGCCGATATCAAAGGATCTATCGCCTATGCAAAAGGTTTAAAACGCGTAGGGATACTCACTGAAGACGAGGAAGCTAAAATGATTGCGGGGCTGGAGGCTGTTGGGAAGGAATGGGAAGATGGGACTGTATGTTTAATTATCTCTCTCCCTCCTAGATATTCACACCTCTCGTCACATATTAATTCACATTAATTCGTTCTTCTTCAGTTCGAACCCGCACCAGATGACGAAGACATCCATACCGCCAACGAACGTCGTCTGAGTGAGCTCATTGGTCCTCTCGGAGGAAAGCTACACACCGGACGATCGCGAAACGACCAAGTCGCTACTGACATGCGGTTATGGCTCCTCGAAGAGATCAAGGACGTCGAAAACGGATTGAGAGAGCTTATTCGTGTGATGGTTGAACGGGCGGATAAAGAGAAGGATTATTTGATGCCTGGCTATACTCATTTGCAGGTACATCATATCATAACCATATATCTCATCATACTCTCATCTCCAATCTTTCTTTCTTTCCCCGTTACATAGCGAGGCCAACCAATCCGATGGTCCCACCTCCTCCTCTCCCATGCCTTTTCATTCCGCAACGATCTCGAGCGTCTCCAACAGCTTATTCCCCGAGTCTCCGTATTACCCCTAGGCAGCGGTGCCCTCGCCGGGAACCCTTTCGTCGTCGACCGGGAATTCCTCGCAAAAGAACTGGGGTTTCAATCCGTTGCGGAGAACAGTCTATGGGGTGTCGGAGATCGGGATTTCATCGTGGAGTTTCTTATGTGGAGTAGCTTGGCTATGACTCATATTAGTCGGATGGCGGAGGATTTGATTATTTATTCAACGGCAGAGTTTGGGTTTGTTACGCTGAGTGATGCGTATAGGTATGTGCCCATGAGAGTACCTCGTATCTCTTTCGATCTTTCTTTCCTCTCCGTGTGATTGATGTGGTAGTATCTAGTACTGGCTCAAGTATAATGCCGCAAAAAAAGAATCCAGATTCGCTAGAATTGCTTCGAGGCAAATCTGGTCGTGTCTTTGGAAACGTATGTTTCCCTTGTATCCTTCCATACCCCTTCTACACCCACATCCAAATAATTTTAACTCACACTCTCACACGTTAGATGGCTGGCTTCATCATGACCCTCAAAGGTTTACCCTCAACATACAACAAAGATTTACAGGAAGACAAAGAGCCCTTGTTCGACGCTTTGGTTAACGTCTCCATGTCGTTCAAAATTGCGGAAGGCGTTATTGCTACTCTGGATGTAAGTTTTTGGTTTATAATTGATTTTGAATCTTAGAGATGATTGATTTTTTTCTCATGAATCAAGGTTCACCCAGAAAAGATGCGTAAAGCCTTGACCATGGACGTACTCGCAACAGACCTCGCAGATTATCTCGTTCGCAAAGGAGTCAGTGTTATTATCGTTCGAAAACCACATTCTCTATCTTCTAACGAATAGTATCCATTCACCTTTTGCAATCATTTTTCTTACCTCTTCCACCCAGATCCCCTTCCGCGAAACCCATCACATCTCCGGGCGCGCCGTAGCTCTTGCTGAATCCCGCTCATGTCAACTGAACGAGTTGACGTTGGCGGATTACAAAACCCTCAACGACAAATTCAGCGAAGATGTCCATGAGGTGTTTGATTTTGAGGCTTCGGTGGAACGACGACAGGCGATAGGTGGACCTAGTCGGAAAATGGTAGATAGGCAAATTGCTGTTCTGAGGGAGGCGCTGAGGGGTTGAGGGTGTTGTTTAAGCACCGTACTTACTGATAGGTATCTAAGAATATCTATTTAAATCGATACCGTCTCGTTGAAGAGGCGGCCAGAGTTTTTTTGTTTTGTTTCATCATTCTACCCGGAAAATATGTTGCCCAAAATAGCAATTCTCTGATGGGAAGCGCTGCCGCACTATCCGCCGGTGTTGTTGTTTGTAAATTGGCCTTGATTGCACTGCCATCATCACACGGAACTGAACACCGCCATTAACCCCTTCAAAGGTTTTGACTAACTCTCACCAGTTCAACACCCTTTTCGCAGTCTGCGCTTTCGAAATCTCAGTTGATCTTTTTCTACTGCTCTTCGCTCTAACATTTGACTTTCACCTCTATTCTTTTATAATAACATGGCCAACGACCGCTTAGCAGCGCTGAGGGTTCGTTTTTCTTCTTTTTGTTGAATCATTCCATTCCCATGTATTAACCCTTCTGCTTCTAGGCGCAACAAAGTGGTGCAAGTCAAATGAGTTCGTGAGTACCGGAGACGTGCTTTTCAAGAGTCTACTGTTGTCTCATCTAGCTCTTCTTCAGCAATTCCTATCCGACGCAGGCGTCGGGAGGAGGAGGAGGAGGATATCAATCACGAAGAGCGAATCCATATGCGCAGCAAGACGGAGCCTACGAAATGGCAGATGTCAAAGAATCTACCACAAACCTTTCAGGCGGCACTGACGACATGTCTTCGTTCTACGCAGAGGTCGGTCCTTTAGCTCATCATTTCCCACTCCGTTATCTCAACTCAGTCCACACTTTCTTCAAAAAAGATTTCTTCTTTACAAGACAGTATACGAACTTTCAACGAGAATGTTACCCGAATTGGAGAATTACATTCACGGTCTCTCAATAACACCGACGACGTCTCAGCTCAAAGAAACGCTGCGCAATTGGACGAACTCGTTGCCGACACTTCCGCGCTGAGCGCAACTCTCAAACGCCGGGTCAAAGCTTTGGAGAGAACGGCAGGCTCAGGGAGAGATGGTCAGATTCGCAAGCAACAGGTTCGAGCTCCATGTGCGTCTGCCTGCATTGGAACAATATATTGACTGCGCTGTTGTTCCCCTTCTGAAAGACTGCCCTCGTGAAGTCAAAGTTTGTAGAAGCTATCCAGAACTATCAAAATGTGGAGCAACAATACCGTACTCGTTACAAACAGCGCATGGAGAGACAGTTTAAGATTGGTGAGAAACGATGTTTTCATTTTCGATAGTTTGTGGCCTCATTTGAGGCTTCAGTCAAACCCGACGCTTCGCCGGAGGAAGTCAAAGCAGTTGTTAATGATGATAGTGGAGGTCAAATATTCAGTCAAGCCGTGCGTTGTGTCCGCTTTCGTCCGCTTTTGCCTAATGTCTCACGAGCGGTCTTGTAGTTACTCAACTCGAACCGATACGGCGAGTCACGAGCCGCATATCGTGAAGTCCAGGAGCGTCATGAAGACATCAAGCGTATTGAAAAGACACTTGGTGAACTCGCACAGCTATTCAACGATGTAAGTCCTTTCTTGTTAGTCAATACGTATCTGCTCATCTTCATCACACAGATGAGCGTTCTTGTTGAACAACAAGATGAGACCATACAGAACATTGAAACAACAGCAGCTACCGTTGAGAAAGATACAGAGGCCGGGTATGTGTTCTTTAATAGCTTTATCCCGCGAGCAGATGATCTTACTGTTATCTTCAGACTTAATTACACCGAAAAGGCGGTTGTGTCGGCGCGTGCGGCACGAAAGAAGAGATGGATCTGCTTTATCATCATACTGATCATCCTTGCCATTATCGGAATTGTTGTTGGTGTTGAGGTTGCCCGGAACGTCAATAGTAACAAGAGTAGTTCCTAGATTCCCCTACATCTCTCGCTTGTACATATTCTCCTTCAATCGTGCTTTCTTCTCATTTCGGACTTATGATAATTCGGACTCGTTCTCAGACATTACTATCACAACATACCATTCGCTCTTTCCCTCCGACAAACGTATCACATCCGATTCTTTCTAATACTGCCTTTGGCTCTTTTTTAATCCTTGGTATCTGCCATGCAATGGACGAAAGCCTTGATACCCCTTGAATACCCTAAGTAATATCGGATTGGTATCGGATCTTCGTGGCTGTATGATGGGCCTGGGTCTGCAGGAAAGTCCGACAAAGCCTAAGAATAAGCCCGATTATTGGACAATCAAATTTTTGAGAAATGCAGGAGGCAGCGAGGAAGATCGGATACTCTGCCACGTCGAGGTGGTGAGGAATTCGCGTGTCTAGATCCATGATCTATCAGCCGAGACCCTGCAGTCTTGAGAAAAGATGACATATGTAGATTGCTGGAAATAAACTTTGCGTTAACGCGCTGAACAAGCAGAGAATTCAGATTCAAAAGGAAGAAGAAGGAGCGTTCCAAATTGGGTCAGGTCCGCACAGCCACTGAGTATTGATTACCCCGCACGTGGCGCTTCGAGAGCGATTACGCGTCCACCCTTTATAAAGGGCTATGCCCGTTACTTGCTTACTCTGCTAAAACCCCCCATCTCTCCCCTAGTCGAGTGCTGTACGCTGTCCCTGGATCACCTTCCCCTCAATACTGACTGACGCTTAATCCGCAGACTTTTTACTCCCTCGTCGTGTGCCCCACACTCTTACGCTCTACACATCGAATTACTACTTAAACCATCCACAATGGGAGCCAAGAAACGTTGCCAATTCCAACTCGGCACTGATGACCAATGCAACCTTGCGGCACTGAGAATCGTAGGACAATGTCCTCATTGTAGAGTTCAGTTTTGTGGGGATGTGAGTCATTGTTTCTGCTCTTGGTTTTGGGATTGGACTAATTATATTCACTTTTCTCGTTGTTCCCTAGCATCGACTACCCGAACACCATAGCTGCAACAACCTAGAAGATTGCAGACAGCAGGCATTCGACCGGAACAAGACGAAGCTTGAAAGCGAACGAACTGTTGCTTCGAAGATGGCCACCGCATAGGTCAACCCATCTGTTATGCTGCTATCTCCCTTATTCTCGCTTTGTATCACCCCCCGTTCACGATACCATTCACGATTATTATAACTATGCCGCATATGCCGGCTTTCCTAACGCATTGTTTCATCGCATCAGACACTTATTCTCCCTAATATTTTCCCCATTTTCCTCTCCTCACACATGCATTCGTGCATGCTGGTCTGCGTTTACTCCCTGCCCTGCCAACTTTCTGATGGACCTTCCACATTACTATATGGTTTAGATGGGCCCCAATCTACTTGTAATATGGCGGTAGTAAATGCATTATATGTGTTGTTATGTCACTCGACCTGAAGCTTCTTAAGAGTTGGATCTGACGCAACTTGAAATGGGCACCGTACAATTGGTGGTGTTTGAGCGGTTCTCGAGCGGAAAAGCCTTCGGAGACAACGTAGTACCATGGGGTACCTGAGCCTCGACCCCGCTTTTTCTTATGTCATCATCAGCATAAAAATCGCAAGTTGACCGTTGACGGAAGCACGGAATTTTGTTACCAAGTTCCAGCCCCAACCCCATACCTCACAATCGCCCGACTTTACCCGGTAGGTTTATTAGCTTTCATTATCACGAGCAATCCTGCTCAAAATTTTTTTGTATTTTGCTCGTATCGCTTGCATCTGATTGCATTGACTGCTGTTAAATTGCGCTACATCTTTGCTGTGTATACCCTCTCTATATGACCGATAGACTCAAGCAAGTTTTCAGTCAATTATCCGCTTCATCCAAAATGTCTTCGGGTATGCAGTGAATTCAAAAATTTCTTCGGAGTCATAATTTTCTGTGTGTAGAACTGTGGCAGAATGTCCCTTTGGCCCCTCCGGACAGGTGCGGTACTCTATTTGTGCTCTGGTGTAACAGTCGATAATCAAAGTTCGAAAATAGTATTTTCAAGTTGACTGCAGCATACAAAGCTGATACCTTCGACAAAAAAGTCAATCTTGGAGTTGGCGCGTATCGCGACGACAATGATAAGCCATGGATCCTGCCTGTTGTCAGGAAGGCTGAAGAAATCATTCTGAATACGCCTGCATTGGATCACGAATATCTGCCTATCACTGGTCTCCCCGAGTTTACGATCGCTGCTGCGAAGCTCATCCTTGGGCCTGATTCAAGCGCCATTGCCGAAGGAAGAGTCACTACTGTGCAAACAATTTCTGGAACTGGTGCGAATCATCTAGGAGCTCTGTTCCTGTCACGATTTTATCAGTGGTCGGGAGACAAGAAGGAGGTTTATCTGAGCGATCCGACTTGGGGTGAGAACTCTTCATTTTTGGAATGCACATTTTCACACAATTTGCCACACAGCTAATCATCCCGCGATCTTCAATAACGTCGGTATTGCTTCGCTCTACTATCCTTACTATGATCCCAAAACCATTGGCCTCAATTTTGACGGCTTTCTGTCCTCACTCAAATCCGCGCCTTCCGGCTCCGTATTCCTTATCCATGCTTGTGCTCACAATCCGACTGGTGTTGATCCCACTCGGGATCAATGGGATGCGATTGCTAAAATCATGCTAGATAAGGGTCATTACGGGTTCTTTGATTGTGCATATCAAGGTTTTGCTAGTGGTGATTTGGATAATGATGCCTGGGCCGTTCGATTCTTTGTCGACAAGGGCGTGAACATGTTGATCTGTCAGGTGTGTTATCTGTGACCATTAATAAGTGAAACAAAGTTGAACAAATTACGGTTACAGAGTTTCGCAAAGAACGCCGGCCTCTACGGAGAACGAGTCGGGGCTCTGCATGTCGTTTCACCAAACAAGGAGGCAGCGGAACGTGTCAAAAGCCAGCTATCTGTTCTGCAACGCAGCGAGATAAGCAATCCACCCTCATATGGTGCTCGTATCGTGAGTTTTTCTATCCTGCGAGCATAACTTTTCTAATTAGTTTCAGGTCACTTTGATCCTCAACGATCCCGCACTTTTTGACGAATGGAAGCGCGACATTTCGACCATGGCTGGGCGCATTATTGACATGCGCAAGGAGTTGTTCAAAATTCTAACGGAGGAGTTGCATACGCCCGGGAACTGGGATCACATTGTGAATCAAATCGGGATGTTCAGGTACGTTTCCCCATCCTGATCGGTCGCCCTTCCCCGAGCGGAACTGATATGTGTCTACCTGGTACTAGTTTCACTGGAATAACACCCGAGCAAAGCAAAGCCCTGACAGAGAAGGCTCATATTTATCTGACCGTCAATGGAAGGATAAGTATGACCGGATTAAACCGTAACAACATCCGATACTTTGCTACCTCACTAGATGCGGCTGTGCGAGGTACTTTGTAGGTTAGAGATAGAGGAAAGAAGATTTTAAAATTTTGCAAAGAATTGTACACACACTCCCGCTACTGTCTACATATGTACACTCTGGAGTCTGGAACCTAGAGTACATACGCATAAATCTACGGGAGCTCTGATTGGTTACTATACCTACGGCACCGCCGTCAGTGTGAGAAAGAAAGCGTCATATATATAAATTTTTATCAAAAGCCTTGAGCACATGATATGACCTCATTGACATTTCAATTTTCCCCTTCCGTATTCATCAATTTGGAGCCTGAGTATGTGTTGACTTTTTGTGCCGTTTCCGCCGCCGTTCTGCTCATTCTCGGACAACAAACAAACTGTCGTTGTCGTTCAGACAGTAAGCTTTTCTTTTTTATTTTACTGTGAAGTCCCTAATTTATGTAGATCAAGTTTATGTTGTCCAGCACGTTGTGCCTTGCTGTTTCGTACCTGCGTCATAGCCCGTGTTAACTGTCCAAAGTATTACTTTTATTTCTCTCCGTAACCTTCTGTTTTCTCATGGGCAATCTAGTGTCAAGTACTGGGTCGTCTGCTACTTCGTCTGATGAACATCCACAAACAGATACCTCTTCCAAAGCAAACATGAATTCCACGCTCACTGCTCGTCCGACACATATTACCATGCCACCTTCTCCGTTCTCAAGCATGAACATGGCATATACGCCTTCACCCTCCCATAGGCCTGAAGATCCCTTTGAAAGTCCCATGTTTTCTCCTCTCATCTTTTATACTGCCCCTTCGACGCCTATCGTCGAATCACCGGCCTCTCAGGCGCCACCACAATTCCAGGGCCAGGATCCGAATTCTCCTCCTCTAACGCCCGTGACACACATCGCCATACCTCACGTTCTTCCACCATCTTCACAGTCTCCCTTCTCTCTTCATACTCCACCTAATGGTTATCCCCCTACCATATCTTACCCTTCGCCTAGCTCAATGCCTTCTCCTGAAAATGTAGTGCATTATCCCGCATCGCCGCAAACGACGGATGACTCGTTTCCAGAAACCTCAGAGCCTGTAGATGATACTACTTTAGACGACGAAGGTCTGAGCACTTTGGAGAGGATATATCTTTACTCTCGGAGCAAATCGTCTTTCCATCGGGTCTTCATCGCCAGTGCCCTGCCCGAGTTACTCAAACAGGTGACTCCACATGAGGCGATCGAGTACGTTTTACCGCTATTGAATACTCTGGCGATGGACGACGGTACGTTATGTTTTTTCTTTCCAATCGCGTCACCTGCATCGTTCTAAACCTTCATAAAGACGAGATGGTCAAGGAGGCCTTTTCCTCAAAGTTAGTTACCATCATTTGGTGGTTTTTTACTGTCAGTGTTTCTCTCATCACACTGTCTTCTTATCATAATGATGAATATCATCAGCGTTGTCAATTGACCCCGGGCGACATAGTCGACGAGGACAGTCTGAACCCTCCTGAGTTCCATGATCACGAGGGTATACCGACGATTTCTGTACAGGCTTTCACCCCAATCCTGGGAACATTATTGCTTAGCCCTAACGTATTAGTGGGTGGGGCCACCAGGTATGCTGTCGTTGCTTTATTAGGACGGATAAAACGAGTCAATGCCATGGAATCGAAACCCGGATCGGATTCCCCGAATGTGCAAATTCCTCGTCTTAATGAAGTCGCGAACTCGCAGAATTTTTCGGTTGGCTCCCTTGCGGAAATTGATGATGAAGAAGAAATCGTCATAGGTTACTTCGGTAAAGAAGAGCGCTCTCTTTTTCAGAAGGAGATTCTGTTTCAAGTCGTCGTTGGCATGGGTCGACTCGACAGCGACGAGCTGGATGCTGAATCTACTGGAGAACGAGATCAACATGCGATAGGTAGCTCACCGTCAGATTCTGGTGCTGCATGGCAGACACATACGGGAAGAACGGATTTGGAACCACAAATAGACATTGTCATTGACGAAGCGGAGGCCCCGACTCAGCAGCCACCGCAAGGATTCCAGATTATCAGTCCCCAACGTGAGGCACCCGATACCGAATTAGCTCTCTCCCAAGTGGATGCTAAGGCTATATCACAAACCAACAATCCTTATTTTCCACCGCTTCCATCATCTGGCTTTACACATATTAAAGTCACGTCCAGTGGGTCGCCGATGAGTACATCGAGTTCAGGATCTTCAAGCTCCACTCCTAGCTCGACGACGGACACAAGTGCAAGTGGCTCCGAGTCTAGTTTTTCTCCACATAGCAATATCTCGCCCAGGATATCTACTTCGTCTCCTTCTCCTAATTCTTCATCTAGCTCTACTGCAAGAGCCTCAAGTTCTCCTTCCATGTCCCCACCTCCGCCCTTCCCCACCGGAACCGACACAACCCCGTTCGCCCGGCCAGCTTCTCCTTCGAGCCATCGATCCGACTTTGACATGTTCTCCAGTGGAAGTACTGCTGATCCATTCAACTCCAACTCACCTGTCACACTGGCAAGTCCTTCTGTCGCTTCCGCCTTCCCCATCGCTACTACTGACCTCACGCCGCAGAACGGACTTTCTCCCCCTTCTAGCTATAGACCCGATATTCACGCGTTTCCGCATGAAAGTAATTGGCCTCCCTCCCCATCTCGGTTCCAGCGGCAGGACACAAACGCTTTTGGCGCAAACATCTCAGCTGACGTGTCAATGTCATCGCCGAGCATTAACAGTGACATTCAATCATATGATGAACTTGATGAAGAAGGAGAATACGACCAAGCCACCATTGGTCGTCTTAGTAGCATGAGCCTTGTGGCCGCGGTAGCTGCGAGTGGTAGGCAATATTATATAAATTTGTTCATTTTCCAAGAAAAACTATTTCTACAGGATATTTGGATGATCAGTCAACCGATATTTTCGTGTCCGAGGTTGCGCGTGTTTCTCAGGATCCTGTCTACTGGGTTCGCCGGGAAGCGTGCTTTGCTCTTGGAGCATTAGCCAAGATAGTACCTGCGGAAGTCGTTCAGCTCACCTTAGTGAGTATCTACAAGGCAGTTTTTTTTTCAATATTTTACCAGTGCTAAATATTCGTACAGTTGCGCACGTTACAGACTCTCGTCGTTGACCCAGTACATCACGTCCGGCATTCCTCGCTATTTGCTCTTCCCACTATACTCGGACGTCTCCCGTTAGGTCAGCGACGACAGATGGCTTTGGACATCATCATACCTATGAGCATGGACGAATCAGCTGACGTACGTGCCGGCGTCCTCGAGGCACTCGGAGAGGTCATCTACACGTTTCATGAGGAGGATAAGTTAAAAATAGACCACAATTTTGCTGACACTGAAATGAAGGAGAGTCAGACTCCGCCCGAAGAGTTATTGAAGATGTTCCTTGGACGGACACAGGATCGCCGCATCATAGACGGTCAGCAGCCGCTTGCCTTCGAAGAGGAGGAGCGGGTCAAGCCAGTTAGGCGTATCGTTGACAAACAGAAGGCTTCGGAAGCTTTTTACACCGACCCCAACCGACCCTTAATTTGTGCATTTAATTTCCCCGCTGTCGCGCTGACCGTTGGACGGACACGGTGGGCTTCTACCCTGCGAGATACATATCTGTGGCTCGCTGAAAGCAGTATCCCTGGGGTCAAGCGTACTCTTGCTGCATCTCTGGGAGAAATGGCGAAGATAATAGGCGAAGATCATGCTCAACAGGATCTCTTGCCCGTCTGGGGTAATGCGTTCCGTGTCCCAGAGGATGATGTGCGATTGAAATTGATTGACTGCCTTGCGCCTTTTATTGTCGCACTTCCGCGTAATGGCCGGCTCGAGGTCTTCAATGCGTTACTGGATGCATGGTCTTCGGGAGCCTTCACCTCGTGGCGTGAAAGGGAGGGTATTGCAAAGAGCTTGAATGATCTCTTAAGCGTCGGCGGCTTAGAGGTGACACAGGTAGTCGCAAACTTGTTGATGTACGCATTAGCGGATACAGTGAACACTGTAAGGGAGGCTGCGATAACCAACGTGAGTTTTATGCCTATTTTTCCAACCTACGTCACTGATTCAACAATCAAATCTACTAGCTTCCAGGTCTTTGGATGACGTTCAAGGGCAGGAACTTCCTGGACGGTTTACGTTCTGACTTTTTAGCCATGGCTCGTTCTGAAATATCGCGGAGAAGAATGACGTCTGTATCTTCCATTATCAGCTTAGTCTGCTGAAAGCTCATCTATGGGTCGATTTATAGATACATCGCTTGCCAGCAAGTCCTTCTTCTCCCCAGATCAGAGGGGGGTGATCCTCCAATGAAAATTGATGACGAGCTATGTCGTACTCTCTCATCTCTTGCTTCTGATCACATTGTCGGCGTCCGTATCGGTGTGGCCAGAGTAATTGGGTTCATCAACGGTATGTTATCTGATCCGTGTGTTATGTCACGGTTCATGAGAGCTAAAATTATATCTCAGACCAATTGAGAAAGAACGCCAAGTCGGTTCCTGCATCTCTTGTGGATGTGATCCATGTTCTTTCCCAAGACAGCTCGAATGAAGTAAGGTCATATGTTGCAGACTGCCTCGTCGAGGGTCCTCCAAAGGGTAGTTTGCATTCTGGAAGCTATCAAGAGATTACCAAACTAAGATCCGTGTCTGCCGCTGCGACTGCCTTGACCTTTTCGAGACCGCCTCCTGCACGGAAGATGGTGTCTTTGGCTAGTTGATGACGATTTATCCACCCTCAAATGTGACGTTCACCGTTTTCCGTGTCGAGAACACTTTCGCGAGCTCGAAATTTAGAAGACCCCGCTCCGCGGTCGTGCACTATCAGGGCTTCACCCATTTAGCAAGCCCGATTATGTGGGATGTGCACCGACATGATAACGCGGTTGTTCGTCGACGGTTGTGTTGCGCATAGAGATCCTGCTTCCTTGTGCTTTAGTAATTATTGTACAGATACCGTAATACAGACTTATATATTGGATTATGGATCATGTTACAGCGTGTTCGGAAAATGATGACAATCACGAAACTTTTATCAGCCCATAAAATAAAATAAAATCAAAAGGTACGCGTCGGCTACCGAAGAAAATTTGCCCAAACGAGAAAGCACTTGATGTTGTGCTGATTGCTATTGAAAATCATCCCATACCTAATGGCTATATACAAGTAGAGGTTGTTCCTAAAGCTCCAGAAATAATCCCTAGGATGAGCTGAAGTAGTTCCAGACACCCCACACCCCTCCTGGACCTTTGTGCTATCATTGCAGATGCCCTGCTGCATCTTTCCCTGACTGATCAGGTAAAAATCTCATACAAATGTGCAGTATCCGACGCATAAGCTCGAGTACCTTTTTATTTTATTTTATTTTTTTGAGCGAAAAAAAAATCGCGTCTGTCATCATTTTCCGAACACGCTGTAATATGTATAATGTAGGTAATGTAGACGAAGGAAATGAAGGGGCCATGGTCGCTTGAAGGTTGAACGATGCTGCATCGTAATTCCTGTCCCAGCTTGTGCTGTCGTGTGCACTGTGCATACGAATAGCTTCGACAGGTTATCTAGACGTGGAAATGAAGAGATACAGTAGATTGTACTGGTTGTCGAACATAGACTGGCTGTGGTAAGAAGCGGAATGAATTTGTTCAAATTCCGGATAAGTAAACTCGGAATCGGTAAGCCGAAACGCCCGATGTACCTCTGTGTTCCTGGATGTGAAACAAGATTCGAATGATCCAGCGAGGGACTTTATTTCCTCTTCTGCTTCCATTCCTTGCTTGAGCCTCACCACCGTCGAACGGTCAAACGTCTTCTCAACCCCAACACACTCTTTAACACAATATCTTCATATGCCAATAGCGCATATAACATGCCCAATTTCTTTGTCTGGTTGCGTTATATTGTTTTCGGTACGTCCAGTGATTCTCAACGTGGGATTTACTGAAGGATAGATATCATACTGCCAGCTACATCCGTCACCTGCAGCGCTGTGATTGCCAGTGTATCGGTGTGGAATCTGGGTTTTGCTCAATCGTCCTCTAAACGTGTGTTTCTCTTTTGTCTTCCAGCGCTTTAACGCCGACCTCTTTTTCGCACTCAGCTCTGGATCAAGTTATCCAAGTAGACAGCTTTGGGATCTTCGTAGGGGCATTCTCGCTTGTAGGAGTATTTACGATGTGTGTATTCAAGCACATCTATCCGCAATATCGTGCTCATATGTTCACAGCATCTTTGCTGAAGTAGGTCGTACAAATGTTTTCACGACTCGGATATGGTTCGATTGCCTTTGGTCTGGGCTCTTTTTCTTGCTGAACATCAGTATGATTTTCGATAAAAACTTATCAGAAACAACCCTAACATGGTATCCATCAGGTGCCGCATCCGTGATAACTGCTCTTCTACCGTCCCAAATGTGTAAAAGTATGGCTTGGATGCTGGTTTTATCTCTCCATCTTGATCAGCTAATTTGTAATCAGACACGCATAAACTCCCCAGCGAGGCTTGCACGTCGACTAAGGTACTTCAAGGCTTTACTTGGCTTATCACCACTTTGTGTGAGTGCGCGCTGCAAGGTGACTTAAATCACTCTAATAATTCAACAGTATTCGCCTACTTTCTCACCATCTTCATAACTGTCTTCGTCTATTCCGGAAGCGATCCTACGTTATGGCGATATAGCATCTACGACCTATCCACCTATGATCGTAGTAACAACAGCACCAGGCTACGGTCGCCGCCTTCCTCTCCTATGCCCCGCATGTCGTCCCTTAAACGATTCGTCAAGCCACCGTCTATTCCGTCTATAGCCGCACCACGGCCGCAAAGACCTATCAATAACACTGTGGCAGCTATAATGCCCTATGCCTATCGTTCTGGACTAAGTCCGGATTATCAGATAGAACATTTCCAATTTCCTGCCAGGTCGGCTCGACAATCGCAGCAGGAGTCAAACCTACAGCGTATGCCGACTGCTGCAGGTGCAGGACCAAGAAACTTGTACCCAGACTACTTGCGTTCATCTCTACCACCAGATCCACAACGCTCGTCTACTTTCTCCACAAACCGATCCTCCGCTGTTCCCGGCGATGGCCCTTCTCCGTACCCACAGGGATCATCACCACCGCCTCTAGGGGATTGGCCGCGCCCTGATATCATGACACAAGCATCAAGACGCTCACACCGGATAACTCCCAAGACGATTCCGACTTCTGTAACACTTGATATTGAAGCAATCCCGGATGTGTCAAATAACTCGCGTTCGAAGCCTTCTGGACCCCGCATCCGTTCTGGCTCAATCTCGATAGGGAACAGCATGAGTGCCAGCCGTCCACCTCCTTTAGATCTGTCCGATATCAGTGCTCTGAGGCCAAATCGGTGATGGGTAAGGGATATGGTAGGCGCAGGCGCGATGGTTTTTTTTTGGGGATGTTGTGTAGTTTGTATGTATATGAGGGATATGTTAGGTTGGTAGTATCTCACACTTTGTATCTGTAATAATTGGGCAAAACTTGTTGGGAACTTGTTGGAAATTGCATGTAGTGACTGTCAATGGCGATGGGAAAATCACTTCAAGAGGGTGAGGCGGCCTCGAAAGCTCAAGAAATAGAGCTAAGTCATCCGACCTGTAACAGCCCACTCGTTGTGCTCACTTGAATGAAAAATATTGTGAGCCAATCACCCAACGGAAGTTGAACTCTTCCAAATCCTTCTGCAGTCCATGAAACCGTTCAGTGAGTACTTGGGCTGGAAGTCTAGTTACCAGTGTGCTTTTTACACGCAACTTCTTCAAACAAACACACATCTGTATAGTATCAGGAATTACAGACTGATGATTTACACTATAGCTAGAGCTAGCAGTTTCTGGACGTATCCATCTTGAGTGTACGACTTTCAGCAGGGTCCTCAGGGTTTTACGATGAGGTCGAATAGTTAGGCTGAAATCTTTCAACCTAGGCAGTAAGCATTGTTCTCCTGGAGTTTTGTAATAATCCAATACTTGAGGTTTGGGATCGCAATCACTATCTCCATCGCTCTGACACGGAGTATCTTCATTGCCATCACCCACACACAATTCTTGTTCCCGACTATGCCGGGGAACAACAAGGAGAATCAACACATGACGAATAGTATGAGCATCATCAATCAGATAGTGGTCCTCGAGTTCAAGTGATGTCACAGAAGACACGCATTGAAGCAGGTGGACCAACTCGTTAGGTCCTTCAGCCAAAATACTCCGAATAGTGAGGTGGGTCAGGCTACTATGACTCTGTTCGAGCATCATGCACAAATGTTCAACATTGACTACACGGGGGTGATAAGAATGATCTGTCAGTTCGAGATGTGTGAGAGCTGGGACAACCAAATTCTGAATAAACGACATCTCCGAGTGGCGTATTGTCATTTGTCCATATCCCAGGCTCAATCTACATAGATTGGGGCTGGTAACATTTCCGGGTTTTATTTCCATTTCCATTCCTTCACTGCCATCAATGACAATATTCCAGAGTTCCTCTGTCACAAATTCACGAACATTTGGACAATATTTAATCACCTGCAAGGCCCAATCACTGTTGATATTCATGAAATTGAGGTATGTGATCGTCGGTCGAGGAAATCGGAGATTGAGGTGAACCTTTTCGAGAATTAAAGCTTCAAGGTTGGGACAAGGAATAGGAAAATCCAGGAAGCTACCAGCTTCGCAATTAATGGTCAAAGAAACCAAACTGGAGAGACTGAATTGATGCTGCAACAATGGTTGCAAGAGGAGTTCAACAAATTGTTTCTGGCTACGCAGAAAAATATGGCGCCAACGTTCGTGACATCTGTTTTCATTCAAAGGAGTAGAAAAAGAATGCCAAGGAAAGTAATCCGGGCTAGGATCGCTGATTTTGAAGTCGATAGGATAAGGGTAAGAGCGTTCAAGAAAGAATTTGAACATAGGGCGAACATCTGGGTCGACGATCTTACAGACAGATGATCCAAATGAAGTCCATAACATAGGTGTGGATTTCACCAGATCGTGCCACTGAAAACACACGCGGCTGAGCTCAAGAGTTGGAAGGCTTTCATGACCATCCAAGTAGTTGACACCAATTTCAGGATCACAACAGACGTATTGAAAGATTTCGGTGAGAATTTCGCGAGGCAGCTTTCGAATCGGGGATATTACACCGCGAATTTGGTCGGCTTTTTCGTACAAACTCATCTGGTGTTCATCTATAACTCTAGATAGATCACGGAGATGATAAAGCGCTTCCTCGCAGAGTCTGATTCCCGATTGGATATCAGACAGATTGCTGGAGTATACTGCACTTTCTGAGGTAGTAGGGAGATACCCTGAGCGCAGATAGAGCATGATCTCGTTGTTATCGAATTTGGGAACGTTTAAGTGTAAGGAATCGTCACACTTGGCGCATAAATGCATCGTGATGGATTCGGCGTCCTCTGGGATTGGCAGACATGAGACATCTAGATGATATTATCACGCAAGTTTCTACATAGGTAGTCTGGTCTGATTTACCTTTTGTTTGAGCCATTGAAAATAATCAGACGACGAGTACTAGTGCACTTTCTGACGACGACGAGTGGGTCTGAATAAGATCAATAATTGAAATTTACCCGAGGTTAACAAGGAGGGATTACCAGGGATTACCGTGAATTTGTCTATAGAGATTTCGACGAGCCTTGTCAAAGTCAGCGAAAGCGCCTGTGTCCGGTCCGACAAGTGAGAATCATTGCAAGGCCATCCAAAGATCATTCGTCGCCACAGGAACGTGTCTTTGTTCTTTTCTCGGTCATTTCATTCAATGCGTATCCTTTTTGTGTATTTATCACTCTAATTGTTAAAGTGATAACAATTAGTTTGCTATTATAAAAGCCGTACGAATCAATCGTCGGAATCAATCATCAACCTGCTTCAACCTACAAGTTGTTAACTTATTTCCTTACAGCCTCCTCGACACCGACGCTTCGAATACAATATATATAACCCTACCCTCTATAAATGCTTCAGTCAAGACTAACTGAACTTCCCCTTCCTACCGATATCTTTAGGGAAATTGCTTCTTGTATTCCACCCCGGAACGCAACCGAGATCTTGAACTTTGCGTTGACGGTGAGTTGCTTAATTGACTTGCCATTAGCTCAAACCGTGTCTCAAACCGTATACCTCTAGTCAAAACATATCTATGCTTGCGTTTCCTCGTTCCTTTATCATGAGATTGAAGTACGAGACTTCAAACGCGCAAATACACTCATTCAACACCTTTTAATCCGCCCTGCACAAGCACGTTTAGTGCACCAACTGATCCTTAGGCCAAACTACCTCCGAATGACATCGAAAAAGCGTCTCTTGAAAGAACGAGAACTTGCTCTTGTGCTGCAGCGGCTGGCTCCAAATTTGCCACACTTGCGGAAATTCGTATGGGATGGCCTTGAGATCCCCGAAAGCGATCTATGGGCTGCTTTAAGGGCTGGGTGTCCACTATTGAAAGAAATTGGAACGAATCTTGGTTGTGAACAGTTTGATTTTGATAGCGAGGTGATACTATCGAAACTTGCGCGCGCGCGTGTTTCGCTGATTTTCTTCGTTCTCAGCTGTTCGCATTTTCAGGTCTCCAAAGTTTCTCACTCACAACTGAACTCCACGGTGGACGGTACGGTAAGCATCCTCCATCTCCTTGACATCGTTCCTGTCACACTCACCTTTGACTGAAGACGTTCCAAACCCTGACCTTTTCCCCTTTGGAGACCAGCTACCTCCTGCACTTTGGACCATGATCGTTGACCGTTCTCCTCATCTTCGATCTTTGGTTGTCGGGGACATCGGTGCAACCCTATGTGGCAATCGCAGACTTGATATTCGCCCTATGATGCGCGCGCGATGGCAAAACCTCGAGTCCTTATCGCTCGATACTGTCTCTGTATCTCATTCCGACGACTTCATGATCAGTCGTCGCGAAAAACAACTGCCATTCAGTGAGTTCTTTGAACAGCATAAATACGGCTTGAAAAATCTGTCGTATCATCGGTTCGACGCTGCTACGTATGGGACAATTGATGATCAGGATGATAGCGAGGAAAGCGCTCAATCTAGTGTCGCCGACGCTCCTCACAGTGATTTACCTCAGGCTGAAAACTTCAAACTGGCTCTTGTATCTCACGGATTGGGTTTTCTAACAACTGAGTCCATACAATATCACGTACTCCAGGAGCTCATGTTCACAGATGAAGGATATCGTCCGGATTGGCTGCCATTGTTCGGAGAACTCTTGAGAGAACTGCCAAATTTGAAAAGGTTCGGAGTGTGGGTTGATTTTTCGCGCACGTATTCAGTACAAGAGGAGGACGAGGGGAAGTTGAAGAAACCGACCTTGGCTGATCAAAGGAAATTATTGAGGGAGTTATATGAGTCTTGTCCGCCTAAGTTAGAGAGCCTGAAATTGTTGCTTTCAACGAAATCAAAGGAGACGATATATTGGGTACGTATCGCCTTGTTTAGGTTCATTATTGTTATCATCACTGACTTGGTTTCGGCTTACTTAGCGCGATATTCCTTCAATACTTCGCCGTAATGACACTGCCCAAATCTCTACCGCAGGCCGATGCCAGCTCAAACAGCTTGAGATATGGAAGGTCTTTAAAATCGGAGACCGCGAAAAGTTAAGGGATACAGCTCTCAAAATTGCGCTGGACGAAGACCATGGCCGAATTGGCCACACAGCTGATCACAGTAATCATCATGACATTGGACAATCTTCTGGACCTCTCAAATTCACTGCTCCCTTGCTCGAAAACATTGTACTTGTCGTTTGTTTGTTTCCATGGAGTACTTCCATCAGTAAACGAGTGGATATCTTACAGCATGCTTCGTACCAAGTCCATCGCCGGCATATCGATCATTCGACTCTCGATTCGAAGAGGATCCTAGAGGCTACCTCTTCTGTTGAAATTTCCACTCAATCGCAACAACCTAGCATGTCCAAGAAAGCTTTGTTTGGCGCATTGCCCAGCTCAGTGCGGAAGCTGAAAGTCTGGGCCCAAACTTGGAATACCTTTACAGTGCCTAAAATGATCGTCAGGGTCAAGGCAGACGAACGAACTGGGGAACATGTATCCTCGAACCGGTATGAGCTTCAGCTAGTGCCGGTGTTATCTTTCCATGGGAAGATGATGGTGGATGGGAGGAGGTTGAGGTTTGGATCACCAACGATTGTTATCGGTGGTCACAAAGCAAATCATAAAAGGGAGTTGAATGAAATAGAGTCAGGTAGGAAGTGGAGAGCTGTAGAGAGCTGTCCGAGTGAGTGCTCCGGCTGACCCGCCGTCTAGCGGTGTGATAGCACGATCGTGGAAGAAATTACTCAGGTCAGAGGAATGTATGGAAACAGGATTGGATCAAACTTGCTGAAAGCAGAATATATATCATAATACAATCCAGATTGTATTTGTCGTAACTTGAGCAATGCGGTTATCATGCCAATCTGAAAAATCTGTAAATTTGCTAGAGCAACGGTACTGGCTGCTGGAAAGCAGTCTCTGGAAGACACACATGCTTCTGTCTATAATATTTACATAGTCTTCGGTACGTAGACGATCATATTTATATTTTACAAAAGGAAAGATATCCTGATTGCCACCAATACAAGTGGGCATGCAAAAAAAAAGTCCTGCATACTAGTCCTCGATTTTATTGGAATAAACAGGACTAAGATCGGTCAAGCCCTAGTTCACAATTCCAAATTGAACGATGCAAAAGCACGATCATGATGGCCAGTGAGTATATAAGGAAGTAGGATTGGAGCAAACTGTGCTGAGGGAAGAATGTACTAGCTGCTGTGAGCTGCTATCGTATGCCATACATATGTATACACAAGGTATTCAAAGAATACAACTCCATCGCGGAAAGCGACAACGCTCGAAGAAAAATACTTAATAGCCTATACAACGTCTTATAACGATTACCTCTGCATTGTGATCAATTGCGATGTATTTTATACTCAAGTAGCACAATTAGATGATAGTAGTCAATGTAGATCTTAGAACAACTTCCTCATCCTCGAGCTCATACTTGACACATGCCTCCCAGTCCGTCGACATGTCTGGAAGATAGTCCATACCGCCTGCTGCATCATCATGTAGTCCACCGTCTTCAACGGCTTTGCAGTAACGTATGCATAACCTCATTCCATTTTGCGGCAGCATTCTCATTTTGTCCACGGCATGATCTGAGAACGGTTGAAGAACGAGCACGTCACAAGATTCAAGCCTCGAGCTCTTCCCCGGAAGATTATCTTTACATTTATGTTCCAAGAAATCTACCAGTCCTTTGTCCGATACGCCACCTCCTGTCGTATCAAGGTCACCGCGATTAGTAAAAACCTGTACTAGTCTGAAGGTTTGGAGATTGGGACACAACCCAATCTCAGGGGGAGAATGTGGACAAAGATTACTGAGATGAGAATCGTCAACAATATGCTGTCTCTCGTCCACGAGGCCATACCCAACATCAATAATCTCAAGAACAGTGAGGTTTGGAGCAAGTACCAGGCACTGCGTCAACATATCGCAATCCATCGGAAACCTAAGGTGCAGGGTGCTCAGCGATGGCAACAACCCAGCGAATGGGATTTCCTCGTCGTCAGAGCCAGTAAGTGACCAGTCCATTATTTCCCGCCAGTGAATATAGAGCGACGCCAAAGAGGGACAGATCATGGGATGAAATAATTGATTCAACGCTTCATCAAATAGAATTTCCTCCTCGTCGCCGACGTCTAAATCGATCCGCAGGGAGCGTAGGCAGTTAAGTTGTAGACTGGTTCGTGAGGCCGCGCGCGCTGATTTCAGCGTCACACTGAAATGACAGGATTCCAGTCTTGTGGTGTTTCCGAGAACACGGTGAACATCGTCCGAGTCCAAGCAATCATCGGTCGATGAATGTAAAGTAAGGTCGGTCAAATTTGCCCAAATACAGTCAAGCAAACGAGGTTGGTCCCAAGTTCCAGCGATACTGAGTTTTTGAAGCGACAACATCCCGGGTAATAGGGAAGCACATTGACGAGCAAAAGGATCATGTCTGTCCGTGTAAGAAAAACCGCTAGGATGTAGAGAAAGAGAGCGTAGATTGGGAAAATTCCGAGGAAGAAATTTTTGAAGTAGAGGAAAGACTGGGGGATCGAGGTTTAACGTGAGCTCTGCAACTCGAAGGTTGAATAACATCAACATTTCTAACAAAGGGGAGTATTTTCTGTCGACGTCTAGACTTTCTATTTCATGGTGAATTCTGGATGCACTGATGCACAGGGATAAAGAGAGCGGAAGTGAACCGGATCGTGTTAGCCACTGATTCACACCTCGCTCCCGGAGTGTAATAGCTTCCTTTGTCAAATCCTGAGGAAGATAAATATGCAACGAATTCCAGAGTGAGGGTGATTTGAGTGTAACCTCTCTCCAATGCCGACAGATCATCGTCAGGAGGAGCGGCGCCTCCCTCAAACTTCGCACTGGATATCTTTCCGCGGAAAGACAGAGGACAAAGATTTCAGTGAGAACTTCTACTGGCAACCTACGAATTGGGGCAAGCAGACCACGATGTGTCTCGACATAGTTCTTTACTTCAGCTCGTCGGGATTGAAGGTCGTCCAGTATGACTTGAACGCGTGAAATTTCGGTTTCTAATCGAGAGAGCTCCTGCTGAGGTTCAGACAGAAAGGTCTCTATTTCTTTTCTTTGTGCATGGGATGGCAAATGATTCGTGTTTAATATCTGAGCGTAGGGTGATCGAGAACTGTCCCAAGCCATTTTGCAGAATAAATCTGTGATGGATGCTTCTGCGAAAGAGGAAAGACAAAGACGGAGGCGCTTATTTATAGGACGCGCAGAGCGCTTATGTAGTACCTCCGCCACCGATTTGGATTGGGAATTTTCGACATTTAAGTGACATACGCAATATTTATATCTAGCATTTACACTGTACCATGCGGGACGACATCCTTTCACATCTTCTTTCTTTGTGAATACTAAAAAAGAATCGGCTGCAAAATTCAAAATGACGTGATTGAGAAGGGGGGAGGGAAGAGGGGAAGAGAGAACCAAAGCCCAAACTATATCATCAAGAAGAAACGAAGAAAATAAGAAGGTTGTTATGTAGAGAACACAACCCATGTCCAAGAAAAAAATTAAGAAACTTTGGCACAAGTGATGAAGAAGAAGAAAAGGGAGGCAGGAGGAGAAGACGAGGAAGAAAGCTATACTTATAGATGATTCAAATAACATCATTAACAGCGCAAAAGCAGCACAATGATGACGAACGAGATGAACCCATAGCGGGAGAAGAAGCTATATAAGTATCAGAGAAACGGGCAGGACTGAAAAAACGGGGTGGGTTGTAATGAGATAACGAGATAGCAAGGTACAATTTTTATGACAAGATATCTTTGATAACAAGTAAGCAATAAATTTAGCAAAAAAGAAAGAAAGAAAGAAATAGGCAAAGAAAAAAATAGATAGTAACGAATTTAGAATTTATGACCTTTTTTTACCTTTGAGCAGAGGTTCAGGGAGGTTGTTAGGTCTGGGAAACGGACGGAAGGAGATAAGTGGAAATGAGGAGGAGATATATAGAGGACATGAGGGATGTATTTGTATGGAATAAAGGATGAGTGAGGTGTGGAAGGTGTAAAGCAAATAGAACGAGAAATGTTCGAAGGGGAGGATATTCACTACTACAACAATAACATCGGATCCATCGTTTGCCAGTGAAAGGGGGAGGTCAACGAGTATGGGGGAAAGAGTTTTATAACCATGAGGGACAGTGTTTATCCATCCCAAGGAGCCTACCCGTACATCCAGACTCTAACCCCCTGCACCAGCTCCTCCGATCGATGTTTTTTTTAAACCCCCTTGCATCCGGACCCCTTATACCTATCTCCCCCAGCTCCTTCCAGCACCGGCGGCTTTCAGGCTTTCATCTCGAAGACGAATACCTCACCTCTTCCGGATAATACATATCTTCATCGTCCTCTGGGTGTTCCGCATCACCTGCGTCCCTGGTGTCCCTTGTGTCACGTACAATGCTCGTATCCCTAATATCATCAGACGGGTACTCTAACTCCATATCACCGCCGTCCGCTGCGTCTGCTCCATCTACCTCATCTCCTCTGCCCGTAGAATTGCCTCTGTCCGGCTTTCCTCCTCCCCCTTCTCCTCCTCCTCGACCCAACCGCTCATCAGAAGCTCCATTCAGATCACGTATATCCTCTGTATCTTCCAACCTGCTTTCCTGCACATCCTTGGGGGAACTAGTACGTGGACGCGAGGAGCGCCCGGGACGGTCTTCATCGTGGTCAACGTGGTCGCGGGAGTCACGGGTCTCGGTATAAACATAATCAGGATATGGTTCCACGAGACTATCGATGTGCATATCAGTATTGTCACGCGCGTGGAGTGGGCGGGGAGGTTGAGACGGACGAGATGAGGGGTTTGGTGGATGAGCTGAGAGAGAGGAATGTGCATATGGAGGTGGGGAGCGGGAATAAGGAGACCGAGAACGGGAACGAGGAAGGGGAGAGTACACGTGGTGTCGTTGGGTGGATGGTTGGGCGTCATTAGGTTGTTGTGGTTGTTGTGCACGATACGGATCCGGGTATCCATACCGTATATGCGGAGGAGTGGGGGACCGCGAGAGGGAAGTAGGTCTTCGGATATGTGAAGGAGGAGGAGGAGAGCGCGAAAGACGTCGGGGAGCATGTGATGCAAGAGGTTTATAAGACGGACGCGAGGCATGTGATGAACGATGGGACACATGAGATCCATGGGATGCAAGAGGGTGACGAGATGTAAAAAAAGAATTGTGTACCCCACGAACCGCACGGCCAGGTAACGGAGACCTAGACCTGCGCGGTGGAGACCTTGAACGATGCTCCCTATTAGTACCACGAGGAATCAGGGCCGGTGTAACAACAGGCGTCGGACCATGCGAAGCATCCGCTATATATCCTCTATCTATTCCATCTACTCCATCCGCTTTGTCTACTCCCTCTTCATCATCAACCGCAGAAGTCGTTGAAGCAGGGGATAAAGGCGCAGCAGGCGCAGGGAGAGTGGATATCGCGGGAAGAGTAGATATCGCAGGGATATTCGGTGGCGGATTGACCATTCGCGCAGAGCTGATTATGGCTCGAGGGGGATTATCTCTGGGTGGTGGTGGTGGGTGTGCAACATGGGAAGCAGTAGAAGAAATAACAGGTGCAGAAAGAACTGGAGAGATATTCGGATATGGATTCTTGGCTTTGGCTTTCAGTTTCAGCTTGTCGGTGTGGATACCGTTGTTGATCTGGGTGAAATGCGGAGAGGGGACGGAAGCAGCGATATGAGCGGCATTATCCCGAGATGAGTCCCTAGGAACATCACGTATTGTATCCCTGATTGGGATTGGTGCTGGAACCGCAGCTATTATGGGCACTGGAGCTTGTACCGGAACTCGACCTGAAGGTACAGAGATGAGACGGGGAGGGGGGTCAACGCGCTGAGGTTCATAAGATCCAGTAACTGCAGGGCCGATGAGACCAGACGGTGGCGGGACAGGAGATTTGGACGCAGCAAGCGCGATGGCGTTGGTGCTTGTAGCGTTCACAGCAGTAGATCCACCAATTCCATTCGAAGGCGTCGGGGTAAGTTTCTCGATCGGGGTCAACTCGTCTAGCTCATCAAGCTCGTCCTGATCAACATCTTGGACTACAGCACTGACAGAGACCTTCCCGTCTTTGTTCCCATCCTCCCCAATACCCTTCTCTTTCCTCTGTTGAACAGGAGGAGAACGCGAACCATCTCCCTTCGCATTAACGTCAACGAATTTATCTCCAAGCAACATCCTCATATTGACCAACACGGCATCCAACATCGCTGAATGCTGGTCGAGCACAGCTTGAGATTTTTCATCCCGCTGGATAAGATTATCGACTTGAGATTTCAAGGATTTTATTTCTGAGAGAGTGAGGTTAGAAGTCTGGTTTTGACTCTGCGCTGAGATTGCGGGAGTTGCGGTGGAGATAGGTCGAACGAAACCTTGATTAGAAGTGATGGGAGTAGTAATTGAAACTCCTCCTCCTCCTATGTTGACCTTTGATGTATTTCGCTGAGATTGAGGTCGTTGCGATTGAGATTGAGACTGAGCTTCGGGTTGGGGTTTAGTTATCGTCCTCAAGCTCGTTCGAGTCTTTTTGCTCTGGGGGGCTGAAACGCCCGATATCCCCGAAGGACCCGAATCGCTGGGAGGCATAGTCACAGTGACCCCAGCGCCACCCTCGACAGCGGGAGGCGGAGTAGTCGATCTAGGACGTTTCACACCCTTTGACGACGCACTACGAAGTGGGGAGCGGCCTCGGGTGACTGGGCCGGAACTAATACTCTCTCCGGCGCCAGGCGCAGATATCCCTGCTTCGGTAGTAGTCCCCAAAACCGGCAAAGACCTAGTTTTCGGCGGTGCCGAATGATGGGAGCTGCTTCCACCACCGCCGCCGCCTTTTTTCTGTCTCGGCGGAGGAGGGTTCATCGAACACGCCCAGTGGCGCTTGTAGCATGTGGTACATGAGAATCGAAGAGAAGAAGATTCGCAGGGTTTGTTGAGTGTTTTGCACCGCCAGCAAGGAGGATCCTGGAGATTCAGGATAAGAATAAAAATAATGATATACAAGAATGTACCATACCCTGATACTGAGGACTTCTTTTGCTTTTGTCTTTATGGTGAGTACTGTTTTACCACCTAGAGTAGGATTAGGCGGTGCTGTTGCGGAAGGTGGTGGACGACGTGCGGCACCACTGCCAGAACCACCACCACCACCTGTTTCCTCCTCCGACTCGGGCCCGTCAAAGTTTGGTGTGACTTTGAGCTTGATTTTTGGTAGCGTCTTGCCGCTAGTCGACAACACAGGCTCCGCCTTCTTTGCTGGACCCTCGTTGTCATCTGAGAGCTGATCCTCGCTTGAATCTTCCGCTGCCTACGTGTAAACATTCAGCACACAACAGACCCATTGCATTGAGCAAAACACCCACCTCATCCTCCTCCCCTTCCTTCCCTTTGATCAACGTCCCGTCACTAAGAAATTCTCTCCCCCAAGGGTCCGTGAACGCTCCTCGTTGCTCTGTCGCTGCCATTTCCAGCAAAAGTCCAAAATAATTTCAATACTCGACCCAGGTTATCGAGGGTGGAGGTACAAAAAAGACAGAGCGGGGGAGGGAGGAAACCTTGACTGTATTAGAGATTAGCCCTGACTGCGGGAGGAGCGGAGATGTAAACCGGGGAAAAAAAAATCCAAGCCCCGATTCTTCCCCCCTTCTTATGTAAGACTTCTGACGAAAAGAACCCTTCCACCGATTCAACCCTCCGACCCCACGCCTCCCCACGCTTGGGGTTTTATTCTATTCGGATTCCGACGTCAAATACAAGCACTGCTTACAATAAGTGGCAGTAGTCGTGACTACAAAGGGCCAAAAAAATCAATCCGGGAGCGGGAGCGTCGGCGACTCCGGGTTGGGATTTAGAAAAGGTTAAAAAGTTCAATGGGAAGGATTAGCACAGGATCAGCGGCTCAAGGACTAGGCTCTCAACTTAAGATTCAAGCGGGAAGCAGGGGGCAGTCAAGCAGAGATGCCGATGAGGAACCACCTGGAAGTCCGTTTGGGCACCTGTTGGTAAACCCTGTGAAGTCCCGGGAGAACCCAAGGAGAATTATTATCTAGAACACTCCCCAATCATTCACTGACATCCTGCCTGTAAACTCCCTCCTGTTAACTTATCAAGTCGCCCAAGTTCCCAAGCTCCTAAATCCTCTTATCCACTTATCCACTGCCCAAGGGCCTTATCGTGACCCCAGCCGCAGAATCAACGGCGGGGGTCCCCGTTCGCCGTTCGTTCGATAGGGTAAATAAAACGCGGGAACCCGGGATCAGTGGAAGTTATGCAAGGGTGCAATGTGGTAGTACGATATCCTGGGAGAAGATGTCGATGCTGTAAGTTCTACTAAGTAACTTGATCAGTAGGAGGAACCGGGGCTGAGGCGCGTTGAGGCCTGACGCTGGCTCCGGCTGGTTGAGTTTACTCAGGTACTCAGGTGCTCAGGTGCTCAGGCGACTCGGGTACCAACGTTATGTTTGATAGGGGAATACTCAATACTCAATACTTGATAGGGAATCTACTATCCAATGTATCTCATGCATTGAGCGGATCCTGGATCATGAGAATCGGCAGACGGAGGGAACGTACTAGGGAAAGCTTCAAAGAATTCCGGAAGGGAGGGAGGGTAAGACCGAGTCATGCCCGTGTCAAATAACGGAGGGATTCAAGGCTCGAGTGGCCTGTCATTGTGATTTATGTATAGTATACTATAGTTATACTACTTATATCCGTCTTAGAACAGGGAAAATGACGGAGATAGGCACAGGGAGGGATAACAGGTAATGTAGGGGCTACTTATAGCGAGAAGTTGGCCATATGCCGTCGACCCAGTGCATTGGCAAGGGATAATGAAATCGAGAAAGATTCATGTCACTAACTTTCTAACTTCTTGGAACTTCTCAAACATAACAAGTTCGCCATAGGCTATTTGCAACATGGTTACATACAGTAGTTGTTTGAAACAGAAGATCTTGTAGGGCCGTGACTTTACATACCTAACACGGAAGATATGTACACACTCGACGGACAGAATCCCAGGTTTGAGGCGCCGATATTGATGAAGGCATTGGGGTGGATATGAAAAGAATTCTTCAATCCGATACTTTTCAAATCTTCTCATATAGATTCACTATTCTGCGATTTTCATCGACATTTCCGATCCTATACCACCTGCGGTGCCCTCATGCGAGAATTGACCAAACTTTGAAGAAAAACACCAGTTCAGTGTAGTTCAAGTCCAAGTTCAGTGTAAATTGAAAATGGCATTGTCAACAGGGGAGTATATAGTCATACCGCAGAGTTATGTCCTGGAGTCATCAGTCAGCTATTGTATCGTACTAAACCCAGACTAAACCCAACCCTCGAAGCTCTCGAATTCCCTAGACTTGGCACCGAAGCGGAAGCGGAAGCTAACGAAGGAGCAAAATTTGCTTTGTGCTTTAGTAGCCTGAGCTGTAACTGGTGGTGGTGGTGGTGGTGATAGGAGGGTTCCAGGAAACGGAAATGACAGAAAGAGCAGGAGGGATTCGGAGCAGGATCCGGAGCAGAATATCCAGGAATCAATGAACACGTTCACACACATGCTGTTATAAGATGAATCAGTATCCGCACTGGTCCGTGCAAGTGAGTCCCGTCTTCTTCGACATCCTAGACGAGCCATTGATACGTGCGACTTGCATTGTCTGTAAGGTTTCGTAAGTGCAAGAAACAACATAATCCGATAACGTCGATACAGCTCGATGCGGAATATTCGAAGAAATTGGTCGAATTGGAACTACTTAGTAATTGGACATCCGAACTTTTGCATGAGCTTGCATGAGTTCAGAGATGGTTTCTTCAAAAGCCTATGTTATACATAACAAACGACATGTGTTTTCGCCAATCCATGCTGTGGTTTACTTGAATTTTGCTATTAGCCCGCACGACCTTGGGGTTCATTTGTAAGCGTGTAGGAGAATGCTGACAACTGACAATCGTTGGACGAAGGCAATCAAAGGTGAATGTTGAGAGCGAAGGCGAAACAATCCAGAGAGGTCTGTTCGGGACGGGCCACGATAATACGAAGTCACAGCCACATCCCAATTGGGCGTCCCCGTCTGTATGACCTATTGCAGGCGACGACGCGTCTGGTATTCAGCTTACACTTCGAAGTGAGCACCCCATGCGAGCTCAACTCACAGAAGAATGCATGGTGAAGCACACTAGTCAATACACAAAGATTTTTCACAACACTAGACTAGTAATGACTTAACAATAATTGGCTCAAATTTCCCGCCACCAGATCATCATCAGATACCAGCTCATCGACGCAGTGACGAACGGAGAAGAAGAAATCGTATACTGCCATCGTGAATGCCTTCTTCTTCATACCAGAAACCACCTGATGTTGTTGAGTATGGCTCCAAGAATATAAGATCGTTGGGCCGGGCTGAGGAACCTTGCCAGCTATTTATCGCATGGCATACATCTGTTTTGATTTCATTGGATACGTCGGATGGAGTGGAAGGACGGGGTGGCTTTGCATCGCCGGAAAACCAAACTTCGAACTTCGTAGACTCAGACGCAGTAGAATGGCCATTTAGCCCTTGATTATGCCCATTGGTCTGCAGATGGCCGGCATTGCCATTTGTATGACTAAGACTACCTTGACTTCGTGTTATCAAGGTCGAAGCTAGGGAATCAAGACCACTTCCGGTGGCCTACATGGATAATAGATTAGTGCACTCAGAATAACATGTGATACGATGTTGACTTACAGTGTTGAAGGGCGCTGCATACACAGCAGAAAACATGCCCAGGATGAGATAAACGGGGCGGAACAACATCTCGGTGGATAGGATTATAGGAATAACGTATTTGGATCGAAGAGACCAAGGTTTTTTTTTAAGTTTTTGGCTCGAAAAAAAAGAAATTATAACAAGCAATGCCGCGAAACTGGCCAGCAGTTTTTGGGAGGTGACCTGGATCTTTAGCATAAGCTGCTACCCTTATGTACCCTTGCCAAGTTGCGCATACCAGTGTGGACATTGGCGAAGGCTGTACGACCTTGAATGACCATGGTAACCTCAAGCGCCCGCGCAAAATTTCTATTCTAGGTCCTGTTTATCGGGGTCAATCAGCCAATCAGTCGGAAGTCCTCTCCGAGAGGTCGTCGTTATCACCTTGCTTGCAATCACCTTGCTTGCAATGGTCATTGAACATCCATAACCTCGAGCGCCCGTGCAAAATTTCCTTTTAAAGTTGTCGTTGTCCGATCCGACGGCGGAACAGGGTTACATCTACGCCTTATAGGGCAAAAGGGATCCGGATGCAGCCCTTTTACTTTCCCTTCATCTAGCAGACTCCGACTCCACCCCTGCACTTTACCAGCTCACAACAAATTTCCTCACCTGGCTCACCATAATGCATCATCCCTAAGCTTTTCTGCTTGCTGTTTGTTGGGAGATAGATTCCCTTTTTAGTTACCGATTCATTCCGGACTCACGTGACTCTGTTTACTTATAGTCTTTTTCGCACGTTCATCGCCCTCAGTTGTTACTACTTCGTTGGTTCCACGCTGAGGGTGAGTATCCCTTTTCATTTCACCTGTACTTATCGATACTCACATCTTAGATAGGTTTTTCTTATTGCTCTACGTACAGGTATTATCTCAGTTGTTACTACTTCGTTGGTTCCACACTGAGGGTTTTTCTTATCGCTCTACGTACAGATACTTGACCTCTAAGAGGTTATGGGTTATTTTCTTTAGGTCTTTTATCCTATATGCCGAGTGTATAGAACCATTATTTAGCTCACTTTTGGAGTGACACGTTCGTTCTCGCTTAACGCGATCGATCCGTGAATACTTGCTGCCGTGGATGTATACTGACAACACAGGATCTCCGATGGACTTGACAGATCCCGTCCACCGTGATTGCGCTCCGTCGGCCTCATACCATACGCCAGTCTCCGTACCTCTTTGTCCAAACCATCATTCACCTGCATATATGCATGTTCCAACTCGGGATGGGACTTCGCCTGGTCTAGGACCGAGACAATTAATCACTTTTCCTTCACCTCCTGTTCCTTCTCAAATTCACCATAGTTCTACCATTCCATCGCTTCCTTCTTTTCCTTCAATCCAAACCATTCCTCAATTTGTATCAGAGACTTGGCATCATCGTATACCTACTTTTCCGAATACCTTACCTTTTCAGAACCAATATCATATTTCTCGACCTCTTCCACCTGCTCCAACCAATTACCTTAATGAACTTATGCTAAATACTTATACTCCTACTACTTCTCCTCATATCCGTTTGTTTGACCATCTTCGATCACCTGTCTCGGTCCCACCGGCTTCTCCCCGCGCGCCTTCGAGAATTGCTTCTCGTATGGGCTCCCCACAGGTCATCGATCGGGTTCCGTCAAGAATCATGCACCAACCTTGACCACATCAGCTTGTCAACCTCAATCATATTTCCTCAGCTTCAATCGACTTTCGCAATGATCTACACAGCGCCCCAGCCATTATGATGGACGTTCCCCAAGATCTTTACGAGATGAACCACACTCGACCGCATACAACTCGACCAGTTCCCCAATGGTTCCCGGACACAATTCCCCATCCGACTACACAACCGTATCCCATGTACTATACAAACCAACCATACCCGTTTCCATATCTACCACCTCCTTGTTCTGACACTCCTCGATTCAAAATCGAATATTCGTCTATTCATTCGACGTTTCTCGCAACGATCAAGGATTCTGATTCGCTCAAGGACCGTAAATCCTGGGTGAAATGGAATGAGGGAGTATGGCAAGCCATTGCTGACGGTTTCGTACTGGGACATATCTGTGACGAACCACCTTTGGGCACTCCGCGGACAGAGTGGAACACTCCTTCACTACGGCCGGTAATTTCTTCGAACCCCACGCGTAAGGAACTCGAGGCAAAGTTAAAGTGGGGTAAGGATGACGGATGGACATCATCTATCCTTACCGCTCGACTATCTGATGAAGCCAGAAACTATTTACCACCCATGATCGATGATCGCGGTGAATGTCAAACTGCACGTCAAATATATCTTCGTTTGAAAGCAGCATATCAAGCGGCGCCAGATAGGAAAGCATGCCTTCGGATACAGGATGAACTCCTAAATTCCCAAATCCATAGCATGGAAATTGAGAAGTTCAACCCTTACCACACTTCGAAATTATGGATATGAAATTCCATGGGATACACTCATTTCAAAATACATCTTGAAACTCCCATCCGGTCCTCGCTACGTCTATCTCAAACAAGCTCTCGAACAAGAATTTGACGAACCTGGAGTCATTCCCAACAGAGAGCTCTTCGACAAATTTGCTACTCGTCTAGAAAGCACTCGAAACCGCGAACTACTAGATTTATCGGATTCTGGGGGTGGATCGTACAACCGCCGTTTCCAGAAGAATGGATCTGGTACTCCTGATAAGCCAGTGGAATCTCAGAAACCTCGCGAAGCACCGAACTCATCAAAACCAAACTTGAAACCGACCGCATATGTTATGACGACCAATATGAATACTACGAACATGACTTCGAAGATTGAGAACGTGGATACTGTACCTCATGTAACTACTGTTATACCAACAAATAATACAACCATTCATTCCACTTACCCCGTGCGTCGACCTAAACCTTTTGCTGCACTCTTATCTAACTTCTCGAGTTCCCCTTTGCAAAGTGAAGAGTCAAAACAAAACCAACCATCTGCTTACTCCTCGCTGGTGCGGAAGAATCATATCCTGTTGGATTCAGCATGCACGAATCACATTGTCAATGATCGACAATTTTTTCATACATACGATGTTGATGGGGCGATAGCTGTACAGACTGCTAATTCCGGATTACTTTCGTCCCTAGCCTCTGGAACCTGCTATTTTGAAACCCAAATCAAGGGAACGAACGATACACTTATTCTGGAAATGAATGACTGTCTATTTGCACCGGACGCTCCAGTATCTTTGATTTCCGTCGGCGCGATGCTTGAACATGGCTTTACCTTCACGATATTACTCCACATAGTTGAAATACATCCAGATCCCGATCATCACTTCATTGCAGATATCAAGGACCGTCTCTGTATACTCCGAGGTAAATTCATCTTGCCAAATAAGGATTCCTCAGATCCTATACACTTCGCTATGCCCGTATTCATACCCCAAATACCTAACGGCGCACTATTCCATGAACGTTTCAGTCATCCAGGCGTTGATTTAACAAATGAACTACTCACTGGGACAAGTGCGACAGGTCTAGATGAATGGAACAGAACAAAGATGCGTGGAATCTGTGATTCGTGTTTGAAAGGCAAACATCCTCGTTTTGCTTATCCATATCAGGGAAACCGGACTTCAGCTCCACTGGAACTTATCCATACGGACACATGTGGACCAATAGGGACTATGTCTAATCATCATAGCTCACACTTCAACATCATAGTTGACGATTACACGAGCGCACTATCTGGCGGATGCTTTGCAAAGAAGAATCAAGCATTATGAATCATAAAAACGACGATCTCAACCTGGGAAAATCTAATGTCCCCACATAAGGTCAAGAACATTAGACTCGACGGCGCAAAGGAATTCCATGGCTCGGAGGCTACATCGTATTTCAAAGGCAAAGGAATTTCGGTCCAGAAAACGGCAGCTTACTCTCACCAACAAAATGGGAAAGCGGAACAATGGGTTCGAATAATCGAAAATGACGCTATGACGATGCTAGTCCACGCTGGACTACCTCTACAGTTCTGGGAGGATGCAGTCCGGACTGCCTTATACATTCGTTTCCGTCAACCGACAAAGACAATTCCCAACAACAAGACACCTTATGAAATGGTATATCACAAAGCTCCGAACTTGTCAAATCTTCACGTATGGGGGTGTCAATGTTGGATCCAGGTTTCTGAGGACATTCGTCCGAAATTCGGAGACAAAATGTTGGAAGGTATATTCATCAGCTATGAAGATAACCGTATAGGCTGGCGAGTTCGTGATACGAAAGGGAAAGACCATTTTTCTGATCAGGTAGTCTTCAACGAATCACAATTTGGACATCTCCATGGACCAAAATCGTCAACTTTACCAAAGGAGATAAACGACTTGAAAACCATTGAACCGAAAACTAACTCTAATACACCTATAGAATATCCAACTTCTCCTAAAGGTCCTCGTCCACACCGTACTGTCAAACTAACCGAACGAGGGAAAGAATGGCGGGATGGCATTAGAAAACGTGATGAGTTGATTACAGAACGACGGGTAAAGGATGGATTACTACCGACCAATACAACACAAGTCGACAATGATATTACGGGATGTTCCTTGGCATGTCGAATAACTGAAGACAATTTAGCTTGTCTGGAGGACGACACTGAATTTTTCTTTGCAGCACTAGCCAACATTCCCAATCCCTTCAATCCCATTTCACCTAAATCGATATCAACCTCGAAACCTAAATTCTTTGATCTCAAGAAACCGCCATCGACATGACGCGAAATGCTCCTACGATCCGACGCGAATGATTGGATTGCTGCAGAAGAGAAGGAAATTGCGGGCTTATTCGAATTGGGAGTATTTGAGGTAACGGAAACATGTCCAAAAGGGAAGTTCCCAATTGGATTAAAGATGGTTTACGATTTAAAAATTGATGGCACGAAGAAGGCACGACTTGTAGCTCAAGGTTTCACTCAACATCCTGAAGACTATGGTAATGTGCATGCTCCGGTTACCAGAATGGTTTCGTACCGAATCGTAATGGCATGGACTGCAAGTATGAATTTAGAACTATATTCCTTCGACATTAAACAGGCATTTCTTAACGCACCTCTGGAGGAAGAAATCTATGTCAAACAAATTCCGGGTCGTCCCATTTCGAATCGACCCACTGCTGTATACCGTCTACGACAAGCACTCTATGGTCTACATCAGGCGTCAGCTGCATGGTATTCAACATTATGTAATGCACTCGAGGACCTCGGTTTCTACCGTTGTGAATGCGACAATGCAGTTTTCATTGGAAGATGGACGATACCTCCTGACTCCTCGATTCAGATGCCCGAACATGGTGATCCTCTCATAATGATAATACCTGTTCATGTCGACAATGGCCTGGTATCCACCAATTCTTCGAAACTATACTCCTGGTTTATAGAAAACATTAATCTACGTTTCAAAGTTGTCAATCTAGGACCAACCTTGATGTTCTTAGGAATTCGCATTTACCGAGATCGCGAAAGACGGTTATTATGGCTATCACAGGAAACCTATGTGACGGAATTACTGGAACAATATAGACTAACAGAATGCGTATCCCACGACTTACCTCTCCAATACAAATTCGATGGACCTGACTTAAATCCCTCGCTATACGCTGACGTCGATTCCGAATCCTTGAAGAAGATCTACCAAGCTCTCGTCGGATGTCTACTGTTTTTAGCTCTATGCACAAGACCAGATATTGCGTACTCAGTGATGTTCCTTGCTCAATTTAAATCGAATCCTCTACCTCGACACCTCATTGCTGCAAAAGGGACACTTCGGTACCTTGCAAAAACTCGATTATGGACACTGCAGTATGGGGGTGCACATTGTACAGATCTCATCAAAACTCTTGGAATTGACTCCGATATGATGGCTTTATCGGATGCTGATTGGGGCAGTAATTCAATCGATCGAAAATCAATCTTGGGCTACGGAATCTTTTTATTCAGAGGTTTAGTTGTATGGTCAGCTTCCAAACAAAAGAGCATTGCACTATCATCAACAGAAGCCGAATATATGGGTCTCACTCACGTTCTCAAAGAGCTCCTCTGGATTTGGGTATTTATGTCTCTAATTCATCTTCCTATTCCTCATCCTTTTCCACTTATTTCTGACAACTGTTCTTCAATTGACATTGCCAATTCTCGATCCGTTTCAAATCGATCTAAACATATCGACATTCATTACCACTTTATCCATTCTCACATTGAGGATGATTCTATTACAACAATATGGTGTTCCTCTCTTGACATGATTGCAGACATTTTTACAAAGTCCTTACCCACTGATTTACACTACAAACATTCAATTTCCCTTGGACTTGTCCCACTTCCTGACATTCTTTGATACCTTTCCTTCTTTCATCGGTGGGGGTGTGTTGGGAGATAGATTCCCTTTTTAGTTACCGATTCATTCCGGACTCACATGACTCTGTTTACTTATAGTCTTTTTCGCACGTTCATCGCCCTCAGTTGTTACTACTTTGTTGGTTCCACACTGAGGGTGAGTATCCCTTTTCATTTCACCTGTACTTATCGATACTCACATCTTAGATAGGTTTTTCTTATCGCTCTACGTACAGGTATTATCTCAGTTGTTACTACTCCGTTGGTTCCACACTGAGGGTTTTTCTTATCGCTCTACGTACAGATACTTGACCTCTAAGACTGTTTCACACCAAATTCCCTCACCGTAGCAGTGAACAGATGCAAGCAAGGTGTGTGTCCCCAACGGGGTACGTTAATGGTCAATGAACATCCATAACCTCAAGCACCCGTGCAAAATTTCCTTTCAAAGCTGTATCTGTCCATTCGAACGGCGGATTCCTTTTACTCTACACAGCAATCAAGTGACCATGTTCCGGATGCAGCCCTTACACTTTCCCTGAATCCAACGACCCTCTCTATCCCTGCACTGTACCTGTCCTACAACAGCCTCACTCAACATATGACATTGTCCGAATACTGGATCCGGAAACATTGTACTGGTGGTGCATGGGTGAAAACAAGTACAGCTACCAGAAATCAGACTACAGCACAGAAGGAATCTGCATTTAAATTGGAGGCAATGGAAGAGGATGATGATTTGGGTTCTTAGGCATCTTAATTACATGGTTTTCGTGTTCCTATGTACTTGAACCTAATTGAGCTCAAAGATACGCTCAAAATTTAATTCAAAGGAGAAATTTTACATTCAACATAGGTCTGTAACAAAAATTCGGTCAAATTCGGGCTCTGGCGCGAGGTCATTCTCAAATTTCGGTCAAATTTCGGGCATCTGAGAGAAAAAACCTTCGGATCTAAAACTAACCTCTCCTACCATAAACAGTCCTACAACACCCCCTATCCGGATGCAGCCCTTTCATCTACCGGTGTGACTCCAACCCTGCACTCTACATATACCTGCCCCACAACAAATTCCCTCACCGTAAGCAAGGTGTTAGAGATAGAGCTCAACTGATGTAGAAGATTGTTATGATAGGGCAAAAGGGATCCGAATGCAGCCCTTTCATCTACTAGTGCGACTCCAACCCTACACTCTACATACCTACCCCACACCAAATTCCCTCACCATATCAGTATCAGCGGCCAGATGCAAGCAAGGTGTGTGTCCCCAACGGGGTACGTTAATAGCAAAAACCTCTTCACAATCTCATAGAGGGCTGGTCAACAGCCTAGTCTCAATGTACCGTGTTTAGGTAATTTCCAATATCCCCACAGACCCTCACAGACCCTCACCAGCTGCTCGATTTCTTTCCCTGCAGGCTGCAGTGAACATGCGATGCATCAACCCTGGTGATGAGATTTAGCTCAGGTTCAGTAATAGCTCAACATTGGAAGATTCAGACTTCCTACGACTTCCCCATAAGGATTACTTATTGGGCAGTGCATTTTTCTCTAACATCCTCCGAGATCCTCAGCGAGCTCGCCCCATCAATGGATTCTGAGCAAAAATGGAGCAGCACAGAGCAGAACCACCTAGGTAGTTGGGATTCAGATTCCGGAGGTTAGTCAGTTCTGTGCTCGCTTACTGTGCTACGCTACAGTGGGTTGACTCTAAACGTGTCTGTCTGTCACATCAGACCGGCTCTTACCTGATCTTACTCAGATTATTGGACCAAGGCTTACGGGAAGTCATCCACTGTGACCAGATTTGATACCACTGGAACTAGGGTCTATGGAGATGTGAACTAAAATGTAACATATTTTTCTTTTTTCCTCACCTTCCACAGAAGTGCAAAAAGGAGGAGAAGACAAGAAACAATGTATATTCATGGCATAATTACTTCGAAGGAAATAGGATTGTGGCCACTTAGGGGGCAAATTGTGTATGCAAGGCCCTGTCATGACTACCGAGTTTTTCATACCAAAATGCTTCCGTATCTGCAGTGCACGACTCCAAGAATATAACGTCAACTTGGTGACCTTCTAGGTTAGCCAGTGTATCCTTTACTTCTGTTATGATGTTGGAGGGAATGATGGGTGGAGTGGAGGGATGTGATGGTTTTGTATTGGAAAACCAAACTTCGAACTGGGCTAGCCCCCCACTGGCAGTGTTCCCATTGACATGGTGGCCATTACCATTGACATGAGTGGCTGGAGTAAATTTACTGCTCCCTAGACTTCGCACAGTCAAGTGCATAGTCCCCAGTCCTGCTCCAGAAGATGGAGCTCTGGAATCAAGAACATCGCCAGTGGCCTACATGAATGATAAATAAATCAGTACTTGTATGAGCAATATTCAGTATGTATAGTGACCCACAACACTGAAAGGAGCAGCATAGACAACTGAAAGCAAGCCCAGGATGAGATAAACAGTGTAGAAAAGCATCTTCGAGGAGAGGAGATGGATTTTTGGATCGTAGAGAAGTAATTAGAGCTGAGGAAGTTGATGTTTTTCGAGTTTTGCGCTGGCACCAAGCTACGTATACGGAACTGACCAGCAGTTTTTGGATCTCTGAAATCCGCCGCGCCTGTCCCTCTTAAATACACGAGCAAAAGCTGTACAGCACTTGAAGCTCGTAGCCACTGTATATATCATCCCTGGTGGTGCATCAGTGATGAGCCTTACCTTTCCGAATAACTCCATGTAAAGAGTCAAGACCGATGGCGTATAAGCTGTGGCCGTCGCTTCTACAGTTCCCCTTTGTTCTGCTCAGTCTTTAGAATCAGGATATTCTTTTTATAAAGATAACGAAGGCAGACTGACATCAGCCCATTTCGGCAGATGTAGCTTGTAGAGATACATAGGGAGAATACTCGCATTGAGAGAGCGAGCCAGGTAATATTTGAAGATGCATTCGTTATTATCAGCAGATGGTTCCTCAAATATGCATCCGGAGAAGGATACTCGTAAACGAAGGCGTTGATTAGTGTTCCAGTTAGTGCTGCATTTCGGATCTGAGGGGGGAAGTACATTGTAGAGAAGCCCGCCATTTATATTATCGCTAGTGAGGACAAAGGGTAGGGTAGCAGCGAGCACATAGATGCTGAACGAAAGGCCACAGAAAGCAAATGTAGTTACGCGGCGATGTCGTAAACAAACAATGACATGGACGTGGAAGCACAAGAGGCATTGGTTTGGATATAGGCAATCTTAAACGCAGACGCGACGACTGACCAAAGTTATGATAGAATCGACGGCAGCCAAGTCGGCGTCCTTGATCCTAACATGTAGCATTCATATGAAGATATCAGCAGCGTAGAATGCCAATGGAAGGAGTAGATGATATGGTAGCAGATCGTTATGAAGAACGCTACGAAACATGGATCATTCAGTCACTGAAATATACAACCTATTGCCGAACTAAAACTCACTGCACCATCTAGAAGAAAGCCCAGAATTACTTCCTCACAGGTCTGAATACGATCCTACTAAACGCGCCCAGTGCTGCGACGCCGCTGGTCTTCTGTTATAGCCTATGATCTGGATATCGTACTGAAGGTGGTTTCTGATTCAAAGTGTGCTATGGACAACGGCACAAGGAAGAAACACCATCCAAACCAGCGGTGGAAGTAGTTGAGTTTCTCGTAACCGTGGCCGGGTTCAGGAAGGTAGGAGACTAAGGTTCTTACATAGAATCACAGGAGAGACCACAGATTGTTGACTGTAATCAGTTAGAATTACAAAATACAAGGTTGTTACCGGCGTCAATCAGGCCGCAGCGCGTCCTGCTACCACGATGGTGAATCTGCCAACTTGTTGATCTCTCAATCAGCCTACCATCACCCTCATGGACGATGAACTCTTCAATTCTCCGGGGCTGTTAGCTCCATCCCCAGAATACCTGGCTTCTGTCAAAGTATTTCCCCTCATACCGGCTATCAAGAAGGAAATAATCGTATGTATGTTTCTTTCCCTTTTCCAACTTTCAGCCTCAATCCGTCGTCCGTCACGCCACCCCCATACTGACGGAATGTTCCCGTGTACCTAGAAAACCATTGGTACATAACAAAGTTGTGCTTGAGATATACCAGCGGGCTGATGTCTTTTGAATTTCGGTTGCTTCAGATAGCCCCTTGACCTGGGAGTGAGTTTTCGGCAATATACACCTCGTCTCTCTACCGACCCAATCGAACTTTCTACAGTCAGCTCACCGCCTCAGATATTAGTTTCTCCATAGTAAGACCGATTGTCTTTAAATTTGCTCGCCTCAAGAATCTTGCAATTGTGTATGCCTGTTTGGTTGTACGGTCGTATTTCTTGGGTGAATCTGAAAGTACGTTTCAATTTTGAAATGATATCTTTTGAGAATCACTAATCGTATTGTTGGCACTGTTCTGTAAACTCAGACGACCTGGCCTACGCTGGAGGTCCGTCCGCCTCTCTTTCCTTGCATCCTCCTTCAATCCTGATTTCTGGACCTCACATCAAGTAAACCTTTCCAGAGCGAACCTCTGCGAACTCATAGCAACGAAGCTCCTCAGTCACTTCGCCGCCGATCACATTCAACTCGTAGCTGTGCTCACAACTAGCTGGAACCCTCTCGCCGGAGCAACCTCGAGTTTTGTAGATGAAGTCCAACAGGTGTTAAGATGTGATGATGAGGATTTGAATTATCCGCAGAGTGCGCTTGAGGTAGATAAAGTACACCTTTTGGTTCATCGGTGCTAACTTGAAGCAAATTATAGATGGCTATTTCGACAAAATCCACGAAATTCCTGGCGTCACCTGTAACTCAAAAAGTAGTGAATGACATATATACTGGACGCGTAATCTTTTCGATTGCTGCAACTCGATCAGTGTTGGCGGATAACTACAAACATCGGAGTATACAGGTAAGTGTTCGACTTGAAACTTTACTGACACTCTTCACACATTTCTTCGAAGGTTTACAATTGGAGGGATGCCCCCTTCCTTGATCATTATAGGCGCGTAATTCTTATGATATCATGCAGAAAACATATCTGAACCACATCATTCAGGCTTCGGGTTCCCAAATACGGCGCTATTTTGGAATTTCTTAATTTTGCTGTTCTATTGTTGACTTTTATCCTGTGTCTGTCGAGTAAGCGTACCATTCCTCTACGCTTCAATCTTAATCATCCGGTTGCACCAGACCAAAACCCCGAAGGAATGAATTTCTGGGAATCGGTATTCATACTGTTCGCTGTGTGTTTCGCTTTGGAAGAATATACGGCATCGACAGAACACGGATGGGGAAGTGAGTGTTTTACCGTCTCTCTGCCACTTTTCTGTTGTATATAAGCCAGATTTTCAGTATACATTGCGAATGCAAGTCAATTTTTACTCTTACGTAGGCAAAAGCATGAATGTGCTTCTCGATTAGATGTGGAATGTTTTTGATACTGCATTCTTGGCCATATTTTGCGTGTATCTCGTCTTGCGTATACGAGGTATTGTCAATGGAGACTGTATGTTGTCTTGCATTCTGCTGAAAGTCCTCATTTTGTTAACCTCTATTTCCGTTCAAGCTGCCTCGTCCGAACTGGCATTCGATATCCTGGCCTGCGGGGCCTGTATCCTCTTACCCAGGTTCGAGTTTATTAACCTCACTGCGCTCAGAAAGTTGAAGTTTGGCTCTGTCTCCCAATTAGGCTGGCGTTCTTCGCTGTATCAAATACAGTGGTCGTATTGCGAGTACCCAGATAACTGAGGTTCTCTCACCCGATTTACATTACTCCTTCCTAGGGCACTCCGAGCGATGATTGCGGAATTCATATTCTTCATTGGAATAGCTTCCATCTGTTTCTCCGGCCTACTTTTTACTCTCTGGACACTAGGTAAGCTCCTTTCTGCTCGGTCTACGCAGAATATCCTGACGGCGTGGTGCTTCAGCTGGATCAACAAAACAATTCGAGGAAGGAGAACATCAATGGACCTTGAAGTCTATCTCCTGGCTTATGGTACAGATATGGTTCGGAAACACATACCTTAGTTTTGGTCAAGCCAGCAGCTTTCATCCTGTGTTGGGGCCAATCTTGATGACATGTTTCGCTGCACTGTCAAATACTTTGCTTTTGACTAGTGTGTATCAAACGTTTAGGCGGGGATGACATGGTTTCATTGACAAGGCATTTTGTAGTCCTCATTTCTATTCTGTCTAACACTGTCGCTAGGATTGATGCTGTAGGTGGTTCATATGACTTCTCCCGAGTCAGGTTTTAACTCGCTTTTCACTTGTTTTTCGATAGAACATTACGCAAGAGGTGAGTCCACATTGCTCGCATTTACATACATCCTTTTCTGATACTGGGCTTTTCAGTATTTGTTCCAATTCACGATCTCCACTATCGAAGGGTGAGCTTTTCGAATATTTTACGGAATAATCTCGTTCATTACAACACGTGTATCAGTGTTAAAACAGATCCTTTGTTCTCTTATCAACCTCCCTTCAACGTTTTAGCTTTTATCATCCTGAAACCAGCTAGCTGGATTATTTCTCCTCGAGCTTTACATTCTCTCAATGTTTTCCTCATCAAACTTACAAGCTTCCCCATTCTGCTCGTCATCGGCATCTACGAACGATACCTAGCACGCGGCCGGGCCTTGCGAGAATCCGGAAAAGATGCAGCACATTCAATATTCAACAGTCTTCCACGTCAAATCAAAAATCTACCGTTAATAGAGGCTTTGGTCGGTTCTACCACAGCTGATATTTATGAGGCTATCTTTGACGTTGAGGCCGAGAACGACGCCGAATTGTTCACAGACTCGGATGATGATGAAGCGCCAGCATTACGCTCATTCAGATACATATCGAATCCTACTTCTCCTACGTCTACTCAAACTCGCAGACGACCTGCAAGTCTTGCTCCATCTGTGAGTATTCGTAGAGACCCTTCACCATTGCCGTCTCCGCAACGGCTGCGCCCTATATCATCCGACCTCGATTTTTCGTCATCCGGGGAAGTGCCGACTCAGAACAAAAGTCCACTTGCTAGACTGTTTGTAAGGACCCCCTCAGATAACCCGGTTTCGGCTGCGGCAAACTCGGTGGAGGTCAGCGTGAGGAAAGTCGAGACCCTCGTGAGTGAAATGAAAGGTTTGCCGTTGGGGCGGGTGCGAGAGGAGATGAAAGAGTTGCAGGTGAGTAACCCTAGTCCAGAACCCGTCTGGAACTATTGTTGATGTCACTGGCGCTCATGGTATTTTTAACCACAGGACCGTCAAGCTCGAATTGAGAACCTCTTACTTACTCTCACACGCGGAATGCGTCAAAGCGATCTTGATCGTTCGCATTGAGATTTTGACCGGACCTTGTTCATCCTCGGATGTTGGTGATATATTACGCTGCAGAGTACGCAGTTGGCTGGTCTTTGTAATTCTAGCTATATACTGAGGTATTACGGATTGAGAATAATGTACAGCTCTGAACCCAACTCACACACCGGAATTTTTTCTCCTTCCGGTGTGATCAGATAGCTTTCAACCTCCTTGCCTCGGCTCGCTCCGCAAGATCAACGCCCACCAGAATCTTTGATGCTTTCCACAGCTGTACAACATTGATGATGTTCTTGAGGAGACACACAGGACCAGTCAAGCAAGCGACGGCCTCTGCATAGGTTATATTGGTCAAAAAGTGACCAAAGAAGGGTACCGATATCCATGAAAGGTCTACAGGTACTGACGCTGTGGTCCATTTGGCGAGATAAAGCGCGACAAAAAATAGTTCATTGCCTGCGCAGACCAGGAATAATGTTCGCTGATTGATCATTGAGGATCAACACCAAGAACATGGGGAAAGAAGGGATCGATGCTCACTGCATCATTGTAGTAAAGCCATAAAATTCTGCTGACGTCGCTAGTGACCTTTTTATGACTTGCAGAACCTGTAGCGAGAGAACTATGTATCCGAAAGGAGGTGCCAACACTTTGAGAAAAGACCGAACAAAATGGAACGGAGGTGGCGCACCTGTACATATGCATGTAATGGCTACTGAAATCGAGGGCGATAAGAAATTGGAACAAGATTGCCCAAGTGGGGTATGCGATGGCAAGATAGCACAGTAGACAGGAAGTTGTACATCTGCGGTATGTTAGCCTCAACCCCTAAGACTTGTTTTTGAAGAAGCTCGACGCACCGGTCGGTAACCATGTCCAAAACAGCGCCAAATTTAGATGTTTCTCCGCGAGCGCGTGCAACTTGACCGTCCACGGCGTCGAGCAGACATGATATAGAATACGTGATAGTGCAATATACTGGATGGTAGCTCATGAAATGTAGAGAAACGGCAGCTAGGATGACTCTGGTATAGCCTGTGAAATGCCTCAGAGTGAACAGTAAGATGCATACTCGGAAGACTGACCAATCAAATTCGGAGCAAAAAGAAAGACGTTCTCAGGTTGTGCGGTGGCGAGGTCGACAGCTTCTTTAGCGTCGACATGGCTGATAGATTCGGGCCTTCTTCGGTGGGCAGCGGGCTGGGACATGATGAGGGACGGAAAAGGAAGACGCTTGAATACATTTTTTCCTTGCCCGTCAATGAACGCGTTGAGCACGTAAGGAGAGCTCTGTCAGCTTCCGGTTATCTTATCTGTAAATGTTCCTGAGCGCTAATGTGATCTTTCATTTTTCCGTCTGTATCGAGTCAGAGATCGACACACTCTTCAATCCAAACTTTCACTCGTCTAGTATGTGTGGAATATTTGCGATACATGGCGTCGACCAGCCTGCTAACCACAGAACACATGCAATTGCTTGTTCCAAGAAGCTTCGCCATCGCGGTCCGGACTGGTCAGGCTGCTACGTTGGTAAAGAAGCTATCCTTGTCCATGAACGGCTTGCCATCGTCGGTGTTGGTATGTGTCTTTTCCTCCATCTATCATATACCCAATTCATCTTCAGCATGATCAGATACGGGAGCACAACCTCTTCTCAGTGAAGATGGAAAGGTTATCTTGGCCGTAAACGGCGAAATTTATAACCACCTTGCTCTGCGTCAAAGTCTTGAATGTGATGTAAAGTTCAAAACTCATTCGGACTGTGAACCAATTCTTGCTCTCGTTCGTCCCTTGTTACACGTGAATCGCCGTGTCGTTGACTATTTTACAGTACAAGAAGCACGATAAAGATCTGTGTTCTCTACTTGATGGAATGTTCTCCTTCGTATTGTTAGATGAATCGGTGGCGCCTTCACGGATAATCGCCGCTCGGGACCCCATCGGTATCACGACTCTGTATCAAGGATGGAGTTCAAAGAGGCCCGGGACCGTATACTTTGCTTCAGAACTCAAAGCACTTGTTAATGATTGTGACAAAATCATCTCATTTCCCCCAGGACATGTTTATGACAGTCAAGATCAATCGACGACTCGCTACTACACGCCCTCGTGGTGGAACGGTGACCTCGATGGAGATGCTGCTAACATTCCGACAACGAAAGCTGACCTCGAGCTCATCCGAACTACGTTGGAGGACGCAGTACGAAAGCGTTTAATGTCCGAAGTACCTTATGGTGTTCTCCTCAGTGGAGGCCTAGATAGTAGTCTGATTGCATCTATCGCCGCAAGAGAAACGGAAAAAGTGGCCCAAGCGCAGTACGAGCTTAGACAAAAAAAGCTCAAAGAACTTTCGAGCGGTCCCTCCACACCAACACTCGCTTCAGAGCTCAGTAAGTCAAATGACTTATCGATTTCATCCGTTCATTTAAATCTTATTTTCCCAGCAACCCTCGTTGCATGGCCTCAGCTTCACTCCTTCTCTATTGGTCTCGAAAACTCCCCAGATCTGATCGCTGCTCGGAAAGCCGCACATTTCCTCGGAACTGTGCACCACGAGTATGTCTTCACGGTTCAAGAGGGTATAGATGCTATACCAGAAGTGATCTATCACCTTGAAACCTTCGATGTGACCACCGTCCGGGCAAGCACACCGATGTATTTGCTCAGTCGCAAGATCAAGGCAATGGGCGTCAAAATGGTCCTCAGTGGCGAAGGCAGCGATGAGATCCTAGGCGGTTGGTCGAGTATCAACGGATGCACTGATAATTTGTTAATGGATTCCCAGGTTATCTCTACTTCCACGCTGCACCGGATGCAAAATCATTCCATCAAGAATGCGTTAAGCGGGTCAAGAACCTCCATACCGCCGACTGCCTGCGAGCTAACAAGTAAGTTTGCCTGCGTTGTATTAGACATTGCACTTATTCATCCTGTTTCCATTCCCTTCAGATCAACGATGGCGTGGGGACTCGAAGCTCGAGTACCTTTCCTCGACAAACAATTCTTGGAAGTCGCGATGAATGTGGATCCGAAGGAAAAGATGTTTTCTAAGGGAAGCTCTCAGGAGGTGGACGAAGATGGCCGTCCCAAAATGGAAAAGGTTGAAATCTCGTTCCATCAATGTTACCAAGTCTCACCCGCACTATATAGTACATTCTCCGGAAAGCATTTGACTGTTCGCCAGACGGAAAGGTGACTACCCAGTTCGCGACCGTACATGAACTACTTCGCTAATAGTTTGCCCTCTGCTCTACAAGCCTTATCTTCCCCGTTCTATACTCTGGAGACAGAAAGAGCAGTTTTCGGATGGTGTCGGTTACTCCTGGATCGACGGGTACGCTTCTACGAGTTGTTCTCGTTTACATTTGTACTAAATCTGTTCCAGTATCAAAGACAACGCCGCTACCGTCGTCTCAGACGAAGCTTTCGCTGATCGTGCTTCAAGATGGCCAGACGATACCCCAGACACGAAAGAGGCGTATTACATTAGAGACATCTTCGACGGCCTATTCCCTAGCGAGGCCGCAGCAAGTACGGCCATCAGGTTTGTTTCCAGCTTTGGATAGAACTGTATAGATCGTTCTCATAGATATTTCAGGTGGATTCCAAGAGGTGACTGGGGATGCGCATCAGATCCGTCTGGACGCAGTGTCAGTATCCACAGTGCCGCCTATGAGAGTAAGGACTAGGGAGTCGGTATAGCAGTTGATGTACTTTATAGAGATCTCGAGAATTGACGCTAAGTACCTCTGGTGCTAAATGATGCTTTGACCAGAACCACCATTACCTCCCATGGCTCCACATGCATTGACCTTTTAAGGAAGATCATTCAGATGAAGATGGGTAGCTAGAAGGAACAGGAGACAACGGCCGTCCGACTCCCTTCGGAAATCTGATTATCTTCAAGTTCAAAACATTCAAAACATTCAATACCTTATTGTAACAACTCCTCCTTTTTAGACCCGTTACATGTTCGTATCACAGGACTAACACCTATCTAATATCACTCCAAGCTATGTATATCGTCATTGCGCGATGCGTTCTCAAGGAGAAAGTACAGGAGTATACACGGTACATAAACAGGTTATGATCACAGGGTCCCAGGACTCACCCTTCTCTCTCTTTAACGATGTCAGCTACGAATCGAGTCCTCGCAGGTCCATCAGGCGATTGTTGCTTCACCGGTTTCAGGCATGAAGGAACGCCGATTGGGAACAAGATCACCATTGCTAATGTTCCTACGTATTTCGTTGAGGGCTCTTCTTCTAAGGGTGACTCGGAAGCAAAAAGGCGAATCCTGATATTCCTTGCCGACGTCTACGGCCCTTTTTATCAAAATAATATGCTCCTACAGGATTTCTTGGCTCAGAATGGTATGCGTATACTTGCTCAAGTCTCGCTTTTGCATACTCTCAGCATGTTGGATCTCGCTAGGATTCACCGTCCTCGGAATAGACTACTTCATGGGAGATCCTGTACACCTGCATGATAACGAGCAAGGCTTTGACCGTTCCAAGTGGATGGAGAAATCGCATGACTCTGCTCGCGAGGTATTGCCCAAGTGGTGGGAAGCTGTAACGGCCAAATATGGTAAAGAAAAGCTCAACATTGCGGGGAGGGCACAATCATCTAACGAACTTGTCTCCATGCATACAGGTAAAGAAGCTGGATACTGCGTAGTCGGCAAGTAGCCCCTCGATATTGTCGTAAGGCTCACTTGACTGTCAATCCAGGATACTGCTTTGGTGCTCGATATACCATGCAGCTTTCAGACGATGATGCAATAGTTGCGGGTACGCAGTCAAACCTTATCCTGCAAGTTGTTAGACATGATGGTGTTGGTGTATAACAGCCGCTTTGGCTCATCCTGCATTCTTGAACGAAGAACATTTTCGTAATATTAAGAGTACATAGATACACTCTCTTCTCTTCACCTCTCTTCACGGTGCTGACCTATCCATATGTCTTACAGAACCGTTGATGCTCTCTTGCGCAGGTGAACTTGTTCTTTTTCGCGTTTGCCTTCAGGTACTAACACGCCCGATTCATTGTGATATCTTAAACAGAGACGGACCATACCTTCCCGTTACAGAGCCGCAGAATCGCGGAGGATATTCTTGTTGAACGGAAGGCACAATACTTCTTCCAAGTATTTTCCGGGGTCGCACATGGATTTGCATCTCGAAGCGACCCCTCCTCTCCCGATGGCCGTGAGTCGTCTTCCCCCCCACAAAACCCCTGACTCCAGTAAAGACTTTATTCTTACGACATTACTAGGTTGGGGCAAGGAACAATCGGCGCATGGAATTGCACTTTGGTTCCACCGTTTTATTGATGAGAGTTTCCAGAGTGGCAGGAAAGAGATATAAGCGCAAACCTGTAACTGATCCTCTCTATTTAATATACACGGAGGTACATGGTCGGTAAGGTCGTCCCTAGGGACGAATTATGAAGAACGGGAAGAGAAACCAAACGTTGAATGCATATTACTATTAACATGTACAGTATGTAGAATGATTTGAAGATACGAATGATTATGATGTAGCATGTGCACTCTCGAACTGACTTCTCCACTTTTCAAAACCTTCGAATGGAACTTCGCCACATAGTCTCCTCGTGATCTTTTGTAAATCATCAACCGACTTGAAAAAAATAAAAAAAGTCAAAGATCGTCGCGGCCGCTTTGAAAAAAATCTTACCTTGAGCACAAGGAAGACAGCAACTATGCCTGTCGCATAAAACATGTAGTCCAACGAAGAAAGGGTCTCGACAGTGATGCCGTCTCCCCCGTGAGCTCTATCGGGCAAACCCTCGTGAAGGTTATGATGATTATAGTGGTGGTACAATAGTCGACCGACAAGGCTTTGAGGTAGCACTTGATGAAGTGGCTCTCCGTTGCGCAATGACTGTGAGATGAGCGAGAAAGCGGTCATGACATCCGCAATCTAGACATAAAAGGGAAATACGTTAAGGCTGCGGAACACAGTGGATGGAAGGTGGACGTACTAGATTAGGGTTCAGTACGCGGGTGTTGTGCATGAATGCCACACGGGACTCATCAGTCAAATGCGCCAATGCGCCTCCGAGCTACAATAGTTAGTTGCATTTGAGAAACAATCCCATTTGAAAACATCACCTACAAGTGCCAACCCAATAAGCATCTCTCCTTCCGCATCCAGCAAAGCAGTATACTCTTCTGCAGGCCACTTGCCCCGGATGCTCCCCTCCCATGTTGCTGTCATGGTCAATTGCTTCAACGCGTTCAACTCATCTGACAAGCTCAGAAGTCTGACTCGGAATTTATCAAGCCATCGAACCGAATGGATAGGGTGACTAGGATCAGGTTGAGAGGGAGCAGGAGTAGCCTCAGCATCGAGTTGTTTTTGAGTGTCTCGGTTGTCATCTAGGGTGGTAGAAGAATCGGATTCTGGCTCAACAGCTTTATTTGAAAGCGGGGCATCTGACAGCCAAGTTGACATGAGGAAAGAATAGAGATTGCCAAGGCCGGTAATAACAAATGCATTTCGAAGACGGACAGCTTTCCGACCAGATGATGGCGGAAGCATCATGATGATGAAAGCCGCTGTTGAGCCTAGATAACAAGAAATAAGTCAAGCAGAAATTCAGACGAAGGACAAAGAACATACCTATAATGACCAGGGTAAATCGTTTCCAGGCGATAGACCATCCGATACCTATAAGGACAAGTTTTGATTTGGACGAACATGACATTCCTAAAGAACATACCAGGACTCGAGAACTGCGCAACGTGTCCATCCACCCATGAATATCCCATAACAAGTGCAAAGGTAGCCTGAGTCAGAAAAATTTCCATCATCCACGAAAAAGCCTTGTAGTTGAAGGCAAAACTTACACAACCTAACAGGACACCTGGCAAATATCTCTGCGGGGCAAAGTTCCTTACGAATAGCAATGGTGGCATGAATACAGCAGTGACAGCAGCAGCGCCGTAAGGATTGCCCACACCATTTCCGTTTCCTGAGGAGAAAGAAGGGTTTGTCAAAGGTCATTCGCGAGAAACGTTGAAGTTGAGTAAATGTACCGATATACCACGCAGCAAGCCCAAGGATGGCCCCGACGAACGTGCCTATTAGACGAATGACGAGGTTGAACACTTGATCCTGCATATATCAGAATAATCACTCAGTAGTTTTCATAGGATACGTAGTAGATGTATTCACAGAAGCATAGATATTCAACGTGGTCTGGGCCATGATCAGTGCCCTACATAACAATGAGCTTGACCAGGAAATCGGCAAAAACTAGGATCTCACCAAACGCCCTTTTCCTCGTAATAGAAATCTAGACGATAAAGGATTGGAATGCGCGCAAAACAAAAATATATGAAGGGTGCTGACTAGCAGAGTTGTTGACTACCGCCGGAATCCAGGTCGCAATGCTGATGAACGCGTACTTAAAGGCAAACTAGGATATCGAGGTTAACTCTGTAGAAGGGGAATTGCACGGGATGTACCTTTGCTTCCGGAGTTCCGCACCAGCGATATAAGCCGTGCAATTTATTCATTATCTTTTGGAAAATGTTTGTAGGCGGTCTGCTGTCGGGATCGAGCTCTGCCAAATATTAAGATCAATATATCTGAACAGATTTCGTAACTCGAAAAAAAAATTTACTATGACTTTTTTCTGATCCAGTATCATCGAAATCTTCCTTTGACGGTATAGCATCCTCCCCGAATGCTTGACCCCCATCAGCTTCCTCTCCACTTCCCCCGGCCCCTCTGAGCAACTTCCCGATCTTCCGCAAACCTTTAGGGGCCCAAAGTCTGTTCTGTTGCCTCTTCGCGGTCGTTGTTCTCACGATATTCATCATCGCGATTACCGCCTCAGAGAGCGAAACGAGATTCGTGCCGAGAACAAAGGCAATGAAGAGAGATCGGAAGGGTAAAGCTTCTTGTTCGGATTTCGTTAGAACAGTTCCGTCTTCTTTTTGTAAAAGGGCGAGGAAAGGTTTGAGGATTTGCATTCTCTTTGCGTTTTGATTGTCTTGGGTGAAATCCTTGAGCGCTGCGGTTAAGCTCTCATATGCAGCATCTAATTCTCTTATCAACTCCCCATCGATATCTGGATGTCGCGTCCACCGATGCCGGTTGACATTGTCAAGATTCTTGCGCGTAACAGCGACAGCAGTAACAATTGCTTTGCGCAGCTCGAAGGTAGCAGTCTCAGCTAGTGGAAGGATGTCTACGATACGAAGGTGATGACTGTTCTCATATTGGAGGGTTTGGCTTGTCATTTGTCGAAGGAGATGTGCGTCGTTGTATGCATTGATGGAGGGATCGACCGATGTGAACGTTTTGTTGGAAGGATTAAGAGTGGTGGTGGTATTCGGCGGGTCCTCAGCCAAATCCGTCGTCCGCCAAACGATTTTTGAAAAACTGTCCAAACCTATGGAACGTGCGACAATACCTCTGAGAGGAGTGATCAAGTCCTTCACATCGTCAGAGCTCCATTTACCATAGCTGAATTCGAGCGAGATCATGCCGGAAGTAGCATTCACTGCAGAGGCAAAAACATGAACCAGTTCATACAGGAAGCGTATACGGCGTACGCGATTAAGAAAAAAAACCCACATTGCCTCATGACGGCCACCATCATGGTCTTTATTCCGTCCAGCTTCGTCAGAAGCAGGGTTCCTGGTTTGAACATGTCAATTCCAGCTTGGCCATCCTCTCTATCGACGGTTTTGAGAACCTCTCCCTGCATCGTCACAAATTTTTCTACCCTGTCCAGTTGCTCGCATACAGATCGTAAGGCAGAATGGCTCATAGTTTCAGGAAAAACGAAAAGGGTGGTTATCAGAGCGATACCGGTATAACAGCCCACGGAAATCAAAAATGTCTTGAGCAGGGTGTATTCAGCAGTCGGAAGGAGGGGACCAAAGGTCTGTTGTGTAGATGATAAATTAGAATGAAAGCAGATAGTTTATCAAACATACGCAGAAAATATCGACTGCAAGGGAAACATTCGTCAACTTGTCCCTACATAAGTTGAGATTGACTTACGCCCAATCGTTGCAAAGATAGAAGTGAAGGTGAGCACTGGTATGTAAGCTCTGATCAAGCCGTAGATAAAGGCGAAAAAGCCAAGAAAGCAGCCATATATCACAGAAGCGCTGCGGGAGCATAAGCCGATGAACATGATAAAAGCCAAGAATATATACCGAATGTCGAGAAATTTGCCATTGTATATAGCCGTAGTTAATGCTAGAGTGGGATCAGCTTGGAAAGTAGGATTACTTTTGATGCTATACACAGATGATGGTGAATAGAGAGCAAAGGCGAGAGACAAGGAGGCGCGCGCGGTACCTTTGTTGTATCTGTAGTGCGACTGCTTGAATATGTGCGGTACTCCTCACGGCATTGGCTGCACGCATTGCTGCTATACCGATGCCCCAGCTGAAGCACAGCCCGACAACAAGCGTGAGCATCATAAAGCAGAATAGCTGCACTGGTAGATTTGGAGGTAGGAAGAAACTGCAGAGCATTGCGAAGAATCCGCTGAAGAAATGATTTGTTGTCAATTCTACGAGCATTCAAGAGGAAGCAGTTTGACGCACGCAGTGCCAAGGACGTTGAGCGAGGCATCCGGAAGAATGATAATGAACCCTACCCATGAGGCTAGCCAGCACCGAAGCAAAGTCTTCAACGACCGTGGCTTGGTGAGATTGCTGCTAACCCACAGTGGAAGGGTTGCGAGGAATACATGGAGCTTTGATTGTGGTTCGCTCACACCACTGGAAGCCGCTTCAGTTCCAGTCAAGTGTTTCTCGGTAGATGGATGTTGTTTCATGCCAGAATCAGACGAGTCGTTCGACGACGGTTCCTTCCTCGCGTCGCCGATTGTCATAAGAGGAATGAACGTTTGCTAATGGGAAAAAAGCACTAACAAATGTTGAGGATAGAGTGAAAAAGGAAGAAAGACTTCATGCTGGTGAAATCTGATAATTAGCCGTTTAAACTCCGTCGGAAACCCCGTTGGTAGCCGTCGGTCCGGCGGTTATCTCAGTTTATCCAACGCCTCACTGCATTCTACCTTATTCTACCGAGGTCATAATTTACAAGCCAGTTTTTCGACGATCCGTACTTTCGATCATACATACCATTCAGTATCAGTTCGTTATACAAAGCAACAATTTCCATATTTCCACTCCTTCCCATTCTGCCTGACTGCTCTCCCACTTTTCCCTTCCAACATGTTTTTGCATCACTTTAGCAAGTTTCCTCTTGGGCACTTGTTCCGTCGAGAAGGACCACTGATCTCTAGCCGAAGAAAGAACAGAGTCGATGAAAGCAGGATCCCGGCGTTCGAGACAGAGGAGAATTAGAGGAGAACAAGGGGGGCGGGAAGATTTAGATTCCAATTTACAGGCAGCTAAAGACTGTAAGGAGAGCGCATGAAGAGTGCGTAGAAGGGGCTCGACAATTGACTCTTCGTACACAGTGTCGGAAGTGATTATAAGATTGAAAGGAGAAGAGAGGACGTTGGTGCCATCAGATAATCGCGGGGTATTGGACGCGATAGCACAGTCATTATCCCAGTTCCAATTTTCAGGTAGAACGTGCCAATCTAATTCTCGGACCAATATTTCTCGACTAGGCTTCGCAGCGACATGAAAATTGGATTCAATATTTCTAGCTAGGACACTGCTGATGACTAGTTTCGTATCTGTCGCGTAAACGGTAGAATACCCGAGAGCACTGAGAACGAGACTGGGAGGGAAATGTTGAGAAATAGATCTCAGGAGTAAAAGACAGTGCGTGCTCACGCAGAGAGTCCTATTCCACTCCCTAACTCAATGGCTCTGGCATTCGACGTGTTGCGAGATGGCTTGTGATACTGGGCAATATAGGCCGAAAGACACTGTGCACCAAGCCACAGTGTTGTTCCGGTTGTTCCTATAGAAGAGTAATCATCGGAGTGGCTTTTTTGTGCTAAATGTAATGTAAGCTGAGGGGAGAAAGAATATTCGAGCGTGGACTGATGTTTTGTCTCGTGAGCTGGCTGCATCTGGATAACTTATAAGGAAAAGCGCCCAGAATGTGGCAGTGCAACATTTTCTTCAACGCGCTCATCTTCGCTAGCTATGGCGGCAACATTGGTAACCTCCGTTCCCGGATTCGTGTCTCCTGAAGAACACAGAATCATAGTTGGCTCGACTCCCGCTTCCTTTAATGACATTCCTCCCGTTCTCCGTCACAAGGAAGAATCTGTTTCCGTAACATTTGAGCCATCCCTCGATGGTTTCAGCGAGGATGATGCAAAAGAAGGAATTCTGTATGTCCTAGAGAGGTACATCATGATCACTTTCTAAATCATGACATCTCTCATAACGAAAGTACCACAGTGTTCTGATATTCATGTCAAAAACAGGCAAAGGATTCCAAATCGAATACCCATCGATTACACTACACGCCGTCTCCAGGGGAGACACACCACCGTCCATATACTGTCAGCTGGATGAAAGCTCCGCAAAAGCTATGGAAATGCTTGTTGACCCCGAAGCACCCAAAACCAACGGTAATGTCAAGAAGCCATCTGCGGATGAGAGTGATGAGGAAGACGAAAACGAGGAAGAGGAGACGCAGGAGGACATGGACATGCGAGTGCTCTATATCGTACCAAGTCGCGTGGAATCCCGTGCGTTTGACGCGTTTTCTCTCTCTTTTTCCAAAACTGATCTCAACTACCCAGTCGACCCGATATTTGAAGCTCTATCCCTATGTGCAGCGCTTCATCCAGATCCTCCTGGTTCCGATGATGAAGAAGATTTTGACGAAGCATTTATCGATGCGCCAGACGATACTTTTGAGGTATTCACTGGCACGGAAGACGAAGAGCTAAGCGAAGTCGGGAGGGTGCGCGGTGATTTCATCAACGATAACCGATATGCGCCATACTAGCCTTATATCCTTTTAGGCGGCACTCGCGCATCTTGAAAGTATCATTTATGACCCGTTCGAGAAGAAAGAACAGAGAGAACCGGAAGATTCAGAGGTTGTTGCTGCAGGGGGAGATGCTCAACCTACAAAAAAGGTAGAAGAGGGTGATGGAAAGGTTTGACATGCAGATATGTACCCTTGTGTACTATGATATTCTCTTGGTGACGACATGTTGAGTATACATGCAGAGGTAAAAAATTGTAGGAGGATAAAAATGAATATACAGTATATCAGAGAGTAGACTTGTGGTATGTGTGTTAATTTATCTTTCCCTTAATGCCCTCGGTGGCTATTGACTGTCCTAATCTTGTATCAAAACACACTAGAGTATTGCACTATGTACAATGTACATCCTCGGGGCAACACAAGTATATTCGTAACTTACAATATGAAGATATACTTGCCCATGCGATGTTAAGGATCTTGTTTTAATATTTACTCAACATCATCTTCTCTCTTCCTCTTCATTTCCCTCGATACCTTGTGTTGAGCAGCTTCATGCTTAGCAAGTTCCGGGGGGACCTTAGATACGGGACTCTTGGATATCTCTTGTTTAAGATCATACCTACATGAAGAGAAGCACGTCAGGAAACAAAGACATCTAGTGAAAAAATCGGTAGATACGCACATAACCTCATCATCCTCGTTAGTCAAGAGGGTTATCGCCGTTCCCAACTTACCAGCACGACCAGTACGACCTATACGATGGACGTACGCTTCAATCGTCGAAGCCATTTGGTAGTTGATGACCAGTGTGACATCCTGAACATCAATACCACGTCCAGCCAGATCGGTGGCAACGAGGATGTCCGCCGCACCATCTCTCAGGGCTTGCAAAGCTGCCTCACGTTGCTCCTGATTCTTACCAGAGTGTAAAGTAGACGTGGACCACCCAGCACGGCCGACTTCTTTCGCGATGAGATCCGCCGTTTTCTTCTGGTTGACAAAAACGATGATAGGGCTTCCCCATTGGCCTGTATTGAGAATTTCCAGTAATTTCTGCTTCTTCTTCTCTTCCCCTCCGTGCACGAATTCTACACGCTGCTCGACTGTGTCCACAGCGCGACCAGCTTCACCAATAGTGATGATTGCTGGCCGTTTGAGGTATTTCCGTGCGAGACGCTCGACGGCGGGAGGCATAGTTGCGGAAAAGAGAGTGGTGACCCTGTTGCGGACTTTGGACTTGGAATCAAGAGACAGATCCTCAGATTCCTGCCCTTCACCATATTCGTTACTATCAACATCCATGGGTGTGAGATCAAATGCGGACTCTACGGCACCTCCGTCATCCATTGCACTTCTGGGAAGTCGATCAAGAATGAACAAAAGATCTGCTTCAAATCCTAGATGGACCATACGGTCAGCTTCATCCATAACAACATATCGGCACTGGGAAAGGACAAGGACATGACGCTCAAGGACATCCTTGAGACGACCTGGGGTAGCGATGATTATTTCGGCACCTTCACGCAAATTAAATTGTTGCTCCTCAACAGCACGTCCACCAACAATGGAAACACATTTGAAGCCTAATGGCGTCGCAAATTTTCTCGACTCCGATTCAATTTGTTGCGCAAGCTCACGAGTGGGAGCAAGGATCAAGGCGTAGGGGCCGAGGTGACGGTTTTCGTCGGTGAAAGTAGGAAGAGAAGAGATGAATGCAAGCATTGGAATAACGAAGGCTGCTGTCTTTCCAGAACCGGTTTCAGCAATACCGATGACATCTCGGTTGCTCAGCCCAATGGGAATCGCTTGTCTCTGGATAGGACTAGGTTCCTTATAACCAATTGTCGCGATGACATCTAAGATGGGCTTCGGTATTTCACTTTCTTCCCAACTTCGTAGTGGATGAGGAATCTGGCCTCCTCGTGCACTGATCGAAAAGTCTTCCCTGAATATACGCCAATCCCTCTCTTTCAGCTCAGAAAGAGGTTTTTCTGACCAATGACGCTCGTCTAACCCCGATTTGAGAGCCTTTCGACGTTCAAGGGGGTCCGCAAGGTTGGCTGTAATGGATGACGTCTGGGTGGATGTCGGTCGTATATCGTCCATTCCAGCAAGATGTCCTCTACCAAACATGGTCTGTGCACCTTGCCGGTTTGCGGGCGGAGGGTCATTGGCGAAGGTGTCATCTTGCGCATCCCAGTCAAACACAAACTTGCGGTCATTCATCTTCCGAATCTTACGCTTCTTCTTGTCGACACCAAGATACCGCGACCGTATGGCATCCATGTCTGTCGAAGACATTGGGGGTGTGTATGAAGATTCTGCTGTCTTTTCCGGCGGCGGCGGAGGAGCCATGCCTCTGTCTGCACGGGGCCCGGTTGGGATATTGGGATTGGTAGAGCTGTTAGTCCGGCGGTCGTTGCGGTCGTTGCGGTGATGGTGATTTCGTTCTGGGTGTCCATAGCGTCGATTGTCCCGGTATCTCAGGCCATCTGCCTCTTTCTCCAGTGCAGCCCTATCCTTCTTCGCATTCTCATCCTTGAGTTTCTGCTCCTTGATTTCCTGTGTTCGTTTCGCAATGGCCAGTGCTGCTCGCTCCTCTTTGGACAGGAATTTTGGCTGCAAGGTGATTAGATCTATCCCTCAAGGCTTTGACAATGTATACCTTTGCAGCTGCCTCCTTTTCCTCTTTTTGTTTCTTCAGCAGACTCTCAATCGACACCGGCTCTGTACGCGACATGATGATGATGCGCAAAAGATTCAGAGAAACGCCCAGGAAACGCCTGACCCACGCGTTTTTGGCGCTTATTTTCTTATCTCCCAAAAGAATCATGGCATCGCTCCTCGACGAAGATGGTGCAATTTCGGAATCATTCGAAAATTGCTTGAAGCATATCTTTACAAAATACTGCAATCCAAAATCCACGTTACCCTTTTCAGGAGAATTACCGCCAAATGCATATTTGGACTCTGCCGGACTCGACTCTTGGGCTTCAGATACTAACGGTGAACCATTCTCTGAGGATACGAAGGAAGAAATCCTCCAATTCATGGATGTAACCGATGAAGGCAATCTAACGTGCACTGATTATCCTTTTCTCTGCGATATCTGCTGATGCTCAAATAGGTTCAAAGGTTTCTTGCAAGTCTATCAACTGCAAACGGAGAATGACGAGGAGGAAACTTGGAGAGATCTCGTGCGTTATTCTGTATTCACACTGTACCGTATCATTGTCTAATACACTTCAAGTCGAAACATGGCTATGATCGTTCGTTAGCGTTCGTTGGAAAGGATAGATCTTTCTCGAAGGGACTTACAACTGTCAGTTTATGGATTTTTTTGCATATGATTAATACAGATAAGTTATGTTCTACCAGACCACTTTCGCCACAGGATCGCAGTAATCGCTAGAGCAGCGAAGGAAGTCCCCAAGCAAAAGTAGAATGTGCTTTCCCAACAAATTCTTCCTTGGCACGCCATACCTTTTGGCGAATGTCGAGCGACTATCAGCGCGTATACATAGGAATAAAAAGTGGTCCCAACGAAAGGAGAGTATGTTATGATTCCGAAATTCCGCGCTAGATTGCGTATTCCCCAAATTGAACAAGTAACACCCGGACTAAAAAATGGTGAACGAGCAAAAGATCGGGGAATTAGTAACACTTACAGGACAGTGAAGACTGCTCCGTAGGTGATCCCTGTTCCAACGCTGCAACAAAGTCATTCTCAAAATTTATGTCCAGTAATATACAAAGCCTCCTTACATACCTCAAAAGCCATACATCATGACGGGTTCGAACACCAAAAACCATCCAAGCGCATGATGCGGCCAGAAGCGAGGCTGCCCCGGACAAGAACACGACTCTACTTATACGATGCTTCCTGGTAGTGGCGAATCCTACCAGAAGCCGGTAAGAGAATACTGGGGAAATGAAGTCGGCCAAAGGGCCCACTAATAGCCGTGATAAAGTATTCGAGATGGACAAAATCTTGACTTGTAAGGACGCTGCTTGTTCACCCTTCGAGACCAGCGTTCGCGCCATCCCGGATGGTAATGATAGAGCAATAGTCCCAACATTGGACATGATCATTTCACACTAAATTTTTGAACATCAGTTAGCACCAATCATTAAGTAGAACAGGAGAAAAGACGAACCACTCCGAGAATCATCACCATATATAACGCAAGGAGCCAGAAATTAGAATCCCGTAGTAACTCGAGTGCACTACTATCCCTGGGGTCGGACGTACAATGTGGAGACTGACCTCTATCTAGAAGGCGGCTTCGTTCGTTTGTGATACTGTCTGTTTCCAAAGTAGACGATGACGGAGATGTCGTTGTTGAAGGAACGGTGAGAACAAGGGCGCTAGCAAGGTGAACGATACCGGTAGATATGGCAAGGAATAGCAAGAACCGAGTCACGTCCAGGGAGCCCGTAGAGGTATCAGAGAAAAATCTTCCGCCGACGTAGGATAGAAATAGAGGAGACAGGCCAAACATTGACATTGTGATGCCAGAAGCGATAGTGAGGTAGCTGGTAAAAGTCTTGGTAGCTGAGAAGACGAAGGAAAAATAACTGTAGAATATATCATGATCAGAGGCATGTATTTAGACGAACGAACAAATTGGGCGCACGATAATACCGTTCCTAATCCAGCCATCGCGAAGTATACAGTCAAACGTTCTGCAACGGCAGCATTCGGAAGGCTGGAGCGTGCTGAGGATAAGGATACTTCCAGCGCAGATAGACCGAACGCTGCAGAGAACATAATAGCGGCGAGGAATGAGCAGACTCGAGGTCCATAGCGGTCAATAAGCTTTCCAACGATGGATGAGAACGGATATTGACCGGCCATCCCGCTTTACATAGAGTTCAGAGCTCGAAGGAGCTAAATCATACCAAGCCAACGTACGCTAAAGCTATCGAGCTTAATTGAGGCTGAGTAAGTTTGAGATGCTCTATTAAAGCCGGTGCTAGAAGAGGAAATACGAATATTCCACCAGCGAATAGGCTAAAAATTTCAGTTGTGGTCAGCTCGCATATTAGCATCTTGCCGATGCTTACGATGTACAGACAATAGCAGTACATTGCAATACTTTGTGGAACATCTTGCTCACTTGCCAGGCAGCGCGATGCCAGAATGATGGCAAAGGTGGCCAAAGCGAGGCTTATTGGGCGGTAGTCACTTTCACACGGTAGAACAAAAGGCTCTTTCGCATTCAGTTGCTCGAACAAAGGTTTCCTTACCTCTTTGTTTCCTGCATGGACAATAACATTCATGGCTCGTGGGAACCATCTCAAGCTTTCATCTGATCCTCATTAGACTGAGTCTCCGGAAGACTGTTACGACCCAACGACCTAGACTCCTCTTCTCTCGCTCCTTGGCTGGCCAACCATTCACGATTCTTCAACCTTATCCGCTCTTTGTGTACGAACCAGACTGTATTGCTATGGAATATTCCTCTGTATTTCTAAAGGCTCGAGCCATTACTTTCTGTGAGTATCGATCGGTAACGTCGTGTTCATCTATACATATATTGACACAACCCCTTAGCATTAATATCGTTGATCAGCTTTATCTGGGTCGTAGTATTGTGTGTAGATCTTTTTATCCAGTGGAGCGCTTTGGGCACTTCTGAAAGTGCGTCCCGTCTTACTCAATTCTCGTTCAGATATTGACATTGTTGTTTAGAATCTTTCCTCGCAATCATGTTATTGTCGAATACATTAACCTTGGTACTACTTCTTGTTCTGTGAGGAGGAGCCGCTTTCTACATGTCTCTCCTACTAATGCATCGATTGCATAGACTTATACTACCGTTCCGCCCTTGGTTGGATGGAGCCCGACTCATGCTGCTATTAATTACCCACGTTGGTCTGTGGTCAACTGGCTTCTTGAGCTCGCGTGTACGCGTTTTACTTACCCGTATATGTGCTCAGGCATTGCATCTAGCTTTGTTGTGTGGAACGCAAAATTTACTTGTCCTACCAAAAGTAAGCTCTTCTAGACGATGGATAGTCGTTGCGCTGATTCCAAATTACTTAGCTGCAGATGAAGAAGGGGTCTGCAGACTCCTAAATATTTATATCTTGATTGCAAACTGGATCATTCCTGCTGCCCGTGCGTTTACTTCGATATGGCCAATGGGAATCTAATCATTTTCATATGTAGTTGTGGTATATGCTCTAGGGCTAGCAGTCATGCTGTACAAGCGGCGGAAATTAAGGGCAGCTTCATCCGACCTCGAATCATCTAAGCCTCGCCAAAGCCGTCAATCTATTTTGCCTATAATGAATCCCGAAGACATTACACATTCCAGTATGTCAACGCCACACATCAGTGTCATTAGCCAGCAACGCCGGGAGTCTCTCTGGGGGACCAACGCTTCTTCCAGTCCTCACCATTCGACTGTCGAAAACAAACGCGGTAGTAGTGCAGGAAGGAGTCGACTTTCTAAACCGCTACCGGGTTGGATGTATTATTAACTTCGTCACTTACATCGAGCATGTAACGAATCACTTGGATCAATACCCATCTGTCGCTCAGAAATGTACATACGGGGCTGTTGTTTCTTTAACTTAGAATGTTGCCCGTCAGGACGGTCAATTCTGCCCCCCGTTACCATATGTAGTGCAGTGGTCCACGGTCCACGTGGGAAGGCAAATCCTTCTCAATCTCCTTCATGAGTACATAGAATTCTCCCAGATCCATCCGCTTCTACTCTGATTACTGCCCAACATCTACACGAATATTGAACGACCGTCACGATACAGACCTGTGAATGGCTTTACCTCAATGGGAACTCACTTCTGTCAAGGTCGGTTACAGCATGCGAGTAGAATGTTTACACAGCTCAATATGGTTGCTTCAGGCTCAACTGAGGCTAACTAGCCAAAGGCTCGGACACTTGCAGGAGAAGAACGACTCGAGAGGGAGTATCACTCGACGTGATATTGCGACTTTACTTCAACAAGGCAATGTCGGCCTAGCGCGGGTCAAGGCACAAAATTTGTTCCAGGATGATATACAGGGAGATGTTTTCGAGATGTTGGTAATGCATGTCGGTGTGATTCTGGAGCATATCATGGAGTTGGAACACAAGTGAGTAATCATTAGCCTTTACCGACATGCTATGTCATTTACTTACCCTTACAAAAGGTCTCCTAGTCCGGCCGTAATTGAAGCTGCATCCAGTATCATATATGCTTCTCCTCGTGTAGACTCCAGAGGTCGCCTTCCAACCATTCCATTCCCTCGAATTTCTAACATCCAAGTCTTTAGACCTTCAAGTTGTACGTGAGTTATTGGTCAACCGCATGGGCTCCGACTTTGCGCGCGCTTCCATGGGGAACCGCGACCGATGCGTCTCAGATCGTGTACAAACTGTTCGCATTTCATCCTAAATGCCGGTACTCATCGTCATATATATTAGATTGTGAGAGACCTTACCGCTCCTCCCCCGAACGCTACCCAAATCGACGCGTATCTCTCGAATATCGCAACGGCGTATGGCGTGCAATGGCAGCCAGATCCTCGGCGTCAGGATATGTGAGTGCAAATGTACTCTTCAGTTTCATTTATTTTGATCATTCGTTACGTAGAGTGGGTCCTCTTTCAGAAATTTTGGACCCTCAATCCTCACCTGTCGTCGACGTAGCTGTCCTCCGCAAGCTTTGCGCCCGGGGTGCGAAGATTTGATATCCTACGACAAGGGTTGTACTAACGGGTATCCGTAGGTATACCAGATGAACCTGCTACACTTCGACCTCGAATATGGAGGTGAGTTCATTCCAGGTAACTGTTTTCTCTAGTCACGTCAATGAAATTTCAAGAGTCCTCCTGGGAACACTTCCTGTGCTCAAAGCTTCATGGTCGAAGGAAGCTAGTAAGCAGAGGGAGAATTACTATGTAAGTGTAATAGCCGTTTCACAAAGTTTTCAATGAATTGACATATCGCGTAGGACCTTGTTCGTCGGTTGTTAGCACCATTTGGAGACCTTCCAGATCCGACCACCCCATTATCATCGCTCGACCTTTCTTTAGTCAAAGTCGCCAAACAACTTTCAGGCATCCCTTCTGATCTCTTTGGCGGCCTCCAGGATGAACCGGAATCCTCGAATCTTTGCCCTCTAGATAACTCTGCTCCGGACCGCCTGAAAATCACTTGCTCAAATAATCTCAGTGCCCGTCTTCAAATTATTCAGAAGACACGACATCCCGATTCCTCGCCGTCTATTCCTGAGATAAGATTGGAACCGGATGCTCCGGATGACGCTTCTGAAGTATCTGCAACGGAAAACCGAAACTCTGGACCCACGGTTCTTCACCCTTCCAACGCTTTCGGTGCTCAGGCTCATGAAAGACACGCATCTGCGTTACTCCGTTTGTTGTATTTACATTCTTCGGTTAATCCAGGAAATCTCTCGCCTCATATCCCTGCACTACTTCTTCCTTTGTACTCGGTCTTGAATCAAGAGGTCGAGCCGGATGATCTCGCTCACGTAGAAGCTGACACTTTTTGGTTATTCGAAACAATGGTTGGCGAATTTTCTGAATTGGAAGATGAAGAAGGTGGGAATATGTGGATGCACAAGTTCAGCGAGCGTCTAAATTGGGCTGATAGTGATTTGCGCGACAATCTGGTACCTTCTTCTTCTTTTCAGTCGGTTTAGCCTCACCTTGTTTACCAGTTTTCGAAAGGTCTCGACCCTGCTTTGCCACATTATTCATAGTGCGTGCGCAATTCTTGACTTACGCCCAGTTGCCAACTGGTTTCTTCGCAGTCGATGGCTGGCCCCTCTTCTTACTCAAACATTACCGGTTTCATCAGTAATCATCGTCTGGGATGCCCTCTTTGCCTGCCAGATGCGTGACCGACAAAATTTTAAGCTGGAATTTCTTGTCGACGTATGCACAGCAATGCTTCTTCGTGCAAGGGCTGCTCTCCTCAGGTGCATTCTTTTTTCCCGTCCCCAAGTTACGTTATTCATCCTTATCCTAGACTCGGCAAAAGCGAGCTCAAGTCGCCCAGTTTGTGGACAGATGAGGCGGCTGGCGTCCCTCCGCCATCACCCTTGCGCCCTTGGGAATTGAGTGATGCATTTTTACAAGGGATGGCGCTGCTACAACATTATCCAATTCAAGTAGCGGGTGGCATCGACAGTGTTTTGCAAACGGCTTCTGAGCTTCGGCATCGCCGTGAGGATGAAGCTAAACTTGCTGCGATAAATCCTCTCACATTTGGAGACCGCTTGCGCCTGTCAGTGTGGAAGGGATTCACAAACCAGCAGGCCTCCCCAGAACGATCTCCGTCTCCCTCCGAGCTATCAGAGGACGATCAGGATGCCTCGGGAAATGACACAGAAACACAGCAATTGATTATTGATTCTGGCCTAACTTCACGATTAGCCACAACAGTGTGGAAAGGGATTACAAACCAAACTGCCATGGAACCTCCTCCATCTCCTTTAAGCCCTCTCACTCCCTCTCACTCTCCCAGCCGAGACACACGCACGTCTCCCGCGATATTTATCGACGATACTTCAGAAAGCAACATTGAGCTGGGCAGCAATGAATCCAAATTAACCAGCCGATTGGCAGCCACAATATGGAGAGGGATTACAAATCAGACGGTGATGGAACCTCCTCCGAGTCCCCTCGCGCGTAGCAGATCTTCGTCGCATTCTGTTCCGCATACACCATCATCCCCGTCTATAGTCGTTACAGAATCCGAGCCGACCGCTTCAACTTCCAAAGGCTGGCCGTCATCTACTAGTCTCTGGAATTACGCTGAGAAGCTCAAAGAGTCTAATGCGGCTGCTACGTTCTCCAAAGTTAGTAGCAATTGGCAAGCGAAAGCCCTTGCTAGTTCATGGAGTACACGGAAAAGTGACACCACTGAAAATCACCCAGTACACCCGCACTCGGTCGACCCTCTTCGCCACTCGGACCCACATCAGGATTCTTGGTTCAAGTCAACCGAAACCCGACGAATATCAGTTCCAGACCCTGACAGATCAAAAGTCTACTCTCCCCCAGCTCGACCAGTGTTCTTCAAACCTCCGCGGGATACGATGGTGTTTCATGGGAACGGCCCCGTTGTTGATGTTCCTAGTAGTCCCGAATTGTCACCGTCCTCTGAAGGGGGTCTTATGCAGAAGACCAGGAATCTGCAGGCCTCCCTGGCTGCATTGACGCGTAGCTCTGAGACCACTCCTATTGTCCCCGCCACACCGCAACCTAGACCCAAGTCAGGTCCGCGGCCTTTGCTGTTAGGCTCAACATCTATCATAACACCCCGTGGCGAGCGACCCATTTCAAGATCAGAAAACAGTACTCCTCTCAATGGTCCCACGCAGTGGAATGAAGTGATGCAAACCCGCAACAAACACCCAGTCCATCGGGATTCTCTATCCTCAGTTTCTTCGTTGTCGCCCTCTGACGCACTCGCGCGAAATAGATCAGAGTATGATTCAGACAGCCCCGCGCCTGTAAGTAGGAAAGTTGCTTTGAATCGAAAATCTATTTCTCCCATGGCTCCCCACGCAAGGACCGGCTCTATCCCCGCAGGTTCTAATCTTCCTCCGGTACCTCATTTCAGGACAGGGTCCACCTCACATCTCTCGTTATCGTCCTCTTCAGGATCTTCTGCTGCACTAGCTAGCCCAATCGTAGTGTCTCCTCTAAGATCTCCAGGATGGGGACAAGTTTATCTGCCAGATTCGCCGCCTGCAGCACTAGATGGATTACATATGCGCTCGCCCTCTCTGGCAAGCTCCATACAGACCATTATTCCCGAAGAGCATCCGTTGGAGAAGACACAGTCAGCTGATGAAATGCCCTTGGAACCACCCTTACAATCACGAAAGCTTATGCGCAAGAAAACCCCTCCACCTCCGGGTGATACCTCCGACTCGTCTGTCCCAGAGATTCCGAGAAGGAACAACCGTGTGCGCACCAAACGCAACGTTCGACCTCCAAATCTCCGCTTGCAGCAGCAGCCACAGACGATAGTCCCCGAACGTATCATTACCGCTAGTCCCAACTCGCTTGCGGTGGAGTGGCCTCACGATGAACAAGAGCTAGCTACTACACCAAAAGCGTCTAGCTTTTCTGATGTGAACAACTCGACTTCCCCACGATCCGCTCGAAAGGTCCGAAAGGTATCTGCTGAGGGTCGAAGTCCTACTCGCCAACGTAAAACGTCGGGGGAAGGACAGGAGTCTCGCCCGAGAAAGATTTCCACCGAGGCCCGTACAAGAAAAGTGTCAGATGTGAAAAAGTATCGTGATAGTGCTGCGGACATGGGTGACGACGAGGGTTATGATGAACTTTTGAGTGCCTACAGTGAGAGCGAAGGCAGCTCTCGACCTATCTTGTCAGACAACTGATGAATGTTATCGACGATTGTTCTATTTATTTACTGCTTTCGTATACATACACATGCATCATCTAATTGCTATGGAGGTCGTGAAGACAATGACATTTGTAATGCAACGAATTCGCGTAAGTCTCGATAAACCTGCAAAAGAATGGGAAAATGGGGGAGGATGTTCTTTTCTGGTTGAGGAAGCATTTTATGGAAGGATGAGAGTATTTACCGGGAAGCAAACTTCAAGTCCAACACTGCCTGTAGCTCCCTCTTTTAAAGCGACCAAGTAGTAGCGGATATCCCACCTCTTGATTCCCTCATTTATGACAACGTCCCTTAGAATAGTATATGGTACGAAGCGTCTAGTAATGAATAGTGTGAGCGGCGGTAGCCCTTTATGAGTCTCAAGTTGAACTCCGTGTTCAGGGAGGACGATGACGGACTCTACATTCAAATGAGTACCAGTGTGAGGGGAAAAGCGTGATTTCACAGACCGTGAATAACTTGTGTACAACGCGTCCACACAAAGAAGATAGTGGCCAATAATATGAGGGTGCGAGTGAAAGATCCAGTCTAGTTCATCGAACAGAAATTAGGAGGATTAAACGAAGGGAAAGGCATTTGGGTGCACTTTAGGCCACGAAATGGATATTATGAGTGGGATTATCGAATGTTTCCATGACCAAGGAGAAGCATGGCGAATGACAGAACCACTCCCATCTCGTGCAAGATGCCAATTTTCAACTCGATATTCGTGAAAGTAGTCTGTGCGGAGGATAGAGAATTCAGGATTTGTTTGCAGTGGGTGGAGACGCTGCATGAGCGAAAAGCAAGCCGGAAATTCCGGACCGCAGTGATCTCACTGACTGCCTCTCGGATGTGTGTGTACAGGGTTTTTTTAGCATTCTCAATCTAAGTAGCATATTTAATCCATGCGAAAGATTGAGTGAAGGATAGTTCGAAATTATATACAAAACAATATTTGGTTGAAACCAAGAGCCATAATTATCAAAGTTGCCTTGTAATTCCAGAAATCTTATCTTCTGCATCTCTCAACCCCTGCACAAAGCCTTGTCGAAAGGAGCCTCCTTCCGGCCCCCAAGAATCACCAGACCCACTTATCCCAGTCCAAAGATACTGACCAAGGAAGCCCAGCCTTGACCCTCCATATAACGCGAATTTCTGCGCAGTAATAAATCCTTCCTGATATCCATTCTGGTAGTCTTTCATCTCTGGGGACAGCGTTGACGTAAACGAAGTTGTATTTTGTCCCGAAAACTGTCGACGGTGTGCTATTGCGTGGCTACGATGGCGGTATCTCGATGGGGATGCTTCACTTGATATAGAAAAGGTATTATCTCTGCGAGGGACCAAGTTACCAGCCGTTAAAGTGACTATTTCTGGCTCGAGCAGTTGGATCATATGGTATTGCTCCGAAGTAATAGGTCCAGAACCGTAAGAGAAGAACGACGAAGGGAGCGAGTTGTTAACAGCATTGAGGAAACACCAGTCAGGATCACAATCTTCCTTCTTGTACGCTGAAGTTTGTATGTTTTTTCATCTGGGGAAACAAGTCGAAAATGTAGAAGACGTACACCAAAAACTGTTTCCTGGAGTGTCCCGGGTGTAGGCAACATACTGAGCCGTACAAAAATCACGTCGAGCTTGCTGAGGGTCTGACTCGTTCTTCAAACTGTCGGGAGTGAGCGCACAAGACCATTCTCCAATGATGAGGTTGTGCAGTAAAGTGTCATTAGCACTAGCAAGTTGAGAAGTAACTGTAGTTTGGACGTCGGTCGTGTGATTTTCTGCAGGTTCGGCGTCGTCTTGAGGCGTATACACGTAGTAGGAATGATGATCTTGAACACTGAAATCGGGAACTTTGGCGGAAACGTAATCTTTGAAACGATCCAAGTCGAAAGCGTCATGAAGATAGACAGGAAAATCTGGCAGAGAACATGCACTTCTGATGACATTAGTAGCGAGAGTGTCTAAGCGCAAGTTCAGCAGGATGGTTTAACTCATCAGATACCCAGTACTCGCAGAAATCGGTAAGCTCAGAACAATCTTCCGGTTCATTTAATATCTGGACGCCGGCTACATTGGAAACGAAGCACAGTTCCGTTGCGAGATATTGAACAACTTGCAGAGTCTTCTCTTGATACGTGGAGTTGGCGCACAGATTCGCCTTTCCATCTGATATACCCGAGTGAGGCTATAGGCCATGGATAATGAATACTAATGAATACTTAGGGGAATGTCTTCGACGTCATATCCACTTACTTGACCATTTTGGCTTCCCGGAGCTCCGTGCAAGTCTACGATAACGGCGATATTCGACGCTTCAGCCATGTTGATAGCACGAACGACATGAGGCCATGCATTCTCGTAGACAGACGAAAGGTTTGCAAAGGGAGTGTCTTGAACAAAGTTCGGACCAAGAGACCAGTAACCGATGGGAAGTCGTACGGTGTTGATACCAATGCTCGCAAGATAGTTGAAGTCTTGCTGTGTGATGAAAGTATCCCAATGCTTTTCAAGTATAGCTTGAGGATTACATCCGCCGTTAGCTATATCGATTTCTGCAATTTTGGGCTCTGCTGCACATTCGAAAATGGAAGGAACCATCCATTGCTCTTGAACAAACCTACAGCAATTTTAATGTACGTCTACGCGAGATGTGTATTTGTGCTCACCAAGAACCAAGGTTTACTGACTGCTGCTGGCGATACCGAAAGACTGATGCGCGTACTGGGTCATATGGAGCAAAAGGCTCGGCAGAAATATAAGGCGTTTGATAGTCAGATTGAAGTGCGGATATGTTTTGGCACAAGACTCGAAGAGCAAAGAGAGGGAAGAGAATAAATGTAAACATATTGAAGCGGAGCCAGCCGCAGTGAACCAAAGTCAAAGTGAAAGTAGTAGAAGAGGGGAATGCGCGGGAAAATCCGACATGGCTCTTGCTCTCATTCGGCATATCCGACTGCTATTCACAGACTTCAGATACTTCTGGGTGTTAGCCCTTCTTGTAGTCATTGGAGATGCCATTCTCTCAGAACTTATCATTCATTTCATCTCTTGTAAGTCGCCTGATAATCGGAGAGTCTTGTACAATTTCTTATCCAAGAATCATTTACAGACACAGAAATCGACTGGGAGACTTACATGATCCAAGTCGAACTGTATCTTAAAGGTGAACGAGATTACTCAAAGATTTCTGGCCCTACAGGTCCCCTTGTGTAAATCATCTTTATCTTCAGTGAGACCTGGAACATGGGTGCTGAGATCGTCTATAGCTACCCCGCTGGCCACGTGTACATCTTCCGCTTCCTTCATGGCATCACAGACTCAGGGAAGAACATACGATTCGCACAACATCTATACGCGCTGCTCTACGTCTTATCCGTCGCTTTCACTGCTGCCATTTATGGCAAAGCAGGGAACATCCCAAACTGGTTGTTATTGATCCTTCCACTTAGTAAACGCCTCCATTCTCTTTATATATTACGTCTCTTCAACGACTGTTGGTCTGTTGTTGCTGTTCAGGCCGCGATATTAGCAATTCAGAATGATATGGACGATATCGGCACGCTCATTTTCAGGTATGTGCGCGACGTGGATTCCGTAGACCTCATTTTCATCCGTACCTCAGTGTTGCTCTGTCCGTGAAGATGTCAATTTTACTCTACTTGCCTGGATTATTGGTCATCTTAGTGAAGCGGAACGGCCTTGTGTACACTTTACGCAAGACGTTGAATATATTGGGAATCCAAACGATGCTGGCCTACCCCTTCATTCACAAGGATTGGCGTGCATACGTCAATGCTGCCTTTGACTTTTCTCGTGTGTTTCTTTACAAGTGGACGGTCAATTGGCGTATGGTGCCGGAAGACACGTTTCTAAGCCAAGGATGGGCAAAGGGACTTCTGATTGGACACCTATCAGTGTTGATCATTTTCGGGCTCACGCGATGGTGCAAAAAGGATGGCGGAGTATGGGTCGTCTTGGATCGCGCTCTTCGTCGACCAACTCTTCCCGCCGGGGTTGCGCCAGTCACTCCTGATTGTAAGCTACCATTTCCTACAGACTAAAGACATACTTCATACTTTCGCATAGATGTCGCCACCACAATGTTCACTTCCAACCTAATTGGACTCATATTTGCCAGATCATTGCACTATCAGTTCTACTCGTGGTACGCTCAACAAATACCTTTTCTAATTTTCAGAACCAGATACCCGATGCTCTTAAAGTGTGTCCCCTGTCTTTTTTTCGATCTTTGTTCGCTGAGAATACCTCAGGCTACTACTCATCGGAGTGATAGAATATGCATGGAACGTATACCCATCTACTATAGTATCATCTTCCGCACTATTGGGAGCAAATGTGATTACATTAGCTGGCGTTTGGTCTGTTACTGCCTGACCATCACACAAAATTTCACCGTCGCCCTCCTCTTGACGCCCGTTTTCGGGTTGGCATTCCAGCCTCAACCACATCGTCATCTCTGTCCCTGTCATCTCGTCGACCACCCTCGCCACCCCTCTTACGTTTCTTGCCACTATTTTGTTGCTCCTTGAGCTCATTTGCAGCGACACGACAGGCTTCATTTGCTCTTTCCCTCAGTAAAGCTATTTCCTCCTTATCGGTCTCCCATAATTCCATCTTCTTCCCTATGACCTTTTCGATTCGTTGTATGAGCTCCACGTCGTATTGTGTCACGAGGGTGATGGATTTTCCTGCTCGACCTGCTCGGGCTGTGCGACCAACACGATGAATGTAATCTTTTGAGTGCGTTGGGATATCAAAGTTGATAACTATGTCCACTGAAGGTATATCCAAACCTCTAAATGAAATAATCAGACTTAGGCAAATTATGTTCGAATAGACTACACTCACCGACTGGCGACATCAGTGGCGACAAGCACTCGTTGGCCACCACTTTTGAATTTATTCAAAGAACCTAATCTTTGGCTTTGACTGAGCTGCCCATGAAGAGGGATAGCCGGGAAGCCCAATGTACGCAGGATGATCGAAAGTCTATCAGATCTGTGAGCAACTGAAGCAGAGTATTTCTGGAATACCACACCTTGCAGCATCGTGAACGGTTCTTGTGAAGATAATGATAGAGTTTTGAGCTAGTGTGTTGGCCAGGTAGATCAAATAAGTATCCTTCTCTTTTTGCGGCATTAGACAGTAGTATTGAAGCAGAGTCGAAACAGTTTGGTATCTGTAACAATTTTTAGTTGTGCTTAGCGAAACGGGATGGACATAAAGCTCACTTAGACGATACTTCCACCCGGACGGGATTTGACAAACTTGCTCGTTGTAGTTTTGCGACTTTTGTAGACATTGTAGCAGAGAATAAGTATGTCGACCTTTCTTTCGGTATGACTTTGAGAATCTTGTCGATTACTGGACCAAAGTCCATGTCAAGCAATCTATCAGCTTCATCTAATACCTGCAATCAAGTTGTTATATATCGTTATAGATCTGGGACCAAATGTACGCACCAAGTATTTGAGATTCCGCAAGCTGAATCCTTTCGTATTCTCCAAGTGATCATTCAGTCGTCCAGGGGTTGCTACAATGATATGTGGCTTTTTGGCAAGCGCGACAGCTTGAGCAGTGATTTCCATTCCTCCTACAATCACTGCACATCGTACGCCCATCGCAGATCCCAATGCTTCAAATTGTTGAGATATTTGATATGCCAACTCGCGAGTGGGAGCAAGCACGCAAGCAAAAAGTCCTTTTGGTTCATCCCAGAGTTTTTGCAGTATAGGAAGGGCAAAGGCGGCGGTTTTTCCTGAACCAGTAGAAGCGACACCGATGATATCTCTTCCTTCCAGTGCATAGGGGATGGATTGCTGCTGGATTTCAGTTGGCTCAGTAAACTTGAGTTGTTCGAGAGCTTCGAGGAGGGGCTTTATTAGACCTAGAGAGGAGAAAGAGACAGGATCCGTAGATGTGCTTGCTTCTTCTGGTAAAGGCATAGTGCGGCTTCAAAAAGAGGAAATTGGAAAGAAATTGAACTTAGGCGCCCTAACTCAAACCAATTTGGAATGTTTATTCCCACCGGTCGACGCGTCATTCAGATGCACCGCGTATCTGCGCTTTGCACTTTTGTTTTCTACTTGCACCATGGATGAAATTGGGATTGAGATACAGAAACATGTACGCTGGTCAAAATTGATTGACATGCTATATTCTTCTCATATTGCCCTTCAGGAACCGACTTTCGAGTCTGTCGTAACGGAGAAGACTGCTTTGTTTCAGGAGTTACAGGAGGAGGATTTGTACACCAAGTACAAAAAGTTATCGCGTCATCTAGAACTCTTAGAAATCCAAGAAGGGTACATCAAAGATGAACAGGCCAACCTCAAGCGTGAACTCATTCGTGCGCAGGAAGAAGTGAAACGAATTCAATCTGTTCCTCTGGTTATCGGTCAATTCCTTGAAGCAATCGACCAGCACACTGGTATTGTTGGCTCTACAACTGGATCAAACTATGTTGTCCGAATTCTCTCTACCCTCGACCGCGAACTACTCAAACCATCCTCCTCCGTCGCTCTTCACCGTCATTCAAACGCCCTTGTAGATATCCTACCACCAGAGGCCGACTCTTCGATCTCAATGCTAGGTGCATCAGAGAAGCCTGATGTGACATATCAGGACGTGGGTGGAATGGACACTCAGAAACAGGAAATCAGAGAGGCAGTTGAATTGCCTTTAACGCATTTTGATTTATACAAGAAAATCGGTATCGACCCTCCTCGTGGTGTTCTACTATACGGGCCTCCTGGTATATTGTCTTAGTTATACATGAAATTGTCGTCTCACCGAAGGCTATGCTTTTAGGCACTGGAAAAACTATGCTAGTTAAAGCCGTCGCCCACCATACGACCGCATCCTTCATCCGGGTCGTCGGTAGTGAATTTGTCCAGAAATACCTAGGTGAAGGGCCTCGTATGGTCCGAGACGTCTTCCGTCTTGCGCGAGAAAATTCCCCTGCGATCATTTTCATCGACGAGATTGATGCCATTGCTACAAAACGTTTCGACGCTCAGACGGGTGCGGATCGTGAAGTACAGCGAATTCTTATCGAATTGCTTACTCAGATGGATGGTTTCGACCAGGGCAGCACTGTGAAGGTAACTCGTTATTTCTGCTTCTTCCCGTGTCGATTCACTTACTTACGCTTGAACTACAGGTTATCATGGCCACAAACCGCGCAGACACGCTTGATCCTGCCCTCATGCGCCCGGGTCGCTTAGACAGAAAAATAGAATTTCCTCTTCCATCTAGACGAGAGAAGCGACTTATTTTCCAAACTACAACAACCAAAATGAACTTGGGTCCTGATGTAGATTTGGAAGACTGTCAGTTGGATTCTCTAGACTTTAGCACATTCATTGACAATTTTATCTAGATGTTTCGCGACCTGATAGATTGTCTTCCGCAGATATTGCTTCCATCGTACAAGCTGCTGGTCTGCAAGGTCTGTGTCTCTTTTGCGTTTCTCGTGTGATAGCTCATCGTACTTTCAGCTGTTCGCAAGAATCGTTACGTGATTTTGCCGGTCGATTTTGAAGAAGCGTGGAAAGTTCGTTGTTTGGTTATGCTTGGCGATATAAAAAATTCTAATGTCGTTTTCTTTTCTTCAGCAAACGGTCAAGAAATCAAACGAGACCCACGAGTTTTGTACGCTGATTGCTCTTTTCCTTGTTATCAACGACTCAGCTTGTTCTCTTTCTAGACCGGTAATTCTTCTGGATTTCCTCTATCATCGTTGTATATGGTGAGTGCCCTCTTGTCGTTCATTTACCCTTAGATCTGACGCGTTTTTTCTTAGTTGTCTTTTTAATCTGAGAATACATCGAATTCGACCATCTGAGACGAGTAAATACTATAAAATTGAAAGAAAGCTCGAACTTCACTTTGGCTTCTCTTCGATATTCTCCACGAAGGGGTGTCCATTCTTCAGAGCAATATCGAAATCCCTAGTGTCACTATGTCGGTTTTGCTTCTCGATTTCATCTAGAAATCCTGTGAGTAGGACCACTGCCGAGAACTGGGGGATATTCTGTAGTCAGTTGAGTGGCGATATGATATGTTGTAAATTTTGTGAGTATTTCAACTATTTTGTCGTCCCCTACTAATAATTACTAGGTTGTGTACAATGTAGACCTCAATAAATCCCTCGGGTTTTGTTACATTTCTTGATTCGATTGACTTTGCCTGCTATCGCTCTTCAACACTCTGGACGGCGTCATGAAATATACACGCGCGTTCTCATTTTATGGGAGCTAGATGAATGTGCACACATTACTTATTTGTATGTTTCCCCTGTTGTTAACAGTACCTTTGTATATTGTAGAGGTTCTGAAGATCTTTGGGGTACATTTCTTTGTTTGCAATGCAATAATCGAGTCTATTATTATTGGCTGAACCTTTTTTTCTATGATATAATCCAAGGCCAAAATGCAATCCCACAGGTCAGAGGATCCGAGTGAGCAATATTAATGAACTGTTGAAAGCCATGACGGCGCTACTATTGGAGGATGGGTAAGTTCGTGGGTCTCAGACTCTTATGAATAGTTTCGTTCAACACGCACCTTACGCGACATTCTCTGAATTCCAGGATAACGACGTGAAATGCTCCCTATATCAAGCGGTATAGAAGTGTCCCTTCCGAATGTCTCGTTCTGCTGGGGTGGATCCGAGGTCGGAGGCGAGGGTGGACGATAGAGATCGCTGCAAGTTTTATCTATCGCTGTGACTCTACGACCCGAAGGAACTTCAAGGTCGCGTGGGGCGTCACCAACAGACAATGCGGACACTTGCGGAGAAGGATAAGGATTAGAGATTTTACGTGCTGGGGTGACAGGACTTTTGTGTGCGCGACCTCCTAATAGAACCATTGTGATATGATGTTGTACGTTCGAATGCTCGGGAGATGCGCAGAGATCGTGATCGTCATGTTCGAAATTCCGGGCTTGGACAGAGGTGTAATTTAGATCAATTGCGTCCTCAACAATTTTTGGTGGAGGACTTCGAGTTTCGTCCTCGGAAAGAGACCGCGACTTTGAGTCTAGGGGCGGGGGTAAAAAGGTTATCACTCTCCGTGAAGACTCAGCAGACATCCCTGTCTTCTTTCCCTTGCCGAGGTCCATCCCTAGGCTGCCTAGTGTAAACTTTGAAGACGTGCGTATTCCAAATTCATTCTCTCTAAATTGTGGAGTCTCAATGAGGAACAAATAGTTTCGAAGGTGTCAACTTGCCTGGACGGTTTCATTTTCTTCTTCGCCGGTTCTAGTGTCCCCCATTCTTCACCTTCACCCATGGGTAACGAGTCGTACGGATTGGGTTTAAGGTTGGTTCGAGCACTTCGCGAGGTCGTGTCCCTATGTTTCTTCGCTGACGCGATTTTGCGGGCTGGTAAACGCGAGGATCGTGGAGATAGAATCGGAGAGTGCCTGATAAAATTTGTCCGATGCTTTAGATTATTCGAGTTCAAAGTTTGGTTTGGGACCTGTACTTGTAGTGGTCGATTCGGTGGAGTGGTAGTCATATGTGCACGTAGCGGGCTGTACGTGAATGCCGGATCGTGAATTTCCGAATAGATATTGTCTTGGGGACGGAGCGGGTATATTGAAGCAGGTGCAGGAAATTTCGTTGAATCAACACAGGAATGAGCATGCGAGATAGCCAGAGCATTAGGTGGATGATATGATGAGCTCGAATGAGGAAGTGGTGCATGCAATTCGAGTCGGTGAGATGGAGCAACAGGAGAGGAAGCATGGCCTCGATTCAAATGAGATTTCAAATTGGCGATGCTAGCAACAGGTCTAATTGGCGATGAGAAGGTACCGGAATTCTGACGAAAACGGGGTGCATGTGAACCAGGAGCTATATGGGGGAATATATGCGCCACTGGATACTTATTATGGCCATTGTTCTTTGCGTCAGAGAGATTTGGTATTGAGCTGGGAAGACTCGAAGGGGTATTGTCGTTTTGAGACTTGACCAAATGATGATTAAGTGGTGTAGCTGGTTTATCAATGTCGATATCATTGGAGGTAGACGGGGCGACTAATTTGGACTTTTGAGCTTGAAGCCTGAAGCAATCGATTATAGTTCCCTTCGCCAATCCAGACTTCGATGTCAGCAGCAGATCCGGTTTGGGAGCAGAAGAAATAAACTTTTGAGCACGAGATGCAGCGTTGATTCTGGCGATGTTGAATGGATTTGGCTTGTAAATAACGGTCTCTTCTCTAGTGGAGAGGTCAAAGTCATTGAGCAGTTTGGTCTCGTCAAAAGCAGGAGCAATATTCGAAGAAGCATCTCCAGAGTCGGAGTCAGAGTCAGAGTCAGAGAAGTCCAAATTGTGATTGCGAAGGTTGAAGGACCAAGCATCAGCCGCGGATGGCATAGTGGTGGTGGTGGGTCATCAAATTCAAAAACGAGAGCCTGAGAGCTGCATAATTTCCGTTTATGGTCTTTACACATGACTCTGTACTAACTGACGGCGCGCACTCGACTTATGTAGCCCTTTCATTTCTGTGTAAGTCAGGCTGACGATGGCATGATGATCATACTAAGTGTTGCAGTTGTCCAAGTACTAGACCTGTCCATCTACATCTCAACTCCCTCCGGTAAGGGGGACAGCCATTTTTGCTTGAGGTTGTTGGCCCTCACAAAGTTTCGTGTGCCGCCTCGCTCGCAACTCCGACCTTGTCTCTCAAGAAACGGAGGGTTCGAAGCACCCGAACAAACCATTGTAGCACTGAACTGGACCGCTATAATAGATGTGATGACCAGCAGTGAACCATTTTGCTGTTTCAGCAAAGAGAGATGATCATCCATAACAATCTCTTTGTAGTGTTTATCATTCAATTCATCAGCGTAAGTGCCATTTGGATCTTTTGATATGATGGCCTTGTTCAGAGGCAGCGGAGTTCTGATCATCGCCTTTTCACAGTGAAAAACCCACCTGGATATCAGGCCAGTATCAGGCTCACAATCCTCTGGGATCCCTCGTCTCGAAGATATTGGGTGTAACATTACGCTGGTCTCACAATGGATAAAATTCTACTCAGGTGCGCATATATCAAATGGTTCACACAAACATTGATTTCACTATCTATGGAAGCATTTTCGCAATGCTTCTGTATGGACCGTTGAAGTCCGCCTGCCTTATTTTCGATGTGTCCTCACCCGTACTCAATGATACAAACCTCGAATTCATGGTGAACTTCACTCGAAATTCCACAGATCCATCTGAATGGGGAGTGTGGGCTTTTGTGGAGAAATTTCAGGACAATACCCTTTCTCCCGACTTTCTGGACTTGGTCCCGGTTATGGTGTATAATCAAAGTCAACTATCCGGATTTTTATTGTTGCATCCCAATTTCGTCGAAACGTGTGTTCTAGTCAAAAGAAAATCTCTTTTTGGGCTAACTAATTGTTCTAGAAATGTCACACTTCAAGCATTCACGTTCAATTCCACCAAGTAAGTTATTTTGGTAAGTTATTTCGGTGAAGCGCTGAAAACCTAGGAAAATGTTGATGCCGTTTGGAAACAAATCGAGTACCTTTCTATTGCCAGCAGCGCCAACAATAATAACCACTGTAACAAGAGTTCCTGCGTTTGAATCGACCAGGTACGTTCAAGTCTGCTTGTACTTTACATAGACTAATTATTAGTTTGACCGAGAGTAGTGCATTTTCCACTGTCTTTTCTTCGACTCTAACTTCTTCGACTCTGTCAAGTCCCTGTGGTTCCAATCGAACGATCGGCGCCGTCAGTGGTGGCTCATCAACTCACACGAATGTGATTGTTGGTGCCACAATCGGATCGTTTGCCTTCGCTCTATTGACTTTGGCACTTTTGACTATATGGTTACGAAGACGTCGAAAAATCGCACCTTCGGAGTTTTTCGGAGATAAAATGGTTCGAGCACCATACTCATATTCGGAAGGCTTTGGCCTCAAACATCATTCAAACGATGGTGCTGAAAACGCCCGAAGTTGAGAAAAGGAGGTAGCCTGCTGAGTACGGAAATTGGATAAAGACCGTGGATCCTATTTCAGTAGAACCAAAGGTTCAGAGTTTGTGCATGGTCAAGGTATGCATATCTGCGCGCACTTGTATTCGATATGAAGTTTCTTTTTCCTTGTGTTAAGTGAATAACCGATACAACTACGTATTATACTTGATTCACTACTGCCGCTTGTTCGGTTGTCCCAGTTCGCTAGCCCGGTCGGTCGCAACTTGGATACAACGAGCTATCGTTGATCTAACCTTCCCATCTTCCAATGCGAGTAATCCTGCGATTGTGCATCCCCCGGGTGCTGAGGCGTAAAATGTTAGCTAGACTAAGATGATTTCTGAGAAATATTATTGCATACTTGTAACCGCATCTCTTATTTGCGCAGGATGTTGTCCAGCCTGAAGCACCATGCGAGCAGCACCTTGTAAAGCTAGCACAGGATGAATATAAACCAAAATTCACGCCAAGAGAACTCACTCTGCGCAGCCAGCTCTAAGGCTTCCGCACGAGGAAGGCCCATCATTACGCCTCCGTCTGCCATAGCTTCAAGAAAGATGCAAGCAAAAGCAGGGCCAGATCCAGACAGTGCTGTACACGCATCAAAGTGTTTTTCATCCAGAAATCGACAACGGCCAATAGAGGAAAATATTTTTAAGATGATAGCGCCATCGGTTTCCTCGCTTGGAGAACTAGGAATTGTTGATACCACCGTCATGCCTTCGCGGATCTGAAGGAGATTTCAAATTTAGACAAAGGAAAAGGCGAACGGAGATACCTTGCAAGGTGTATTAGGCATTGCTCGAATGACTTTTGTAGATGGAAAGACCCAGTCTGATAGCTGAGAGATTGTTACACCGGCAAGTATGCTGATGAGCAGCTTTCCGTCCAAAGCTTCCTTCATGCCGGGCTCGGATAAGATAGAATGCGCCAACTGCGGTTTACAGCTGCATGAACGCGTTTGAGCTAAGATCTCAAATATATAGCCAGATTAGACGCACCATAAAATGACAACGTCGGATTGCTGTGCGGCTTGTACATTTTGCGAGACGAATATCTCTATATTTTGAGCCAAGACTCCCATTGAGGCAAAAACACCTTTGAGCTTGACCGCGCTAACCTCTCGCTGCACACACGCAAGAAAGCGAGAAGGTGATGTTTGATCACTCGGCGATCCCGTTGGCGTCAGTGTTCCAGGTGTATGCGACTCCCACTTTTCGAGGTTATATGGGATACGAGATACGTCCAGACTGTCAATGACTCCAGAAATGATGGCGATGCCCATGGTTCCGCATCCTGTTATTTAGTGAATCATTAATCGGTTTCTACCAGTAGACCAAAGTGGTATTACCTAGAACACAGAGTGTGTAGCCCATCGCAAGTCTAAGTTGAAGTCAATCAAGATGATGAAGTGAAAGAAAGTCGCACAGTTATGACCTGACTCATGCTCGCGTTCATCACCGTTGGCTCAACGCGTTTCGACGGACTCATTAAATCCGTTTTTTCTCCCTCCGTGTTGGCTAGTCTCTCGAACAAGGGGTACACTAACATAGTTGTCCAATGTGGCAATTCAGATTTTCCATATGTCCATTTACTGGCTCATGGAGAAGAATCGTTCCAGCTGGAGAAAGATGGCGTGACGATAGAGTGCTGGAAATTCAAGCCTTCGTTACAGACAAATTGCGAAAGAGCTGACTTGGTGATTAGCCATGCTGGTACGAGTTTGAAATGAGAATAAATGATGAAAAAAATAAAACAGTAAACATCAAGGTTCTGGGACAATCGTCGACGTGCTCCGCATGGACAAGCCTCTGATTGTTGTTCCCAACCCTACACTAGCAGATAATCATCAACAAGAACTTGCTACAGCGCTGGAGAAATTGGGTCATTTGCGGTCTTCCACGACATCGTGAGTTGCTCCTCCACTTCAAGGAAGAGAATCCAGCGCTCATTTCTGCAGACAATTGGCTAATACAATTCAAGAATTCGATGCTTCATCTCTGACAAAGTTTCCGCCTTTCGATGGTAGTAGATTTCGGAAACTGTTAGATGAAGAAATGGGCTTTTTCTGAAACTATATTTCTTACTGTAACCACCATCATCCAATATCATCTCACATGGCCCCTCGGAGTGTAACATCTGCTACTATCTCTGAAGATCCTCTGGCGTATGAAGACAAACACGTACATTCAGTCTACGAACAGATCGCACCCCATTTCTCTTCTACTCGATATAAAGTGAAGCAAGTTGTATCCTCCCACACGCGTCTCTTCAACTAATGCTCAACATCAGCCGTGGCCCGTGATAGCTGCGTTCTTATCTAATATCCCACCTGGATGGGTTGGCCTTGATTCTGGTACTGGGAACGGAAAGTATCTTCCTCTCCCAGCTGACAATCCCAGCCGAGTTTGGACGGTCGGCTTAGATCACAGTTTGAATCTTTTGAAAATCGCAAGAAATGCTGGGGGAGTATACCGGGAAGTTGTACAGGGGAATGTTTTAGATCAACCCTGGAGGAAGGCCTCGTTTGTACGGCGTATCTTTCACATCTACATTGGATCTAGGCTGACACTTTAGCTGCTGCAGGACTACGCAATTTCAATCGCCACTATTCATCATTTAGCAACGTATGAACGGCGAAAACAAGCCATCCAGGTTGGGCGCTCCAATCTGAATGATATCGTTTTGATGACTTCGATACAGCGACTTCTGCTAGCAGTCTCACCATCGCATGGCCGTATTTTGATATACGTTTGGGCCGTTGAGCAGGACGATCTATCCAAAAGACAAATACCTGTCGTCGATGATCCTCATTCTGTCGGGCAACCTGGAAAAGATGTTTTCGTGCCGTGGGTATTATCCTCCAGTGCTGACTCAGAAAAATTGCAAGCAGAGCAGGTTTTCAATCGATATTACCACATGTTTGCTAAAGGAGAGTTAGAGCGGCTTGTGTCCGAGGCAGCGAAGGAATTGGGATTACATGTTGGGTTGAAGAGTGAAAGTGCAGGTGCTCGTAGGGGAATTGACTTCGAGCAGGACGGCTGGGAGAGATCAAATCATTACGTTGAGTTGCGTTGTTGGGCTGTATAACAGTCATTTGTAACTTCTTTTCTTCGAATGCATTCACCGTTTTCGACATAAATACCCTGAAGACACAAGTGGTACGTGTATACTTACTACCTACATATGTTAGTACTCAGCAGATGTCAACTGGGTATTGATAAACTCCCCATGAATTCTACTGCGTCTTCAAATAAGCTGCTACAGGAACATAAGAGCCTGATACGATATCAGTAATGAAATCAACCCCCTCGGGCTTCCAACCCAAGAGTTCTTTAGCCTTTTTATTCGAACCTCGAACATCAAGGTAATTGAATCTTGGAAGGATGGGTGGACTCCATTTCTCAATGGCCTCTTCTAACGAGGCGGAGCGTACAGGAACACCAATAACCTTCCCAATGGCTTCAGCCATGTCTTTCAATGAGACATCCGTCTGCCCAACACCGTTATACACCTCTCCGGCCTTACTCTTCAACACGGCAGCGATGAAAAGGCGTGCAGCATCCTCGACGTGCAAGACAGAAGTATGGAAACTACCGTCATTGATGTAAAGGGACTCGTTCAGCTTGACAGCCTGACTCATCAACATGACGAGGAATCCCTTCCCTCCGCGACCATAAACATATGGCGAGAGGCGGATGGAGCAACCGTGAACTCCCTGTTTCTTGATCGCATTGATCTCGCTCTCTAGTCGTCTGGCTACAGGGAAGTTCGGTCGTAGTGGCGCGTTCTCGTCGCTATCTGAGCCATCCGCGTTTGGCTGAGCTCCCGCACAACCAGATGCAATTACCAGAGGTTTACCGGTGTCTTTAATCTGAGCGCAGATTGCTTCGACTGCTGCGATGTCAGTGTCGACGATCTTGTTGTAGTCGCCGGTCCAGTCGTGGTTCCAAGCTAGATGGATGATGGCATCCGCGGCAGCACTCTCGCGCGCAAGGACTTCGTGTGTTGTTATATCGCCCCGAACAGGGGTCGCACCTAGGGATTTGAGCTTCTCGTCGCCTGCCTCACTGCGGGACAGGCCTCGGACAGAGAACCCTTGTGCGATGGCAAATTCCGTGAGCACCAGGCCGATATAGCCTGTTGCCCCAGTGATGAAGAATTGTAACTTTTCACCCTTGGCAAGTTTGTTTTGGATATAAGCAGACATAGCAGATGGATGGAAATCTCGAAAATCGATATTAGAGTTTATATGATTTTTGGATCGGCTTCTTTTCGGATGAGTTCAGCTTGGTCTTGGTGACAATAATCGATACGCAATCGATATGACTACTGAATCGAATTCTATCCTGACTCTTCCCGGTCGAGTTCAGCCAGGTTCAGCCGTGTCTCGTTTCAGATTTGATTTATCTGTCACCATGATGATCTATCTACATGGCTCCGTCTAGGACGGGGTCTAACCATCTCTGCTGCATTGACAGTGAATGCTCATACTAGAGAATGAGGCGTCTAGTAGTGTATATCCATCTCGATGCTCGTCGCTATCACTCTCCAATAAGACATCCAGTATATAGTCAAACCCAGTGTTTACTAAGGAAGTGTTGCCACTGAACCAAGGTGTCGTTTTAGCTGTCAGTCGAAGATGAATAGTTTGAGATAGTGTAAGGCCGGTTCTCATAAGTTCACATTCAAAGGTAGAGGCCAACATCGAAAATGCCACATTAATGAGAGGAAGTCCGAGTGGAGGAAGGTGATACTCGGTAGTGTTGATATTGGAATAGGATATGCTGTGGTGTCTCCGGGTTGTGGATTACATGTTCGGTAAAGGCGATTGTGGAATTCCGTTGCGGTAAGCTGGTGAAGGGGTGAGGGAGAGGCCCGGAAAACTTGGGGATGAAGTCACCATAGACTAGTTTAATGACCGGGTGATGGTGTTGAGCGTTCGCTGGGCCTTCTTCCTTTGGTTCCAAGCAATCTCATAGTAGAAATAGTTCAGATCAAGTTTCAATATGGAATTGTGGGTCGGCCTTGGTGGAATATTCGATGGATTCGATCAGTTTATCGATTCGGTTTCCATCGAGATCGTCAGTGGTGGTCAGGAATTCGGGGGATGGTGAAGTCCATATCTGAGAGCCAACATGGGAGGCTTGAGCGATGAAGGTTGTCATTTTTCCGGAGAACCAGTGAAGCATACTGAGAAAGAGGGAGACTGAGGAGATATTTTAGGCACCGGAGGGCAAGAGCCGCACGACGAATGTGCATGAAAATGATTCCGGTTTCGTGGTGTGATAACAGGTTTGCTTGAGGGGCCAAACATGCGGCGAAGGACGTGTATCTAGACCTCTTGAGGATCCGTATGAGGCCAAGGGTGTCGAGTACGATCTCACACCCATTGTGAGATGACAGTCTACTAGAGTTGTTGTTTCGTAACGCTGAGAGGCATGAGACCCCTGTCCGAACCTAGAGATTTGAACTGTCTTACTGCGGGACAGGCCACGGACTAAGAATCCCTGTGTGATGGGGAATTCAGCGAGCACCAGGTCAATGTAGCTTGGTGCACCGGTGATGAGAAAAAGTGTAACTTTTAGCCCTTGAAAACTTCTTTTTAGGTTTGGAATCAGGTTCTTTTCGAGTCTTTGTCTCCTATTTGACAATGGGTCATTCTAGAGAATCGCCGCCTGCGTTGGCCTTGTTTAATACGGGGGGCGCCATCAAGCGTCGACGTGCCCAGTGGGTGAAACCAAGGGAGGTACTTAGCATGACTGGTTTCAAGGGGCTGGTTACGACAGGGACGTCGCTGTGTAGATGAACGGTCGCACCAAGGGACCGTCTTAGACAAAACAGTACCTGGGGGTGTGTAGCCGTCTATCTATCACCCACACCAAAATATAGCTGTATGACTAATGCATATGTATAGCATAGGGACCTTCAACAGCATGATCAGAAAGGAGGATGAAGCAGAATGGTCGGTCAGCTCATTCGAAGTGGAAAAACAATCATGAACGAATATGAATTTGTCCTAGAGAATACAAGTGGAACGCAAATACTACTCGCTTGCAGCCATGACTAACAGCGAAGATGTTCAGCACAGTCATTAATGATTCTTGATTTCTTTGCTTACTGGCATTAATGAGGTCTCCTCCACTTTCTTTTAGTACTCGAACAGCCTTTGCCCGGGAGCAGTTCACCTAGCATATCAGTGATGAGTCCAATGGCGGCAGAAATACTGGTTACGTTGACGTACCTGGGTCATCACTAAATCGATGTCTTTGGGATCAACACCAGTTTCATCCACAGGTCCCTCTTCCTCAGCGGCTTCCAGCTCAGGGATGTCATCATCATCACCACCTGCACCCGACGACTCCAGGTTGGGTATATCGGCACCACCTGCACCAGCAAGTTGCTGAGCAGACATTTGATTTTGCGCGTTCATGTCCTCGATCTACAAAACCATGAACAGGGATCTTGGACGCAGAAATCAGAGAGCGTACTTTAGCTTCTCCGAAGACGATGTAGCAGTCGCTGTTTGGCGACTTGTAAACATCTGGGGATGCAAGAACGAAAAGAATCTTAGGAAGATAGATAAGTAGAATAGAATGACAAGCCGGTCATTTCGTACGTTCTTGGGCCTGCGGAGAGTAACCCGAGTAATGTTGGGAACCCTCTTCAATCCGAGACTGATGAGCGCCTTGCGAGCCTTCCTCTCTGAACGCGACTGAATTTTGTCGAGGGCAGCAGCGGAGGTGGGGTCCTCGTCGTGGTCGTGGTTATGATCATGGTCATGGTCGTGGTCGTGGTCATGATCATGGACATGGCCTTCGTGGTCAGAATGATCAGAGGTCACTTCTTCGATATGTGCAGACATTTCTGTTCAAACGGAATCAGTTAGTTAAAATTTCAATCCAGCCCTTGTACAACTCGAAAATCCTCCAGAGTCCTTCCATGCCCCCACAAACAACAAATAAGACTAAGATAAACCTACTTCAATTGGGTCTGAGAACTATTGGCTTCTGGAGGCTGCTCGAGACGTTGATCGGAGAAGGTCGGAGACAATGCTTGCGTAGTTTCGGAGTTCCGTCCCGAAAGCCGATCGGCGATAACCCAACCTTTTTACCTACGCCGCTCATGTGCAATGTCAAGCCTTTATGAACTCGCACGCCAACTTCGTCTCAGCTTTACTGATACCCCAGATGCCATCTCATTAGCCGCGCTGCTTTCCTTAGCAGATGACTTGGTATCCAATTCTTCCTCGGTTGAACCCGAGGTTCTTTCTGCCCAGTTGGAGCAGGAATTACAAACCATACACGATGAGGTTGTTGATCATTCCTCAGTATATCATGCCCAAGTCCTTCTTGCTGTCCTCTTTCATTTGAAAGCCGTCCTCACGCCTCTTACAATAATCACGTTCTGGTTTGATATCTGTCTTCGTCCAGCTTTACGAGAACCCAAATTAGCGACTTCCGCGGTCAACAATGCCAAAGAGCTCATTCTTGCTGCACTGCACTCGGACGATGAACGTTATCAGGATAAGATCTGCGAATTTAGGACTAGGCTACTTGACCTCTACCTCCTTGACGCTTTGAACGAAGGCTCAGAGGAAGATGTTCTGGAATGGGCTGAACTGGATACCGCGCAACGGGAGAGAAAGTCTTGTTGGAAGTCTAATTTGGAAGACATCCTACTCCGATTTGGAGAGATGCATCCTCTTGTGAGTGATCCCCAGAGCCGGAGCACTCTACATGAATCTCACAATTGCCCTGCAGGAGCTCATGTCCCACGTCCACCAACACTTCAACCTTCCCTCCTCACGACTACAACTTCTGATGTTCATGAATTTGTACACATCTTCTCCTGTATTTGAATCACTTGCCGCCAAATTAGCTTCTCAACCACTCATGTCAACTTTACTTTCCTCTTTGCTGTACGACAATTCTTCGACTTCCTGCGCCGTGGGTTTGACTATTCTGGTCAAACTGTTGCCTATGATAGCCGTGCATGCTTCCGCTGAGCTCAAACGTATGATTCCCAGGCTCTTCACAATCTTTGTTAGAGTTCTCTGTTGGAAAGAAAGACGAAGTTTTCGCGATCAAGATGATGATGGGGTAGATTTCGTAGACGAAGATGCGCCCAAAATGCCCGCTCTTCGTCCTGAAATTGATTGGCAACAACTAGAACTCATGTTTGGAAATTCGTCCACTGCGCCTTCATCTGTGAAGCTGTTCACCTATCTGTATTACCTTTTTCCTTGCAATCTACTCAAGTTCCTCCGCGGCCCGATAGCGTACCTCACTGAGAGCGACTTAGAATGCCCATATGTCGGTGATTGGGAGAGTACATTGGATGCCAGCGAGATTAGGACAAAAAGCGAGGTAGTTGGCCTCATCTTACTGTTATATCTCGAGTCCATATATTAACAAGGGATCCTAGCATCTTATCCGCGGGCATATCTGCCACCCTCTCATCATCTGGCAAGACGCTCAGGATGAGCTATCGAAACCGGATTTCTGGAAAGACTATGATGTTGCTCGTATATCAAGTGAAGCCATGTCTCTCGACGTCAGGTACACGTCTATTGCATTTCGTGAACGTTATCGCGAAAAATCCCCTTCAGAGTATGCGTCGTCCGGCGACGAAGACCGAACGCCCGCACCTACAGAACCTGCCAGTACTCGCCCGAATGAAACACGTTTATCTCTTCAAAGCATGGTTGCGACATCTGTACTCCTCAAATCCACTGCAGACATTAAAGCGGAATTCATAACGCAACCATGGCCTCGGAGCATATTCTCAGCTGACGACGCCTCGACGGCGTCGAAACCTGCGTCGGAGGCGGATGAGTCGGTGTTTGAACTGGATAATCCGCCTACTCCCTCGCGTGTCACACAAGCCATCTCTGGTCTCCAGAGAGAGGTGCTCACCCTTCGAAATGAGCTCAACTTCGAGCTCTGGCTGTCAAGAGAGAATGTGAAACACATTGGTCGATTATTCCAGGATCGCATCATATCAAGGAATGCAGAGGTGGAAAGACAGGGATTGGTAAGTGGGTCTTTTCGAAATGTTCTGCGGTGGTTATAACTACCAGGTACAGTACAACAAACTACGAAATTACCGAACCCAGGTGGTTCGTTTGGAAAAGGAGCTCCGGGAGCACAAACAACTCGCTTCCTCTGCCAGACAAAAACATACCGACTGGAGCTCGGAATTACAAACCAAACTGCGAGAATTTAGGGAAGAAAAAAAATCCTGGGTAACTGAGGCCGCTACCCTTCGTACTACTCGGAAAGAAATCGAGGTAACTACTAATGTGTCTTCATTACTAAGGTTCGTCATTGACGATATTTCATTACTTCACAAGGCACAATTTTCTGCACAGAGCACGCTACTAGCTGAAGCCAACGCGGAAGTGTTCAAGCTCCAAACATTCATCAAAGAGCATCAACACAAGATCGACCGTCTGTATGATTACGAGGCTCAGATCGAACAGTCTCGCAAAATGCAACGTCTATGGTAGGTCTTCACCGGTTCTCTGATCTGGTCATTATCAATATCCTTTTAGGGATGCTGATTTCGACAAATTCAAGCGTCGCGGTGAGGATATTGATTTGATGAAAAGTCAGTGGAAACAAATGAGTATGCGACTTGAAAGTCTCGAACAGACTCAGATGCAAATGGAGGACCAGGCAAGGTCTGCTGCTAATTTCATTGTCTGCGAAAATTCTCCTTACTGAGAACGTTTGATCAGACAACACCGGCGTCAAATCCAAAGCTTGGAATCCCGACAAGCGCATGAACGAGCAGAAGACCGTTCCGCACGATATTCTGCTATGACTTTGGCCTCCGTCACAGCTGACAAGTCCGCGTTGATGAACGCTAATAAGCGACTACAAGAAAGGAATACAGAACTGTTAGAGGAAGTCGAGGAGCTCGAGATAATGGTGGAGCAGCTGCGCGCACAGGTCAGCGGGCGACAAGGCTTGATTTCTGAACCGCCACAAAGTCCACTCAGCCCACTCAGCCCCCCAATCATCTTGTAGAATTAATACATTACATTGTCCTGTATACATACCTTTTTCCACTGAATTCGGTGCGGTTCGCGAATGTTCTTTATCTTTCCAAATTTGGTAATTAGTAAATACGGCTTTAGGGTTAGCATTTTTCGAGAAGGTTCTCTGGGAATATAAAAACAAGGAGAGAAGACGCGCCTATCAGTAACTCCTCCCTTTGCATTTTTCTATCTTCCATCTGCTAAAAAATATGTACGTCCTCATACGTGTTTTATTCGAGCTTTCACTGATATTCTTTTAGCATCAATGGCGACAGAAAGCTTTGGATTCCAAGCTGAGATCTCTCAGCTCTTGGACCTTATCATCAGTAAGTTTCTCATGTGAGGTAAGTCGAGGGATGAACTGATCAATAATTTTCTTAGATACTTTCTATTCGAACAAGGAGATCTTCCTTCGTGAACTCATCTCCAATGCCTCCGATGCCCTCGACAAAATTCGATACGCGTCTCTGACTGACCCTTCAGTGCTCGACACTGGCAAGGACCTCGTCATTCGCATCATCCCGGACAAGGAGGGAAAGATCCTCTCCATCCGCGATACTGGTATCGGTATGACCAAGGCTGACATGGTCAACAACTTGGGTACCATCGCAAAATCCGGAACAAAGGTTCGTAATTCTTGGTCAATCGGTTGATGTTAATCGGATTGAGTTGAATCTATTATAGGGTTTCATGGAAGCTTTGAGTTCTGGTGCCGATATCTCCATGATCGGTCAATTCGGTGTCGGTTTCTACTCCGCATACTTGGTTGCCGAACGTGTTCAGGTTATATCTAAGCACAATGACGATGAGCAGTACATTTGGGAATCTGCTGCTGGAGGTACCTTTACTATCACCCAGGACACTGTCAACCCTCCTCTTGGACGTGGTAGTGAGATCCGACTACACTTAAAGGAGGATCAGCTCGAGTACCTTGAGGAAAAGAGGATCAAGGATATCGTAAAGAAGCACTCGGAATTCATTTCCTACCCCATACAGCTCGCTGTGACCAAGGAAGTTGAGAAGGTGAGCTACTCACGGTTGCATCTTACGTGCAACACGCCAACGTTGTTTGCAGGAAGTCAGCGACGACGAGGCTGAAGAGGAAGAGGACGCTGAGAACAAGCCCAAGATCGAGGAAGTTGACGATGAGGAAAAGCCTAAAGATAAGAAGACAAAGAAGATCAAGGAGGTTGAGACTACTAACGAGGAGCTCAACAAGACGAAGCCCATTTGGACACGTAACCCTAGCGATATCACGCCTGATGAGTATTCGGCGTTCTACAAGAGCTTGACCAACGACTGGGAAGACCACCTTTCTGTGAAGCATTTCTCTGTCGAAGGTCAGCTTGAATTTAAGGCTATCCTCTTCGTTCCGAAACGGTATGGAATACATTCTTGGGTCTCCAACGCGTTACTTAACCACTTCCACAGTGCTCCCTTCGATCTCTTTGAGTCGAAGAAGAAACGTAACAACATCAAGCTCTACGTCCGTCGTGTCTTCATTATGGATGATTGCGAGGATATCATCCCCGAGTATCTCAACTTCGTCAAGGGTATCGTTGATTCCGAGGATCTGCCTCTCAACATCTCTCGTGAGACATTGCAGCAGAACAAAATTCTCAAGGTCATTCGCAAGAACATTGTCAAGAAGTGCATGGACATGTTCTCTGAGATTGCAGAGGACAAGGACAATTTCAACAAGTTCTACGAAGCTTTCGGCAAGAACTTGAAACTCGGTATCCATGAAGACGCGCAGAACCGCAGCAAGCTCGCCGAATTCTTGCGCTTCTTCTCTACCAAGTCTACCGATGAGCAAACCTCGCTCAAGGGTAAGCTTATAATTCTCGTTTTCCGCGTCGCTTATCACTAACACTCACTGTAGACTACATTACTCGCATGCCTGAAGTTCAGAAGTCAATCTACTACCTCACCGGTGAATCCCTTGCTGCTACTCGCGACTCTCCGTTCCTCGAAGTCCTTAAGAAAAAGGGTTTCGAAGTTCTTCTCCTCGTTGACCCCATTGATGAGTATGCCATCACCCAGTTGAAGGAATTCGATGACAAGAAGCTCGTTTGTGTCTCGAAGGAGGGTCTTGAACTTGAGGAGACTGAAGAGGAGAAGAAGGCCCGTGAGGCCGAAACCACTGCCTTCAGTGAACTTTGCACCGTCGTCAAGGATGCTCTCGGTGATAAGGTTGAGAAGGTAGTCATCTCGAACCGTATCACTGACTCACCTTGTGTCCTCGTTACTGGTCAATTCGGCTGGTCATCAAATATGGTTCGTTGTGTTGTTTTTTCATACCCGAGATGAGTCGCTAAATATCTGTCTAGGAGCGTATCATGAAAGCTCAGGCTCTTCGTGACTCGTCAATGTCATCTTACATGGCATCGAAGAAGACGCTCGAGCTTAACCCTTCCAATCCTATCATCAAGGAGCTGAAGCGCAAAGTTTCGGAAGACAAGGCTGACAAGTCTGTCCGCGACCTTACCTACCTTCTCTTCGAGACTGCTCTGCTCACTTCTGGCTTTGCTCTTGATGAGCCAACATCGTTCGCCAAACGTATTCACCGTATGATCTCGTAAGTTTGCATTGATGGCAGTTTTACTTTCGTAGTTGCTCACTGTTCATAATGCTTAGGCTGGGTCTTGACGTTGATGAAGAAGAAGAGGTAGCCGCCGAGGCTTCGACAAATGACGCACCACCACCGTTAGAGGCCACCGCCAGCTCTGCAATGGAGGAGATCGATTAAACCCTCAGGATCGTTGCTGGGTTTCGGGTCATCGGTTGCTTGCTTTGTGTCCTACTATTTCTGCACATTTTTTCATTGTCATTTACGAACATTCAAGTAAAACTACATTTGTATCATACTCAAAATCTCCTAGTCGAGGCAATAGATATCCTAATCTATAACATGACTTGAAAAATTGAGATACTTGACCAAATTGGGACTTCCACGAGTAGAACATGAGTCGAGATAACACGGGTTTTAAGTGTGTGCGTGTGCGTCTCCTGTGCAATGGATTGACAGTTCTTGTTGTTTTTTGAACAATTAGAGATTGCGTGCTTGTGAGGCTGTTGAGTTTCACAAAAAGGTACGTTGGGAAAGCAGACTTGAAGGCCCTTAGGAAATTGGGGTTACATGTACTCCAGCATCTAGCAGGGTTTCGTAGCCTAAGAGGGCCTAAGGGTTAGTTCACTACCATATGGAGGACGATAGCCTCGTGCTGTCGTGCCATGGGGAAGGAGGACAAAGCTGCGGCTCGTTCCAGGCTTTCGACATCGCAGCATCCCTAAAATGGAAATGGGGAACTGGTAACCATAAAATTCGTGGGAAAGGGGACAAAGCGACTGGGGCTTATCTAAACAAGGCGTTCTCTCAATTTTACCATTGTCATTCCCATTGTCCTTTTGTTCGTCCATGAATCATAACGCGGTGACCACCTAACTTTATATAAGCCTCACGCCTTCATTGTATCATTATTTGTCCCCACTTTGCGCTTGGACTACCAATCTCAGCCAAACAGCTCTACAGAAATGCACGCCATTGTTCCATCCAGCTCAAGCTCTTTTATACATCCTACATATTGGCCACAGGCCTCTAATGTTTGTCATCTCTAGTTATTATCATCAGATCACTACTTGACACGTATTTGCATACAGTCTGCACTCAATGATGCACCTCCTCTGCGTCTGAAATCTCCTTTCCAGCTCGCGTCGAGTTCTGTAAGCAACCACATTCTCTTAACCCCGACGCGTGGCTCATCACCGCACATCTCCAACAGACCGTCGAGACAACGTCCGAGAACTTCTCTAGTCGAGCTCATCAACGCAGACGCCACTGCGTCCGCGTAGACTGTCCCGTACAGTCCGTATTATCTTCATCGTCGTCTCATCCTTTTGATGATCTATCATGGATATCTGCCATGGACTCATCTTCCGAGGACTACGGCTTATCCGATATTGCCGATCTCTCGGAACTTCCAATCCCCACTTCTGTTGTGGAAGAAGCAGGCCCCGGTGCTGGTCCTGTTCGGCGACGAAAAACTTCTCTTCATCGCACTAGTCCTCTTCGGGTTGCTTCTGGATCATCTACTCACTCGACTCATCACCCATCTATACTCAGAAATCGGCACATACTCGCTCCATCCACACCACGACCTCGACTTCCTCGTTCTCGCATTGCATTCCACGACCTCATGCCTCTATTTACCTGCGACTTACACAAATACCGTAGTTCTAATCCATCTTCGCCAGCTCATTAACTGGTTCGCACCGCTTCATCTCGCTTTCGCTTTTCCACGCTTTATCCGGTCTGCATATCTATCACGAATCACCTTATCACGACCTTCTGCTATAATCAGGTCCCAACGCATTGACATCACATACAGCAACATCCAAACGCGTATAGGTCTCACTCGACTTTCTGTACTGTATCACCGCATCTGGTTGCGGCTATTTCCCGCAATGATTTATTCCATGATTTATTCGATTTCGGACTGCATGCATTAATATATTTCTCACACCTGCATCTCCGCTGATATTCCCTCTTCGATTTCTGCATCCAATTTTCGCACTCATCTGGAACTCCTTCGATGATATATGTTTAAAAAACCTTTGGTGCTGCCCTTTTTTCCTGACAGCTATGATTAATATTCTGCTACCTGCTGTGTCTTTGCTTTTCTTACCGCTCTCGCTCATAATCAGCGCTCTGGCTGTTCGCATACTTGTAACTCATCTCCTCGTATTTACGACTATATAGACCCCCGAAATAAACCTGTACTGTTTCCATGACTCATGAGTACTTCTTGACTGCGGCACTTGACCGAAAACTTTCATCATGACAGAAGCTCGACCAGTCAATTTTGGCGCAGGGCCCTCTGCATTGCCGGAATCAGTTCTTGAGGAAGCTTGCAAAGGGCTATTTAACTTCAAGGGAACTGGGATTGGCATAGCAGAAATTTCTCATCGCTCGAAAGAGTTTACCTCCCTCGTTGCTGACCTCGACAACAATATCCGGACCCAGTTGGGCGTTCCGCCTACACACAAAATCATATTCACCCAAGGCGGAGGAACAGGGCAGTTCTCTGCTGTGGTGTTGAACTTGCTAGCGCGGCATCGATTACTTCACCCAGATCTTTCTGATGAACAGCGGGTGCTGGACTACGTGATCACGGGTTCTTGGAGCAAAAAGGCTATGGAAGAAGCCAAAAGATTGGGCGGTGGATCTGTCCATATCGCTGTTGATGCCCGTGCAAAGTCTAAAGACTCAAAATCCTATGATAATATCCCGGCACATGAAGATTTCGACTTTTCTGCTGATCCCGCGCTCATCTACTACTGTGAGAACGAGACAGTGGACGGTGTCCAGTTCTCTAACGATGTACAATCTCCTGCATCGTTCCCATTCCATCTTCTGCCAGCAGGCGGCCTGTGGCCTCTCGTAGCGGATTATTCTTCCTCATTCATGTCTAGGAAGATTCCTCGCATTGCTGATCATGCCGTGATCTTTGCCGGTGCTCAGAAGAATATCGGACCTGCGGGATTAACCATCCTGATCGTTCGCCAGGACTGTATCGTCGATGTAGATGCCGCAGCGAAATTAGGTGCTGTTCCGGTACCTATCACGATGTCCTACAAGACCAACGCGGACGCAGGGAGTTTGTATAATACTCCTTCGACCTTGTCTATTTACATCGCTGGTTTGGTTCTAGAGAGATCGAAGAAACTGGGTGGAGTGGAGTATTTCGAGTCTGTTAATGGGAGGAAGGCCCAAAAAGTTTATACTGCGCTTCAAGAGGGTGAAGAAAAAGGAGTCTATCGCTCGAAAGTCAAAGAAGGATCTGGAAGCTGGATGAACGTAGTCTTTGATGTCCTTGGTGATAATGCTGAATCCAAATTTCTGGCTGGTGCAGAAGCACTAGGAATGAAAGCTTTAAAGGGGCATCGGTACGTTTCTCTCTTGATTTTGCAAACTATATGTAACCTACTATCCTCCGTAGTTCGGTTGGTGGGATTAGAATCTCACTTTACAACGCTATAACGGAAGAGCAGACCGATAGGATCGTCGCATATTTGAAGGATTTTCCAACTCAAATCTCATAGAGACAGTCTGTGCACTTGTCATGTTGAGCCCATACCTAATACGAATGTACTACGACCTCCCCGAGGCGATATCAAAACCTTCTCTGCACCGTGTACCTGATACGTTTCCGTGTTCGGAATGGCCATAGATCCCATCGTAACCACGTCTGCGAGAGGTAACGCGTTAATCGTGACCTAGAAAGATAGATCCTCGTCACTGTAAAACCAAATTGCGGAACTACCATGATTGACTCACCTTCGGTAATGTAAACTCTCCGTGATGAAGCGCTACCAAAGTGAGCGGTACAGTGAACGTGCCGTCATCCTACAAAAGAGGGTGCGCTATCGGTTACTGTGTACAAGACGTCCAAAAAAAGGATGCCACCTACAGTAGCTATGAAGGTACCACGCTTCTTCCCACTCACAAGCCACTCTTTGACCATCTCTTCGACATCGTACTGCATCACGTACTGCCGTTCCCGGTCATTAGCACTGGTGCCCCAATGAAAGGATGAATGAATAGTGAGGGTGGCAGGAATAGGTTGGCCAGCATATAACGCGGAATCTCTTTGTGTTATTCTTATCTGCGCCGCAGCCACGATCTGAAGGTGTTAAGATAAATGTCGACGAGTGCTTCTGTATTGACACGACTTACATTCATGATAGGTACATCGACAGGGATTTTGATATCGTGCCAAGGGCCAGTAGGAGTTTCAGGGTGCTTATGGCTTCGGAGTGCCTGTAGCTCGATGATGAACGCGTTCGATAGAAGGTTCAAATATCCAAACCTTCTGCACAATCTCGATAGGCTCTCGTAGAGCATCGTCTGAAGCAGGCGATTGAGGAATGTGTAGTTCACCGGATATCCCGTATATTTCCACCCAACTTGCATCCATTTCCAGCATTTGAATCAACTTACTAACTAATGGAATTCGATGCATTTTCCAACTGGGGTTTTCCACTATCGCGCGTTCAACTGCTTCCTCAACAACAAACTCAACCTCTGTGGGGCAAAGTATAAAATCCGATGGAGACGAGGAGAAGTGGAATCTGCATACCTTCACGAAGCATTCGATAAGTGATATCCAAGCTTAAAGCTTCACGAACTACGAGAAAAATGATTAGATATTCTCTTCTGGGACACATAGCGCACTCACCGGGCCCATTGGAGTTAATCTGAAATAAGAATTGCGCTGGTTGTACTGGGGTGACTGTCTGAAGAAAGTTGAGTGTCAGATTAATGTTATAGTTTAGGTCTCACAATGATGCCGCGCTTCGAGGAGGAACACGCTAATATCTTCAGCCCGCTATTCTCGGTGTCTGGATGTTCTAGACGAGCATTTGAGATCCGTACATGCTGATGACTTAAAGTAGACACTATGAACTTTGAGAATAATCTATCACGGGAAGCAGTAAGAATGAAGTTTGTGAATTTCTACCACACGTATGCGTACCTTTTTCCTCTAAAGAAATCTTCCACATTCACAGAAACCGGTAGAGTAGTGTTTATGACTCGCGTTAGTCGCAAGCTTCGTGTAATCGATGGTTCTGAAACTGTGATATAATCCACCTCAATAACTACTTTCTGGGCACAGCAGTCAATTTGAGAAATATCAAAGATACTGTGCGGCTTACAATGGAATGGAAACTGGAGGCGTCAGAGTGGGGGATGAGAAGCTCGATTTCTTTGTCTTCTGGTAGGTCTCGGAGTGAAATACGATCAGATGTGCTGTCGGGTAGGGTTATTCCTTCTGTAGAGGATATTTCACGTTTAGTTGAATGATAAAAATGAGCAAAGAACGGCGTTACTGGTGGTTGAAGTTACCCCCTGGCAATCAAAAGTAACTGAGGCCGCGGATAGATTGAAGGAAGTGGTCAATACTGCATTCCTTCCTGTAGTAATTACAACCAACAAGCTTGGTGGGGCACCCAGTGCAACTAGCCATGTTACTCATGAGTAACACGCCTTCAAGTACACCTGCATGGACTTACCAAGGGGTGGTTGTCGAAGACGAACATCGAAAGCGAGAAGATCACGAGGAATCCGGACTAGGAGATTATTGTCTTTGACGGCATATCGAGTATTTTTAGCATTGTGGCCTGTTCTACGATGTGAAGACTGTAAAAGCAGTCTCCTCATTCGGATCTCGCTGCTATCTAACAGGAAGCTACCGTAACAAGGTATCTGAGAGCACCTTTATGAGATTAGTACAAATTTGTACCTGGAAGACGTACAGGGCAAAAAAGTTTCAGCTTTGACTTTCCCGGAGCGAGCGACTCGTTGGCCGATGTAAATCTGAAACGTTCCAAATCCCTCCCTGCAAGAAGGATGGAGACTTCACTGATAGGAATAGGCTGGATGGAAATATTACGATGGGGCAAAACGAAAACAAAGAGACTCACACATGGTAGATGATTATGAACAGTAACCTCTACATAAGATCCATCTCTACTTTCGTCTAAACTAGCATCAGAGGATACCTGTACCTTCAGCGCAGGATGATCTGGATGAGATAGATCTGGGATAACAAATGAGCGGATCACTTCCATATAGTATAGAATTCACAAACCCGTGTCGAGATTTGATACTGCTGTTTCGAGCGCACTCATCAACCAGGAGACGTATGTCACTTTACTTTCCTCAGGCAGCAACAACTCTTCTCCGCCACTCTCCGCATATGTTTTGAAGAAAGCAAGAAGGACATGTATCCATTCTCTATCTTTTGGTTTCCCTGCTATTTCATGAGTTTCCAATGCCCTAGCAAGCATCACCGCCTCCAACGACGTCCATGAATGAGGAGCATAGTGAGCAGGAAGTGAATTGTATGTCGCAAGAGCGGTATCCAGCCGTCCTCTATGTCTTTGAGGTTGTCAGTATCAACAGAAAAAAAATCTCCCAGGATGAATGACTCACAGGTCGAGGGCGGCAAGACTGCCATGCAGTTTGAGCGCAAATTTGCGTCGGCCTGATTTTGCATAGAGGTCGATGGCTCGATTAGTGATCAGGATATACAAGTCATAAAAGGCGTCCTGATCCTTTAACGCCGTCGAGAGCTGCGTATTGCTGATACTTTCTGTCGATTTGGGCTGAAGATTCTCAGGTCTGGGCACTAGCAAGGCACTAGAGAATGGAGGTTTACAAGGAAGAAATCGGGTTTCTATTCCAAGCATGTCGAGCTTTAAAGAATAGTAAGATTGGGCTTATGGCTATCATACATGAGAGGTACACACTTGATTTCGGGCAAGCTCGAGAAGCTCAGCTTTACCAGCGTTGAACGCAGGGCGTTTGGCGTCCAAATCGACACTGGAGCTCCAAGTATCACACTGCTCAACAGCACTTAGAGCAGAGGAGTAGATCCATGATTCGACGAAAAGCGGAGGTATTTCCGACTGACGAATGTTCGAGTGTTCGGTGAATATATGAGATATTGAAACGTATGCATACCTCGATCTCTCGTAACCTTCGACCAAAAGCACTTAAGAACACTCCTACTTTCTGGCAAACTTCAGTAAGGCGACCCGCTTTCGCGAGGAGCTCGCACTGTCGAGAAAGGACATATATTCGAAAATCAAAGACCGATATGTTATTTGCGAGGATGAGATCCTTGTATGTTTTCTTGGATATGGAAAGTAATGGTGCGGAATCATCGGTTGGCGAAGGCGTGATCAATGTACCAAACCAAGATAGGTTCTTTTCCTTCAAAACTTGATAGAACGAGATTTCGAGTTCTTCGTACACCACTAGGGCGTCGTCGTACAAAGTCATACCTTCGAAAGAGGTCGCCAGGCTTTCCTTCAAGTCCAGGTCAATTTATCGAGGGAACAAGACTACAGTTGTCATCATTACGCACTTTGAGGATAAAGAAAGTGCAAAAATTCCATCCTGGCATTTGCCTTTGACCCTCAGAACGCCTAACATCCTCTTCCCGCTGAATGACAGCACTCTCAAAAGCAGATAGTACACCATCACGGAGTTTGTTCAGAAATTCAGCCCATGCTGCTGGGTTATTCGTCCCAGTAGACCAAACAAGCTGAACACAACTGATGATAGAGTCAACAGCTAAGTAACGAATTATGAATAAATGTAAGCTCACCGTTCTCGCTTGTCTGTGTTGAAGTCCGCTCGCACTTTGTCCAAAACTGAGCCTTTGAGCGTGAAGAACGCTCCGGATTGTACTCGGGTATCTGCACGAACGACGTGCAGGATAAGCCATTCTTGATTCTTGCGTGGAGAAACAGTTGCATGCCATTCTTTGATTTGCTTTTTCACCGTTGCGCGATATGCTTCAAGATCATTGTTCTTCCAGGATCGACATATATAAGTAGGAGAGGTAAAGGGCATAAAAAATGACACGTACTTCGCAGGTAATGACATATATGTTAAGTAAAGGCCTTTCCAGTACTGTCGTTGGTATTTGTGATGTATGCTCGTCGCGGATGGTGTCCAGATTGACCAAAGAGACGTCGAGCTCATGAATAGTCCTAATGGAAGGACGGGAGGCAGATTTCCAGTGGATATTGCGTAAAGGAAGCTGGGAATGGAGGGTCTGGAGGATCTGAGTCCAGCTCGAGGACGACAGGAAGGACTGGGTAGAAGAATAAGAAACGATGATGGCTGATTTCTTAGGGCCAGCCATTACAATATATGTCCAGGAGCATCACACTGTCAGTTTATAAACTTGTAAGTACATAATCGTGCGAAAACTTGTGTTCTATCTTTTGAACTTCGACTTTATCTGCTACTATAAAAATTTGTCTGAAAGAATGGCCCATGTAGTCCAGCCGTTGGACCAGCCGTCCAACTATAAAGACTCTCAAGCCCGCGTCGACCGTAAAAGACAGAATGAAATGCTTTCAAATTCCACTACGCTCTACGTACGTTTGACAGAAAACTGTTTCCGTTGGCGAAGAATAACCTTGAACCCATCGGGCCTTAGATTGGAAATCTAAGTTTTTTTACTACTGAAGAACAGATTTACGAGTTATTTTCAAAATGTGCCAACGCCGCAGACGGAGGAGGAATCAAAAGAATCATAATGGGTCTTGACCGTAACACAAGGTATGTACAACACTTTGGATCGCGTCCGACCATTAGTAACGTGTGTCATGGAATGCAGAACACCGTGTGGCTTTTGTTTTGTAGAGTATTATACTCATACCGAAGCTCTTGCCAGTATGCGATACGTCAGCGGAACCAAACTCGACGAAAGAATAATTCGATGTGATCTGGACTTGGGATACAAAGAAGGAAGACAATTCGGACGCGGAAAGAGTGGTGGGCAGGTTCGGGATGAGCACAGGCAAGATTACGACCCAGGTCGAGGAGGCTGGGGTGCACAAGCACAGAGGTTAGAAGTCGAGAGGAGAAGAGCGGTCGAAGAACGGTATGCAGATGCTCAGGACGGACCGGGAGCTGTAGCCGGAGGTGGAGAAGATTGGAAGGAGATAGAAACCTCCGAAGGAAAACTGAAGCGTGGAAGATCACCTGAAGATGAAGGGGACAACGCTAGGATGGTGCGTAGCGCTACGTTTTCTCTTTTGGTTTAAAATTCCAATGTTTCATGTACTTTTGTACACAGGGTCAACGAACGCGAACCGACGAGGTTGCTGAAGTCGATAGAATGTAGAGAAATGTCTTCATTTTGTGTCGTTCTTAACATACTGATAATTTAATGTATAATACGCGCCTGGAGATTCCGCGACCACCTCACGTTTTCTAGGGGATTTCTCATGTGCAGATCCCTCACGACTCGATACGCTTCCGATTCCGACCCAAGCTTGACTAGCATTGTGATTGGGTTTTTTGAACCAGCGCTATATTTTTGAAGAAAGAGAACATTGATCACTTGGTAGCGAAAAATGGAATGGAGATGACTGACTTTATTGGAAGGACTGAATCCTGATAGGAACCAACCAGTGTATATTTTTTGAGGACATCTTCAAGAATGTAGGGGGACGTCCCGCTCGGAAAGGGAGAGAGCACTACGTTCTTTCCTATATTGTCCACACCAGCGTGAGGACCTGTACCGAACACGGAAGGAGGCGGTCCAGATATTGAATAGTCAACCTCTTCACTTGTGAATACCACACCACTCAGAGTTGCATTTATGAGCTCCCGGAGATTGTCTCTCAGGTAATTTGGGCGGGTCAAAGTAATGAGTGCCTGTTTTGTTGGTACGAAGTTTTCATACATTATTGCCACTAAGAATGTATTAGCTTTAGAAATTAGCAGGTATATTTGAGAATTGCGCACCATCAGCAACACCTTGAGCTTTATAACGAATTAGCATCCGCCGTATATCGGAGGGAGTGGTCAGTGCCGGTATACGTTTGAGTAGTATATGTTGTGCTTTGGAAAGAGCTGTAAAACTTCTCAGCCTTAGTGTATCTATGATTGGAGGAGTTCTGCGACTAATTACCAATAGTAGTAGCCATGAGATATAGAACTTCAAAGGTAGCCTCGCGTTAGAATAGGTTAGAGTTCGCGTTAAAGCTTAAAGAGTCACTCGAGTCACGTTGTTACAACCTATGTCTTCCCGCGACCACCGTAGGCGAGATCGAAGCTGGGAAAGGGAGGACAGAGATAGAAACCGCGGCGACAAGTACTCGCGAGGCGGGCGCAGCGGTTATCGAGACGAGCCTAAAAGGCGATCAAGTAGGTCCCGGAGTCCTCGTCGGGGTGACCGTGAACGCCGAGGTACTTTGTCTCCTTCTATTTCTCTATTTTCTATCAATATTTTGTCCAGAGCATCGTGATTATCGCAGAGAAGACCGAAGAGAACGAGATCCAAGAAGGCCAGACGACTCGCGAGAGAAGGATCGTGAACATGACCGGGATAGAGAAAGAGATAGGAGAGACGACGGAAGGGGATCCTCAAAGCGAGAAGTTCCACCTCCCAAAGAATCGGCTCATTCAGGTCGGTTCTGACCTCTTGAATCACCGCTCTGTGGCTAACTTACGGCTTACAGATTCTCCTTTGACTTCCAAATCAGACTCTGAGCACTTCAACAACGGTACTGAAGCCGGTGAAACAGTGGAAGATGACGACGATGCAGCTATGATGGCCGCCATGGGCATGGCTGGATTTGGTACTACCAAGGTCCGCCTTTTGCTCTTCTATCATTTCTGTAACTTATATTGTCTTCATATCTGTAGGGAAAACATGTTGAAGGCAACCAGGAAGGCACTGTGAACATCAAGAAGACTAGAACATGGCGTCAATATATGAACAGGTCAGTGTACATATTCGGTTCGCGCAAATATTTCTACTAACGTTCTGTGATAGACGAGGAGGATTCAACAGGTTGGTGCCCTATCGCTCTCCTCAACGCAATAACTACTAATTGCTCTCCCACCAGACCGCTGGACAAAATCAAATAGTCGTCTCAGATAAGTCAGCTACCAGTTTTCTATATGCCTATTATTTTACCGATACATTCAGAGGTCTAGTCGACACTTTTCTAACTATATTCATGTACTGCTCTGTGAATGACGAATTAGGATTGCTCGCGTAGCTTGTGTATCTTAGCTCAAGATGGCCATATATGAAGAGAAACTCATTTGAAGGAATAATACATAGGAAGGAAACTATAAATCGAGAGCAGTTCGTAAAACATCGAATGTTCCTAGTTTATGTCGAACTCGCAGAAATTGGGGCAGGTCTGTACCAAGTACAAAAGCAATCATACAAGAGCATAGCTTACAGCTCAGAACCCGTGCATCTTGATGGTGAGCTTATCGACATCATTCTCAACAAGAAAGTCCAAAATCTTGGATCGCTGGTCGCCCTGCAGTTGGATGACTTCACCTAGCTTCTCATCGTTGTGGATGGTGCCATTGCAGGCAAACTCCTACAAATGACAAATGATGAAGAAAGTCAGGTAACCCTGGGTGATAAGGGAAATTAGTCCATTTTTAACGATACCTTCTTGAAAGCTTTCAAGATCTTCTTGAGATCATACTCTGTAAAAAAGGTTAGAAAATTGTTTTCCAGGAAGGATGACGAAGACCCACGTTTAGCCAAACCCTGTACAGTAGTCAATGTCTTCCTTCCATTTCTTTGTTGAATACGAATATGAATATAATCTGCCCCAGAGCCTACGTCTTGGGTGCCTCCGAGAAGTTCCTCTTCGGCGAAAGGGTCTGAGGGATGAGGTGTCCACAATGAGCACAGATTATCGTGTCAAAAGCGTGAAAAGGCAACGATAAGACGTACCAACAGAGTTGAGGTTCTGCACGTTCATGCGATGTTCAGGAATATTACACAAAAAAGAACTGAGTGGGGAGGATTTACAGAGTTGACAGAAGAGAGGAAAGAGATGTTGTTGGTCGAAATCTAGTCATTTTGGGTTTAATGCCGTTCGTGTGAAATAATTGATAAGCCATTCATGATCTATTTGAGCCTCGATTCCATATTGCTCACATTCAATAATGGTCGTCTCTGCTGCTGAACTTCATAAAAAGAAAAAGCCACCTTCCTTCAATCGTTATCCTGAGGCGAAGGGTGAGATTCTCATCAATGTTTCAAGTCTTAAGGCCTAACCATTTGATCTACGTATTCTAGCAAAATCTCTTAAAAAGGCATGGGTCGAAAAGACGAAAATCAAGAGTAAATGGAGAGCTGAAAGGCGAAAAATGGGATTGCCATCTAGATCTTTACCTACTCAAACTGACGATGCCCAAAAAGAAGAACAGGATGAGGTGGCTGACAAGGAAGCAGAAGATGACAAGGAATCGGAATCAGCAGATGAAACTGTCACCACTCCGCCTATGAAATTCCAGCGTGGACCACCTCGTCCCAATTTTGCATTCGCATCTCAATTGAAGGAGCCAAAGGAACAGCCCAAGGAACACGACGCGCCAGATCTCCGAGAGCTTACTCGAAAAGCCTATTCTCGAGAGACACTCCACACATACAAGTCAGATCCACTAAACCGGCGAGGAGGCACAAACAGAGGCAGAGGACATAGTCGAGGTGGAATAAGAGGAAGGGGTCAGCCCAACATGAAATTGCGCATGGGTGCCATGCTTGAGAAAATCAAGAGAGACTTTACATGACTTTTGGTTGGGAGATTATGTGCTTTGGTTCTCCTTATTCTCGTCTACGGCCATCGTGCTATCTTCGTCCTCCGCCTTCACAAACCTAGATTCCAAACTTTGTACAATCGGTGTACCTTCTTTCCCATCATCCACAGTAGTCACTGCACTCAATGCGGTTGGATGGTCGCTCATATGTCCTGGACGTGGGTCATCTAACTCGTCCACTAAGCCTAGCGGCGCAGGCTCGAGGGAAAGCGTCTCCGGATGACCGCCACTTACGGGACCTGCGGAGCTTAGAGCAAGTGGAGATGGTGGAGGGCTACGTGATTTGGATCGTCGAGCATCGTTGTGTAGGAATGGGATGGGAGAGAATAACGGGGTATTTGGTATAGATAGCGGTTGAGATCCTGTAGAAATTTTGCTCCGTAGATTTGCATCTTTTTCCTGCTCCGTAAGAGGTGGAAATTCTGCCCATGTTGACGTGACCAGTGTAGATTTCTCAACCGCTCGAAGATATTTGCCAATAGACTTGTATTGCTTCTCAGGTTCGACACAAAGTTCGCAGACGCGTTGGATCGTGAATGGAGGATCTCTGAATGAATTTCAAGTAAGGGCTCAATGACTTGAAGAGTTATACTCACGAATAGATATACTCACGAATCAAATGTATCTAGCTGTGCAAATATGCTCTCTTTCAGCGCTCTTGTTTGCTCCTCGTTCAAGTAATTCTGGGGCGCCTCTATCATGTTGATGTTATTCTGCTGGCGAGGAGGGAATGGCGGAAGTCTGAGACCACCGTTTTGCATATGGACTGCGTTGAAAGAGGGGGCCAGAGGAGGGGAAGCTGTACTTGACAAAAACATGGAAATATTCTGCCAGTGAATGAACCATCATTAGGAATAATAGCAAAGAGATGGGATGCAGGATGGACTTGTTCAGTTTTGTGCTTTATGATATCTTTTAACAAGTCCCATTTAACACTGTCATGATCGTTAATCGAGACGGACACTGGGACAGTAGATTGCTCATACTCGACAACGTCTGTCTCCGCAATTTGTTTCAATACGTTATCGTAGTCTGTGATGTTTCGCTAAATTATCAGGTCTCAGAAGTGCGGGCAGAGATAGAGATAGACCTGGATTCCATTCGAATTGGGCGGGTAACGCGTCGGAAGACATGTGCATGAAGGTAGAAGTGAATTGCCGTTATTTAGCCGGTTGATTACCTTCGTTTATGACACCGACGTTGACTGTGAGGATGCCCTACGCGCTTCTAGGTAATAAGCCCTCCAACTCCTCGTATAACAAACAACTTCTTCTTTCATATGCGCCTGACTGGTTTGTGAAGCTCTGCTCTTGCGGCTGACTTTTCGATTGACAAAAGAGGAACCAAACAACGCAGGATCATAACTTTCGGTTTGGCGTACGCGCTTGTGTTCACGATTAAAAAACATCTGCAAAACCTGTATGTTCGGCTAAATAGCCGAAAGCAGCTCAGAGCACTTGGGAGCACTTCCCAGCAGCGAAAGCACCCAGAGCAGGCTTTGATTTTTGCTTTGGGTGCTTTCGTCGCTGGAGAGCGCTCTCCAGCTAGTATCCTTGCTCTGGCGAGTATACATGTTTTGCAGATGAATATTGACTCCCTCTGACCGAGCGGTCTAGCGCAATATTCTACTCGTTGAATAAGGTCGACGGATTTCAGAGACTGTTTTCGCTCACTGACATCTCGTGAGTGCCCCACCTCATGATGTACGGGGCAAACTAAGAATGATTGCTACTAGTTTAAGACATCCGTAAGTACTTACACTTTCTACGTATCGATACATGAGTTTCATTATAAAGCTTAGCTATGCGGTACGTGAACGGGTCCCGGTACGTGGCCGACGATTGGACTCGCAATCTGTTATGTTGAGATTTCCTCAGGTTCTTGCGTTATATCTGATCAGCGTTGTAGCCCCATTCTCCATTCAATGTATCGTAAACTTCATCACCGTTCGCTCGTGGTGGGATTTCCACAATAGTAGGTATCCTGGATTCTGGTTTTCTTGTGTTTATCTGTACTTATCATCTTTCATCTTTCAGGTACCCTAGGACGTTCGTATCCCGTCTAGACTCTTATCTTCATCGCATCCCACTCCTTCCTGTTTTCCAGTGGTTTTGGGACTCGTCTTGACAGGTTCGATAACCCAGTTCACGAAAATCACGGTCGGAAGGCCTCGACCAGGTATATATCATCGTGGCTGGTTTTTTCAATATGCTCAATTATTCCCTCTGCGGTTTGGTTTCATAGATATCATTGATCGTTGTCAGCCTATAACGGGATCAGTAGATCCAATATTCGGTCTATCAAGTGCTGCAATTTGTACCCAAACTGATTCGTACATCATGAGGGATGGTTTTCGCTCCTTTCCTTCTGGGCATTCATCAAGTGATTAAAATCTTTCCAAACTGATCCCGACCTTTGAAAACTCAACCCATCGATTGCAGTGTCCTTCGCCGGTCTTGGGTTCCTAGCGTTTTATCTAGCCGGCAAACTTCATCTGTTCGATCGTAAGGGGCATGTTGTAAGTTATACACTCTGTGTCTCGTCACGTATCTTCACTCCCATTCCCAGGGAAAAGCCTGGATATCTCTTGCGCTTTTCGCCGGTGCAGCCTTGGTGGCGATATCGCGGACCATGGATTACCGTCGTATGCTCCATGTTTTCCAGACTTTGCCGACAGACCTGAACGTGTTATTTCTTTAGATCATTGGCAGGATGTGGTTGTGGGATCGCTTCTCGGAACCGTTATGGCTTACTTTTCTTACCGTCAGGTGGGTGATTATCCCGCAGTGTCCTCCCGTGCTTGATGTACCTAACACCTTTTATCTTCAAGTATTTCCCAAGTCTAGCGGCAGATATGTGTCATCTTCCTCATGCCCCTCGTATCACACGGGAGACAGAGCACGGTCTCCCCGTGCACTTCAGTCGGCATCCTTCCGCAGCATCACGCTATTCTGCTCTTGGTGGTAACCCACAGCCTCCTCCGGGGCATTACACTGATGATCCATCTTCTTCCGCCAGTATTCTTGAGCTCGAGGGGAGGTCTGCTGACGGAACGTTGTTGCGACCCAACAATGACTCCTCGCCGGACCTATGGGATCAGGGTGAGGAAATAGCTCCTCGTGTGTAGCTGTCCGAGTCTTCATTGGATTAGCATACATCTTGTACTACCTGCCTTTAGTTTAGTGTGAATCTATCATTCATATTTTTGCTAGTACCAAAATCTCCCGTCCCCACGACTTAGTTTCCCTTGAGGCAGAAATTGATTTAAGGACATTTTGTGTATATACATGTGACTATAGGTATAAGATGTCAAAGATAGGTTGTTATACGGAATTTACAGTAATTCGTTCCAAACACGAGGAGAGGGCGAGGCTGGAATATGTAAAGATGGTCACCGGCTATGAAGTAGCAGGGATTTTCAACAGTCCAGATGTACAGACGAAGCATGATTGCAACTTCACGAATAGTAATCATCGAAGGTATTATTCAGACCTGGAGAAGGGGGTCGCCAATCGTCAACAGTAATTTCATCCCCGCTCTCCGTGTCCGGTGCCATATGAAACGCGTCAGCCTCGTTTCCCTCGTCAAGTACGAGGATTTCATCACCTGCGCCTTTATCGTCCAAATCGCCCTCGAGGAATTCGAGCCCTAGAATCTCGGATGTATCCAGATCAAGTGCCTGGTCGAAGCCATCGCCGGGATTGAGCATGAAACTCGAGAGAGCTTCCAGGTTGATTCGCTTGGAGACCGGATGGCGTGCCGAGTCTGCAGCGAGGCTTTCAGTACGAGCCTGGGTCTGTTTCTCCTTCCGTCTCGTTGTTTCATGTTTCTGCGAAGCTTTGAAACTAGCTTCATCCATCGTATCAAGGGTACCGTCGTCGCGCCATCGCTGCTCCAGATGCTGCATCTCCTCGGAAGTGCGCTGCATAATCTCCCATTCTCCTTCAGCAAACAGTTCGTCGTCAAGAATGACATCTGCACCAGAGCCTCCACGTGCGACTGATAATCGTTGCAGACGGGAAGGCAATCCGCGTGTGTCAGAGACTAAAGACGATGCAGACAGCAGATAAGAAGACATTGTAAAAGGGTCGACGGTGTTTCTGCCATGCGAAGATGATGAAACGCTTTGGGGATAAGATGACGCAGAGGTTGTTGCAACGCTTGACAACGCAGATGCAGGGGCGTCTAAAGGACTGAGAAGAAATTGAGCACCATTTGTCACGGCTGAATGGACCTTTTTCTTTTTTCGAGCAGGCCGTGTGTCTTCATTCGTGGGGACAGCCAAAGCAGCGTCCTGAGAAGAACCACATTCCGACTCCGAATCACTGTCGACGTTGTTTAACTGTAGATTGAGACTGAACTTGCCTTCCGCCTCTACCTGGTTTTTCCATAGCACGTTTTTACAGTTGAGAACATCTTTGAGCCCTCGAGCACATAGTAATCTCTTGGAAACCTTTGCTCGCTGATTAGGTTTTTGATAGGAGTCCAGCCATTCGACTTCCTTGATCCAGCTAGACACTTCTTTGTGTAGAGCTTGATAGCGACTCGTAACGGTCACCTTCGCCACTGTGCATGAATCAGCGAAGCAAGCGGAGATATCGGCCAAACAACTCAAAGGCCCGCGCTTTTCCGCTTCAAGGGACATGATGAATATAGCGCAGGCGGCTGCGGCAGGAGAATTCCGCAAGGTTGATTCAGAAGCAGAGCGTGATAATATATCGATGAAAAGTCGAGCCGTTTCCACGGCAGAACGAATCGACAGGGATTTAAGTTCAGACCAGAGCGAGATGTCCATCCCTGAAGAATCCATAGGAGCTTGTAGGATAGATGAAAGGTGGGATTGTAGAATCGTGAGAAACTGCGCTGGGCTACTTGATTTCAAGGTTAGTTTCAGCGCTGAAAGGACCGAAGAGAGAGTCCGCTTCAGATTGACGTCGCTTTGCTCTATGAGGAATGCTATATCTTTGAGGGAATCTGGCCTACTTGATTCTCGTAAAGCAATGGATAGGCAAGCTCCGGCAACTGCTTTCGCCTTGGTTCCCCATTTGAACTGTGCTGTCTTCATCGCTTGATCAAACAAGTTGCAAACACGGGGAGATAGACCGGACACAGATAAAGTCAGTGTCAACGACTTGATGAATCCATGCATAGTTAACTATAGTAGACGGTGATCGTTAAGAGCGCATAATGAGGGATGTAGAGAAACGTACCGTATTGTTTTTAACTCTTGCTTCCTTGCTTTCACCGGCCAAAGCCCAGCTAGAACCGCCACGCAAACGCTTCAGAGTATTCGGAGCAGACGGGTTAGAATACTGACTGTCGAGTTGATCATCGTTATTCGCAAAGACGCGTTGAGAAGGATCAGTTAATGTACCACAAGATATACAAATATTGGAGAAAGCGTCCTCATTCCAAACAACAGCACCAGCACATTCTGAGCATTTGGACATGATGGGAGTTTGGGTCAAAGATGACCAAAAAGGAAATTCAGGTTCATGTGAATCTAGGTTCCTCTTACATACGAAAATACTCAGGTCGCTCCGAGGTCGTCTGAATCCGAAGGCAGGACGGAGACTCATTTCAGACATCTAGATGTATTGAAAGAAGAAATGTTCTGGAATTCTTCATGTCACACTTTTGGATCATGGGCATGGGCATATGCATATACAGGGCGCGCCGGAGGGTATATAAGCCCCCAACGTCATTATTTTTGTTTCCCCATCACCATGGCTCCTCCTAGTCAAAAATTTCAATCTGTCTCTTCCGCTGCTGCTAGGCGTAGGCTTTCTTCCCATTCTTCGTCTCAGAAGCCCAATGTTGCGTCGTTCGTTCATCTTACTGTAAGTTCCTTGGTGTGCTATTGCTGATGTGCGGTGATCAATAACCATCTGTCTCTCTCTCTTTCTGTCTCCCTGGGCAACTGCTGCTCCATAATGTGACCGTGTCGACCCTGTTCATGCTTCTCATCCTTCTATCTTGAAATCAGCCAATGTGGGCGGGAGTGGCCGGCGCCGTTGTCAATAACGGCACGCAATACGAGATCGCACTATCTATCCACGATTCAGTCTATAATACGGACTTCAGCTCTATACTCTTGCCATACTCCCCCAATACTCTCGAGAAGACGAGCAAAGAGATCGAGAATCGCATCCTGGATACGATACGCAAATTCTCCAACGACCATCTCTGCAAATTCCTTGGAGCTGGAGTCACATTTTCTTTGCTAAAGGACGTCAGTAACGCGTTGTGTAAACTGGAACATCGTCTAATTCATTCTTGTTGACACAGGTGCCCAATATCTGTACCAAACTTTGGTTAGAGTTGGACATTGTTCCCATCGTGTTCAACATCAAGACTTTCCACACTGACTCCTTGACGAGACCCAACATCAAACATCGTATCTCTTCCACGACAGGATCTTATGTCCCTTCAGGCACAGAAACGCCTACAGTCTACGTCGAGGCAAGTCATCTTGCTACCGTTGCCCCGCACCTCAATGTTGGCGTCAGTGGGAAACTCCCAATCCCTCGCACGCTTGATGAGCAAGCTGACTCTGCCGCCCGTAAATGCCTCATGTACTACGGTCCCAACAACAATCCTCGTCTTACTATTGGGCCTCGCAATCAAGTTACCGTAGACGCTGCGGGAAAAATTCATTTATTAGACGATCTAGAAGAATATCGAAAAACTGTTGGCTCGGGGTAACGCCATTCTTGTATGCCTCTTGGCCGGATGCTTATTTCCCATCAGGACATGGAACGCAATTAACAAACTCGCCGATGAATTGCGGGAGAAGAACATAAAGATTGGGTTCTTCTCCTCTACTCCCCAGGGTGGTGCGTTATGAACGTGTACCTATTCATTCAGAATTCGTATTGATTGTGTATTCAGGTGGTGTCGCTTTGGTGGGCTTTAACAGGAATAACTGTGATCGCGAAGGATTCACCCTTCATGTTCTAGATGCGCCACGCCTTAATTAGATTCTTGAACCTACTTGATGTTGATGCTGCGTGGTGAGTTTCTCTTCTTCAACTCAATTGGATGTCTACCCCACACCACTTTAAAACCCCACATGATTTCTGATATTTTCGGCTTAGGTACGTTCCGAACCCGTCGCCTAGCGTTTTCAGGACAACAAAGAACAACCACAATATACTTCAAGGCGTGGCCTCTCCTGATCTCAGGCTTACCCAGGATGCCAAAGACAATTTTGATGCATGGATCCTTAAGAATGGTTTGCGATGGACCGCCGAGGGAGGTCCCTTGGCTGCGGGAGGAGTAGACGTTGCTTTCATTGGTCTGTTAATCATTCGTCGATATACCATCATCGTTCTTACCCTTCATCCGTCTAATGGCAGATGATCCTCAGATGCCGGGGCTCATTCCATTGATTCGTAAAGTCCGACCAGAATTACCCATAATCTACCGTTCTCATATCGAGATTCGCAGCGAGTGAGTTGGCAGTTTGCAGCTCCATCAGTCTCTATTAACATAACAAAGTTTGGTTCACATAGCGGGTTCTCCACAGGAAGAAGTGTGGAAGTATTTATGGAATAACATTCAGCTTGCTGACTTGTTCATCAGTAAGTCTTGATACATTTCCGCGTCCTTTGTGATTGAACAATCTATCTCTTTAGGTCATCCCGTGAACAAATTCGTACCAGCCGATGTCCCCGCCGAAAAAGTTGCACTTTTGGGGGCCGCTACCGACTGGTGAGTGTGTTCAGGTTCTCACCTTTGTGTGATTAATTTTGCAAACTTCTGTGTCAGGCTCGATGGTTTGAACAAGGAGCTTGCCCCGTGGGACTCTGCTTACTACATGGGGGAGTTCCGTAGTCTTTGCATCAAGGAAAAGATGAACGAGCTCAAGTGGCCGATCCGCCAATACATCATCCAGATCGCTCGATTTGACCCGGCGAAGGGTATCCCCAATGTCATCGACTCCTACGCGCGATTTAGGAAACTATATGCTCCTCAATCGAAGAGCGAAGAAGATATTCCACAACTGTTGATCTGTGGCCACGGTGCTGTAGATGACCCTGATGCAAGCCTCATTTACGATCAAGTCCTCCAGTTGATCTATTCCGATGCGTATAGAGAATATGCAAAGGATATAGTTGTCATGAGACTGCCGCCTAGTGATCAATGTGAGTTTGTCTGTTTTTCAAATGCACTGAGCAGCTCTAATCATTTTCAGTATTGAATGCTCTTATGGCAAACGCTAGAATTGCACTTCAACTATCTACCCGCGAAGGCTTTGAAGTCAAAGTTTCAGAAGCTATCCACGCTGGAGTCCCCATCATCGCATCTTTGACCGGCGGCATCCCTCTGCAGGTCGAGCATGGAAAGAGCGGTTACCTAACTGCTCCTGGTGACAACGCTGCGGTTGCGAAGCACCTTCTTGAATTATACACAGACGATGACCTGTGGCAGAAGGTATCGGATTACGCCAAGACACATGTTTCGGATGAAGTCGGTACTGTCGGTATGTACTGTTCACCGTTTTTATCTGTTCTGCAGATCTGATGTTTTTGGATACCACCCTAGGTAATGCCGCAGCTTGGTTGTACCTGGCTGTCATGTACGGTGCAAGGAGAACGAAGATTCACCCTAACGGAGCCTGGTTGAATGACATGCTTCGCGAAGAGACGAGTGAACCATACAAGGAGGGTGAACCTAAACTTCCCAGAGGCAATCTCAACGTCCAAGGATAATCCAACTGTCAGGCAGTAAGATCATGATATTCATAGAAAAGTATGTATACTTCATGATACATAGAATACTATACGTGTATAACCTAGGTATGTATAACTAAGCAAGTAGTCGTGTTCCGAACACATCTCCCTTCGCTTATGTACACTGCCCGACCTGACAGTGAAATCATTGACCCTTTGAAAGAGACGCGAGAATGATGATCTGATGAATTGGTGACAAAGAGTGATTGTCAATCAAAAAAATCATTCTCTCCTGAACGGCAACTTGATCTCTCTCTTCACCTTTTACCACAACCAAGCCTGCCTGTCATGATGGAAGTCGATATGCAGTCTCCTTCAAGCTCCCTTCGGCCTGCGTATGGCTCTACGAAACGCGCACGCTCTCCTGACGAAACAAATTCACCAAGTCGACCATCGGTGCGCCTTGTTTGATTTTCCTTTGTGCAGTTACTCATCCTTCGCCGAAGAAACGCCTCACATTAGCCACTGAAATTGAATACAATCCATCTCAACCCATTTATTTGCGCAGCTCGTCCTCAGCTGGCAGTAGCCGACAGCCATCTGAAGACTGGGTTCAACAAGCCGGTAGCTTGACAATCGACAGCCCGCTGTGCACTGGGGCTTCTGGGGGCTTACCATTTGAGGACTATGCAATGGCTGCTGATCAGCCAGTAGTTGGTATTTGGTTTTCATTCATTGCCACTGAAACTAATGGAAAACTGTTAAGCAAAATCCGTCTACCGCGGTCCCTCTAACTGCGACGTATGGAAGACCACAGCTTCCTCCATTACAAACATCTTTCTCTCGGCCGTCCGATGTCCGTCCAGATTATGCCACTGCTACTCAGCCTTTACCTCAAGTTGCCACTACTAATAACTCCAATTACCAGCACTTAGCTCCGTCAATCAATGTTCTTCCTCCGACACCTAACGTGCCATTCCCTATGGCCTTTTCCTTGGCCGCGCGACCCTCTACACCCATGAATGAAAGCCCCATGTCCATACCTAACTCTCCTTCGAGTGCCACTATCTTGTCTCCTTCACGAAAACACCGCTTCGCTATGGGACCCCGCGCAGACTGCGAAAAATGTAGGATGGGTGTCAAAGGTCACTATATCCACATCGGTTAAAGAGCATAATCCACAGCTTTCGCACCCCACATCGTATCCTACATCTAATGAAAGAAGCTCTGTATAGTAGGCTAATTGATCCTTGTAATGTTGTTATAAATATTTAGTCACTAGTTGTATATTTCGCGCCTTAGAGTAGTATCCAGGCTTACCGCCTCATAATTACGACTTGCATATCGAGTTCGAGCTTGGTCTTTACAACTCCCACAAGCGCCCCAACGAAGAGAGGCGCCAATTTCTCAAAAATGCCAAATTTGTCAGCCATGTTCTCAAAAATTTTGACCGCCTAGCGGTTCCCAGTCAAGATGTCCACGACCTTGCCATTATTCTGGCACCTTTCTTCTTCCTCCAAAAAAGACCGTCTAGATGCCTCTGTAAAACTTATATCGTCCCTGGAACATTTTCAAGCCCAGTTCGAAGCGTCAAGTCCCAGCGAGGAAGATGAAGGGAACGATGAGAAGCCTGATGCTCTGGAGACCTTGAACGCACAAGACGTTTCATACTCTGTCAGACGTCTCACAAGAGGCCTTGCAAGTCCCAGGGAAAGCAGTAGATTGGGTTTCTCAGTTGCATTAACTGAGGTGAGTCCTTCCTACCATCAGTGTAGTGCTTTTTTCCGATTAACTTTTATCAGTTGCTGTCCCGAATAGATACTGTAACATGCTCACAAATATTTGCGCTCATAATGGATGCTACAAAATCCCAAGGCTCGATGACCGGCCAAGAGGAACGAGACGTATTATTTGCACGTCTCTTTGGCATGACTGCCATAATACAGTCCGGATTGATAGTACGGACAAAGCCATTACCCACTTCCCAATCCTCTGCTACTCTTGCTTCATCTTTCGAGGGATACGAACAAGTGTTGACGGAATTACTTGCTCTGGGTGAAAAGAAGTCATGGCTAAGGGAGAGCGCTTGGTGGGCAATAAGTTTGGCGGCTGATAGTCTCAAAGCTACTGAAGTACCATGGAAGGACGAAGCTGTACACGCTACCGCCCAACATCTGTTCGTAGAAAACAAAATTTGGTCTCCGGAAAAGATCGCTTTGGCACTCAAGCTGCAGAGTGCGTTTGAGGAATTCAACTGGCGTCCCTTATTCTCTCCGACGTTCAAGAATCCGGACTTGCTCAGCAATGTAAATCTTCAAACTCTTGCTTTAATCTTAAAGGCAAGTGAACGCCATGACAAAGTGACTGGCCTTTGATTTACATTGTTATCAGGATTCCAATAACGACGGAGGTGACGCCGATGCTCCCAAAACTGCAGCTGCTGGAGGCTGGAAAACACAGCTTCATTACGTGTGGGATATCATGTTGGATCGCTTGCTCGACACCTCAAATGCGGTCAAAAGCAACTTTCCAGAATTCTTCCGGATCGTTGTGGATGGTATGTCAAAGGTATATGAACAGTGCCTTGTCTCATTTTTCATCTCAGAATCACTGTTTTCATCTACTGCATCGCCGGAACGCAAATATTGGGGTTTCCAGGTGTTCCAAAAAGCACTACATCTCGTCTCTGAAGACAATATGCCCATGCTTTTCACGAAGAACTTCATGCGGACTTGGATAAATCATCTATCGAAGCAGGATCGTTATTTGCACAAGGCCGCTAAACAAACTGTAGATATATCTTCTCTTCAAGGCTTCTGATGGTCATTGACGACACATACATATGCACAGGTAGCGGAAATTCAAACGTTTGTTCAACGCAACCCAAAATTAGGCTTTGCCCTTATCCTTCAACTCACAGGAGTTCATGGCTCTCAGCAGTTTGATAAAATCACAAAGACCAAGACGGTTGAGTCGATCATATCCACCATGGATGCAGACGATATCAAGCAGTATATTGCTTACCTGTTAAATCAAGCAAATGACAGCGAGTGAGTTTCCCTGGACTCTTCATATCATTTATCTGCGGTTATCAATCTCTGACCTTTGGTGGTGCTTGTAGGGTCGCGGTGGAAATCATCAACGCTCGTAGACGATGGATCATCGACCAACTGTCTGGTTTGATTCGAAACGGCTCTATAGCGAAGACTGGTGAATGGGTGGAATCCGTCTTGGATTGGTTTGTGGTAAACGGCCTTTATGTGGTCAAAAAGAAGTCGGAGAAAAGTCGCTTTATCGGTGTAGGCTACTTCTTTAAACTTCTTTCTTCCCGTTTCTAATGATGGTCGGACGGATTTAGCTTCGACAAATACCCAAACCACAATTCTCAGATGAGCTTCGCCATACCTGTAGGGATAAACTCCTCAGCTGTCTGGCGGACCTTGCGAATCATATAGCGTCCATCGAGAGCGGTTCGTCAGCTTGCTTACTTTTCTCTCTCGCCTTTTTCTTTGTACTAGATATCTCATTTCACTCTATCAGACAACGCAAAAGTCAAAATTGCTGGAGTTGCTACCGATGGAGAATTATGGGTGACCAAAGTCCTATCAACAATCGAAGAGTTAAAACAGGACACAAAACACGTCTCATCGATTGCGCAAATCGATGAAGAGGAGGAGGTTTTGCGGGCGAAGGTTAGAGAAGTGGTTGTCAAACTCAAAAAAGTCAGCCCACGCACGGCGTGATTCGTAACGTTGTATACACATCGCTGACCTTTTGTCATATAGGTATCTGGTAATCAACAAGAAGCAGCGAGCGGAACGCAGCTTCTTTTAGTTGCGTCTTTGGTGCAGCAATCTTGTTCAGAGGAGGTGGTATCATTAGAAACTATTGAAGTGCGTTTTCTTTCGTTTGTCAGCCTCTCAGAGGGTTGCAATTTTCCCTTGTTTCTGATGTTTTTTTGCTTTCATCATACAGTTATGTACCAATGCTGCCACACGTGAATTTTCTTTGGATAAGGTCAAGAAGAAGACGAAAAAAGGACGTCCGTCCGCTTCTGCTCCTGTAGACGAAGTAGACAGTGACGACGATGGACCAGAGCCTATAGACGCCATCGTCGATACTATCATCGGTTTCATGGAAAAGTCCACAGCCTACATGCGTACCATCGGGAACCAAGTGTTCTCGTTGATCTCCGGACAAGTCAAGAGTAGTACCATAGACCTTGTTCTAACGGTGAGTGGAAACGGGACATTATGATTTTCGGCGTTGATGTTGATTTGTTTTCTTCTAGCAACTTGAAACTCGAGATCCGACAGCGGAGGATGAGGAGATGGATGAGGTTGAGGTTGAAGATAACGAAGATGAGGACAAATCTGCTAATGGTGAAGACGCTGAGGATGGGAGTCAATCATCCGACGACGACGAAGAGGATGACGAAAACGAGGATAGCGACAATGAAGAGGTCGACGAGGAGCTCCGTCAGAGGATCCTAGAAGCGCTAGCCGTGAACGGGATAAAGGCTGCAAACGAGGAGGATGAAGACAGCGAGGAAGAAGAATACATGGACGATGATCAAATGATGGCTATCGACGAACACCTCGCTGAAGTGTTCAGGTCAAGGGTGAATGAGAAGAAAGCTTCTAAAGGTATGTCCTTTAGACGCTCCCTCATAAGAACTTTGATTTCCCCGACTAAACATAATCGATCCCTATACAGATCTCGACGCACAAAGAGAAGCTACGCATTTCAAAAATCGGGTTCTTGATCTAATCGATATATTCATAAAGAAACAACCTTCGAGTCCGTTGATCGTTCGGCTGATCATTCCGTTGGTTGATTTGATCACGCGGAGTACGACTGACGAGAAACAGCTTTCGGATAAAGCTAGGGGTATCGCCCGGTCGAGGATAGGGAAGGCGAAAGAGTTTGCTTCCGCTGAAAAAAAGAAGGTAGGAGGAGGAGGAGAAAAGGAAGAAGGAGAAGGAGAAGAACAAGAAGAAGTGACCTCAATCTTCGAAACACTTCATAAACGCGCAAGAACAGAACGTTCACCAGACCATCTCTCCATCCTTAGCGACTGCTGCATCTATATCTCTCAAGTGATGCTTCGCGCTGGAATGCAAGACCATGTTGTTGTGCAATACCGCCACTCCCTCATCGACTTTATATCCCGCAAAAACTCTTCTCTCAATGTATCCTTCTTCCAACAATTTTTCCGGCGTTCTAGAACGGCTGCGTGGAATCTGAGGAATGATCTGTTGGAGGTTTCGGGCAAGGCTGCGAATCTGTACAGACAGTTTCAAGCGTATCAATTGATCCACGATCTCCTTACTGAACCTCCGTTTGACGTGAGTACTACCTCTCTTCTCCTCTCCTTTGTCTATAATCAATTTGCAGATCCATGACGAAGTCACTCAATACCTCCAGGCCCTTTGCAAAACTTTGCTCGATGTAATATCCAGAGCCTGCGATGGGAGTGATAATAGTCTAGGTTTAAACGCATCTCAGATGCGGGAAGTGTTGAAATTAGCATTGGTGGGTGCGCGACAGACTCGGAAGGTGGTGGCAGTAGCCGCCGACGATGCCGCAGTGCAAATCCCTCAACCTCAGAATGTTGTTGCAACCATTTGGGACTCAACGGCATGGACTCGCGCAACAGACTTGCTGCTCGCATCGGAGAGGTTTAAGGGTGCAGCACAGATGTGTAAGCAGGTGGTGCAAATTGCGAGTGCACCGTCAAATACGTCGCAGTCTCAGTCGAAGGGGAAGGTTGAGAAAAAGGTGAAGCCGAAGGGTAGTAAAGAAAGCAAGGAAAGGTGTATGAAAGAGGAAGAGAAAAAGGGTGGGAAGGAGGAGGTGGAAGAGGTGAGGGGGGAGAAGAAGAGAACGTCCAGGAAAAGAAAAACGCAAGTGGCTGGCGCAAACGGTATAGAAGGTGAAGAGAGTGCACTATCGTTGGAAGGGCAAGGGAAAAAGGTGAAGCGGAAAAAAGTAGAGTAAACCGGTAAAACGATGAACGATAATGGACCTCCATATTGGTGGTGCATTGAATATCAATTGCGAACGCGAATTGAAGCTATTTCGGCCTATAGCTACAGTACGTATTGTACAAATGCCAAACTCTCTTCACAAATGCTGAAGCTCGTCATCAAGCTAGTGGCGTAGTATATAGGAAAGAATCGAGTAGAACATGACTGCCGGTGTAAGCAAGTTGAAACAGCAGGAATTGGAGTCAAAATAAGAACTTGAAATAACATATAAACGAGTTAGATAGATCCTCGGCTCCGTCCCAAGCGTATTGTGGCTAAATCCTAAACAGATGACAATTCATCAAAGTACGGAGGGAACTCGAGCAGGATGCATACAAATCATAAAGGATAAAAGCAACTTCTTGCTTGTCTAGTACTACTAGGTGCTCTCAAACCACCACACCACCACCAAGCGCCAACTGTGTTTCCACCAGTTGGGTCGGTAAGTCATCGTCACCTATACTTCTACCTATATATCTCCCCTCTGTCTCCCCTCTCTTCCGTCTCTGTTATGTATGTACTCCCAGGATCAAAATCTAAATTCAACTGTCGTCCCCTCATCATTTCTTATGGTCCACCATTTCAGAAGTTTTTTCCTCTCTTCCCAAGGACCCTACTATCATTTCTACAAAGGGGGAGAGGGGTTTAAAAACTTATTCAAAATCGTTTTTCCGAAAAAAAAAGAGACATGACATATGTAACCACGAACCTGCGCCTTCCTACTCTCATTGTCAAAGGCCATAACGTACTCCAATCGTGCGAGTCAAACGGCAAATGATCAACACGACCAGAGAGTATCTTCGCCCCCTCTTTTAGAAACTTCTCGCTGAAGTCTTTCATGTGGTTGTTATACACATTATAGTCTCCCTGGAGCTCCCTGGAAGCTACATATTACTTGTGCCAGGGGCGTTACGCAAGGAGATCATGAAATCCATTGAGTATCCGTATTTTTCAAGGTCCTCAATGCCTGCTGGTGTGGTAGCCTAAGTAACCGTAAATTCCCCGGCATTGGAAAGATACGAGTCTGCGTTTCCGTAGGAATCTATACTACTAATGATTTGGAGAGCGTCTCCGAATATTTTGGGGTCTGCGGATTTCCTTCCATTACTAAGACATATTGAGATTAGAGGGGGAACCGTCTGTCGGAGCCATGAGGCGCATATGTTGCAGGTTCTTGTGTCGTTGTCCCAGGCTAATACAGATTCGATTGTTTAGAATATTCAACATTGGGTATTCATTAGTCTTTTTCGAGTTAGAAAAACCGAGAACTTACCATGTTCGATTGAGTATTACCACCGTTACTAAGCCCGACAGGGACAGCGGCGGTAGTCATTGTGAAGGACAGAAGGAGAAGAAAGCTCATTGCAAAAACGCACTTTCGAGAGGACTCCAATGATGAAGCGGAGAGCATTTTTGAGAAGTTCGTCCGAATAGAACAGCCTAGTACTAGGATGATTCAAGAGCTATACTTAATCGCCTGTTTCTTGGTTTCTATGTTTTAGTTTCTAGAGCATTCTAGTTTTTCGACCAACGAGAAAGAGCCAGGTTGGCAGCTGGTGAGAGTGAAGCAGGACTCGTGAAGCGCAACTGATCAGAGGTTGACAAATGGACTATAATGATTGTGATTGCGATTGTGGAAGTTTAAAGAAATGAGAGAGTTCTTCGACCCTGTTCTAATTTAGTGACACCCCTTCCGATCCAATATCCTTCTCAACACCACCCTCAAACGCCACGGTAGACCTAACATCACTCTCAGACTCTTCAGCTCCGACATCCTCCCCACCCTCAACGTCAACTCCGAGATCCACACCATGTATCACAGTCGATATGAGCCCAATCCTCGGTGGATCCCACGACGGATGGACAGTATCCCCATAATAAAACGCCGCGATCACGCTTGGAATGGAGAAGGGTGTTAGAGAAAGGGCATTAAAGAAACGCGAAGAGGAAAGTTGAGAGTTGATAAAATGAATGGATGGATGGAAAACGGAAACTCTTCCACAAATACACCACTATTATATAGTCCAGTATTCCAGTACTCACTTTTTCAAAAACGGATCACCCAAACTCCAACTATACATATACCCTGCTCCTCCTCCTTCCCCTTTAGTGGTGGTTGTTGTGGTGGTGGGTACGTCCGTGGGAGCGAGGTTCAGGTAACATTGTCGTTTCCTACTCCCATTGCCTTTTTCTTCCTCCGCCTCTCCATTGTCTTCATCGTTCTCGTACTCTGAGTCCCCCTGCTGTGAATCTCTATCCTCATCCTCCTCCTCGACCCACACCAAATCCCTCCATTCCACAGGAAACATCCTCCCCCCGATCTGGAACGCGAGCGTGTGAGGGGTGGTGCAGGACGTCGATGTGTCAGTTGACGGGTGAGAGGAAGAAGAGGCATCTTCCCGCCCTATAATATCCACAATATACTGCACAACATCCGGAGGACCCCGGATCAGTGAGTTTCCCTACATAAAACATCAGCAGAGAGAAAAAAAAGAACAACCTCTGAATACATCTTTTCATAAAACTCACCGTATCAATCAACGCCGTAACACCAATATCCCCGCTCTCGAGCTCAGCAGGATCGGGAATCCTGTTTCCATCGAGATAGACACCGTCGATAGGGATTTCCCATGTAATCGGATACACCTCGTCCTCTGCGCCAACTCCACCTTTTAACCCGCCCTGTGGGACAGTGTATCGTCGGACGAGAGCCCAGGTAAGGTCGGCGTCGGTGAGGTTAGGGGGAAGACCACCGATAGTTAAGAGGCCGGAGATGTGGTTTTGGGAGATAATACTTGCACGGGGATGTTCACAAGGAGCAGCAGCCTCACCTCCTAATTCGAGATCTACACCATATCCATATCCATATCCATATCCATGTCCTGGATAAAAGATATCGCCATCGCCGTACGAATCACCGGTATTTGTCACCCGCTGTAAACTCACGCCGAACATCGGTCTCATATTTATTATATCCTGACTTTGATTTTGTTGCTGGTCTTGCGCACCAGTAACGATCCTCCAAATTGGCGGACCGGAGACGTTGAATGCGGCTAGGAGACGGGGGGTCCATGGTGACGGGCCGGTGGAGGAGTGTCTACGATTGTTCTTCTTGGGTCGTATGTTATCTTGATTATCTTGATTATTCGCATCTTGCCCTTGTTGGTCTTCACCGGTACCTCCGTATTTTGATAAATCAGGAAATGTTCTCCGGTTGAAGGATCTTTGATTGGGGAAAGTAGGACCTCTCCGAGCAAAGTGCTTGGAGTTAGAGTTGGCATTGTAGTCTGTCTCGGCCTTCGTGTTATCGTTATAATTTGAATGGTCGTATATTTCCTTCTCAAACATCTCAAGAAACAACGCACTGCCAAAATCAATTAGCCCAAAGTGTCATCGAACCCAAGGTAAAACTCACCTGTTAACAGGAAACCCCAATCCTAAAATCCCCACACATCCTGTCTCCAACACACTCGTATTCGTATCGTTAATCGCTGCGAATATTTGAGATTTGAGGTTCAAACTTGCAATTGCAACTGAATCGATCCCGATAACTCCCGACGCATGTGTACCGGTTCTTGAATCACCATATAACAGCGAGATTGGATATGTCGTAGACCGAAAACCACTACTATTGTCGACGATAATCCACAGATCAGACGATCCGGTATCAATATCCACCACAACCTCTCTGCCACCAATCTTGAGTGGTATTTTGTATGTCACATCCAGAAAGTCTGTTACGCGGACCGTCGTCGAGTACAATCTCCGTCTGTCCCTTGCCGCCCTCGTCCTGGACCCGCCAGTACGGTATATAGGTACGTGTATACCCGCTAAATCCTTATTGATTTTCTTCTTATTGCTGTGGGTCGAGGTGATCTGAGCGGATGACAATGCCAGAACCAGAACCAGAAGCAGAGAAGTACGCATTGATTTTGAAGCAGTGGTAGCAGAGGTAGTTTGAGCGATAGTCACGTGGCTCTCGCGCGATGGATTCTCGGTCACGTTTCTTGCTCGTTCAACTTGGACAACCCACCGCTTTGCCATATTTATCACTGTGGGGATGAGCCAATGTCTTCGCGGTGAAAATCTAGAGAAAATGCAAGGATTTTTACCAAAATTCATCAAAAATCCTGGGCACGAATTTTAAAACTTTTCGTGTGGCGATTATTGTGAAGCTATCGTGAATTTGGCGGGGGGCCGTGCTTATTTTAAATTATCTTTTCATAATTTTACCATAACCTCAGCTCAATTCCTTCAAAATATCTGCTGCCATATTTTTGTACATAACCTCGAGATAAAACCCACATTTTCGCCTCGAGGAAATCGGCTCATCCCCGCAGTGTATGTTGTATGTACATTACATGATTATGATTATATTTCTACCTGCTATGAATCATTTATCTGTGATACAAGCTTCCTCATCATCCCTAAAATCAATCCCGGTTCCAGGGAATGATTTCCTTCAGGTTGTTCTCGTTCTCGCCCATCCTTCAACCCTCGCACCAAGGATATCAGTCTCACAGCATTACGCACCCTATTCCTCTCAACTCGTCCCTTCACCACCTGTCGCATCATCGCAGATCTCTCAGACGCAGCACGCAACAAATCCTCCGGTAAACCCGCCATCCTCCCACATTCTACTCCGAATGAATCTTGTGCGATTCCCTTCCCAACCCGATACATAAACACCACATCCCTCGTCCTATCAATCCGCTCCTCCGTTGTATACCCCATATGTAAGTTCTCCACGTCCCCAGGACATTGTCTTTGGATCTCCGCAGCAACAAGCGGGTAATGCGTGATGAAAAGCGTTTTACATCGGGTGGCGGTGAGCAGGTGGTGTAATACTGCGTGGGCGATCGACATCTGTGACAATAATAAGTCATTTATTTGTATACTAGTTATGCCAAAAAAACACTACTCACCCCATCAAAAGTCGACGTACCCCTCCCAAGCTCATCCAGGATAACAAGACTCTTCTTCGTAGCCGAGTGGAGAATCTCCCCCGTCTCAGACATTTCTACCATGAATGTCGACCGGCCCCGTGCGATGTCGTCCCAGGCTATGTATATAGAAAGTTGAAGTTGACATCGAAGGATATATATCAATAATCCGACTCGGTGACACTTCCAAAGAAAATAAGAGAAGAGAGGAAAAAAGGAAGAAAGAAAAGAAATTACAGCACTCAACTACTCACCTCCCATCCTAGTATAAACCCCATCCAACATCCCCATTTTCACCGATTCCGCGGGGACATAACACCCAATCTGTGCCATGATCGCAATGAGAGCGACCATACGGACCGAAGAGCTTTTCCTGAGAAAACGATTTTTTTTGTACTTCTTTTTTTTCGAAAAAAAGAAGGGACTCGGTGACTCACCCTCCCATATTCGGTCCGGTAACAATCTTACTCCTTGGTTCCCTCTGGGAGCCCATCCGAATTGTGTTGGGAATAAACGGATCAGAACGCAACAGCTCAATCATCGGATGCCTTCCTTCCACGATTTCGAGTTGGTCGGTGTCCACGAATTCGGGTCGAGTGTAGCTTGCGCTGGGCTGTGTATAATACAATTCAAATTAAAAGCCAGCCACTCAGAAGGAAGGAAGGGAAATTTTCAGAAAAACTTTGATGTAACTCAACTTGTAACCCGACCTGAGCCAAACTAATAAGACAATCAGCTTCAGCAAGTTTATTCACCGCATTCCGCATCGTCGCGTAATGGTTCTCTGAGATCTCGTCCAGGAATAACGAATATGCGTGGTTGGCTTCGATCTGCAGTGGACGAGGAATGAGATGGGAATAGAGCAAGTAGGGCAAGTAGGGCGAAGTGCAAATGGTGTAAAGGAATACATACATCGAGGGTTTCCTGCCACCGATACCTCTCCTCCAACTTCAATTGTACATCAGACGGCCGATATCTAGCTTTGCTCTTCGTTCTGAAAGGTTCCAAATCAATGTGAAGTGAGTGGGCGATTAAGTTGCGAATAGAAGGAATACAGGACAGCGTTCCATGAAGAAAGAGGACGGGGTAGAAGTGGGAGTAGGTCAGATTGCTACATACGCTGAAATTAAACGCCAAGACACTGGTATATCGATTCGAGCACTCTTTTCCACTTCCACCAAGAACTAGAAAATTGGCGCAAGGAGGCAATACGGTTTGTAAGATGATCCGGATATATGAAAACATCGTAATACAGTGATGATATCTCACCTCTTCTCCTGCCACCGTTTCATATTCAAGTGAAGGTCGTTTAAGAATCTTTCGAACTGTGACATGCAAGGTGCGTTAGTATGAGAAACCTCGACATACGCAGGGAAATAAAAACCTGTTTTGAGCATCTCTCGCAGTTCTATCTCCACTGCATGCAGTCCCTAATGAAACCGGGATCAGTTGTCATATCCTGGACTATCTCATCTTTCTCAAAGAAAGCACAATCCCCACTGACCATTCTCGTTTCTTCAATCCTAGGATACTTCTCTTTATCAAGCCACAACTCATCCTTCCGTCCTTCAGCTGCGCGCTTCATGCAAATGTGCCCAATCAATTCAGTTATCGAGCTTCGCAGAGCGGGAAACGCGTGTATCATGTCATTAAGGAGTGGAGATTTGAATCCTGCTTGCGAGGAATCACTGTCTCGCATGGGTTCAAACGCAAAAGCGATTTTCTTGAAGGCTGGAAGAAGGATCGCTAGTTCTTGTGGGGTGCACTGTATGTATGTATGTGTAATTTAAAGAAGGGATTCAAAACTGTCAGACGTACCTGACCATATTGGATCCTACATAGTCCCCTTGCGAGATCAGGTAATTTTTTGAGTATTTGGCGGAGGGTGACGAGTTTATCAGAGGAACTAGTGATGATCTCTTCCACCGCGTCAACGCGTTCTTGAAGAACGCTGGAAAGAATCAGGAAGTTAGTATAGAATCGGACCAGGTATACTGAATACGTACACTCTATTTGTCAGAGGATGACCAACCCAATTCTTCATCAGCCGCGCACCGAACTTTGTCTTTGTTTGATCCAAGACCCAGAGGAGTGAACCATGCACAGTATGATCAGTCTCGTTTTCGAATATTTCGAGGTTGCGAAGAGTGTTTGCAGCGAGAACCATGTGCGACTTTTCGCTGAATTTCGTGAAAAACTTGGTTTCTAGAAGGACATCCGCGACGTTGTACGTCGAAAGGTGCTTGACCATATGAGCGAGACCGATCACAACTTCCGGGGAAAAAGCCGTAATGGAGGCTAGGAGTTTGCCTGTAGGTTTACAGGTCAACAAGAGGTCGGGAAAAGAAGATGAAAAGGTCAGAACCTGTTCTAAGATTTTCAGAAGCTGATACAGTATTTCGTTTCTCAGTATAGAAAGTAGAGAGAAAAGAAAAGGCTTCGGTATAGGTCATTAATTTCTGAAAACGTTCCATCCTAACGCCTGGGGTACCGCCCGATATAGTACTATCCGAAGGAGTGAGTGAAGGGACGTCAGACAAGTACTGGAATACGGCAACCTTGTAAGCTCAGCTAACAGCTTCTCAGTTGGCCGTGTCAACCCATCTCTCGAACACAGCAGTTCTGCAGGTTTGAGGTGGGCTAATCTCGTCTGTAAAACTTCAGTGGGATTTACATTCTATCTAACCTGACATACCTCAAGCTCAAGCCTCATCAGCGTGTCCTCAAATTCATCATACACGACGTCGCCGGTACTTGGACATACACTGATAAGTGCAATTGAAACATCACTTTCCTTGCCGGCCTTTCTATCTTCCACGATGCATAGGAAAGGTGGCGGGGAATGCGTTGCCGTCATATCGACAGAGTCCATAGCATCAACATATCTGGCAGGCGGGCGAGGATCAGCCAAATAATAAAATAATAATGATGCTCGCAAGAAATTCGCGTACGTGGCTGCAGTGTATAAACGCACCAGTTTTCGTTCGAACGGCGTGTTTCGATTTTCTCCCACTTTCTTCAGTGCTGCAGTTTCTACCTGATTGACTATCCCTACACGATGTCCATGAGACAAAAGACTACTCAACAGATGAGTATTCAGATTTATCTAATAGTTCCATTAAATGCACTTTTTCAAATGAATATCTCGCCGTTCAACAGGTATGGACGCGACAGTAAAGTTTCGATCGCGGAAGGCAACCATTCCCAACACACTTGCAGCGATCTACAATTTCTTGAATGATTTCAAGGGTGAATACTATTGCTGCGACGTACTTTGGCATCTTCATCGAAGAATTTGTATTTGTACCCAACTTCGATCATTAACAATGTCCCAGGATTATCACCCTTGAGCTTTAACACCTATTCAATGACAATAGTTTGTCAGTAAACGCAGAAAAATTGGAAACTGTAATGTTACCTGCTTCTCGAGGGGTGTCCATGGTTCTCCACTGGGGCCTAGTTCTTCAGGTCGTTTCGCCCTCGGCATGGCTTTTTGTTTCACTTTCGAGATATTACTGGTGGAGGCATTACTTGTGGCCCAGAATTCCGGCTCTGAATCAGTGTCTCTATTTTCATCAATGGCTCCACTTTGGATTCTACTGGATGAGCCCTTGTCGGTGGAAGAGCGGCCTTGAAGGAAGAAGGAAGACTCTCTCTCAAGCAAAAGCTTCTTCTTCAGAGCTTCACGCTTCGACAACTTGTTCGAACGTAACTCTGAGTTTGAAATGTGTGTCCTGTCCTTCTCAGTTGAGGTGGAATGGGAAGAGTCAAAGCTCCACTGTTCTGCCCTGTTGTAAGATGCAGAAGCGGATGAAGATCTGGATGGGCCAGGAGAGATGTCCAGGGAAGTTGAGGAACCTCTCTGTCTCTTGAACGGACGCTCCTCGTCAGAAGAATCTATAGTAAGGTCAACTATCGCACTGGCTCTTCTTTTCGCCTTCTTTGGACTTGGAGAGGGTGTGAAGTAGGACGATAGCCTTGTCTGATGTTGGACTTCAGGACTTTGAGGCATCGTGAAGATGGTCGTCAAAGTATTATAAAGAAGCGCTCAGAAGGTGGCGCAGCGCGTCAGAGCAAGAGCACGTGGAACGATCCTTCCGCAAATTCCGATGCTGTCTGTTGGATTCCACCATGTCAGAGCTTTCCGTCCTCTGGGCGTATCCAAGCCTCGATATACTTCACTGCAAATTCGTCTGAATTCTACTTTGCTAGATGGTCCTCCAGTCACCGAAACAAATCGTCAGTTTTACAGAATTATTATTTTTTCTGCGCCCCTCCTGACTTTCCTGGCTTTCACTCACTTAGGTGCTGAGGCCACCATGAAACGGTTCTGGAAGACAGTTGGGATAGAGGACCGGAAAGAAGGAATAGCAATTACTTTAGACAAACGTGCCCTCAAAACTCCTTCAGGCCATACACTATTACTTCCCTATAACAAGCGTCTGGTGGCCACACTCATAGCAACGGAATGGGAGAATCAAAAGATTGTCTTGAAACCCCATGCGTTACCTATGGTCAGTTTGATATCGATACCCATGGACTGCATATGACTGAAGACGTTGCACAGACATCTTTAGCGTCAAGAGCAATAGACAATTTTGCGGACTCGGAGTCACGGAAGAACGTCCGACAATCGCTGATACAATACTTAGACACTGATACTATATGGTACTTAGTTTCATGCAATTATTTCCGCGGCTTGACTCTCCCCTAGTTTTTATCAAGACTATCCTCCACCTCTTATACGACAACAAGAAACACACTGGGATCCTCTGTTTGCATGGGTTGAAGAAAGATTCGGCGCCAAGCTCGTAAAATTCACGTCGATCCTCTCTAATTCCCAGTCAGAGCAGAGCAAGAAACAGCTGTCGCTTGTTATAGACGACTTTAACCAATGGGAAATGGCTGGTGCGCAATACATCATCAATCCGCCACTTTGAATATATGTACCTAACTCACATCTCCACGCAGCTTTGGAGCGCGCTATACATGCCACAAAATCATTTGTCATCGCTCTAGCTTTGGTCAAGCGTCGATTGAATGTTGATCAAGCATCTGACGCTGCCGGGGTTGAGGTCAACAGCCAGATAGAGCGCTGGGGAGAAGTCGAAGACAGTAAGTTTGATTATACAACAAGTAAACATACTTTTGTCTAATTCCAATTCAGCGCACGATGTAGACTTCCACGATATCCGCAGACAGTTGGGTAGTGCTGCTTCTCTTTTGTCGGCTGCTTAGAATGATATAAATACGACGTTCTTGCATCTACTACCGTCGTGCAGACCAATTCATACAAAATTTACTCAAGAGAAAAGCCTGCCTTGTAGTTCACGCTCGATTTCTGTCTCCCACTCCTCGTTGGGAAGATTGCTGGGCCGAAAGACATGGCAGAATCGTCGTTGCAAGCCTGAAAGAAATTGGAGGCGGCTCATGACTTTGATATAAACTTGAGGCAAGCGAGTCTATACCTCTTCTGCTCACGGCCCGTAGATAATTTACGGAAATGGACTTTTAGTATCGTCTCCAAATGCAGATCGTAGATAAGCACTGGAGCGCGGAAGCAGCATTATATTCTCGCTACCTTTAGGGGACCCAACATACTTGATCTATCGAGGTGGTGTGCCCAAAAGTTGATTAATATCCACGAAGAATGAATTGAGAATGGTCCAAGGGAAGTTATTCGAGCCTCTAGGCCCTTGCTCAAGCCGCTCGCAAAACAGACAGTGCCGAAAACTCGTCAGAGAAGACGAAAATTGCGATGATCGAAGCAAAGACCGGCTAGTGAGCCGTGCGCTTCTGTTATCAATTATATGTCTTGGGAACGAATCGCACATTTTATGAATGCAATTGCTTGAATTTGCTTGAAGCAGCTTCAAAAGATCCGATTTCTATACATCCTGCGTCATCTCTCCGATATCAGTTCGTTTGATTCGAAATCATGGATTCTGTCTGCGGGTAGCCTAGGAATCAAAACATAGTTCAATTGTTAATCCTGTAACTCGTTCCCCCCAATGACGAAAGGCATCGCAAACTATATTCGACGCTATTCGACGAATACTCGGATAGAGTTCGGAGGTCACACTGAGAGTATGTCATCCCTTTCAGTGTCATTAACTGTAAGGTTTCCCGTATTCACCCATGTGGCCCAAGGCTCAATGGGAGCTAAATTTCACTACTATTCTACGACTGACTGCTATTTCAGCTTCAAAAGATTGGATCGATGACGATGGCACCAGATAAACAGTATGGAAACTTGAAGTGACCAGATAGAGTAACGCTCATGCTCCGATAAAACTTGGACATATTCCGAGTCACCGCCTCAATTGCAATCCCACTTTCACAATCAATAGTACTCACTCAGCATGTCTCGTCCTCCGGTACTCGACTCATTCAACCCCTTTGCGGTCCACCCATTTACCAACAGTGCTTGCTTAGCGTCATACAACAAACCCCACAATCCTAGTGAGACCATGTCCGAGGCGAACATCTCGCCGCCGCCACAGGTCATATTTCCGATACCCCAGCGAGCCTCCAAACAGAACTTTCTATCTGTGCAAAATTCGAAGCCTAAACCCGTATTCGTTCCATTCAGAAAAGAAACGGCGTCTCCCGAGCTTTATGTCAGGCATCCTAACAGAAAATGGAATTGACAATGAGTATAGTGAAACGATGCCCTAGTATGTTGAACCAGATCGAATTGAGAAGGCGTTGATACTAATTACTCCGCAAAGACGTCGTTTCCTACATCCAAGATAATTGATGCTGGTTTCGCCTTTCTGGGAAGGGGTTTCGGCTCCTCCTTCAAACCAAAAAAATCATCTACAGCCTGTAAGCTAAAAACATTGCCGCAACCGTCGGAAGGAAGCATAGAGACGAAATCCATTATGTTGTGGGTGCTCGTACAATGCGCGCCGCGTATCAATGGATAAGGAGGAACAGGTTCGAGGTATATTGGAACCTCAAGCGTTCCGGAAGTAGGGGCGAGCTATCGTGTATTGGCGCAAGTAAATACGAATTGAATTCACGCACCATATGAGACCTGTCGGATGCAAAGCGATCTAGAAAAACGTTCGCAGATACAACTCTGAAGTAACTGTGCTGTCATGATTAGACCCATAGCCTAACTATGTATACACACTACTACACTCACCTTTGTAATTCGTCGAGAACGTTCGCAGAAAATGTCTGCACAAGATAGGCTGTTACGGCTTTGGAAAGTTCAAGGTATAAGCTAAGTAGCATCCTTAAGCTTACTGTCAAAGGTTACAGGTATACCCAATCGCGTATCGAAGTCATACACCCAACTCTGAATACTTGTGGAGATATTTCGAGGACGTAAGACGGCAACAACATGATAGTCCCATATGACAGGGCAGCCTAGCTCTTCTGAGAGTTTCTGGTTCCATAATGCAACCTGTAAGGTCAAGTGAACATTGAGATCAGCTTTCCCCATAATGAATACGCGCCGTTTTGCTATGATTCGAGATGAAGACCGCAAAGACATCCCAGTCTTCAGATAACGAGGAATCTCGAGAAAACGACTGAATAAGAAGATACACATTTTCCTCGCACCAATGAGATGTGTAAGCTGCATCTTGAGGAAGATCTGGTGGTTTGAGGGTCATAACGAAGTACAAACTGAAATTATTTACAAGTGCTCGTAGGAGGAAGGCGCCAAACGCGTGGGAATATGGTCAACGACAGTTCCTCTTTGTACCATACCTTCATTCACCTCTATCGATAATGAGCTCAGGTTCCTCTTCTAGCGCTACTAATGGACTTCACCCTCACCCAGAAGTCTCAGATCACATAAATCATGTTTCTCATTTGAACGGATTTGCTGACCCGTGCGTATCTTCAACTTCCAGTCTCATACGTGCACCTTTATGTCCTGTTTTTCAGTTCCCCTCACAATCAAAAGATCATTGACTATCTGTACAATTACGGCTTTCAACGTGGCGTGAGCAAACTCATTCAATATATGGCACCTTCCTTGTTTTCCTGATTTTTTCCCTCAGGAATATGCCGACACAGTGCTTGTGAGCCTTTTCCGAAGCTGTAGTTCCAATTCACCGTCTGAAAGTCTTCTTCAAGCATGTACATCAAAATGTATATCGACTTCATGCCATAATATTATCTCGTTCCCCTTTCTTGGTTCAGTTATTATCTACTTCTCCGCAAGTTCAGGTCGGCGTTCCTCGAACGATCTATGTGCCAGTGGAGCGAGAGCCGGAAGTCACTCAGGAAGGTTTTGCTATAGGTGTGTACTATGCTTCTGCAACGTAGAAAACTCATTAACGCGTCCGTCGAACAGCTGTGGGCTATCTTTATTCCTCTGTCTCTCTGAGGCTCATTCGACCAGAGAACGCCAGAGCTGTACTTGCTGCTGGATGCATGCTGGGAGGCATGGATGATCTCTGCGAGCTTGCCTATGCCACATGCAAACGTTCGATCTCTGTTGACACCATAGGCGCTTGGCTCGAATTTGTTGACGCGATCCCTCCTTCATCAAGTGGCGCAGAAACTCCTGGGCCAGACCTTTCTCCTATCAGAATATATGGGCCTTATGTACAGAGACTGCGTGATGATGTCTTCCACTTTTTGGTAGTGACTCTTCCCAATATTCTGGAAATACACGCCACTCCTTCTGAAGGTACACCGACAACTCCGGAAAACGGACGCGAAATCTTGCTTCAAGTGTTCTCTAGGATACCATTTGACATGTTCAAGGCTGCTGTAGAGTCACCCAATTTCCAAATCGGTATGTAAAGAACATTCTCTCGTAATACCCGTTCGTGATATTCACGTATCCCTAGGATCAGACCAGGCGAGGTTCAAATTTGCCAAAGAGGCGATTGAGGCAAGGAAACGTGGTATTGCACGAGGACTCGAAGAGACAGTTGTGCTAGCTTTCGGTGGAGGGAACTTTGGAACCAGTGCTGTACACGTCACTCGAAAGACGCGTAAGCGGCCGTTGTGGAAGGTCAATTCCTGATAGATTCTTGAGTTGTAAGTAAGTTAGCATGGATCTTACAATTCTTGAGCTCCATTATTTTCTCCTATGTTGCCGAGGATGTTTTCAGTTTTGCCGCTCGCTACCTGAGCCTATCTCAAATTGCTGAGTGGCATACCTTCTGATATAGACATATGTTTTCAGTCCCATGGACAACTTGCGCGTCTGAAAGATGCATACGACATTCGCATCGTCCAAGCTCCAGACCCTCGGAATACTAAAAAAACATGCAGATGATGGCCTATGATGGCACGGCAACTTTCAGGTTTCCACTTTCGACGCGCAAATAACTTCGTCAGAACGTGCGGAGTCCAGGAACAGTCAGCATATGGTCCATGATGAACTCTCTAATTTAGGGAAAGTCCGGTTTGGTGCACACTTTTAAGTTTTAGTGCCCGAGACTGACAGCTTACAAGCTGTTAATGAAACAAGGAACAAGAGTACAAGTAAAGACGCGACAAATTATAACAGAAACATTGGAGAGTAGGACGTCCTCATCGTCCACCAACAATCCAAAGTGGCCGCTTTTTTATTCATGCGCCACTATCGATTACTTATTCCCATGGAACACGCGCGTATCACCGGGGTTAAGTTCCAGGGAAGTGACTTAAAAAGACCAGACCTCCGATGTTCAAGAGTCAAAGATCTTTCCAAACTTTCAAATGGGAGAACCAACTTACGACCTTTTCTTTACTGGCCAAGATGACCCTCGCAACTGCGTTGTCATCGGTGAAGATACAAAGCCCGTGTTCTTTTCGTTCGAAACTTTCCAAAGAGACCTCAGTACGCGAACGATGGTAAGTAAAGCAAGTAATGATGGATCTGCGATGACTTTTATCTGCAGGTGACGCGAGGCAAAGACCTAATTGCCTCTCTAGAATGGAGTCCAGGAAATCGTTTAGGGATGGTCAACATTGGAACAAGACAACTGCTCATGTCGCAGCTTGTGTTACCTGGTTCCTCCAGCCAGTCAGTCGCCTACAGTAGTTCTCTTTTTCTCGTGTTGCTAGACTCAGTTGGAGACAGTGTCCGTAACTTCGTGTCAGGTAGCGACGGAAGAACATACGAGTGGAGGCGGTGTTATCCAGACACTTCAGGTTACGATGTAAGATTTATGATTTTACTGCTATCTTGTCTTCGGCCCACTGATTCCGAGTGTAGTTATTTCTTCTGCCCAATAATATGCGAATAGCTGCTTTTCGAAAGATGAACGCCCAGACAGTAGTTGGCCCATCTCATGCCTTGCTGCAATATCAATTCGTTCACGACCCCCTTCTTCTCGAAGCACTTCTCTCCCTCTGTATTTTCAGATGGACTGATTTTCACGGGTTGTAACTTGAATGTCATTGTATCAGCCATATAAACACATTTTATTTCTCGTATCCAATCCCATAGACATTGATTTTTATTTAAAAATATATGGAGTGAAAGAAAATAAATTAGCAGTCAAGCAGTTTTCATAGCACCTAACATATGCTCAAGGCGCTCCTCGACGGTCAAATAATCAGTACCAGTATGCCCGGTCATCGAAGATGTCGCTGAATTGGAATATTCGGCCTGTCCTTGCGAAAAGTTGAAAGCTCCTGCGTCCATACCTTGCGATAGGTTCTCAATCAAACGTCCTATCTGCGCAGAGGAGGTATAGTAAACCTATGATAAAACGATCAGAGTAAGCGTTCGCAATTCTGGATCAGAACTTACTTTTGTTTCGGGTCTGTTCTTCCCTTGAACGATCTTTCTCCGCGATAGATATGAGGAATTACTTCCTTTGGATCCAGTCCTCGTGTGATCTTTAACGAAAACCTGAACGCCTTCATCATTATCGTAATCAGACTGGAAGCTGGTTCGGCCCGCATACAACGACTCTACATCGTCATCACGAAGACCATTGACAATTGACCTAGGTAAAGCATCAGAATAGAGAACCTGATATGATGAGATGTACCCACCAGATGGTTTCCCCGTTGGCGAGCTCAATCACTTCTAACGCTGGACCAGGATCAGATGAACCACTGCCTTCTGCAGGCGCTGACTGAGAGCCCTTTTCACCTGTATACATGTCATATCTAGATTCAGAGATCAGAATGGGAGGTATAACATTCGAATTATACGCATACACCGAGTCATATGGTGTGTTCGACTGTCCGCCAGCAGAAGGAACCGCTAGGCCTTTATCCATCCGAGCTGCCCAAGATTGAGGAAGCTGGGGGACAGGAGGAGATTCGTCAGCAGAAAACCGTTTACCAGTCGGTGAATGTGGAGGCGGCGGTGTTGGTACTCTTTCATGGATTGAACGATTGGATGAAGTGGCACTTATCGCACTAGCTCGGCGACGATGGGAAGAATTCTTTCTCCCCAACGCATTGAGATCTGCAACAGAAACCCCACGATCCTCGGGATAGATGATAGTTCTCCGGATAACAGTATTTGTATCATCTGGTCCACGTTGGCGAGGCCGGCGGACCCCAACATTTTCGCTTTGTTTCATTGATGATTTCCGCGAAACTGGCATCTTACTAGCACGATGACCTGGGTCCTCGAACGTGGACCACTCGCTTTGCGGAGTGGGACTTTGGAACTGACGTTCGTCACGACTTTCCTGTCTCGATTTAGTGGCAGACGAGTTATTACGAGTCAACATCGTCCAATCCGTCGACTTGGACGAGATAGACCCTGAACGAACAAGAAGCTCGCTCAATTTGCTTTGATCAAGGCCAAGATCGTTTGCAGCATTGAACAGCTGCTTCAATGCCTGTGATTCATATTGATTTACGCCATCTCCTGAATCATCACTAGGGTGCATGTGAAGCTGTGGGGTTAAAGGGGGTTGCGATGATGAAGACGGTGACTGGGATGGATGTAACAATTGAGCGTTGATTTCTCTTTCCGGCTTTACTTCCTCTGTCAGAGGAGAGTTCGAAAGAGAAAGCGGATTCTGAACTGGGGACATTTGGTACGGTGAAGGACGAAGTTGCTGGCCCTTGTATTCAACAGAGTCTGCAGTACGCACTTTACCTCTAAACCGAGCCATAAATCCTTTTAATCCTGGTCCGGCTGAAGCGGGCGGACTAGGTACTGGTACAGCTGGTACTCGGAATCGGCCAATTTCGGTAGCGCTGACTGCCGAATCCATAGGATGAAGCTTGGACGAGTCGTAGCGAGCGAATTGGGGTTGGCTACCATGAGATGATGGGTTGGATTTTACATCCAATGGGTAAGGAGTGACTTTAATTTCTTCAATGGGTATATTACCCTTTCGTAGGGTTCCTCTGAGCTTTCTGAAACGAGAAGCAATTTTTGAAGGTGGGCCAGAGGAAGTAGCACTTGTAAACTGCGGGGTGCGTAGGGGTATCGTATCGACACTGGTCGAAGCGGAAAGCAGAGTAGGTGTAGATATTTGATTTGTATTGAACTTCTTTCGGACCGGTCCTGGTGATACAAGTCCTTCTTTCGATAGATTGGAATTAGAAGGCCGCTTTCGAAGAGCTAACATGGCAGCATCTGTCTTGCGCTGAATTTCGCGTGCAAGCTCTGCCTGTGCCTCGGATGTTTGCGGGATATGCGGAGTCGAGGGACTACGCAGAGGATTGTAAAGCGCTGATTGTGACGGTGACGAGAGACCTATGGTTGAGGTATCCAAAGACGAAGTCGTTACATTGAGCGGTAATGTAGTGGTGAGCTCTTTTTCTTTGAATGTTTTAGGTTGCAGGCTATCATCTTCCGGAGACGATGCGCCTGCGGGGGGCGACCCTTCATGTGTATCCTCGCCGAAGAGTATTTGGGCAAGGTCACGATTTCTGCGCGTTGTGGGAGATACGTCTTGAGAGGCCGACGGGGTATCCGCAGTGTTGATCGCAGGAGATGACGAATCATAAGAAACATCATTGTGCTGTGTATTTATACTCTCCAGTACCGAATTGAGCAATGCGCTGGCTTTGGAGATCTGATCGCTGTTCATCGCAGAAGACCCATCCATAGGTTGTGATTGTTGAGGAGACGGAGTCGTGATCTGAAAAAGACATACAGATGAATCAAAGACCAATAATAAAAAGACGACAACCTTACCGTGTAGTTGAGAGAATAGTTTGACTGTGAAGTCGACGGACGACGCCTCCGTAATGAAGGAACACGTTCTCGGGTCTCAGATACAGTCATATTTTTGGATGCAACCGCGCTAACCAAGGTCTCTTGGATAGCAGCGAAGTCCAACTTATGCAAGCCTGCATAACTTCCTATAACGTCTTCAGGGTTCCACTCCGTATCTGGTGAACCTGCAGGAGTAGTAGAGCTGGACTGAGACGAAAGAGACAGATCATGCCAAGGTGGAACCTGTGAGTCGGCATCAACAAACAAAAATTTGTCCGCTTCCCAGGAGTGATAACTAGATCCTGTAGATTCTAGAGATGATCGTGATGAGTTCGCCAGGGGAGAGAATAGAACAGGATTGTAAGGAGCGAGTGAGAAGGGAACAGATGTTCCATTCTGTTTCGATGATCGCCTGCTATGTTTTGGTGACCCATCTACACCTGAAAAGGTTGGAGATGTCGGAGACCGAGCCGGGGATTGAGTGGGGGTAGGGGATCGCATAGGACGGTTGGAAGTAGGTGAGTTGAGATCAATGCCTGAAATGGTTGACGGAGGTCGATTGTCGTACGGGTAAGTGCCGCCAAAATAAGCAGTATTCGCATGACCGCGTTCCAGTATGGGAGAATCGGGTAGAGCAGGTGATCGTAAAGATCGCGAAGCAGATGCAGATTTTGAATGACCATTCGACGTCGAGTAGCCGCCATGGGGATCTGTACTGCCTTCTGCATCACTGAACCAACTACCGTTACGATTGTGGCCAGAGCTTTTCTGAGGTGAAGATTTGGAAGCAGGTATCGTCCAGGTTACGTTGGAAGGCGTGCCTGGTCTGGAGGTAGAAACCGCGGCAGCGGTGAAAGGTTGATAGGATGGCCCTGAAAGTGGTGACGCAGGACGTCTACGACCAGGCACGGCAGAAGAACCGAAGTCTATCAATTCCACGCCACGTTCGCCACGTTGCGCAGGATCAACTGGACTCCGTTGGAGGAAAGGTGGCGACATTGGACGAGATGGTTTCGAAGAGAAGGACGAAGATGAGCTCTGTCCGACATGTTCCGGAATTACTGGGGGAGGTGTCGGCGTATTGGGCATATCCGGATAAAACGCAGTTGGATCGTTGGGATTCGTAACGGTAGCAGCGCGGGGGGTAATTGAATGTGATCGTAACATGTCGTTGTCCATGTCTTCGCGCGGTGTCATTGGACGAGGCATTCCTGGTATGTAACCTGGAAGAATACGCGAAGGTATAGGTGACATCCGCTTCTCCTCCGTTTCGGTTTGACCTTCGTGGTCAGAAGAAATGGCCATGCCTGCCTGGTAGACGTCTGGAGGCAGAGAATTAGGATTGTCCTGCAACGAATACAAGGAATTATAATTATATATGAATTAGAAAGTACAAGGCGTAACCAGTAAAAATAACACACTTTAACCCGTGCCTCGACATTAGCGCGCGTAATGGGGGCGGAGCGGGGCATGACGATTTCATCCTCGGCATCTTCTTCTAGTTCTCTTATAGCTTCCTCCAATGCCAGCGAAGCACGTTTGAAAGCTGAAGGCCCCAAAGACTTGGACAGTCTGTACTCTGCAGAAGCAGGAATGCTGCGTTCACCATACGGTGCTGGAGGTATGAGAGGAGCAGATCGCACGGCTTGTTTGTTGTTCAGCACATCGTTCTCAGGCGTGGTTGATCTAAATTCATGTGAAGGGCCAAATACTGATGATGTCGATGTGGATACTTCGGAAGGAGCTGCGGAAGTAACGCGCGAACTACCATGTTTACTCGGGGAGGTTGCACTGCGAACATAGGAGTAATCTCTAAGTCGTCCAGAGCCAAAGAGATTATTGCTGTAGCGCTTAGTGGAACGACCAGAACTTGGAGAATGAGTGAGCGACGAGCGGGTTGATTGGCGCATAGGAGTCTCGGTTTTGTCGGTCGGGGTAGCGTATTTGGTACGCAGCCCAAGGCTCTCAAGAAGCATATCTTCTTCCTCCTCAGAAATATGATTTTCGACGCCGCGAGCTCTCTGCTCGGCCAACCTGGAGCGCAGAAGATCTACCGGCAGCGGCTCACCCGAAGAGTAGCGCAGAAGAGAAAAGCGACGAGTTAAGCTATTGTAGAGTCAGCAGAAAGTTTAAGTAATCGAGAATGAAGGGGTAGACAAACTCTGGAAGAATCGAAAAGTCGTCTTCAGAAGGCAATTCGGGAAGAAGCTGCGGGTTTTCGCTAGGTGATGGCGGTGGAATAGAGGTCTGCAAGGGAGAAAGAATAGGATATTGGCTCCTCTTAGTGTCTGATTTCTTGCTGGAAAATGGTAATTCTGATTCAGATACGCGTTCAGGCTGTCAGAGTAATCCCGATACTACTGACCGAAGACGATTCATTTCTGCGACCTCGTTTCCAACACGTTGTACAGGAAAGATAGGCGCGACTGGAAAGGAAAGAATGTCGGGAACGTGTTACTGCACGAGTTCAGGAGAAAGTTGTATCAATGTATGTAAAATGGGCGCTTTAGTGAGATGTCAACAGACAACTTTTCAATTTGTTTTATTTATTTATTTCGACATATCAGACGAACCGGCATTTTGCCGGCATCCGTTCATCGCATCGTGGAATATCCTTGGAAGTATGTAGTAACTCTGGCTTCAAGTACATAACCTTTCAGCAAATGACAACAATCGTCAAATCATTGGCCAAACCCACGTTCCCAAAGCCCAAGGTCAATCTGCCAGAGTTAACGAAAGAATTATGGCTGGATATCTTGTGATCTGCTTGTCGCGATTACGCTCCAAAGCTGTTGAAAATTCCAGTGGCGTTACCTAGAAAGGTTTTGCGCCCAAGAATGGTACGTCTTGGTATACAGCCATTTACCATACACAATGCCTGATTTTGACTCACAACTCTGAATTCTGCTAGATGTTCCAGCGACGCCTCATCTTGGTTTTCAAAACCTGGCATAAAATAGCGCTTCCGTGTCTATAAATGAGGAATAACTTTAAATTTTGCAACGTCGCGAGGATCTGTGTCGACAGATCACTCGGTCACCATTCAAAACATCTGGATTTCTCTTTCGATGAACCCGTGGATAAAGAGGCATTTTTTGCTTTCATCGACTGCTCCTCCAAGCTAGAAATGGCCACTGCATTCCTCTGCATTCACTATACCTCTTACCCCATCAAAAGCCATTAAATCAGCGCATCATTGCACTATTCAACCTACGAGTATTCGACAGTATTCGACAGTCCAAAAAACACGAACCTTTTGGGCCAGGTTTTCCTAGTATGAATTCTTCAATCCAAGCGTTGATCTTCCCTTTATTTCCCATCCAAGTAGATCCAAGTTATCAAGCAACCTCCCCCTTCTGTTTTACCAAATCTTTCCCACATTTACTCTGCCTACTACCGAATTACAATTTTGGAATTATCGCGCATGCCCAGAGATCTGCACTCTATAACATTGGTCTTCGTCGGTCTTAATTCTTCTTAACTGCAGGGTTTCATATCGACTCGGATGGCTTATGATATGCCTCTGTAAATTTTCCTCCTTCGGGTATGCACATATTCAGGCTCACAATCCTACAGCCCAAGGCGAAAGCAAATACGTATCGCAGTCTTTGTGAGAGCTTAAACCTTGTCTGCAGCAATGGGCTCGGGGTGATCCGGATTGGATCCCTGGTTGCGCTCGATCTACAAAACCATCCTTTTTCAGCCGCTTTGTAGAGTAGTTTCTGGGAAATGGCGCGAAAGATGTATGTTAAAGCTGTTCGGAAGGGCTTTTCATTTGATGATCAGAGATATATAACTTCAAGTGAAGAACGAGTGACATTATAGTTGGTACTTCTACTGCTCATGTGTTTCTACTTTTCGAACTGTATTTACTTACTATCGTACTCAAGTGAACGCCAAACTCATCTTAAATATAAAATTGCAATATAGTGTCAGTTAGTAATGAGCTTGAATTTTAACATTCGCTGACATGGATATGTACTATGTAGGCCATAAGATTGAGTTATACCATATATAACAATCTCAATGTGTTCAAACATCGGGGTGTTCAATTCTAATGGTCACAGCTAACGGTGATAGTGCACAAAGAACTTGATAAGGGATTGTAAGCATAAGATGAAAATTCAAGTTCAGAACAATCACAGTTCATATTTTTGCTTTGCATACTCCTCAGTCCAGGGTTCGACGTAATTCTCAACGTCTTCGATAGAAACGCCACACTTGGCATAATGACGAGCAACGTCAAGAACACTGATCAATTGTCCCTGCTCGATCCTACCCTCAGGCTCAAATGGTTGATAGATATCCGCAATTCGAGGGATTTGAATCTGCCCATCCTGCACCATTTGTCTGAATTGCCCTCGGTGGATGAACAGATTGATCATCGCAACGTTGAATTCGGCCCGATACTGCGAAGCAGTCGGCCTCAACCGAGCTAAGAGACGACTCGCTACGATGTCTCCGAAAAGTGGGACCCTAGTTTTTGAGTTGACCCGAACACCCTTGGGCAATGACTTGGGATATCGCGTGTAATATGCGATCCATGCCTCAGGGGGATCGTTACTTTGAGGATTGATGAGTTGAGGAAGATGTGGGTTCGAAGTGGAACTTGGATTGGTGTTGGAACGGCCCCGCCGCGGGCAGAACGATGGGTTTCTCCAGCGAGCAAGAATGTAACGTTGCCCATAAGTTTTCCGCTCTGGAGGAGTCCCGTGCGCTTCACGACAAAGCACTTTGATGAGAGAAATAGACCGCTCGTCTCCGTCGTGGGCTTTTTGAATAAGGGTCCCTAAAGCGGCATCGACGGATGTTTGACTGGCCTCTGAGGTAGAGTAGTAGTTAGGTATTGCCTCGTATGAGCTACGAGAACTCGGTCGCCGATCGCTCAAGGTTAGAGCACGCCTCGCGGACAAAGGAGTAGCGACTGGTGTGATCGGTAGCTGCAAGGACTCGGCATAGGTTCTCGTAGATTGTAGCGAAGGAGAAGTCGGAGAAGAATTCGGAGAAGGGGTACAATCATTATTATTGTCAGATCCTTGAGAGCTCGCAATGATTTCTTCTCGAAAAAGTTTTTGTACCTCTACAAATATTAAGACGTGAGGATCGACGATGGACAGCGATCAGTAATAGATACAACAAACCTCCCAGAACTTGAGCCGTATCGTCCAGCTTTGTCTGCGTTTCTTCGAGTTTTACTTGAGTTTCTGCTAGTTCATATGCAAGATTTTCAAAGTTCTGATCGGTTTCGGAAGGGGCGCGCGCTCGTTTGAGGCCCTCTACGAACCCCTTGTGAAACCAAAGCCATCTAGAGTTAATGCTAGTAGAGGCCGGGTCGAGGACAGCGCCTGGTAAGGACTTAGGCATGGTAGAGGAGGAGGAGTTTCGATTTTGAAAAGAAGGTTGCAAAAAAAGAAGGGGGTTATTCCTACAGTGGTTTCAACGTTTTATATCTCAGCGGCAAAAGATCAAAGAGTTCCTGCCGGCTTGTGCGTAAAACCTACATTGATGCAAGTTAGTGGCTCTTTACGACCGGAAATCAAATGATCTTGAGATACTAGAGGAAGCCAGTCAGTTAGTCAGTAAGAAACTGACCGTACGCATAGACCTACATATCACTTTTGATTTAGTACCCCCCACCCTCCAAATTAATCACATATGTATGAAGCTCAGATCTCGCAGTGCGTGAATCTCTGTTACCTTGGCCTTGGGATCTGATCGGAGAGCTTAGCCTAGAGCATGTAACTTGGATGGTTATGTCATTCTTCAAGTGGCATTGCATGTGAAGATCTGTGAAGATTGGGCCAGGACACGCCCGGAAGGATGAAAGAACACAGTTGTTCAAGGCTTTCCGTGCCCTACTCCCAGATTGCTCCCCCGGCTCACGCGATGGGGATAAGCGGAGCTCATAAGCTGTCTTTTGAAAGAAGCAGCAACTGATAATTAGTATGATATCGGACATTCTATGAATGGAATACGCAATTAGTGGCGATGAAGACATACATCAAATACATGATACGTTTCTCTTGAGGGAAATCCCAAATTACTATTTGCAGTGGGATCTGCTGCAACATGAATGTTGTTGTGAGTACACATGCTTGCGATGTGAGCACATTGTGAACACATAGAAGGAACAAACAAAGAGTCCTCGGATTTGAATACGGTAAACGCCGCTTCTTGGGCGCTATGTACTAGACTCAATCAAAACCTGAACATAACTTGCTATTTTTGCAGCGTGGTTGAGGATGGATACAAGGAGACAAACACTTTGTAGATAATTTGCTCATACATAAATGATTCAATGTATCCATGAATTCGTTTTGATTAATAGTTGGAAGTTGACCTAAAGATTTCACTTTCTCATTTATTCCTTCACCGCAATGGCGAAATGATTGAACATAAATACTAGAGAAAACTGAAACATGCCCATATTTGACGATGCTGGAGGATTATTTTACATGGCATGTCTGAGCAATCCACATAATCCGTCAATCCCAAGTTCAAGGTCCGATGTCTGAGAAGTAGTACACTTACTTCTTCGTCCACTCCTTCGCCGTCGCAAGGAATTTCGACTTGTCATTCTTCAAAAGCTGTGGATATCAGGCAGGCCAAATCAGGGTCAATACCAAGTCAATTCGAGGCATGAGGGGTCGTGAAGGGAGATTCGAAAGGACGCACGGCAGCAATATCTGGCTCGAATGGATCATCAGGACTCGGGTTGTTGAGTTTTTCTTGTATTATGCATAAAACTGCAGTCCCAGAGAAATCAGAATAAAGATCTGAACTGCAATGGGCAATACTGAGACTGCTTGCCTGTAGCAAGGGTCACTGAAGGCTTCCACTAGAAGGAGGGATTGAAAAATAGCAGAGTAGTCAGCAAACTTACGATTGAAGAAGGTTAAACGCACCTCGTCTCGTAGAACAGGGACGCAAATAGCTCCTTCTTCATTGATTCCAGGATGATATATCTTTGTCTTGAACGTTACCTATCATACGATTTATCCCAATGCATATTGTACGTTTGAAGTCAGTCTCTCTCAAAACAATCAACAGTCCATCCGTACCGAAGGAGCTTTGAACGGAAAATTCTGGGGTAGGCTCAGGGCAAATTTAAATTTGCCACCCTTGTAAGGGGAGTCTAACTGTTATAAGGTAGAGCGAGCGATAGGTCACACACAGATATCTATAGGCACACGGAGGAAATTCTGTGACATTAACATACCTCAGCGATGATAATGCAATCCCATTCGAACAGATTATCTTCCTTTGCCTCGACCACGATATTCTAAAGTAAGATGGTACAAGATCAAGACAATTTGCAGGAACCTCCGACGTATGGAGGACATGGACAGAAACCTGAGCGCGCACCTCAAGTGGTTGATTATTGATATCTCGCAGTTCCTGAGTGAAGAAGGAAAGCAGAGGTATGAGGATCGAGGATGAGGTGTAAATCTATACACGTATGGATTAGGATGTGATCACCTTCTGAATTCGCCTGTAGACAATGCAAGTAACAGTTCAAAAAGATGGTGGAGGTCGATCGATAAGGATTAGATGGAGAAGAGATACTCACCGAAGTGCTGTACTCGTCATGGTCGGGGATCAAGCGTTCGGCCCGTGTAGACCGTGTGACCACAGGACTAAATTCATTGTGATCATGACTTGAATCAGCTTGAATCCACCCTTCTCATTGCCATGTACGACGATCTAATCATAGTCGACGATGACGAACCCCAGGCTGGGCCTTCTAACACCAACACCTCCTCCGACGCTATGAATGCACCTACATCCCCAGCCGCGTCTACATCTACACCTGGCCCTTCTGGTCCTCGTACCTCCTCGCGTTTGCGTGCATCCAGCCAAGCCCAACAAAATGCTCCATTAGTATCCACTCCGTCGTTGGCCTCAACAGCACCAGAAAAAGTTTCCACACGTTCGGGATCGCAACGCGGAAAGCCACAACCAAAGCTCAAGCTTAAACTAAGTGAAAAGCTTGCTGCACAAGCTCCGGGGATGTCATTTCTAGGACAATATGATAGGGAACTCGACTCTGACGATAACGAGGATCTAACGTTTGAGGAACAATTTATACTGAGGGTTCCGCCAGGGGAGGATTGTGATAAGTTGAGGAAAAGTGTAGCGGCGAGAGAGGTACCGGGAGACGTATGGTTCAAATTCAAGGGTGAGCAAGCCACAGTATTAAGGCTTATAAGAAGGTAACTCAGGGCTTACATACAGACTCTCGTCGTGGTGTATTTCACATTGGAAATAATACGTACTCTTCGAAGCTTGTCGATATGCCTTGTATAATGGAGTCTCAGAAGACTCTGGATAACAAGCAGATGTTCAAAGTAGCAGACATATGTCAGGTAGTCCCACGTCTTATACGAAACCGATCATACATTGGCCCGTATTGACTTGTCTATCCAGATGCTTGTAGTCGAGAACCGTATCGACAATGAAGACGTTGTAACTCGTGAAAAGAGCCTCAACATCGACGATTTCATTTGGCCGCACGGAATTACACCTCCTCTTGCTCATGTACGGAAGAGACGATTCAGGAAGAGGATTAATAAACGCGTGAGCTCTTCCTTCAGTACCTCTCCGAGGCGCTGATGCTGATGATCATCCGTGTTGTGGACAGACCATTGAAACCGTTGAACAAGAAGTGGAAAGACTACTTGAAGAAGATAATCTGGCAAAAGAAATTAAATATGGTATGTCGAATCTTAGTCTATATCCCTCGTCTCATCCCATGTATATCAATTCCTACAGAAATCCTTGAAAACGTCAACCCCGACCTATCCGACTCCGAATTTCTTGAACGCGAAGAACCCATTGATGCACCTACCCCCGCAATATCCGACTTGGGTGACCCCTCTACACCTAGTGTCATCCCTGGTGACGACGGCGAAGACGATGAGGAAGGAGATGAAGAACCAGAAGGCGATATTGACGAAGAGTTGGCAGCTGAACTTGATTTGGCTTTGGGTGATGAAGACGAAGATGGGGATGATGAGGAAGAGGAAGATAGCGATGAGGATGATGAGGATGATGACGACGACGACGAGATATCGCAGGCCAGGAAATTGCTTAATGAGGAGATTCGGGATTTGCAGGCTGCGGTGGCTAAGAAGGGTAGCGAGATTGCTAGTTCTGCTAATCCTCTTATCAGGGTTCGTTCTTATTTCTTTCATTTCTGGTCTCGCATCTCCCATTCCCATTTATTTGATACAGAAACGGTTCGAGGATGCACTGAAGAAACTGACGTCGGACCTTGAAATGAAACTCGCACAAAGAGACGAGCTGCAAGAGAAACAGAGGATGGAGGATGAAGGGATCGTGGTTAATAACGTTGGTGGTGGCGGGGATTCGGACTTCGAGGAAGTCGAAGTCGATGGTATAGCTGGAGGTGTTCTTGGCAGTGTCGTAGGTGGTAGCGGGCAACTTGGGCAACTCGGTCCAGAGGACGATGATCTTTTCGGTGATGAAGATGCAACGATGGATATGACTTAGCTCGGTGGTGTATTCTGGGTATACATATGATGGTCTTAGTATATGCCATAGGTTTGCTCGACAATGCAGAGAGGCTGCGTTCAATCTGCAACCGGTGCTGCTTCTAAGACTTCATTCACTTCGCAGCTTCCGCTTGGGCAAACAAGTCAGCCGAGAATACCCCATGAAGTACTCGAGCTATAGGATGCATGTATGAAGCCACCGACTCACCGCACAAACTTTATATTCGAAGTTGTGTAGAGTCACCCGAAAGTCAGTAGTAATTTGACTCGCCTCTCTTAGCCTAAACTTCTCAACCTTTTCCTCGAGCGACCACTGGACTGAAAGTTTCTTAATCAAATTGAACTACCTGCTCATCGGAAAATATGAATCCAACTCGATGAATGTACCGTACTGGACGCTCTAGATCTGTCAAGTTTGTCACTGAGCACAGTTTCTATAAATATGAACATTCGGCCTAGTAGTACCTCAGTCCAACCAAAAGATTGGAACTCCTGTTGGAAGGTAAAAAGTAGGGGGTAGTGATGCAAGACTCAAAACACTGTAATTGAAAAAGGCTGGATTTTCATCATTGAAAGGAAAGTTGAAACAAAAACAGGAATTTTTTTTGCATATCAGTAATTAGTGAGAGATCCCTTCAAGAAGCACTTGAGGTGCTAAATCCTTTCGATGTTCCTTCTTCAAGCATAATTTTCTCTCCCCACAGTTCTTGCATTTTCTGGGTTTATCTTCGAAAGCTGTCTCGGGATACCCACTAGTAGATATTTCGGGGTGCCTATCCCCCGTGTAACTCTGGTGTTGGTCTCCATGAATGTAAGACGTCGTCATAGTGCAGTAGGGAACACCAAAGTTGGAATTCAAACAGCGACATTGTCCTGTAGGCCGTTCCAATACATTCCGCTCTGCACATATCAATAAGCAAGCCACGTAGGTAAGTCTCAGAGCAATTTAGGCCGTTCACCTTGGAACTCTAGACGTAAACAGTCCCTACAAACAGTCCAGTCACAATCTCCACACCTTTTACCACTATCTCTCGAGCCGCAACGTCCCGTGTCCTCATCATCTTCATATGGATCAAAACGAGACTCATCCCAAAGGCGGAAACACCCATCGCAGGCCCTTGTTGGTTGGGGATCTCTAACGCGTGCCGCCCAAGCCAAATTTTCCATTTGGAAGAGCCTACCCATAGGATCATTTGGGCCACTGATTTTCTTGAGCATCTTCTCCACCTGGTGTACTTGCGGAGATTTAAGGCAGACACTACGCTTGTGTTGTTTCCAATCCATAATCTGGCAATCACGACTATTGTTTTATCAGTCTCAGACGAAGGCGGCTGGAAGGAATTGTGGAAGTCCTTACGAGCAGTAACTGAAAATAGATGTTATCATCAGTGATTGAAACTCGGGGAGAATGAACATAGACGCAATACACGGTTTTTTGGCATTTTGAGCATTTTTGAGGTCTCTCGCACTCCTTTTTGCAAGTGTGGCAACGCATGTTGAAGTCAAGAGCGGGATTCAAAAAGAAATTGAATTGTATGACCTTTAGGCTTTGATAAACTTTCAGGACCTACATATCCGGCTCCTGTCGGCGCAGTTTTTCAGTCACACGCCGTTAACCTTAAGTATGGGCCGTAACGGCGTTGGCAACATCAGCACTTCTAGATCAACTGCATGATTTGAGAGGAGTTGAGAGGGTGTTCCAGTATTCCTTGAGAGTTGACCGCAAAGGCGATACGAATAAGGAGCGTATCGCGTGTGAACATCTATCTTTTCTCCCGGCCCGAACCTAGTCAGCGGCTATATCCATCACTTGTCTCTTCTCTTCTTCCACGGTTTAGGAATAGTTGAGAGTCAATGATGGTATGCCCTTTATCGGAGGTTTGTGTGAAGACTGATATTCAATCTTCATCTTTCAAGTCCGTTCTTAGCTCAAAGAACCTGCTAATTACCACTGGCACAACAATATACAGGCCATTGCTAAACTATCTACACAGTTAACATTCAACAACAAGGCCTCCACGCAGGCCAGAGATCCGGAGATGAATGAAACTGTTTCAATTACAGTATCTTTTATCAATATTCTTGAACAGATAATTCTGGTTGTAACTGGATTTTATAACGACGACGACTGTTCGTTCCACATTCTGATACTAGCTGGGCACTCGTGCCGACGCGTCTCAGCACAGATATGCTCACTGGAAAACTAGTGATCTGCAGTCCTCGCATCAACAAGACCATGCGCAATGGTCATATAGCTATGGAAATCCAAACCCCTTATTTTAGGCTGGATAAACTTCAAGTTTGTGTTGCGCATGCCAGGAATTACCGCTCCGGGCCCGGGTACGGTATACAGTATATGAAACTCGAATCAAGTGAAGTTATAGAGCCTTCCATGCAGGTCATAACAATTTTTTGAACAGTGAACTCTTACTTAATTTAGAGGTTTATGCACCGGGGTATGCACCGGGGTATCTGTTACATCGCTTCGTCCAGTGCCAGTCAACTTGGACGGTTTATCTTAGTGCGTTGTACTGATCGTGCATTTGATGATGATGCTCCCTCCCACGTGTTACTTGCAATATCCCCTTGCCGCCAGCTGAAGGTACTGTCTCTTTGCCATATTATACATCGCACATATAATGGGTGCAGAATATTTCTAGGCCACTGAGCCAGAGCAAGAACGAACCCGCTTTCCGGCCCGAGTCTCACTAGTTAGGGGCTGTGTATCAAAGCTCGCTATAAAATTTTTTGATTCCCCTCCCCCCTCCTCTTCTTCCACCACTAAGAGCAAATACAAATAACGATATGCCCTTTATCGAAGGTATGTCATGAGATTGATGTCAAACTATCGATTTTTTTTCCAAGTCTAACTCTTTTGGTCAGAAGAACCTACTACTACCAACTCCCAACCGGACATAGTAGTAGCCAACACTGGTGTTATACAGGGACGAATCAAGGACGAGCCTTCCTTGTCTTCCACGCAGACCCCAGATTCGGAACTCCATAAACCTGCCTCGATCACAACTCTCCCTTTTGATATTATCGAAGAGATCACTCTTCTAGCGACTGGATACTACGACGACTGCGTCGATCTACCTGATACTCTGGATACGCACGCCGACGTCCCCGCAAAATTCGCACAAGTATGTTCGAGGTGGCGATCCGCAGTCTTCGCTTCCGCAAGGGCATGGTCGACGGTTATAATCAAAGATACTCGAACCCCTTATTTTAGGCTGCGTAAACTCCAAGCCTCCATTTCCCGCGCGAGAACTACACCGTTACGAGTTTATATCTCCCTCAAGCACGGCGCATGTGTGAAAATATTCGAGGAAATCATGGAATCGTTCAGCGAAAGTCGGTTGCTTGATTTGGAGGTCCGTGTACCGGGGTATTTGTTTAGCTGCCTTCGAGAACTACCGCCGCAATCGACTGAGACAACCTTGAGACGATTGTCTCTGTTGCAATTGCCTTACGCTGACCGTATTCCTATCGATGATCTAGTAGGTGTTATTATTCCCTTCACCCCGTCATTTATCACTCGCGATATTTCATCGCCGATTATTCTGAGATCTGTCCCGGAGTTGCGGGAATTGTCCCTTCGCGATATAGCTTATCCGCGGTTTATGTTGAAGAAGATTAAAAGTACATGCCTGACCACTTTGGCTCTCTCGTTTCCTGCTCAACTCACAGCAGACGATCTCGAACCCCTCACACACCTTCCGAACCTGAACGAGCTTTCGGTTTCTCGATCACACAATCAGCATTCACCTCGCACGATGTCTAACATCAATTATCTCGGTTCGGTCCGTCATTCAGAGAGCCCGTGGCTCTCCACCGACATACAGTTGCTTCATCTCAAGAAATTGCGAATCGCCCATGCTGGTGTGTTCAATGTCAAGCAGATCCACTACCCCGCACTCGAAATCCTTGACTTTGACGAAGAACACACCTCTCAGGTTCCTGCATTGAGTGACTTCGTCTATCGGTCAATGCTCATGCATTGTTTGGTCAGTTTAACTATCCGATCCTGTGTCTTCACAAATCACCTCGGGAACGCGTTCCGTTTGATGCCCGTTCTTTCGACGTTGAAATTGTACGGAACATCCGAAGTGGATGCGTCGGAGCTTTCGCCTATGCTGGATCGTCTTTCGATGTGTGTATCGGGTCCTCCGGGAGGACCAAGACCAGCCCTCTTGCCTATGTTGGAGAATTTAGAAATCCGGATCGAGCTGTTGAAACCCGGCGGCGAGTGGTTTGCGCCGTTTGTGCGCAACGAACCTTCGTTGCATCAATTTGTGCACGCGAGGTGGGGTGTTGTCGCCCGGGAGGCTGAAGGAGTGGGGCGGTTGAAGTCGTTTCGTTTTCAGTGGAAGTTTTGTTGGTTGAATGAGGTGACGAGGGTATCGTCGCCGTATACGCAGCGGTTTCAGGAAGTGCGGGATGAAGGGATGCGGTTGTCGTTTGAGGTGTTGAGGCCGAAGGTTAATCCGGAGAGTGCATCTCAACGTATTCTAGATGACGAGGATGATTATGTGCTTTTCTCATTTTGAAATGAATCTTCGATGTTCGGTTAGTCCTAGCCATCCATGCCCTCGTCCACTTTACTTCCTCCAGAATCTACTTTTATCATCCGATAACACAGACTCAACAGTGTTTATTCTCTGAAAATCTGAATCGTCTCAATAGTATAGCTCCAAATAACAAATACACATACTTTACTTTACTTTAGTGGATACTGAATATACTTATTCTCACTTAACTAACCTATGAAACAACTCACTTCAAAACTTATCTGTACCATAGTGTAACCTACTCCCAATGTGATTTGTCTTGTCTTCTTACTCCTCCTCAATCTCCGTGACGATCCCTATACCAGCAGTACCAGCAGTACCAGCAGTATCATTACCAACCCCACTAACAACATATCCCTCTTCCTCCTCCTCCTCCTCCTCCTCCTCATCTCCTCCTCTATCTTCCACTCCTCCTCTTCCTCTATCATCCACTCCTCCTCTTCCTCTATCCTCCACTCCTCCTCCTCCTCTATCCTCCACTCCATTCAAATCATCATCCCCATTCCCATCATCGAAATCCAGACCAGGCGTATCAACGGGGTCAAGTACCGGTGCAGGCGAGCTTGGTGTTTCCTGGATTATTATCATTTCCATGGGGGTGTCGTGAGGAGGTGTATCTATATCTACGGGTGTGTCCGTGGTGATGTCGGGGAGTGTGTCTGTGGTGATGTCGGGGAGTGTGGAGTGGAGTGTGTCTTGGGGTGTGTGGTGGAGTGTGTCTTGAGGTGGTTCCAGAGGTGTTCCGGGAGCAGCATAGCCAGCAGGACTATCCTTAAACTCCCCGTATTCCTCGTACTCCTCATACGCTGTAACACTCGCATGTCGTAGAGGACTAGGCTGAGGCTGGGACAGCAGTCCCAGTCCCCCTGCAAGCCCTACCGAAGGCGATTTCTCTTTCACCACACCACCCTTATCCTTCGAACCCACCCTCGTCCTCTTCCGCGCCTCCGTCTCTTTCTCCTTTTCCTTTCTCTTCCTCTCCCTTTGCGCTTTCTTCTGCTTCTCCCTCTGCGCCACAGCTCTATCCTGGGCATCGAGCTCCGCGAGTGTTTCCTGCGCCTCCAATTCCTCGCGCTCGTCCAGTTCCCATTGTTCTGCCATGTATTCGGGGTAGCGGGCGGAGAGGGGGCGCCAAGTCCGTGTACCAGGCCTAGGATTCGGATTTAGACTCGGACCGGTGGGAGTGTCGGGTATGATAGCATCAGGATCCCTAGTCCCATCCAACACCGCATCGATATCCTCCGCAGGGGGATACTCAAACACCGGGCCGGGATTCATGCGTACCTCGGCATCGTTGAACAAGGAGATGAAGGGGTAGTACCCCAAGGACCCGTCGTCGAAGGGGTTGTCTTTGTGGGATTCCTTGAGGCCGTCGCGGGTGCGTGGTTTTTTCTTGTCTTTTTCTTTGAATTTTCGTTCGGATTGGGGGAGTTGGAGAAAGTCGTAGAGGGTGTGGAAGGCGGTGCCTTGGGGTTGGCCGTTGATGAAGAAGGCGATGCGGGAGTTGGGGAGGGTTGGGAGAGGGCGGAGGGTGTTGTTGGTGGTGGTGGTGGTGGAAGTGGAAGTTTGGGGGTTTTTGGATTTGGTGGATTGGACTGGGTTTCCGGTATTTGGAGGAGCCAATCCACCTCTGTTCCCTGCGCCTTTCCTCGTTGTTGTAGATGGAACTGAGGTGGAATTCGCAGCTTTGCCTTCATAATCCATAAGCGCAATCATCTCTTTTGACTGTGGATACTCCTGCATCTCGAACATCTCCTGTCCTTTAAAATCAATCGCGATTCTTTCTCTCTTCAAATGCGCTGGGTCCGTGGGATCTTTCTCGTCAGCTTCGCGTTTAGTCGGGAGGGAGATATACATCCCTACAACATCCCCAGATCTAAACGGTCGTCCATACGGCCGAGGTCTAGACAACGTGACTTTTTCACCCGTTTTATCCCGAAAACCATAACTATACCCATCCAACCCAACCGGTCCATTCAACGGCGCTTCTCTCCTCCCCCATCCCAATCTCACATAACACCCTTCCCGCATCCCCTCATTAGAACTCGGCTCCCCACCAGCCTTCAACACCTTCACCTCCATATACCACTTTCCTTCCCGCACAGGCGCGTTCCCCCGCGCACTCCGATGTCCCTTGGACCCAAGCAACCCCAATCCGTCTTTGGTCACGTGGATAAATGCACTGCGGTCTTCCCAGCTTACGCGGTAGGATGCGGGGTGGGATTCGATGGTGTGGAAATGGATTGTGGGGTTGGAGGGGGAGGGGGGGTTGATTCCGGCGGGGATGTAGCGGAAGCCGACGCGGTTGACGCCGATGAGGTCGGTTTTGTGGTAGATGGAGCCTTCGGAGATGGGTGTGAAGATGGGGCCGCGCGAGAATTTGAGTTGGGGGCGCGAGAAGAGGTCGGTGCGGGATGTTAGGACTCTGTGAACAGTTAAATGATAGTAGTAAGCAGTAAGAAAAGAATGCGTACTCGGGTGTACCAGAATCAGAAGGTGCAGGCGAACCAGCTGGTTGTTGTTGTTGCTGCTGACCACCACCACGTTTTCTTTTTTTACTTCCACTTGGGGCTGTAGTTGGTTGAGGCGACGGCCGCGCTTCAGGCGGAGGTGATGACAATTCAGCCAACATCGTAAAGAGGAGATGAATTAGCGCCCAACAATGATTTTGGTCTCGACCGCCATGTTTACCCGACATTTTCCGGTTCTCGACAAGCTCGAGAACATACAAGATATATGTTCAAGTTCTAGATGGTGGTTCTGGATTCTTTACATAGCCTGTACTAACTCGCTGTACTTAAGACCAACACTAGCTACTAGTTTTCTCAATAACAATGTCGCTTGTCCCAGTCGAAACAATCACCACCGACATCGCATCAGTCGATATATCAGACCAACTCCCAGAAGGCCAACGTACACCTCACGCCACTGAAAAAAACCCCTCCTCCCCATCCCATGGCATTTCCGAAGACGGTACCTCCAAATCTTCCTTACCCTTAACCTGCCCAGTTTCCGGTGCATCAGCTACCCCAGGCTCCTCCTGCCCCATCTCCAACCCAACAACCCAAGAAATCTCCCCCTCCCTCCTGCGCACCTCCCTCCCCGACCGCATCAACTACATCAAAGACTTTCTCATGTTCGGCACCCCCGATCAAGAAATCCTCCACAAAGTAGCTCCGCTGGTAAACGACCTGATTCCCCAGGTCGTGGATGATTTGTATGCGAAGCTGTTTGAGTTTGATGTTACGAAGCAGGTGAGATGGAGAGGTTCAATTTGGTGTGTGTGTTGGAATTGACCTTGGTTGTTGTAGGTATTTTTGAAAAGAAACGAGGCAAGTGGGAGGGTTGGTTGATACTTCACTGCTCTGTGTGACTGACGCTTTTCATTGTAGGGTTTCGATGGACCAATACCATCTAGACTAGAGGATTTGACTTTGGATTCACCGCAATTGGTGTATAGAAAGGTCAGCACTCCCACATCCCTTTTTCCTCCAGAGATTCACGCTTACACCTCCCCCAGATATTCATGAAATCCTGGGCCCGCCGCGTCCTCACCTCAGACTACTCCTCCGGCAAAACATGGGCGTATATGGATAAAGTCGGGATCATGCATACCGGTGTGAAATCGTTCAGGCATAGGAATCATGTTGCGCCGTTGGTTGTTCCTTGTGAGTTGCCTCTCCCCTCCCCATCCCCTCTCTCTCCTCTTTCCCTCCCCTCGCTCCTCGCTAACCCCCCACCCCAGACCGCGACTGCGCCCTCTCCCTCGGCTGGGTCCAAACCGTCCTCCAAACAGCCATCCTCCAACTCGCCCCCGCCGAGCTCTCGAACGACGAAAAGATCGCCGCGATCGGCGCGGTGAGTAAGGTTATATGGATACAGAATGATTTGTTTGCGAGGCATTATGTCGATGAGTAGGGATGTAAAGATTAAGATTAAGATTACGATTAAGATAGATGGATGGAAGGTAGAGAGATATAAGGTATTTTCTTGCATATAGCTCTGTGTAGTTAGTGTGTGTAATATATATACGACTGAGAAGCAGTCAGTGTTCTTAACCCGGAGTCGATAAGATAAGATAACAAACCAAACCAATATATACCCACCCTTCCTTCTCCATAATCCACCACCATAATCCCCCACCCACCATGCCAACCAGAATCACATCCACCTTCCATCCCTCCTCCTCCATAATCTCTTCCGTGAAATGTTCCCTAATCTCACCCGACCTCTCACACCTCGTGGTAGCCAAACTCAACAGCGTATCGGTATACTCCATCCTGGAGTCTGGACTGCAGTTGGAATGCAGTGTGGGGGTGAGAGGGAAGGTGCGGGTTGTTAGAGCTGTTCCTATACAGGTGAACTTTTTGTCGTATTAATAAGACATTGTTATGTATGTACTGATCGCAATCGCTCAATCCCTCACAGAACTCCCACCGCTCAAACCTCCTCATCCTCCTCGACCACCCCGATCCCGAACTCCTTATCTTCACTTACACCGAAACATCCGCACCAGGAACCGCCACGTTGAATATCAAACACCAAATTCCTCTAGACGAACGCGGAAGCAGACCTTCGGAATTATGCACAGATGCTATCGTACATCCTTCTGGGGTATTCGGTGTAGTGAGTTGTTATACAGGGAAATTGAAAGTGGTGATGATGGAGAGTGGGGAAGTACATAATGTACAGTGCGTTGGATACTTGATATGCAAACCTTCAATAACTCATCTCATTCCAGGATACCCGAACTAAACCTCCTAAGTTACACTTTCCTCCCACTTGTCCACAAGCACAACTATGCGTTGGCGCTTTTGTATATCGACTACAAGGAACATATCCAACTCGTGTCACGTAACTTGCGTATTTCCCTCTCCTCCGAGTCCAATGTCGATCTCGACATCTCCTCATACTCCCACCTCCTCCCCCCAACAACCATCTCATACAAACACCTTCCCAACCCAGCAGAGACCGCAGTCCACCTTATCCCGATTCCTGCCGATGAGGATTACATGTATGATATGCATATGCATATGGATGAGGATGAACACGAAACAGACATATTCCTCGGCGGAATCCTCGTCGTGGGAGGGAGGAAGGTGTTGTTGTATGAGTTAACCTCGCAGGAGGCTCAGGAGTTCAAGCCTGTCAAGGGAAAAGGGAAGAGGAAGCGGGATTCAAAGAAGCAAAAGCAAATCGATACTCCTACTCCTACTCCTAATACAGACTCTGGTTCTAGTAAGCAAAAGAACTTGAATGAGATCAAAAAGAGGGACCCGAGGGCGACGGTTGAGTGGCCGTGGAGTTGGGTCACAGCGTATGTTTTTTGTTGCCTTACTTGACTGTTTAAATTATGCTCATATCCTATGTATTCTACTATGCAGTTGCACCCCCGTAGACGAAGACGAATCATCTCACAAAATCCTAATCGGGGATGCATTCGGGAGGTTGGCGATGCTTTCGCTGTATAGGTTCAAAGAGTTCGGTATGGTGTTGATTCCACTCGGAGAGGTGAGTTCTCTTTACCGTGTTCCTTATTCAATTCTCAGAAATATTATATTATTTGACTAAAAACTGCATTATTTGATTAAACACACCCACACTCCCATGTAGACCTCACCCCCCACCTCCCTCACCTACCTCTCCAACCAAATCACCTTTATCGGATCGCACCTCGGGGACGCGCAGCTCGTGCGCATCAGCCAGGTCGCGCTGTCGACGGCGAAAGAGAGTCTGACGTTGCCGATACCGGAGTCGGTTGGTACGAGGATCTCGGTGGAGGAGTTTAATAAACTTGATGATGATAGGGGGAAAGGACCGAGTAGTGGTGGTAGTGGTGGTGGTGGTGGTGGTAGTGTACATGGGAGGGGGAAGGGGATCAAGAAAGGCTGGATCGTCGCGACCCACGGGTCGTTCATTGAAGTTATCCAGACTTTCAAGAATATCGCACCCATAAGGGACGCGGTATTAGCGGATTTGGATGGGAGTGGGCAGGTGGGTTTTGTTTTATGTTTCCTCTATCCCCTCCCCGTCAAACACTTTCATCGACTCACTAACCCTTTTCTTTTTCCTTCGCTTTCCGTTGTGTTGTAGTCACATATCGTCACCTGCTCCGGAGGCGGGAACGCTGGATCAGTCAACATCGTTCGCATCGGAGCGGATTTCGAAGAAACGGCGTCGGTGCAGGGGGTGGAAGGGGTTATTGATATGTGGCCTGTGAGACTTAGTTATGGGACTGCGTGAGTTGTGTTTTTTCGTTTATTCGTTTGTTCGTTTATTCATTCAACCTTTTATATTATACGTCTCATCCATCCTTAATTGATTCTCTTATTCTCTACAACCTTTCCTGATTCAAAACTCTATCCCCCCCTCCCTCTCACAGTCTCCACTCCTACTTCATCACCACCACCCTCCTCTCCACCCACGTCTTCCACCTCACCCCCAACCTCAACCCGAACCCCACCTCCACCTCCACCTCCAACCCCACTCAACTCGAATGCGTCGACACCTCCCACGACTTCATCCTCCCCAACCAAACCCTCTACATCGGCAACATGGCTCTGAAAACAGCTGGGAAATACGACGAAGATTCGGCGCTCGTGGTCCAAGTCGTTCCGGAGGCTGCGGTGCTTCTCCAGTATGATGCTGTGTTGGGGAGATGGACGTGTGTGGATAGGGTGGAGGCGGATGCGGATAAAGGGGGGAGTGGAAGTGGAGGGGGGAGTGGAGGGGGGAGTGGAGGGGGGAGTAGAGGGAAGTTTGTAAAGGCGAGTGGGAACGCGAGTCAGTTATTAATTGCACAGGCAGGGGGGTGGGTGGCGGTGTATACGGTGCAGATGCGGGAAGGGAAATTGAGGTTGGTCAGGACGACGTGAGTTGGTTGGGGGTTTTTTCTTTCTTTTTTTCCTTTTTTCCTTTTTTCCTTTTTTCCTTTTTTTTCTTTTTTTGAAAAAAGTAGGTGGATGCTGAAGATTTATTTATTTGACCCCTCCTTGGTTGTGTAGTGCGCGGAAATTGGATTTGACGGAACAAAAAAGGTACGTTACGTTTGTCGGATCCGCATTTCCATATATATATCCCACCTCATATCTATCTCCCAGCCCCTCCCTCTTCCCCTCCCCCTCCCCCTCACCCCCCTCATGGTACAACACCGAAATCTCCGCCCTCACCTGTCCCCTCCTCGACCCCTCCAAACACTTCACCCGTCTCATCGCCGCAGCTTTCTGGCACACAAACCAACTTGCCCTGTATACCTTTACTCCTCAATCCGCCGAGTTAGAACTTTTATGTCAATCTCCGCTGGGGGCACTGACGTCCCCGGTGCGGGCGGTGGTGATGGGGTTTATGAGTGTGGGGCGGTATCGGGTGGAGGATCGGGAGTCGCATTTGTGTGTGTTTGCGGGGTTGGCGGATGGGGGGGTGGTTTCGTGGGAGGTGGTGGTGGAGGAGGAGGAGGCGCAGGCGGAGGAGGAGGAGCAGCAGCAGCAGAGTGGGGTAGGTGGGGTAGGTGGGCAGGGTGCACGCATCAAAGTCCCGCGATTAAAAGACATGAATATCATTTCACTGGGCAACACACCGGTGTCGTTTACCCAATACGAAGCTGATGGGAGACGGGTCGTGGTTGCCGCCGGGAGCAGAGCCGTGGTGTTTTCGTGGGAAGGGTCGCATTTGAGGTCTGCGCCTGTTATGCTTAAGGTAAGCGTTCGGTTTCGTTTGAATTTGAACGTCAAAACCTGACTATATATTCGTTGGATTGGATTGGATTGGATTGGATCACAGGATATCACCGCGGTTACAACACTGAACACCGAGAATTACCCCAACTCCCTAATGTTGGCTACTGATTTCGGGATATCGATAGGAAGGGTGAGGAGTTTGGAGAAGATGCATATTCGTTCTGTAGGTTTTCCCAATTTATTTCGCTTTTTCCCCCCCTCTCTAATTCGAATACATACATACATACATTTATAGACATCACTGGGTCTTCACACCCCGCGCCACATCGTGCACGAACCCACCCATAGAGTGTTTGGTGTAGGAACTGTGTATACCGAGCCGTGTCGGGTCGGAGAAGAAGAGAAGACGATGAATTCGGTGAAGTTGCTTGATGATACGACTTTGGAAGGTGTGTTTGTTTCTTTACCCCACACACACACACACACACATACTCTCTCTCTCTCTCATCTCTCACCATTCTCCTGCTCCCGCTGATGCCTACTCTACTTCCCAGTATTAGCTCAAGCCGAACTCCAGCAAGATGAGCAGATAATGTCATTAGCTGTTCTCCAGGTGAACGACCACCACCACAACAACAACAACAACAACAATAACAACACCTCTCAACAACAGCACCTTCTCTGCGTAGGGACCTTTTCCCTGCGTCTAGACGAGACCGAACCCACTTCCGGCAAGATCTTGCTGTTCGAAATTCAACACGCCTCTTCGACATTAATCCAGCTCAAACGCGTTGCAGCGACGGATGTTGGTGGTTGTGTATACTCTTTGGTGGTTATCGATGGTTTACTCGCTGCTGCGATAAATTCTTCTGTAAGCCCCCCACCCCATTCTCATCGTACATCGTACATTGACCACCAGAATTCATTCATGGTTGGTTTTCCTCCCTCCTACTATCTAGGTATCCCTATACCGAGTATCATCCATCACAGAAGACCTCAGTCCCTCCACACCATCGTACACGATCCACTCGATGATGGAGTGGAACCACAACTATATGGTTACCTCCCTTTCGGCGTATCGCAACCACTTGGTCGTTGCAGACCAATTCAGCTCCGTGTCGTTGTTGGGATTGGAGGGTGATGATGATGATGATGATGGTGATGATGGTGGAAATCGGAAGTTGGTAACGGTGGCAAGGGATTATTCGCCTTTGTGGCCGGTATGTGTGGAGGCGGTTGATGATAAGAGCTTTGTAGGCGCAGATGTGAGTTTTTTTTCAAGTTGTGTTGGATGACGGGGTTTTTCTCGTGAAATTGTTGTGATTGTGGTTTGGTACTTATGCTTCGTGCGGTTCGCAGCAATCTTTGAATATGTTCACCTTCTCGTTGAGCCAAGCTACTACTAATAATAGAACAATACTGGTACGGGATGGGTTTTATCACGTCGGTGACCTCATCACGAAGTTTATCAGAGGTAAGAGTTATAGTCCTATATACTTGTCATTCTGCTTACCCAACTGACTTATTATTGTCGTCGTTGTCAGGATCACTTGCCACCACGACGGATTCAGCGCCAGGAAGATTCAAATCCACGCATATATTCTGCACGCTTTCGGGTCAAATCGGTGTCATTACTAGCGTTGAGAACGATATCGTTCTGTCGAGGTTTTTGTCGGCGCTTGAACTGCAGTTGGGTCAGAAATCGATTTCGGCGGGGGGTGTTAGTCATGCCAAGTACGTCGTGTTGTTCTCCTCTCTTTGCCGTGTGAATACTCACTCACTCATTATTCACTCACTCGCTCACTCACCGCGACCACGGTAGGCACCGTGCTCCGAGACTTTCGAGAGGACGCAGCGATGCTGATTCGGCGGCGTATGGTATCCTCGACGGAGATCTGTTGGAACAAATGTTAACCTATATGAACACGGACCCCGAACTGGCTGAGGAGATCTACACATTGTCAGTGGCAGATGACGATGATCTCCCGTACACACTGGCAGAGTTGAAGAAAGATCTCGAGTTGTTGCAAAATATGCATTGATAAATAAATGTATATATATCATTGTACTACGTGGATTTGTGATGATCTTTCTGTTGTATTTACTATACCATCCACCGCATTTGAAGAAACGAGAAATACTACATAGCAATATGTATATTAGAAGTGTTTCTATTTTTGTCAATCCATCTGTTTTACGATTTCTCCACTTCCGCCTGTCGGGGCTTTCCATAGAGATCCAATGGCCCGAATTCCCAAGCTTCTCTGTACCTTCTGGAAAACCACCATCGCGTCGCCAACTTCACTGGCAATGGCAACGGCGGGAACCTACAAGCCCAATCGGCAGCAAACACAATCAGAAAACAAAACCCATACTTGGAATCTGTACGTATGATCCGAAGTACCCACCACGGAGTAGCCGGGTTTGCGCAGACCATGCCCCACGGAATTGATGTATAGAAACTAACAGTTTTGAGCGCGATGCTCAAACCTTGGGAATCAATGTCCTTCAGTTCTTTTTCCGTGAAAACGGCTTTCAAACGACTTGCGTCGAGTGTTGGGATTTCCTGTAAAACAAGTATGTATTCGTGGTCAGCCAGGGCTTGATGCCACAGAATATGTATGATACTTAGGGCATGCCTGCCTTACATGACTTAGGTGCAGCATCATAGAATCACTAAACGAATGTATCTTCTCCACAAGTAGTGGTCCGTCATACGCCAACTCTCCAGTTTGCACCTTTTGAAGATACACCTTCACTTCGTCCAATTGCGGAACGAAGTCTGCGTGTTCTTCAAAGTTGCGCGACAATGTCCCTGCGCCGAGCTTCTTCTCTAGTTCGGGAAATAGAAAGGTTTCTTCTATGTGATGATGGTGGTGGATGTTATCTATCTGCGACAGTGAGATGGGATGGGATGGCAGAGTTGTTGGTTCGACATCGTGATGGGGAATGAACAATGACAACACACCACCGTGAAACAGAATACCATGAACGGCTGAAGCTTGTTCGTTGGAAGCGTCGGCGCATGCGCTACTATTGCATTGATGCTTTGAATGAACATATTGTGGACTGCTGCCATATGTCTACGGTATAATCATCAATCGAATTTGAGCACCGCACGAAATGACAACCGACCCAAGTCTAATACTCACATAGCTGGGTATTCATGTATGTTCTTGATACTGCCAGGGGGCATATCTGTTACAACATAAATCGGAAAGATTGAGCTGGAGCGTTCGAGGGGAAGGAAGGACCACCGCACCAAGAAGAGGGTATGGAGCAGGCATCGTCGTGAGTTTGTGGATGGTGAACGTTTGAACGTTTGAACGGTGAAGGGGCAATTTAATACATCGTGATTCAGGTACACCGTACAGCGCGGGCTCGGAGTTATAGCCAGGTTATAGCCACCAAATATCATTGGGTTTTTTCCTTCTCCTACAGCTCATTTTGATTCTACGTAGCTGATAGCCTGGTACCGAATGACTGAGGGCGGCAGGTTTCAAATTTTGCAGATACGACAATCAGAAAACCTAGCAGTGTGGATTCAGCCCTATTCAGCCGCGTAGTATGGGGTCCTACTGGAGCAGACACTAGCCTATATGAACACTGGGTCCTGAGGCTCAAAAACGAAAAGTCTACGTACTCGAATGTGACAAAGAATTATCTCTCGTACGCTCTTGCTTGCTTGTGCATATGCATATTGTTGTGATAAAAAGAACTCGAATCATTGGAAACCAAGATGATCATAATTGCCTGTTTGGGAAATTCTACGTACGGCTGACCACGAATTTACCGCCTTTCCCGTCTCCTCCACGAAATATCCTACACAATTTTCTGTATATACCTCTGTATTACTGCAAAGCCTCGTTGACGAATCGTAGCCTCGTGTACGGAGGATGCTCAGGCCTCGATACAACCTCGTGCCACCTCGTGTTCGATACTTCTGTTCAAACAAACTTTAGTCCTTCAAGCCCGATAATTATCGCTTGTTCGAGCCCTTGATTGATTTCAGTACAACATGTAATGGCTTACTCGACCTCGCGGGAATATTTATACAGGTAGCCCTTTGACTGAGAATGTCACATACCCTTTCTTTGTTGTCTTTGTTCGAATGCAAAATTCTTTTAAAAGGTGCGATATGATTTTGTTTTCCCTTCTGCTGCGCGACCAAAACCAGCCCTCATCGGGGAGGATAGTCATACAGGTGATCCGTGGTCTGTACATCCTGCAATCGACCATCGACCTGAGAACCTTGCCGGCACGCTGCAAGATACTATATAACCCGTTTTCGCCTTCATCTTTGACCCTTGCTCACACAACCATTCTCATCAACCCCACTACCAATGTTCAACTCGCTGCTTCGCCTTTGGCGCTCACGAGGCGACGTTCAACAAGATTTGGAAGCCAACCCTAACAATGACCATTTCACGAGGTTACCTTCTGCGCAACGGTCCCGACCCAATCAGCCCAAACTTCAGCTGAATACGAGCATGATTAGCATTCCAATCAAACGCTCGCCTCATTCTATTACCGGTATTGAAGGACATGAAGCGCAATGGCATACAAGTCCTAATGGTTCCACTCGTTCTGGTCCTTCCAATATCGCCTGGCTGAGACACGATCCTTCCCGGGATGAAGATCAACTACCAGTTCGTCCTCCTGCTGCACGGCTGGGAATGGTTCGCCATACGGCTATCCCTCTGAGTCGCTCGATATCATCTCCGGCGTCCTCGCAGCTTCAAGTTTATCCTGCTCGGAGGCTCGGAATGAACCCAGCTCATGCGGGAAGTACTTTCTCCTTGCGCATGGATGGCCAGTCGCATGTAAGCACCCTTTACGGAGATGCATACAACTATCCACTTGTGAAACCACTTTCGCCCATCGCGGAGCAAGACTACTTTTCCCCGGAATCACTAAGGAAAACCATTCAGCTACCTCCTGATACCAGTACCTCCATCTCCCCAAGTGTATCTAGTCCAGCCGGATCCCATTCGACTCGTGAGTAATCATTCATTTCCCCCAGATCATGTCAACTAAGCGGAGTATGGTTGACACAGGACCTTCCCCCGTGCACTCTCTACCTTTCATTACTCGGCCCGTGAACCGAAGCCTTTCGCAAAGTACCCATCGATCTGGCCGTTCTACGACATCTACAGTCACCCCAATTTTGCCTCTTCCCGAAGCTCGACTTCAAACTTCCGGACCCTATACCTCTCAGGATGGAGATGCTCACCCGTTGCGTCCTGGAAAATCATCCAACCGACTTACGACCATGCCCACAATTCCCGCAGGAAGCTCTGAAGAGTATCAGATCGGCAACGAGGCAGCGGAGAGTTCATATGGAGGTCACGAAGAAGCAGAAGACGGATCGGAAGGCTCGGAATCACTCCGTTCCTTCGTCACAGCCGGTGATACCAGTCCAAACCAAACTGTCCCCCCAATTGCGATGGATTATGGCTCCACACCATCACCGCTTCCTGTGCCTGCTCCAGTTGCACAGTCACAAAGTTACAGCAAGATTCTCCCTGTAGAGTTCACAGAGACCGACGTTTCCATGATCCGTTCGGATGGTAGCAGCGTGCAGGCTTATACACGATCTCCTGCTTCAGTATCTTCATCTTTCATCCGGCGTCGATGGGACAAAGACGCCGGGTATCCTGTTGGACCTGGAGCCTTCAATCTGAAACCAAAACGTCAATGCTTTTACATCGATGCTACCCCAGCATTATGGGCGTTCTTGCTAGGGTTCTTCTTCCCAGTTCTATGGTTTGTGGGAGGTTGGCACTTTACGAACTTTGGGGAGCAACCGGCGAGATTGACGTTGTGGGAGTTTTACTTCAATGGCGCGTATTGGAGAGAGTTATTCTGTTGCGGAAGGGGAAAGCTGAAGTGGAATGATCAGTTGAAGGAGTCGGAAAGCTCGGAAACGAAGAAGGGTAAAGGGAAGGAGAGGGAGAAACCACTGAGGATTCGTCATCCGCCACCACTCCCAAGATGGATCACAGAAAAACTCAGTACGGATGTGAAGAAGGCCCGGCTCAACGACGCTAAACGCTCTTTGAGGGGTATATCGTTCGGCTATCCTTTCGTCCCTAGACCGGTGGTCTGTTCTTCCTCATCACATTCGAATGCGACACAGGCTGCCCGCCGAATCATGTCAGTCCTATCCAGACCGAACAGATTTCTCGACCAATTCTACGGTGTGCGATTGAGAGATGTAAGGGGCAAACGTGAGGGTCCGAGGAGAATATTCGACCCGTGGATTCAGAGATGTAGGTATGCATTTTGTTATGCTATGGTTCTGTTTTTATGTGGACTAGCTACGGCCGCCACAACTCTTATCATATTCAGCCTTAGAGACTTCAGATAGCGTTCGCCATGGTCGCTTCCCTTCAACTATGTACTTACATGCAGTGTATGTATTGATAGACAGTATACTGTACATGTATTTTCGGATAACACTCACCCTGCAGTCACTCTTCACAATATTAGCGCCGTCCGGTGACCTCTTGAGCGCCAATATCTGCTTCATTCTTTGATACCGGACCCCATCCTATGTCGAACGACGACCCCCGTGACGCCTCTCTGGAATCCAAATTTGTGCTCCCCAACACTTGGTATCGAGATGATGCTGGTCTGTGCCTCAAATAACCTTGTCAACGTTGGAAATACAAGAATGGTTAACAAGTAAAATCCTTCAGATTCACTAAGCACTTCTGGAGTGTTCTTTTCCGGTTTGGTCATGGTGACAAGGAACAGGTGCGTCTCCCAGTGACTTACACCGATATGCACTCACTGATAGCCGTGTATGTTTATTATAGATATCTAGCGTGGCCCGGGGTGCTATTCGCATTGAACTCGGCAATAAACCAGCATACCTTGCGTGCAAAAGAAGGATCTGGTGGGGCTTTAGGGAACTTGACGTGAGATGCTCCCACTGTTCTCGATGATGATTTCTAACTAAATAATTCCTTGCAGTTTGTCCTTCATGGCACTTCTGGCTTCTTATATCCCATTTGTTACCGTTACAGCAACAAAAATCTCATAATTAAGCCTTGCAGACACGAACACCTGGTAGATAGCTGGATACACTACTTTCTTGACGTTGCTTCTTGATCAAGGTGGACAGTGATGCTGACACTGTAATAGATATGATTCTTTGATACACGATTAAGTGGTTTCCTGACTATTAAGGTACAGGGTATCGAAAGGAATGTGCACGGGTCGGGTATAAGAAATTACTTAAAGAGGTGAAGTTGATAAAGTTGCTGCTGAGCTACGTTCCCAACGAGGCGGAGGTGTTCGAACCATGTAGCTGAGGTGCATAGAATAACGGTAAGAATGTGTCCCAGTCACTCAATTTCGGCTCACCCTTGAGTTCGGCCAATACCCTTCTCGATCTCAACGCGAATGTCAAAACTAAGATCACCAGTCGATTCATCGTAAGTCGTTATGCACCAGTTTCTACGACCCATTATGTATTTCTGACCACGATTACTACCATCAGGGTCCTTGGCAAAAAGAGGCAACTAGAACGACCGACGATTGTGAGCAATACAACGAAGATGGAACGTTAGGTGCCTACCATTGTCTCATCCGTTTGTGATTTGTGCATGGTTTTGTGCGTCTTTCCTGCCAACGAAGCAACCAGTTTTATGACACCTCCTGGTGGAGGTGTATTCACAATGGCACCTATGATTGTTCAACAATTGTGAGGATGTATTAAACAAACTTACTAGTGACGACGTTGAGCATATAACGATAATCCATAGGGGATGGCACCTCGGGATTGTTTTTGTCTTTCAAGCTTTTAAACACGCCCACGGCCGAACAATGAACATCTCCCGAGAGGAACGAGACTCGTATATGTTTCACTTTTGCAAATTCTTGTAACTGACTGACGAACCAATTCCGTTCTTGCTGTTGAAAAGACGAACAGTCAGCATGGCGTTCGTTTCTAGCCAAAAGTGCGAACCTTATGAGTCCGAGAGGTCCAATGGTCATTCTGAAGTATGGGAAAGTGAGTTATGAGTTATGGAGGAAGGCATATCGAGCGTGTAGGTATTTACCAGATCATCCAGAAGTTCAGCTTCGGCATTGAACTTGTTAACAAATCCTGAAAGGCCAAGTGAGCCATTTCTCCCAAGAGCGACTAACGGGTTGTATTTAGATTCCAGAATTTTTTCCAATGCCACCATACGTGGGTAGGCGATAGGTATGCCTTCAATCAAATGTGAATATCTCAAAGTGTCAAAATCAGGAATGTGTAGTACCTATTTGAACAACTAGATGCTCGACCGTAGAAGGTAGTTGATGCAAGCGCGCGAAAACCTTTTCGTATTCCAATGGGCTGCACACTTGATCCTTTTTTCTCTCAGCTCTGGGAAGAACTTCAGCATATTTCACGTTCAGACAGTGTTCTATTGGGCCTGCTACCTGCAATCCAGCAGAAGGATAGAAGTCTGTGGACCCAGATATCCCAAAAATGAATGTGATGGAAATCCCACGTATGGTCCCGGTGCACCTATGATAATTGACCTGTTGATATGATTTTTGTCATCGACACCATCAACGTCGACTACAGGAAGAGGATTAGCAAATATATCGAAACGAGAGGAAGGAAATTACCATTGATGAAACACTGGAAGAGGAGGAAGAAGAAATAGCCTCTTGTTCCAATTCTGTTATGAACTTGTTTCAGCTTGATGAATCGGTTGACAAAGGTAGCGATTTCACGTTCGAAAAATAGGTGAGTTCTGGAGGTCATCAGGATCTGAAGAGTGTTCAATATCTGGGGCAATGCCACGCACAACTAAATACTTACAGCTACCAAATCCGTCTATCTAATGAATGCATGATAGTCGGTATCTTTTTTCGTTGGAGTAAGGAAGGCACGTACTAAATCTGAATGAAACAGTGCTTGGTCAGGGCTACATACACAATCCACATATCATACACATCACACACCGTGGTCGTCTATTCCGTGGCAATCAGCCGACGACAGAAAAAAAAGTCGAGCAAAAGGATATATTGCGCACCACACATATTTATCATTGGTCTACCACGAGCATCGCGTTAGTTAGACCAGCAGATGAATCTCAAAGCGAGTGACTTGCATTGAGCAATTCGCTCTAGCGAAAGCGCCAGATCGGAATACCTGGCAATAGTGATTGAAGTAGAAGCGATCTATGGCCTCTAAAATCTCATCCGTAAGCTGATAGTTTTGTTTTTCTTCCGGTTTCAGCTTTGCAACCCATTCTTGAAGCTCAGGTTCACGAGTGAGCCTGTGAAATATTTCGAGTCAAGTCGAACACACAAAGTAGACCATAGATTCTAACCCGTCACAATATAACTGATCACCACCACCTACGAGGACATGGAAAGGTTCTTCGTGGTGGTGCGCCAGTAGGTCTAACCAGCAGGGATCGAACCCACTCTGAAAACCCGGTCCTCGAAAGTCATCAGGGTTTACGCCGGCAGAGAATCCATTGCACTACGTTCTGAAATAAGACCAATAAAAGTGAACATGCGACGCACGAACCGAGTAACTAGCCCATCTCATGTTTTGGTTTCTACCCGGAACAAAAAAGTGAAGTTGCTGCCCATGGTTGATGGAATACGCGACCTGCATCTCGTTTGGTCCCAGAGGTATGTGGATCATGAAACGCCAGAATGTAAAAGTTCTTCAAGATTTCATAAGCTTCAGAGCTTTTTAGTAAAAGAGAACAGGGGCTTGCCCTCCAGCTCCAGGATATACCCAGATTTCCTGAGCAGGGGATTGTTCAGAAGTGAAGTTTGGACCGGAAGAGGCGTGCCCATTAATTTGACTAGCAGAAAGCGACAACGATGTTGAATGAGGATCTGCAGGGTGCGGGCCCAGATCGAAGGATTTCCCTTCAAAAGTTTTTCTTTTGTGGTGTCGCGTAAGTTTATCGGGGTCGTATTGATAGGTTAAAGTGGGATGCGGTTCATATGTTGAGCTAGAGTCGGCGGCTATGGACAATCAGACTTATAGCCTCTCCTTGTAGCGTTCAGACACGTACTGACGATGAGGAGAGCACCGTGCCAAATTCCGTGTTCATCAGTAGTATCATACCTGTTTGTATATTAATAATCTGTCAAGGTTTAAGGAGATAGTTTAGGACAAACTTTAGCAGCGGTCCGACCATAAACTGGAAATAAGGATCATTAGAACAACCCGATCGCCTAATAATGGATATACATACTCACCATTAGATGGGGCTCCATTCGCGCTACACGTAAGATTCTTGACCTCTCCACCGCTGAAAGACGCGACAACTGGCTTGATGAGACTGACTTTTGGCTCTTGATTTCATCCGGAAGGCGAAATGTAGGATCATTATAAATGTCATCTTTCGCTGGTAACGGAGGAGGACCGGGAGACGGAGGTGGGAGGAAACCTCCAATGAACTGTTCATCTATAGGCCTGACTTGTTCGACTGGAGTGAACCTTCCATCGGCTCCTCTGCGTGGAGAGGTAAAGTATTCCTCCTCCTGGCGGTATGAAACAGGTCGGTCATCGGCATACGAAGAGGTTCTCAAAGAAACTTGCTTTTTGAGCACGCCTATGAGCATGCCAGCCGACGTTATCCATGATTTGAAGGTGATTTGAAAGTGAGAGGAAGAAACGAAAAATAAAGGAACGACGAGAACGAAGAGTGGATAGTCGAACCAAAGTTGCCAAGCGAGGTTGACAGATAAAAGGCTCGGTAATAATATGACCTTTTTACTCATGCAAATATGAACTGAATTGCATGATATTCGGCGGACAGATATATACAATACACGGCCGTAGCTGTGTTGCACATCCGAGCGGATTGGAGGCTGAGCCTATTGGAGCTTGCTTCAAGTTGCTTGAATAGATACGATTGATTGTTCGGATAATTGCGCCATACGTTGTGCGGACAGAGAACTACAGGCTTACAGCGAGCGCTCTTCTGTTAAATAATCCTCCATCTGTTACGATTGTATGATAATATGCATGTTGTGAAAGGTATGCCACTGCCAGAATTATATGTAGTACGGATAATCATTAACCTACATGCTCAACTACGGTGGTCACCAGTTTTCCGTCCTTTACGCATGTCCGTAACATCTCCGGAAGAGCCTGCTCCTCAAAAACTCCTTCCTCTTCACCCTCAACAGGGATGTTGACATTAATGGAACTACATTTCGCGGTCGTGATTTCGGCATGCAAGCTTGCCTGAGACAAATAAATCATTCCTGTATCGCATGAGTCAATTTGAATCATTGGAGCAGAGCCTGTAATTTGAATGGCAAAAGACGGGGATTTTGTGACGGAGATGGAAGAGACTACAGAGTCGACGAGCACCTGCGTCTTAATGCAATTCACTTTTGTGGCCGATCAGTCATAGAACAAGAAAACGACATATGAACTCACCCAAAGTAACCGCATTCAGTTTGCCCTTGATTTGAATGACACTGTTCTTACAGCCGAACAGATTGACAACTTGGTTGAGCTCAACTCCATCAACAACCAGGCTTTTCTCGTCCTCTTGATATTCCTATCGGGCCCACATTAGTACACAACTCGATGATATTTAGGTTAAGTATCATACGATATTCCACGCTTTTCCTTCCAAGGCGAACTTAGGAGGCTTTTTACCCATCAATGCATGAGGTTTGGTCGGTTTGACGGGCTTTTTGGGGGCTATTACATATAAATGAGCGATAACGATGCATGGTCCGCAATGATGATACTTACGAGAGCCAGAACCACTGGGGACAACACTACTAGCGCGCAAATTAGGATTCTTGTGGGTCATTTCGCTCTTATCAACTTTGCGCAATCCTCTGGTGACGTCAGCTCCGCGATTTATTTCAGCAAAAACAGCAGCCGTTCCACCAGCAGGGGTAGTAGCTGGAGCTGCTGTAACAGGAGGTGCTGCAGGAGGTGGCGGAGGCGGAGGTGGTGGAGGTGGACCACCTGACGTGGCACCAGAGATGTTTGCAGACTTACTAGCAGCATATTGCCCAACAGGTATGCCCTATCTTGATGTCAGAGGTAGACTTGCCCGAAAAATGCGACAGACGTACTTTGGAGTTCCATGAAAGTCCAGTGGTATGGTACTCCAGGACGTACTTGCGGGTCTCTTCTAATGCAGCAGCAAATGAGCGAACCCATTCAGCATGCCTTGGATCCCTACGATCCAGAACGATTAGACAAGGCGGCGTGAACAGTAAAAATTCTCACTTCTCTTTGAACTCCTTTATTACTCTATTCCCGTAGTATAAGGCTTGATCTTTTGTTTCAGCAATGTGTGGACCAGGTTTTGACTACATGACTCGGTTGGAATACAGTTTGTGGAAAGATAGATGAACGTACGTTGAGAACCCAGGCAACGAAGGACGACGCTTCACTGATCACCATCAGATGCGTGAACCAATCCCGGTCCTTTCGATTCGCCTCTTTCAAACGGTTGATTGCTTCGATGGTGGAGTGAAATGGTGTGAGAAGTGACTGGAATGTCGGATCATCTGGCTTCACGCATGAAGCAGCAGTATTGATCAATTCACGAAGCTCTTTGAACTGTTTCTCGACCAGACCAACCTGTTTTGTTCAATAATGGATGTCTGCAGTGATAACGACAACAGGCAGAGCGACGCACAATTTCCACAACCGATGCTCCAGCGAACGACTTCGTTAACTCTACGAATGGCTTGACCTTGCCATCGATGACCACTTCATCAAACACTACGACGCTTTTGGGAGTTTCTCGCATTGTTGATGCCGAAGCTGGTGCAGCGGGGGAAGATGCCTGCACAGGGGGAGAAGAGGCAGCAGCAGCATAAGAGCTGGAATTATGTGTAGCCTCAGACGTTTCTGGTTTACTTGTTGGCCAACCTGAGGCAGCCAAATCTTCTATCCTTGAAGTCGCAGCTTCAAGGCTGTCACGTTAAATCAGCGGCCAGACATATGGGTTACAAGCAGTCGCGTAGCGCATACCGTTTGATTATAGTAGTAAGGGAGTGTAAACCTTGTGAGGACATCCTGCCACAAAACTTAAGAGAGTTGTAGTAACTGTCGACCGGGGGAGATTGAGCATGAACGGCAGATGCCGACAACTTAGATTCCGTCGGCATCAATAATTTCCTAGTCTTATCTTCACCCATGTCTACTTAAGCTGCTTTACCTCTTGACACTTGAGTGATTTTTACAACCATATCTGATTAGTTCTTTGATATGTCCTCTATTTCTTCTGATGTCTCAATCTGCTTCCTTTCGATCTTCTTTTTTGCCTTCTTTCTGCGTCGGCGCTCCCTCTCCCGTTGTTTGGCTCTTTTTAACTCTTCTTTGGACAGACCAGGATTTTCAAGCGCGTCCAACTGTTGACATTCGGATTGCAGACTATTAGTTGATACCTCAATCACAGAGCGGATGATACGGGCCTTAGCGGTCAACAACCGACGAGCTAACATGCGATTCGTGAAAAGAGACCGTGTTTCCTGACATGCTACGCGAATGCCCGTAGGTTTATGAAGAAGTTGGACATTATTCTCAGTTTTGTTTACAGATTGTCCACCCTGAGTTGATGATATAAGGTCCTCTGCAAATGAACTGCGTAGGAAATGCCTACAGGACCACTGCCGCGCACAAACGATTCCTCAATATCCTCTTCTTTCAGCTCGGGGATCTTGCGTTGACTGGAAGCGCGTTTGAGAGCAGAATAATACATTGGACGTTTGGGCGGGAATGTATCATGAGCTGGAGCAGCATTTTCTGTACTGAAGCATAAGTATAATCACCAATGCAACTCATAATGAAGGAAACATCTTACTGTGCTGCTCTCCGATTGGAAGGCATTACTGAGGGGTTTTTGACCGAGTCATTGGAGCCGAGCTCGGTATCCTGCGTAATACGGATAGCTGAAATCATTTTTAGTGTGGGACAGGTGGGGAATAGTGGTTGCGAGTTGGCTTACACCACGTCTCTTCCTCAGGTAATTTAGTCGCCTGTACAACATTACGTCGTAGAAATTGAGCAATGTCTCTAGCTTGCGTTGCATGTGCTTCATAAGCAGAAGGATCCGTTTCTGACTTGTACGTTGATGCGTCTTCCCTCATTTTATACCGAAAAGCTGAAGAACGAAAACGATGAGCGTGAGCTTGGGTGTAAATGTGGGACGCACACCTGAAAGAACAGTAGCATCCCCACCGAATGTAGAGGAAGATGCTCGGTAGAGGCTTCGGTACGCTGATCTTGCTGAAGCTTTCAATTCCGCAGAAATTGACATGGATGGCTGAAGAGAATTCGGACAATTCCGATTGGCTCAATGCTGCTCAATGCGGTTCGTGACGTTACGCATATCCAATCAATGACTCATGCATGGTACGAGCTGATACTCAAGTACGACAAATATCGCAATCAAGACTTGCAATTATGAGCTCCTACATACATGGTCGTTTAAATAATATATTAAAGCACATAAAGTAGTTAATAGTATGTACTTCGCTGCAGTTATAGTTGAGGGAACTATGAATGTAAGTAACAGTGGCGCACAAACACCCCTAATCAGATCACGTGATCTGCTACTCTGAGCGCGTTCGAATTTCCGTTGATTGATTTTTAAACTCAACCTCTTACCACCAACTCCACTTTTTCACTATCACGCTATCCGCCCTCTTTACTCTCGAAATGGCTGTGAAAAAGGCTTCGTCCTCTGATAAAGGCTCTAAATCCGCTCCATCTCATCCTCCGTATATCGATATGATTAAAGTGAGTTCCCTTTCTTTGGAAGCTACTACCCCGACTCTCTTTCACGCCGCCTTCTGTCTAAAATTGAAAACTCGCCGACATTAATGCACATCTGATACGTGTATCTTTCCATCAGGAATGCATTGCTGATCACCGCGAGGAAGCCAGAATTGGTGTTTCTCGCCCCCAGATCAAGAAGTAAGTCTTTCCTTTGACAGGTTTTTCATTTCGAAGTAATCCGCATTCCTCGTAGATACATCGAAGAGAAGTATAAGATTGAGATTGGTGCCGCACAGAACACGCAAATATCGAGGGCAATCGCTACAGGAAACGACAAAGGATTCTTTGTTCTACCCAAAGGCGAGAATCTCCTTTTCATATACTGCATTGTGGCAAAACTCATCGTTCGCTGTTTTTCATAGGCGCTTCTGGTACTGTATATGTCTCAAATGCATGTCTTACAATAACTTACATCCTTCGCTCGTAGGTCGAGTGAAGCTTGCGCCCAAGAACAAATCACCTGAGTCCTCTGTACCAAAGGAGGTAAGCATCATACATTTCAGACTGGACCTTTACCCATGACTTGAATAGAACAAACCAGTTGCCAAACCAAAGCCTACCACTGCCAAAAAACCTGTAATCAAGGCACCCGCTTCCAAGACTTCCACTACTAAGGCGACTGCGACGTCCACAAGGAAAGCGCCTAAAGCTGTCGCAACCAAGAAGCCTGTAGTCAAAGCTGCTGCCCCCAAGACTGCCGCCACCAAACCGGCCCAAAAACCGACTGTCGCCAAGAAAGCACCGACCACCGTCAGGAAAGCACCGACCAAAGCTGTACCGGCGAAAAAGCCGGTAGCTAAGGCTGCCACGGCAAAGAAACCCGCCATTCAGAAAGCCTCCGCGACTGCGAAGAAGGTGCTTTCTTTGACCGTGGTTTACGTTCAATGCTAACTTTCCTCTTCATCGATTATCTAGGCTGTCACGGGCACCACTTCTACAACCAAAGCCAAAGCCGCTGCTGCCAAGGCAAAACCATCTACCACGAAAGCGAAGACCTCTGCCAGTAGAGCTAAGGCTCCAGCCAAATCAGCTGCTCAGAAGAAGGTACCGTCTCCTTACTTACCATCCTTTCTGCACCAACTCATCTTCGCCTCCAGAGATCTTAAATATTTCCCACATACTTGTCTTTGCTCTTGATCTTTATTCGTACTCTATTACATGCATTAGAGGTTCTCGTTTGTATTATTTCTTCCATCCAAAGGCGCCCGTGTACTACGTCCTCTTTGCAGTTTCTTTTTCCTAGTCGTAGGTCTGCGGCGTCCCTACATTCCTATTTATACACCACAATCTGTGATATACGTTGTTTTGGTTCATTACTTTACTCGTTAATTGTAACCCTCACAAATGTAGGATGTACATATTATCCGTTGGTTCTTGAGATTTTACCAGCGTGCGACAATATTAACGTGCGAAGGCGGGCCATCGCCGCTTCGCGGCGTGGCATATACGAGTCCGAAATTTAGAGTCGCATATATATAAGAGCAGATGCAGTGTATTCTCTGCATGTTAATAGATGTACATTGTCAATGCAACTTGCTTCCCGAACCATATCACCATTATTGTGCATGCCATCATGAACATAAATTTCCCCACTACCTGCTATAATTCTTGAAATGAAGTGCATTTGTTCCATACTGTAATAGGAGACACCCGCCAGCCTGTAATGTACTCTGTTACCCCCAATGACAGAAGTTATGCGAGGATCAATAAGAAAAGGGCGCACTCCGTCTATATTAAATGATAAAATAGGTGGTGCAGTGGTTAATGTGTGGTGTTTATATGTGCGACCACTGCATGTTGTGCATCGGGGACCAAATTCGTAAGGGGGGATGTTATTAAGCCATTCTAATGCTGATGATGGTGCTTGAGTGAAAGGTGGATGAAATACAGTTGCCTGTGGTCGCTGAGGTCTCCTCGATGGAATGTGACCATTCTCACATGTCAAGGAAGCTTCAAAACATGGGCGAACAGCCCGTAGAAGTTGTACCAGGACATCTTGTGTACTTGTGTACGCACCCCAGCGCAGGTTTCGTTCATTCTGGACTGAGTTTCGAAAGAGATCCCGAGTAGACTCTAACGAAGTTTCACCTAATGAGTGCAAACGAAATCCATCCATTATAGTAGGTAATTTCACATACGATGACATCTGGTATGTGCTTTCAATCCATATTTGACGCATAATGAGGAACAAGGAGTCAAATGCACATGAGTTATTTGACCATCGCAAAGTCACTATATCATTTTGTTCGTATTGGTTGCGAACATTGAGGACTGACGATTTGAGAGGTGAAGGCGATGGGACAACATGATCTATTGAGCTTGGAATAGCTAGTGTTGCAGTTGGGGTAACAGTGCCCATGGCTTGAAAAGCAAACTCAACAGTGGATGGGCCTGCTGGCTCTGTTGCTTTAAGGTGACGATTTGAATGCTCTGCAACATGTCTCACTTTCTTGCTCGGTGATTTACCATTTTCATCAAGGTTGGCTTCTGTAGCTTTGCGCTTGAGTGCGTTAGTGGCAAGAAGTGGAGCACTGTTGACTGAAGTGTTGTTTGCCCTAGATGCCACAGTGACTGACCTCTCTTTGGTTTTCGATGCAATAATAGACCATGGAATGACATCGTGTTGTTCAACAACATAAGGATCTCTCGCAGACCACCTGATTGAAGTATGGGTAAGAGGTGGATTATAATATGTTCCTTTCCACTTTCTGAACAATTCAATGAGAACCAATCTTGTTGTTCCTTGGACGGTGTTGTCACACTTACCTTCATATCTCAATCGTGTAATTTCATCTAATAATTCCAATTCTCTGAATTCCTTCCGCAGTGCCCCCGAAGCACCCCCTGTTATATATTTTGCATCGAATCCTTGTAAAATTGCTGTGTTATGATAACTTTTGCTCCGAGATAATGCAGTGTAATATGCATGATGTCCATCAAGGGTGTTTAAGTCAGTTGTGTTCACAAGTAGGCTTTGACCTTGTGAGGCGTGTGCAGTCATAGCAAAGCCAAGCAGTACGTCAACTTGATTCCTTGCGATATTAATCTTTGTATCATCTGGAAGATAGACGTATCCTTTGTTTTCCCTTCTAATGATAGGCACAACATTTGGTGGTAGATGCTGGATTTGTATAGGCGAAGGTGGGTTGTCGAGTTCAACAAACAAAACATCCAGTACCGTTTGACCATGCTTACCCTTTTTACATTGCCATGAGTAGACAGTACCTCGCTGGCCCTTAGTGATGTTTAACTCTGTTGCCATATTGTAACGGATAATTACTGGCATCCCATAACACAATGGTAGTACTGCAGGTGCATGATATTCATGTGTGGATGGCGGAAGATCCCAAAGTATTTTCTGCAGGTCATGGCTCATGGTGTTTACTTTAGTTTTCTTGATTGTGTTCGATGACTTATGATCACTTTTTTTCTTTGCAGCTGTGACTATAGAGTCTTCACTGTGAAATAATATCAGTTTCTGATTTGTATCAGATGCAAATCTCATCGCACCTAGGCGATTGATCTCATCTTTCTGTTTGTTTTCGCCCACAATAATAGGAGCATTCCGCCATGGTACAGAACCAATATAGTGTCGACCTGGTTTATTAGCAGAGACAAGATGATCTAGGCATCTGATATCCTCTTTGGTGCAAGCCTTGTATCGCATATTCTCTAGAGCTTTGCGAAATTGGGTATCTTCTTTGGAATGGCCCTGATTGCGCATATTCTTTCTCAAGATGACTACGGTAGTGACTTGATGCCACAATGCCTTCCCAATTGCCACACGTTGACCATTCAATGACTTAGGATCCATACCAGCATGGCGCGTGTACAATGAAACTGATTCGCCTCCAATTGGTGGAAGTTGTGCAAAATCACCGGCGAAGATCATGTTCATACCACCAAAGGCTAATTCTGCTTGATTGCGCACTTTCGCAAGTCTTTCTGAAATGCGGTACATTTCGATACATGATACCATTGAAACCTCATCCAATATAACATATTCAATACCTTGCAAACGTGAACAGACCTCCGACATTGTGGAGATTGGTGCTTCTTCAAACTTACCATTTATCCCAAGAAGAAAATGGTAAGTTGAACCCCCTAATAATGCTGCTGCATTGCCAGTTGGGGCAACTATAATAACAGCATGTCTGCGCTTCTGAAGTTGGAAGAATTCGATGACGGCTTTGATGATTTGTGATTTACCTGTTCCGCCCATACCCCCTATATACATCTTCAGTGGATCCATACAATTTGCTGCTGAATGTTGTGCTATGATGCGAAAAGCCCGCTCTTGTTCACTATTTAGGTGAAAGTCATTGATGATAGATTCAGTAAGTTTCTTAATGCTACCATATTCAATTCCTAATTTATCAAAGTAGGTTTTATCGCAAATCTCAACAATATTAGGTCTGCATTTATGTGTATTTGCCTCGTTTTTGTCACTGCATTTGTTGTCAAGGAAGTGCTCTTTTCTCTTTAGGAGAATTTCTTGGCGCATTGTTTTAATTATGGTATTCCATTCAGTAGGAGAGCATGAAGGGATACTAATGGGCAGTGAGGTAGGTTTATTTGCATTGAGTACAATAGGCAGAGAATTGGTCCACCCAGCAGTAAACAGTATATCTCGCATAACCTTCATTGCTCGTTCTCGAGCAATATATTGCTTACCTTTTTGCATACCAGTATCAGGATCATACAGCACTATTGTTTCGTCATTCTCATTGTCTACAATATCTTCATCAAAGGATGGTCTTGTATATAGCGATGCATGCAATCTGTCATCAATGCAATCTAGATTGAATGGTAACGCATTGGCTAATGAAGACACAGCATTACCTTCTTTCATTTTCTGGCGAAAATCATCACGAGAATCAAGACACTCATATCGGAGGTTCATATTTTTGATATATAGGTTTTCACAATCAGTGAAAGAATGGGATGTGAATGCATCATGCCATGACTCTGCAGGACCCTTTAGATCAGCCCCAGACCGCCATGGCTTAAAAAATGTGAGCATGGCACAGCAATAATATTCACGGTCCTCTTTATCTGGGCGAGGGAGAGGAGGTCCAATAAAATTGGGAATGACTCGATCTATGTTTCTTCTCATCGCAACAGTATGGGATGATGATAATGGATGGCCACTCAAAAAAGGCAAATTTAGTTCATGCGACTGATTTGTACTGATTTCAGATTCAGATTCATCGCCAGATACATTTGGCTCCTTTTTCTTTGCTCTGCGGGACCTCTTGATCCGATGGAAAGTTAGGATCCAATCATATAAGTTGTACACTTCATGCTGTTTTGGCCGATGTGTATAATCATATGTTGAGGATAAGCCTATGTACATGTCTTTGCGCTTGATTAATAACACCTTGTTATCAATTTCGGCATCATTGGGATTCCAGAATTTTTGTGCTTCAGTTACAAATGGTTTCCAATAGAAAGGTATAAACAAGTGGCTTGTATAATGGTCTGGATTTTGAAGAAGGTACATGCATATCATCGGACTCCCCAGTTCTAATTTAGTAGCCAATAAATTAACCATTTTGGTCATTAGAATGCGGGATTTATCTTTATCAGACTGCGGCCCATTCATAATGTGCGTATTTCTGTCAAATATGGCCCTCAAACTGTCAAACACAACGTGCGTTTTGAGACCAACTTTGGTAATATAGTCTGCAACATAGGCCACTACAGCCTTGATTGCAGTTCCAGAGAGCAGACAAGTAACGTCAGTATTGCAGCGCATGGTATATGTAATCAGAGGAGAGATGTCATTTAGCCAGGGCTCTAACTTTTTCAATGTTAAATGACCACTGTCACTATCGACAGAGGATGACATATATGCAGCTCTGGGGAATCGGGCTTTGCATTTCTTGAATTTATTGTTCAGACACGAAACAGCCCACTTATCTAGACTGCGGATACTACCGTCAGGATAAAAAGCTCGCAAACAGTCATGCAGGTTTGATTTTGTAAGTAGGTCATCAATTGTGAACTGATATTGTTTAAACCATTGCGTGTATGATGTACATGCGATACAATCAGGTTGAGAACATGAACAAGACAGTGGTGGAGGTATAGGTAATACAAGTTCAGGACTAACATATAAATCGGATTTTTCCGCATCTGCAATGGCTGCTTTAACTTGAGCTTTCTCCCCTGTCAAAAATTCACCAATGCGTACACTTTCTAAGTATGCAATAAGGCGATGCTGAAAATCAGAAGAAGGATCTATTAAATGATGTTTCATTTCGAGAGGTGATAGTGTTTTTTTGGAAAAAATCAGACCATGCAGATGCAAAGTCAATCGGCCCTGTTGTTCAACTGTGCAATAATAACCAGCACTGGGACCGAAAACACCTGGTTTGGACGACTTAGTACCAACAATAATTTCTAAAAATAATGATACCATAAAATGGAAGAACCGTGCACCAGCTGCAGGGTTGTTGCTGAGCAAGCGCCGCCTTTCAGCACTAGTGCGCAGAGGCACATCAAATGACTCATTAGTATCAGCATAATATATGCATATTGGATGCTTTTGATCACAAGGTGCTAAAGTAAAATACCAGACGGGGCCCCCTATGCGTGTTATCAATGACCAAATTTCGTGTTGCATATTCTTTTTACTAGTAATAGAGCCCTTGACTTTGGTCGATCCATAATTAAGGTCACCAAGGAGTGCGAAACAGTCTTTCTCTTGTGCTGTGGAAGGCTTCACATATTCTCCAGCAGCCATACGAGATGCTAAATCCTGCAGTGTTTCCTTGTCAATAGATAACATGCGGGAGGTTATACTATCAAATTTCTTTGAATTTGCAACTAGGTATGATTGAGTAGTGCCTGCTTTGACTTGTTCATGACTAAAAGCTATAAAAGGAAATGACAAGTCAGTTTGAAATCGTTTATCATGGTACAACATCAACAAACTCTTGTGTTTTTCATCAGATAATTTGTTCGAGGGTAATCTAGTACCACCGATGCCACCTAGACCAAATGGAAACAACCAAGGAAACATTTTTGGGTATAGGTGTGGATTATTGTACAGACTTTCTGGATTTTGGGCATGAGACATGCGCAAGAATTTGCGACCAGCATCAAGATGTTTTATTGCCTGAGCCTTCTGAGCCTCGGAAGACATGTGCTGCAAATCTTCACCTACTATACCATGCACAGTAAAAACACAGTCACCTCCTTCAATTCCATCATCGTCAAGGTCATCATGTACACTCACACCTTCTGCATTGCGGTTGCTATGTTTTTCAAAGAACTCAATACTGACAATAGGAGAATCCTCAGCATACCCCTGCAGATTATCTGGTGAAAAGAGAACATCATTATAATCACAATGGTTCAATATGCACCAATGGATTGCATCAGCAACAACATTTCGACGGACCAGTAACAAAGCACGCTTATAATCATCATCTGTTGGTGATCCAGAACCTGAAAACATTATTGCTAATACTTCCTCAATATCTTTCCTCGGAGGAGGAAGAATATTATATATTTTTGGAGTGGGATTTTCAAAAGCAATGACATTGGAGACCAACTTACTGTGTCCATTACCATTAGAACCACCCCGCTGAACGCGAACAAAACATTTTGAATGGCGCACTCTCGAAACCAAGATCCGCTCATAGAAAGTAAGATTTTTCAATTCAGGTGGTACCTGGCCAAGCCACAACCCATTACAAAGGGCAAATCGTGGGACTTTTCCAGTGCGCACAGCAGATCTGCATGAGTTGCATATCATATTACATGTGTTGTCGATAACAGGACCACTGCGCTCACGGATTGGATCCGTGGCCTTTTTTCTGACAACACGAGTGACACCAGGGACCTCTAGGACATGAAGCATATTTTGAACATGCTTTAATAGACTTAACTCGCTTTTCAATTTTAGTAAGCCACAGACAGCACAACCAGCCTCTTCAAATTGAGATGGTTGAGAAGCAGCACACCAGCGCCGGATTATATCATCTTGCACTGACTGAACAATAGGGGGAGGTGGGAAATCAGTAGTACTAGGTACAGAGGGAGTAGTGCAATCGATGTCATTATCATGTTGCAGCAAAAGATTAGATCCTTGATCCTCACCGCTCAGAAATGTAGCTTGGAATGCAGGGGCATTAACATTTGAAGAATGACCATCGCCACCTGCAGCAGCATGAAGAGGAGAATCACGAGGGTTAGAAGATAATAACAGAGAGTCAGAAGGATTCACAGAAAAATCGTGTGATGGTAAGCGCGAACGGAATGTGAAAGGAGCAGTTGGAACTGCATTAGGAAGAGCATAAAAAGAAGAACACATTGTAGAATAAGCAGTAGCTTTAGTTTTACGACCACCACCTCTATATGGCAATAAATCAGAATTATTGGGCGTTGGTTTCAAACTCTGAGCTGCTTTGTATGAAGAATATGGGGTTGAGTAAATTGAATAAATGCAATGAATGACACATGTTACAAAGCACAAGAGCATTGTGATAAGTACAATGAGCAACATGATAGACATTGGAGTGATAGTTTCCAAAAGAGAACAGGAACAAGAACACAGTATGACAAAGGCAAGTGCAAACACATGCAGTGCATGATACCAAAACTTGCAGAAAGCAATGGGTGAAGACCACAACACAATACAGTTAAGATTGTAAAACACACTGTGCAAGCTATTGGCAATAGCAGCAGCAGTTGGACTCCGCATAAGGGGCCCAGAGCACAGGAGGAAAAGCTGTAAGGAATTGATTAGTTACGACAAGTAGAAGGGAAATTGGTAACTAATACATACCCTGATTATTATCCACCAGTATAAGAGTGTCAGTAATGAGTAGCACATGGATTGTTACTTATCAGAGGTAGGCAAGTTCAGCAATAATAGGCGAACGAACGATGAAGGTTCCGAGGGCACGTGAGTTAATTCAACAATTGGTCATGCCAAGCACATAGCAGAAATACAGTTTAATTCGGTTTAATTTGAACGTCCAGTCCGAAGGTACAGTTGGGGAGATCATAATAAGACACGCGGGTATATTCTAGTATTTTTAAAAATTATTCCAACTGCGTTGCGACCAGGTCTGTTAACAGCTAGTCGCGGTTTATGAGTAATGTGCCTCTAGTTGAGGAAGCAGCGGCGAACTAAAGTGGCAGTATAGTTTGGTGGGGCAGACCGAAGAAGAGTGTACAACTGTGGCAGAATCCACGGCGATCAGAAAAGCGGCGTTTGAAGAGGTCGGTCACATCACAAAGAGTCGCAGTTGATTTTGACTGTTTCTTCAATGGGGGGCACACTCAAGTTGCAGTATTTGTTGTGAGTGTAGTGCAGAATGGACTTCCTAAGTTTCTGACGGTATTGGAAAAGTGAAATAGGAATAGTCTCTGGAATATTGCGGGGGCTTGATCATTCAGATCTGAACGCATTATCAGAAACATGCAGGATATATTGCGCTGTAGTGAAGCTTTTTCGGACATCTGCTATGAAGGTCGACAAAGTGTTGAAGCAATTCTTTAGCACACATGCAGAAATTGGTTACTTTCAGCATTTGCAGGTGCGCATGCCTCAAATGATGGTTTAATGATGGTTTATTTTTGTATAAAAGGGGGCGACAGGAATGATAATATCAGGCTCGGTAGCACTTGCATTCTTCAATCGGGAAGAGTACAGAAACAGTGATCTTGACACATACTGTTTGTTAAAGAGATGTCTGGAGGTCGGATTGTGGTACCAATCCATACACTACGCATTCAAACCAGTGGGCAAACAAAATCACCACTTCCACGAGGATGTTCAGCGCGTCATCGAATCCGAAGTCATCTGCAGAGAGAATGCGGAAGCGATCGTGAGTCGCGATATAAAGGGAGCTGAGATTTATGTGTCGAGGAATATTGCAGAGGTGTGGAATTTTGTACGAGGAGACAGTATGAGGATACAACTGGTTGCGACAAAGATTATCCCAGAAGCGGTGATACTTCAGTTTCATTCAAGTAAGATCCATGCGTACTTATGCAATGAAAGAAAAAGCTCACAGAACCAGCATGTGTTATGAATATAATCACACAGCGCGCAGCATACTCCTTGTTCCCAAATACCACATTCAATGACAACGCAACACTCGTTGTTAACTCCAGAGGTGGCCTTCTGCGAAAGTACGATGCACCATTGATGAAATACAACCACCGAGGATTTCAAGTGGAAGTGAAACCATCGTTGGATAGGACAATTGGGTGCAGGCAGGAATTGAGCTTTGCAACTCCTCGATGGATCGGTGATGGCAGGACGTGGATACATGAAGTTGAATACTTTGGGCCAGGGCCGAGAGAAGTGGATAACGCACATAGGATAAGCTGGGACATGGTGTATAAACCAAGACAGATCCTTCTTGAGTATTTCGAGTTGTCAAACCGGGTTGAAGTAGGCGGTGAAGAAGTACAGGCAGTGCTGGCACTGAGGGAGTTTGCGATCGTGCAGAATTTAGGAAGTGGCGCCAGGTATGCACCCAATTAACTGAGATTTTTCAACTAACAACAGTTAGTAGAAGCGAGAAATCCATCTACAAAGTACTCACTGAGCTTCCTACCCGCCAGGTAGGAGGGATTATCAATGAAGTGAGCATGTCTTTGGTGGAAAAGGTACTGCTCCTAGCGGCAGAGCAGAATGCTGTGCATCTTCTTGATGTCCAGAACACAGAGACACTGTATCGATTCTTTGATGCATTGACGAAAGTATTTGAAGTTCGAGTGGTAAGTGACGATGTGTTAGAACTGAGATCGACAACTAATGCACTCCTAGAATTTTGCAGTAGCACATCAGTTCCGAGATCGATTGTGGGGCTTACAAGTGCAAATCAGTGTACGGAATGGGGAATGCGATGAATATTACATGGGGATGTTGTATGATATGGGACCTGCTCTGCGCCGACAAGGACTAAAAATCAAGATTCACGTAGTGTAATCGAACAGATTTTAATGTGCCAGAAGGATGTTGTGTACGGTCTCATAATTGAAAAATGTTGATATGACTTGCAAAATTGTGATTAACAATTAAAAAGAATGTATAGAACGTTGTATAGACAGATGCTAATGAAAGTGATAAAGTAGCGATGTGAAGATAACAAAAAAAGTGCACAACATAGCAATGATCAAACGACAAGAGTATTGTATGTCTCAAGTACACACAGGATTTAGAGTGAATCGATGAAGAGAATACAGGGGTAGCAATTGTCATGTCATGTATAGAAACAGGCGAAGACATAATCACATCAATACCACAGTATTCAGTCGCGGTCAAGGCACAATAAATCATCCTCGAGATCGAGTTCAGCCTCGAGTTCAGCCTCCAGAGGGGTCATGGCAACAGGACGCCGGCGGGCAGTATGAATAACAGGAATGTCACTGCGATGATCCGGGGAAGAAAGACCAGAAAAATGAGGATCAGAAACATCCCTGCTAGGCCCGATATCGCCAACGGATAATGCATGCATGTTGACAGTGCGCCTTGTGAAAGGACTGCCATTAGAGGGACTGGAGAGTCTACCTGCAGAAGCAGTGGGGCTTGGGGGATGAAAACGAGAGAATGAGGTTGGTTGGGACAAGGTGTTCACAGGGGTGAAGGAGTTGGACGGTGTTTGATAGCGAATATGTGGTGTCGTATTGGAATACGAAGACATTGCTGGCTGAGGAATAGGATCGCGGAGATCAGATGGTAATGCCAGAAGAACTATGAAGGCAAGATCGAGAGATAGGCCGACAGGCACGTCACGATAATGAGATTTTGTTGCGTAGGTATGAGCAGTATAACCAACGGTGACAATGGCACCGTCAGGAAGATCGACATCACCATTTTGATAAAGGGGATAGCTATTGATGGCAATTTCATGCAGCTGGTTCGCTTCACATTCGAAAGCTAAGTCAGTCGCTGCGCGCCTGCCATCGAATATAAGAACTATGAGCTTAGGATCAGTAGGAGCCGATTTTGGGGGGTGGAATTTCGTACTTTGACTAGGGAATGGCACCGGAAGACGAAAATGACCATAGAGCTTCAATCTAGGATCACTTTCGGCATATCGTTCAGGGCAATAGGAACGAGCAACTATGCAGACAACATAAGCAAGCAATATATAGAACTAGAATGATCAACACACGCTTTGTAGGAGAGAAGTCATTGGGGTTGTCTTTCTTCTGATTTTGAAATAACTGCATCGACGAGTAGCTGACAACACCAGCCGAGGCAGCGACAGACACAGAGTCAAACCCGAAGATTTTTCCAAAAAAAGCAAAAGCGCGCTGCGACTCTTGGGCAAAACCTTTGACAAGAACCTCGCGGACAGTCCGAGTTTGACCGTTACCCAAATGGAGAATGGATGGCTGAATGATGGAACATTTTTGAACAATACCCGTGGTGAGACAAAGAGCAGGAAATTGGGGTTTCAAAATAGGCGAGATCGTGGCAGGGAGATTCTTTGAATTCAGCTTCAGCAGAGAAGGGTCGGCCCGGGCCGGGTTGAACCAGCCACCTCGACTTTCGAAGAGAACTGAATTCATAAGAGACCTGGCAGAGAAGAAAATGAGTAAGGTAATTGGAAGAGGATAAGCAAAGTACCTTTGCTGGTGGCCTGGCAATCGTTTGAAGACAGCACTGAAAGATTCCCAGTCGCAATCTTCAGAAGGTGCAGAATCATTGCCCACAGGATACAGCACAACAGAACTGTGCAAAGGAATTAGGAACGAAAAAGAGGCGCACAAAGGGAGTTTTATGAAGTACCGCAAATTTTTGATCATCCGATACGAGTTGCAGAGTAAGGGATCCATAAGAGATACCTGAAGGCATCCATTAGGTCCTAAGCCATCATCGTCGCGTGGTTCACAGGCAGATTCTGCAGTAGGCGCAGCAAAAATGGGACCGCAATCTAAAGGACTAGATAATAAACGCGACGAAGGAGTACGTTGGGGAGAAGATGACAGATATTGCGAAGAGGGAGTTGGGCGCACAGGAACTGAGGGCCGGGTTGGGGTTTTCATAAGTTTCTCCCGGATTGCTGACTCAATTAGTGTGAGGCCTGGCACAAAAGGCCTGCTCTTGTCCTATCTGGACTGGGCCTAAGCAAGCAGGACAGCTGCCTAGGCCGTACAAGGGGAGGTGGGATAAGTGCCGCTACTGGTGTAGGGAGCCTGACCAGTGGTGGTTGCGGAGCTTGGGTGGACCTAGCCAAAGGTCCTGGAGTGGGGGAAGGAGGTGTAGTTGGTGAGGATGGAGGTGGTTGGGGGTGTGGAGCCTCGACGTAGACTGTAAGTCGTAGGAGAGGCTCAGGAAGTTGAGAGAGGTGTTCAGAGAGGTGAGACAGAGAAGAGAAACAGAGTTGAGTGAAACAGAGGTGAAGGAAACAGAGTTGAGGGAAACAGATAAAGAGGAAATATATGACAGGTGAGACGTGTCAGGCCCTGTTAGCAAGTACAAGTAGACTGTACTAACAGGGACCAAGCCAGGTTGGAAGAGTTTCCAGATAAGATTTGACAATAACACGCTGGGGAGCTCCGAGGGGAGTCCCCAGCCTATATACTATACATGTGACAGCCATGTGGCATATTACATAATGGTAAAAGCGGACAAGGGGAGCTCTGGGTATACAGTGGGGAGCTATAGGAAGGTAGTAAGGAGGAATATGATAGGTAATGAAGCAAAATCAGGCAAGGCATGACATTACCCCCCTCTTTAACACCTGAGCCCTCGAAGGTTCCAGGAGTAATCATGCACAGTTGAGTTCCATGTAACAGATATATACTTGCCCAGCATAGTTGTCAAACAAAATTTGTGACGTTCAGCAAGGGTTGCCAACCGGAGCTATAGTGAGGAGCTCATTGTCAAACGGAAACTTGACTATCAGCAGAGATCCCCACATAGCAGTCGTAGGATGGGTATATACCTGGAGGAGTGCCCAGCATACTTGTTGAACAGAAACTCAACGTTAGCAAGGGTCACCATACCGGAGCTATAGCAGGGAGGTCCTATCAGCAGAAATCCCCACATAGCAGTCATAGGCTTCCTCAAGGTCCACATAGAAATAACAGTTACAGAAAACTCCCCCATAATGGTAGAAGGTCCCATAGAACAGGTTTCGGTGTGAAGGGGACAGTGACAGGAGCATAGCTCAGAATGCAGGAATTGACCTGAGCACCAGATAGGGCATTGGAAAGAGGTCCAGAAGCACTTCCTGACGCTCCCAGAATGTCCCAAATGAAAGCAGAAGTGAAGGAGTGGTGGTACCTGCCCTTCTCACAGTACTGGCTGACAATGAGGAGGACACCACTCCGGAACAAAGGAGCTCCATGGGACGGTCAAGGGGGCATTGAAAAGGTAGAGAGCAGAGCTTCCAGACGGTCCAAGAACGTCCCATATGCGAGCAGAGCTGAAGGAGTTATCATACCTCCTCTCCTCGTAGTACTGGCTGACAGTGAGGGGGACATTCCTCTGGGACAGGGGATCTCCATAGAGCGTTCAAGGCAACGTTAGGAAGCTATGATGTAGAGCTTCCAAACGCCCTGAACACGTCCCAAATGCGAGGGGAATCGAAGAAGTTATGATACCTCCTCTCCTCGTAGTACTGGCTGACAGTGAGGGGAACATTCCTCTGGGACAGGGGATCTCCATGAAGCGTTCAAGGCAACGTTAGGAAGCTATGATGTAGAGCTTCCAAACGCCCTGAACACGTCCCAAATGCGAGGGGAATCGAAGAAGTTATGATACCTCCTCTCCTCGTAGTACTGGCTGACAGTGAGGGGAACATTCCTCTGGGACAGGGGATCTCCATGAAGCGTTCAAGGCAACGTTAGGAAGCTATGATGTAGAGCTTCCAAACGCCCTGAACACGTCCCAAATGCGAGGGGAATCGAAGAAGTTATGATACCTCCTCTCCTCGTAGTACTGGCTGACAGTGAGGGGAACATTCCTCTGGGACAGGGGATCTCCATGAATCGTTCAAGGCAACGTTAGGAAGCTATGATGTAGAGCTTCCAAACGCCCTGAACACGTCCCAAATGCGAGGAGAATTGAAGAAGTTATCATACCTCCTCTCCTCGTAGTACTGGCTGACAGTGAGGGGAACATTGCTCTGGAACGGAGGAGCTCCATAGGGCGGTCAGGGGAGCGTTCGAAAGCTGTGAAATAGAGCTTGAAACTGGTCCAAACACGTCCGAAACGCGAACAGAATTGGAGGAGATATGATAGTCCCACCTCCGAGGGGAGGTAAGTGAGATGGAGGGGAGCATATCTCTGGAACCCCAAGTCGGAATGGGACAGTCAAGGATGCGTTCTGGAGCCTGGAATTGAGGCTCTCGAATGGTAGGATTTGTTTCTGGAATGGAGAGATCAATCCAATAGAGGTAAATACCTCACCAGGCAAAATGACCCCCTGGCCAAGCTACAACTCCTTCTTTCCTTTCACTCCTCTATCACCTTCCAGAAACCTCTAGCACCACTAGAAAGAGCTCCCTTTGAGCGTGTTATTATGTGAGGCCTGGCACAAAAGGCCTGCTCTTGTCCTATCTGGACTGGGCCTAAGCAAGCAGGACAGCTGCCTAGGCCGTACAAGGGGAGGTGGGATAAGTGCCGCTACTGGTGTAGGGAGCCTGACCAGTGGTGGTTGCGGAGCTTGGGTGGACCTAGCCAAAGGTCCTGGAGTGGGGGAAGGAGGTGTAGTTGGTGAGGATGGAGGTGGTTGGGGGTGTGGAGCCTCGACGTAGACTGTAAGTCGTAGGAGAGGCTCAGGAAGTTGAGAGAGGTGTTCAGAGAGGTGAGACAGAGAAGAGAAACAGAGTTGAGTGAAACAGAGGTGAAGGAAACAGAGTTGAGGGAAACAGATAAAGAGGAAATATATGACAGGTGAGACGTGTCAGGCCCTGTTAGCAAGTACAAGTAGACTGTACTAACAGGGACCAAGCCAGGTTGGAAGAGTTTCCAGATAAGATTTGACAATAACACGCTGGGGAGCTCCGAGGGGAGTCCCCAGCCTATATACTATACATGTGACAGCCATGTGGCATATTACATAATGGTAAAAGCGGACAAGGGGAGCTCTGGGTATACAGTGGGGAGCTATAGGAAGGTAGTAAGGAGGAATATGATAGGTAATGAAGCAAAATCAGGCAAGGCATGACAATTAGAGCCAAGCGATTGGCTGAATCATTGCGCCGACCGGACCCATTTTTAGTAGGAGAGGGAACAGTGGGAACGATAGGTGTAGCACAGGTGGGTACCCCAAGGCCAGGTACATCATCAATATGATGAAAAGATTGAAAGGCAGAGTGGGGGTGCACAGGAGTTGCAGAAGACGCAGGAGATGGAGTAGAGGGTAGCTCAAAGTGAGGTACGGCACCAAGATTATTGAGAGAGTTAAGTTCAGAAGCAGTAATGAAGCTTCGAGGTGCTGCAAGAGCAACGGAACGTTCCTGAACAAAGCGCACACCGTTGATAACAATGGTGCTAGGAGTTGCAGAGAGGGAAGCTGACTCGGGACGGGAACGCTTTGTAGGTGAAGCAGGGCCATCAGACTCTGATTCAGAAACCGAAACACTACTGATAAGATGTGAGTATGATTTATAACGGACAATAGAGGAATAGCATACGATTTTCGTTTGAAAGGACCAAGGTTAAGTACTTCAGTTGAAAACTGGGGCTCGTGATTCAAAAAAAAATTTTGAGGCGGAGAAGACAGCAATGCGTTAACTGGCATGGGATCATGAAGCCGAACAGCAGTAGATGGATTGATACCTTACACAGAACAGTCAGATAGTGCAGTTAACGAAAACAAAAAATCAGCGCACTAGAAAAGTCAGGATTATAGACAAAATGGAGTGGCGGGGCGGCAGTAGTCAATATGGTGGGAGAGGAAGGCCTGCAACAATAGTCAGTGGGCATAGTATGATAAGAGTCGCAGTGATAGAACAGACATTGGAGAAGTCCCAGTGCGAATGTGGTGGACGGTACTGACAGCTGCACCAGTTTCGAAAAGCTCGGTATCACCAGTGGTCGCATCTTCAGGATATGGATGCAGAGGAGATTCAGGTGGAGTACTTTTGAGAGCAGGCGGATGCTCCGAGGGTGAAAGAGGATAATCTACCAAAGAATGTGCCGCAGAAAGCTGTTTGGCGGCAGCACTATTAGAAAGACCAGTTGGAGGTGATGTGCAATCGCCAACTTTTGAGATTGAAGAATTAGTAGAATCGGTGATGCTACAGAGATATTGGTAGTGAGCAAGACAGAGCAAAGTAGAAAAGGAATGAAGGATTTCATACCTTGACATCGTGGACAATTATGCAGAAGTTACAGGGGATAGGAAAGGACTTGTATGCGCAGAGCAAGGATTGAAGAAGAGGGGGAAGAGCAGAAGCACAGATATATCAACAAACTGGAAAGGACAGTAATGCAATGGAAAAGAATTGCGGCACAAGAGGCGCATCGGAGGTAAATGAAATTAAACCGCGCAATTGACAGGTAAGTAACGAAGCTGGAATGCCAAAACAGAGAGCAGAGAGCACCTTTCAGGCAAAAAAGAAGTCGAACAAATACAAAGCCGCGGAATAAAACACACAGACAGGGAGGGGTACAGCGTCAGTAAAGATGGCAGTTGACATTGGGTGGCAGAAGTACAGGGAAATGGCAACGGGCAAATGAGAATCATGAAGTAAAACAGCAGAGAAGGAGTGGAAAGGTGACAGGACAGTCAATGAGAAGACAGAAGAATACAAAAAGATATAGTAAATACCGCTTCAAATTGCGAACGGCAAAGTAGATTACCAAAATTGAAGTCAGAAGAAGAAAAAGAGAGAAAGGGGCAGACTTCATGAGAAGTAATATTGTAAACGCCGTTCAAAATTGGGTCGAATCCAAATTGGTAGGAGGAAGAACAAAAAGAAAGAGGGATCGACTTTAGCAGCGGAAGTACCAGAAAACGAAGTCGCAAACGATAGCATGGACAGTAGGTATGATAACAAAGGAGCAGGTCAGTGAGAATGAATACTGCAAGCAGCAAAATATATTAACACTTACCATAGGTCAAGCACTCGAAGAAATCCAAAGTCATCGGCGGGACAACCGACCGAACCACATCCAAATCAGTGAGGTGCAAGAGGTAAGGACGCATTTGCAATGATAAAAACACCCAATAATGCCGTTGAAAGAATAACGAATGGAAGAGTAGAGTAGAGCTGTTGAAATTTGAAGGACCAGAGTGCTGGCGGATGACGTGGAGTGAGCGCAATGGCGAGTGCAATAGTGAAAGCGCCAGCGAACCACAAGAAGTAGTTTTTCACATGCAGGGGGTCATTGAAGAGAAATGCTTGCCACCATTGAAGAGGCAGTCAGAAAAGTAAGTCATTACTGCGATATTTGGGCAATGAACAAGACGGTTAAACAGCAAATAGAACGATGCAGAAAGCACGCCACACAAGGCAGTGGATTGTCATATCAGGCCTGGGAAGTGTCGCATTTGATAACGATTGTGAAGGAATTATGGAAGTGTATGCAATGTTTGCACGAGCGCTGAATGGGCTAGCATGTGTTGAGTTCAAAAATGTGAACAATAGGCGGGCAGTTGAGCTTGGGAATCGCATGTTCACGCCCAGGAACCAAGCACCAGAAATGGAGTGGGTAGACATCGATAGGCAAGTCGACATGCATGGAGCCATGCACCGTGTGCGCAACAGTGATTTGGGGTTGGTACATGGGGAGGAGAATGTCGTTCTGTATGGTGAGGAATTCACTAGTGAAGAGGGGAAAAAGAGGTAAAGTCGCAGGTGAGGAATGAGTTGTGATATACTGACAAATAAATGCGAACAGGACAGAGACAATCAACCCTCAGAAGTTCCATGTAGGAGACATAATTGATGTAGGTTTTTCGATGATAGGTATCGAAGGGAACAGCAAGACAATTTCAAAGGCAAAGTTGCTGCTCCGGTCGGTAACACTATTAGATGGAAGGTTCACGCAGGTGAGACAAAACCGTGAAGATTGTACCAGCGAAAGGATAAGCTAACGTTGAAAAACAGGAGTGGATCAAAGCGAAGGCGATGGCACAAGTGAACGTGGGAACAACGCGGAAGCAGTTGAAGAAGAGAGTGTTTGACGATGATGAGGTTGAAGGAACAAGGAAGAAATTTCAGATGATGAGTACCAGTGCAGATGAATAGATGCACTTGTTTGCGATATATTGACTGTATGGAGAACACAAATTTACAAAAGCAAATCGAAGTGAGACTAAGTGATTTCACGAAATAGATAGTGATTTCCCCATACAATCTGCCAATATATCTTCTTCATCGACATAACAGTCAGTAAGTAGATCAGTTTCAGAAACTGTGCCGCGAATAAATTTTTCAAACACTGCAGGAAGCCTAGATGAAGTAACGATAGATAGACCAGATTGAATAACGGGACCACTTTTTTCTGAAGGAGGTACATCCTGGAGGCTAGTACCGTGGTAATGGTGAGGCTGCCAGAACACACAAGTGTTGGTAGCAGACTGAATTCGAATACCATAGTCACAATTGTAGAAGTGGCCACCTAGTTCCTTGTTGATGGAAGCGCGGAATGTAGTCCATGCAATCGACCACTTGTGTGGTTGAACTTCATTGTGAACAGCACTGAACGGCAGTAAGAGAAATGTAGCACAGATGAAAAAAAAAGAGCACACCGGGCATAGTTACGAGCAAATACACCTGAAGGAGGAGCCATTTGAGCATTACGGAAGGTAACAGGAATATTGTTGATGGGGACGGTATATGTATTTTCGGGTCCACCAGCATGTAAGTTGGCATCCATGCCGTAGATGTTGGATTCAGACAAGAAAGAATCAATATCCGCGAGAACCTCTTCTGGACCTAACGCGCGAACCATGTTCCAGAACAGGGCGAATGCAGAAGCAGCTTCATATCGGATTGAATGTTTCTCAGCATCAGACTTCGGTGATAGGAAATTGCGAACGAAGTCAAAAGCTGGTTTTGAGCGCGATCCAGCAGACCAACCGGATATGACAATGCAACCAGCATCCTCCTTCTGAAAAGCAACAATAGTGAATACAACCACCATAAGAAAGAGAAAGGACATACTCTGACGTTGCGCTGGCATGCCACATTGCGGAGGACAATATCATTTACCCAACGTACAATTTCTACCAAGGCGCAGAAATCACGGATTACAATCATGATTTTCATGCCGTCTTCATCCTCGAAAAGAGCACTGTCGGTCGGACCAAGATCGACCTGGAGATGAGAAATATCGACAAGGAACATGGGTTTTCGAGGAATTCGAACATCGGCCTGTTTCCCAGTGCGGAGATGATCATACCATACATTCCAAATAGGTTCATGATCAACCATCCAATGACCCACGGGAGGATAGGGAGATTGGAGTCGGCTGACTTTGTGGATAGGGATCGACTGCCACAGGCGGCGAATAGCAGATATTGCAGAAGGGGATTCAGCGCGGATATACAGGAGGTTGACAAGGCGGCGTTTGGCCTGATTGAGCCGATTGCGGGCAAGGGCAGCATGCAAAATAGCAGAATGAGTGCGAGGATAGGTGAGGAAATAGCGGTTGGCCCAGGATTTGAAATTAGATATGGAAACCTGAACACGAATACCAGGAAAAGAACGAATAAGATAGTCGACTATAAGCGACGAAGCGCGCTTTTTCAAATCGATATCAGGGTCCATGAGTTCAGCCCGCCACAGAGGATCGCGCTCAACGCGACTAGCAAGAACTTTGAAAGGTTCATGAGAGGGCATGGTATGTGGTGGTGAAGACAGGAAACGAAATATTTGCGCGGAGCAGCGGAACGATGGAAAGGGGTAGGGCTGCGGGTAACGAAACAAAAGGGGTAAGATCATTTGGAGGAGGGGTACTTAAACGAGGTCGGGTTTTTGAAAGGCCGGCGACCATCTCTTCTTGCAACCTCGATCCTTGGAGGTGCTGGGATCTGGGTGCACTTCGAATGGAAAATTGAACTTGCCTCGTATTGAGGGCGACGGAGATACCATTCAGGTGCACCAGGAATTTGGCAGTGAGTAAGGAAGGAGGTGCCCGCAGTGATTGGCACCAAATGGTGCAAGGGAGGTCATAGGCAGCGCGCAGTAAAGATAGTGCGGAACGTAGTAACCAGGCTGCAGGAAAGGGGTAAGGGCAGGTAAGAGCTAAGGCAGATTTAAGCGAGCCGGAATTGCGAATAATTGTTAGTACCAGGGCAGCGGCGGTGCAGTGAAGCAGAAGCGCACCCACGGGATTGGTGTGTTCGCCAAAAAGCGGCGGCCACCTCTATCTATGTGCACTGATACCGGCGAAGGCATTACAATGTGAAAAACCAGAATTAGGTTGCGGGAGGGCGGATGCGCTAGTACGAAAGAGTGGCAGGAAAAGAGGGTGCAGATAAACATGCAGCATGGAGGTTGTGCAACCGGCTGGAATACCCATTTGAAAAACATCGGAAATGAAGGACAGAATGCAATATATTGTTTGGCCATTCCAGCATTGAGCTTCGTTGATAGCGAAGTGTACACAACGTTAAGGAAGGTAGCGCGGTCTAAAGACAAGATTACTGATGGTAAAAATCGCCCCAGACACCCGAAACACAACCATGCATAAGCCTCGCCAACACCTCTGAAGTTTACCAGAAGTTGACCACTACTCTCGGGGGGAATAACCTACAAACACCAGACATCGGTCGCGCCGGTATGCCCTGGCCAAAGAGTGTCCAATCCAAGAAAGTAAACCAGCACCCGCCGGCGCAATAGGGTCACTGCGGATGCCGTTCCCATGCGGCAGCTGGTATTCCCGACGGAACGCAAGGAAAATGAAGATGGAGTATCTGATGCGAAGGAATTGGCAATAAACGAGATTGATGGTGACCAGAAACGATTCGTTATGAAAGTCTTCACCTAATTGATAGTGAGTCTTACACGTTCGTTTGGCAGAAATGGAAACCAACCTGACTTCGTAGGGAAAACATTTTCGTCTTCGAATATATTTTGGGCAAAGGACATGAGCGCGGCGATGTCGGCGCTGAGAGCGAGACGTGCTTTCCGAAGTCAGCATGCAAGATTCCATGATGCACCCGCAAAAATCATTCAGATTTGTGCAAATTGGAAAGTGGTTGAGAATAAGGTAATACATAGTTGCGACGGCGCAGTGGGCGTTGGAGATTTAGGGCGCACGGCTGCAGAGTGAGAACGAAGGCGTGTCGATGAAGAATACCAGACCGCGAATGAGAGTTCACCCGGTAGGAGTGGGGGGTGAATTCGCGCAGAGGAGAAAGTGACGATGTGACCATATACCCGTGATGGGAAAAAAAAATCTCTAACGGCGTCACGGTGACTCACAGAAGTGACAGTCCCAATATGGGGAAAAAAGTAGCTCAAGGAGGAAGGTGAAAAGCGAAAAAGGAAGGTGAGGTAAGATTTTCTCACGCTAAAACCGCCATAGGACGAATCCTTCATTTCATTTCGGACTCGTAATATCTGACACTGTACCAACTGTATACTATCATATGCAGCGAATTCTTTGACTTGGTTGATGTCCTCTTCCACGCCATCTCGATATAATCCTTCAGCACGTTCATCATATCCTTCTTTCCTTTCCGTGCAAGAGTCCCTCATACTCCAATTGAAGTGGGTGAAACGTGGCCTCGTAGATGCGTTTCGGTGGGACCATGTAATTTCGACAATAGCGGAGTCAGTGCTCCTCTTCTAATAATAATAGTCCATCATTCAAGCCTCAAATCCAGAGACTCTGAAGTTCGGGCCAACGTTTACAAGTCCTTGCTACTCAACTTGCTTTCATTAACGTCCATCTACACATTTGACCTCCTACTTCTACCGCTAGTGCGAGATCAACAAAAATGGCTACATAGAAATGTCGGATGGTTCTACCAAGGTTTATGGTTGTTCCCAGTGATAGGTCTTTCATTCTATCTGAATGTAATTAACGTTTGCTCCCCATTTTGAGATCTCATACGATCGAGGCTGACAACCCTTCAACAGAGTTCCTGGTGTAATATCATTGCTGAACGCACTTTTGCGCTAAAACATGGGAATCGTTCGTTTGCTCGGCAACAGGCAGTGACATATACTGGAATGTTGAAGTCCATCGCAACGTCAGCGTATCGTGTCGTGATGGTGTTTACTTCCCTGGTCGTGTCGTTCGCATTGGGCCATATCCCGTTTGCGGGTCCAATATTAGGGTTCTCGTTCTTGAGTTGGCTTGATTCGTGAGTGGTGTATTATCCCGAGTGGTGTCTATGTTCAAACCGGTCTAGCTATTACCTTTTCGAGTGCGTAGAATGAAAAATAAAAATTCAGTACGTACTCAACGATCATAATAACCAGATTTGTTTGGATTGCACGGGGAATGTCGCTGTCACGGAGGGTACGGTATCTGGAAGAACGTTGGGCTTATTATCTTGCTTTTGGTAAGGCTTAGCCTTACAGTTCCATAATCATCTCTGACATTCTCTATGTAATGAAGGATTGCCGTCAGCAGCTCTATGCACCCTGGGAAGTGGACTAGCCAGTGCAGCTATTTTCGCACTCGTGTTCCCATTAGTGAGATCTTCCCCGTAATGACCATATTCCCGCTTCTGACTCAATCGATCTAACAGTACATCGTGATGGCCATGCACGCACGTCCTGTTCCAGATGATCCATACAATCCGGTTTCCGAAACGGATGTTGTGCGACATCCCTCTCCGTTCATTCCGATTCGACTACCTGTCTTTGCACTAGTGATGTTTCTCAATGACTGGATTGTCAAGATTCTCAGTGTCGGAGGGGGTTCGAGAACTAGAAACGTGCATCGTAGAGGGACCAGTGGTGATGAAAGCGTTGAAGAGGGCGAACGAATGGAGATGCAGACTAGAAATGCCACCCCTAGCTTCAACTCTAACAGGTCCAATAATTCACGAATCAACATCGGTCGGCGAAAATTAGATTAATATGCATTATACTCGTTCAACCAAACCCTGCCCACTCAATCGACAAATAAGACACTGTTTTCCTCTCGTCATCCCAACCACAGAACAGATGAGTCTTTTTAGTCGCTGTACCCAACCTACCATGGGCAACTATTTCCATAGGCTGAATAGAGTGTGTCGGTGACTCGATTACCGTCGCACAGAAATGCGAGTGATAACGAAGGGGGTCGCCTAGAATTTGAACATGAGTGGAGTGACTCCTGGTGAAGAGAGTCCATACGCACCTGGATACACAAGATAATCGCCTCCAAATCTTATTCCACCACCTAAAAAGTAACCTTGCTCCCACAAATCTTTGAAAACACCGTATCTCGCTCGATCCTGAAGGTTCAAAGGAAAGTCCCATATTCCTGCTTCTTGTGCGGCTTCGATTGTCGAGTAGGTGCATGAGTCTGGGGAGTACCAGCTCAGTGCAGAGGATGGTGTTGTTATGTATATGTTGTATTGTGTATGGGCTGAAGGAGTGGTTGGACTTGTCGATGGACCAGCGTTTACAACAGGAATGGGAACCGGTAGTTCAGATCCTGCAACGGGATCGCCTTCCATCTCCTGTAGTTTACGCAGTTCTATGGCTTTTTGTTGTCGTTTGAGCTCCCGCTCCTTGCGTTTTCGTATGGCTTCCTCTGATACAGCGAGCTGCGCCACCTCTTGAGTTTTCGTGTTTTCTGTTCCAAGTACGGCCTGTTGGTGCTTGATATACTCTCTCTGTTCAGCGCTCCATTGCTGAAATTGTGACAGTGAGGGTTCGGGGTAAGCATTGGCGTCGTCGACGAAAACAGCGTATTCTGCGAATGAGATCGAGTCATAAGTTACAAGTATTGGGATATGAGAGGAAAAGACCTTTTTCCACAAGAAGAGTAGCCTCTTCTGGCGTTAATTGCGAAGGGAGTCCAAGGAAAACATTCTGCTGGGACAGATGAGGTAGTGTCCCGACTAAGAGACCACACAGACGGTGATCTGAACGAATTCTGTTGAGGTCTAGCCTATATTTAGTCAAGTCTACCGTTTTGAAGACTGAAGGTCATTTACCATCGACGTCCCAGACGTAGGCACGTTTATTCGCGACACGTATCGGGATACGGCCATTCATGGTCACTGTACCGGAGGAACTCTTATCTAATCTACTGATTGATCACCCTTGAAGCTCAATCTTCGACCACCTCAACCCTCTAGTCTTTCTGCATCATGTCAGCCAATGTGCAGAATAGCATTATGCTTTTCGGTGATTCTATCACTCAAGGTGGCTGGGAGCCTGGTATTAATGGTTTTGGAGCCAGTCTAGCTCGTAAGATCGCTCGCGATAACAACTATTAGTACGCCTGATCTTTGTTTACCAGATAGATATGCGCGTAAATTAGACGTTATTAATCGAGGGTTCTCTGGATATAATACTGAATGGGGCATCCCGGTATTTGAGCAAGTGGGTATAGTAAAGCGCCACTGTTACATCTGACTGACTTTGCGGTCCTTAGCTCTTTGCAACTCGGGAACAGCAGAAGGATTTGCCAACAGTCCGATTATTGATCATTTGGTTTGGAGCAAACGACTCGTGCCTAGTCCAATCCCCTCAGCACGTACCGCTGCCGAAATTCGCGTACAACCTCAAACATCTTGTGAACTTGGTACAGTCGCCCAAGTCCGATTATTATTCGCCGAACACACGCATCATACTCGTGACACCTCCGCCAGTGAATACATACCAACGTAGAGCTAATTTGGACGCCAGAGATCCGCCTTTGCTGCTAGACAGAGATTTCGAGAACACCAGAAACTACGCCGAGAGGGTCAAGGAAATAGCTCAAGAGGAGGCGGTCGCAATCATTGATATTTGGACCAAAATGTGGGATGCTGCCGGCCACGACGAGCAGTCGCTCAGTAATTTTCTGTACGATGGATTGCACTTGAACGGTGCGGGCTACCAGGTACGAAAGCAATTCAATTTGGTGAAATGACATTGACAATCGATGATATAGCTGATGTATGATGCGGTGTTGGAAACGATAGAAAAGACCTATCCAGAGTTGCACCCAGATAAATTGCAGATGGTTTTCCCTGGGTAAGTGGATGAGATATTTCAAGCTTCTCCTCCAAATTTCTGACGCCTGTAAGTATAGTTGGGCCTCGATAGACCGTACCAACGTGGCCGCGTCGGTGCAGAAGAGGGCCGCGGAGCAACTCCCAGAGGAGTAGAGGAATATGTAATCGTAGTGACGTCGGCATATAATATCATGCGATCACGTGATTTTCGAACATAACCAAACGTGACCGACGCGAAATAATTCCATTCCGGGAAACCACCACTCTACTTGAGCGGTTTTGCTTCTTGACACGACGGGATACCACAGCGACAACCGGAACGAGGCAAACACTTTGTTTTCTCGTCTTTGTAGGGATTTTACATCTTTGTTTGCTCTGCAAAGCGACAATTTGGTAGGGCGCTTGTTGGTGTCTGTGGGTCCAGCGATTTAATTGGACAGTTCTTTGTGAGAATCCCGTGCTTCGTAGTTCTTTGTTGAGCTAACCGACGACGAAACTTTGCCACCTTTCTCCAGGCGCGGCCTCCTCCGTTCTCACATTCGTTCTTATTCGTGAGTGGCCTTTTTCTTGTCTTGTCCTGCCTTTTTGGGTCAGACAATTATTACCTCGCGGTACCGTGACTGAAAACGCTCATTGTTCGCCAGTCCAAACCAAATCACCAATTTTCCATTTGCCAAAAGTGCGTTGTCCTTAAAACCACCTGTACAAATCACTCACTCACGAGTTACATTCACTTTTCTTCTCCATCATGATGGACTTCTTCGAGAACAGACATAAAAACAAGAAACAGAAGAGAAATCCAACATCTGACTTCGACATGCCTCTCTTCGGACAAACTTCAGACAGGTTCTTAAGTGCACCTGTTGCGCTGGTACGACGACGAGCTGATACTGTTGTACGACCCCGTGACGATGTCGACGAATTCCTTTCCTCCGACCTCGAAATATCTTTCGCATCTACCGTATCGTTAAATTCTCCACCCAAGGACCCAATCGCCCTCACTCCTGAGCACGAATATGCTGAGCCAATGGACATTTCTCCCGCTCCTCTGCTGAAATCCAGCATGCCAAGAGGTCGCCCCCGCGCTTTCACCAGCGGCGCTCGTCTTTTTGGAAACGACATGAGCAATTGCTTAAATTCTGCACCTGTATTGCAACCGTCGCCATCTATCCGGGGAGGTTCCAATAGCGCGAAGCGTATACAGCGCTCTGCGCTTCCCACCGAATGGTTCACAACTCGGACAGAGGTACTTACGATCGTCCTCCTAATCTCCTATTTCCAAGGTGACATTTATTTCCGTAGGTTTCTGAACCTGCCACGCCAGATGACGATGCAATGGACGTTGATACGTCCTCCTTCCATCTCGAACCACCACCTCCCGCCTACTCCTTCCCTCAAGCTGTGGCATCTGCTGCCCCTACAGTGACTACTTTCGCCGACGCCATTGACAATCTCTTTTACGAATCAATGTCTCCTCGTCGTTGTGTCGAATCGCCTCCCGCTCACCAGCCAAAGAAGAGACGTTCATTGTCTCCGAACCCTCCTCGCGTTGTGGAAGCTGACTCGTCACCATCTCCCGCCCCTCCAGTATCACCTGTACAACGCAAGTTGGAGCGCAAGGCTAGCGGACCACTCTTGGCAAGCTTTAGCAAGCCTTCCCTTCAAGGCCTCGGGAATCCTTCGATCAACGGCTTGAAACGACCCCGCCGACCTGCCCTCTCTGCGATGGTTCCTCCTTCAGACGCCGCTTTGCACTCAGCCTACCCTGCACCTACATCTGCGGATAATCAAATGACTGATGAGCGATTCCCGCCAACGCGACGCGCCTTCTCGGCCATGCTTCCGCCCGCTCCTTCCTCGCCCTTGGGCGAATCCTCAGGAGATTCTTCTTTTGACCTGAGTGCGGACATGTCGTCTCCCGCCCAAGCATACGCAAAACGACAGCAAATGAAAACTATTCGACGATGCGATGGTACTGACGATTTTAGACCTTTGACAGGAGCTACAGCAATGATTATGAATGAAAGCCCCTCCTCTAAGTTCATGGTCGATGGAGGTATGCCTGGTTTTGGTGACAATGAGACCCATGGTAAGATTTTACCTTGCCACCGTGTTGCGGATGACGGTTTAATGAGGATTACTGCTGGAACGGTACGTCTGGCGGGCATGGGGTACGGATATTTTATTGAAACAGCTACAGATGGATCTGTTACTCGACGGGGCTTTTGATGACAAGATACGCGACTTCCATGTCATCGACTGTCGTTTCGACTACGAGTACGCTGGTGGCCATGTTCCCGGAGCAGTCAACATCAACACTACGGCTTCGGTAGAAGACCTGCTTCTAGGTCCCAGCTTAATGAAGCCCAAACCCTCTGTCAGTGGCGACGGGCAAAAAAAGACTGTATTGATATTCCACTGCGAGTTCAGTGCTAAGCGTGCGCCGACGTTGTATGTGGTTCTTTTTCGTTGAATGTCTATCGCTGATTGAGTTATCCTCCAGCGCTAAGCATCTTCGCTCCAAGGACCGCTCCATGAACAACCACTTCTACCCCAAAATCCACTATCCTGAGCTTTACATTCTTGAGGGAGGATACTGTTCGTACTACAAGCGCTCTGCTCATCGCTGTGAACCTTCTGGATATGTTCCTATGGATGATCCTCAGTACGCTGCTTCGAGGAAAGGTGACCTAGACCAATTCCGAAAGAATAAGTTTGGCCGACACAAATCTTACGCCTATGGAGATGGTGCCAACAAGCTATCTCTTGCGTCTCAACAAATCAAACGGAATAGTGCCCCCACTGTTGGTGGTCCACCCGTCCTCTTTGCCGCCGGCAACGCTGCACGCCATCGTCGTGGTACCATTGGTAACGGAAGCCTGTCCACTCTGTCGGAGGATAGTCATCACACTACGGAGGGTGACGAAACCGACATTGATCTCGGTGACAGTCCTTGTCCAGCTCCGTCCAAGTCTATCGCACTCAAGGTCAAGAAGGGCAACCGTGCTCCTCTTTCGCGCGCCGAAACTTATGGACCCACTCGTATGCCTTTCCTCGGTCGTTAAACTTGAGGTGTATCGCTTGCCCTTTCCCACCAATGGAAGTGAATTAGTGCTCGACATTCTCATGCAGTCTCAACTTGCCATTATGCCCTTGAATCACGAATTTGTTCTGACCCGCATGTTCACCTCTACGCCTTAAGATTTCTCCATGCAGTTTCGCTATGGCACGCCGCTCATTCATAGCCACATTCGTTATGCTCTCGTCGAGCTTTCTTTCGTTTTCAAGGATTCGTCACAACGTTTCGTTGATTAGCTTCAGGTTCTGAATTTACAGTTCCTGGATTATGAGCACGTTGGCATTCTCGTTTTCAAGCTGTCATCGCTACTTTGTTATACACAACATCGTGGAATAACTCATCGTTGTTCGGTCGTTATCAAGCTTCTATCGCCATTTCTTTCCCTGTTCTGCACACTGCTGTGGAATATATTGCGCTATGTTGCGACCTTCTTGATTTAATACTTTCGCCATCTCATCTCCTCTCCTCTTCCTTCTCATGTCCTTGATCTTTCATCTTCTCCCAATCATCTGTCTCAATTATATCACACGCATCCCACCGGTTCGCCGAACGTGTACAATCTCTCAAATATTTGTCTCAGTATTTAACCCGAAAGGACTCTCATCTACCATGCTACTCACATACAAATAACCATCTTCATACATCCTCTCCTGTCTCCTTCCCTCCAGCTTACTTTTTGACCTTCTACCGCAGCATTCTCCGCTGCCCAATCCTCTATTAACTTGTAAGTAGTCAACCATTGTCTGCTTTTTCCTTCGTCGCCTTGATACAATTTTTTTCTATCTCTTCCCCCTTCGCCTCGACCATCCAACAATCAATCTTCATGCCTGTATTTATTAACTATCTGTGTTCTTTTTGAAGCTGCTACATCTGCAGGCTTCATTTCCAATATCTCCTTCTGCTTCGTCCCTTAAGTATCCCGACTTTCACTTCGGTAGATCTGTGCTGAAAGACGTCTATATAAACTTTTCCCTTCGAGTTCGATATCCAATATATTCCATATTTATTGTGAAAAATTGCCGAATCTATAGTATTACAGGACCACTATTGACCAGGGAATACAGTCTTCCAATACACAACCATTACTAGTCCGAATCAGATTGGCGATTACCCATTCCTTCTCCTGGCACTAAACTTCACTTCCACAGCCCTGAACACCATATACAACAACCCCGATGCAAAAAATCCAGTTATTAACCCAATATCACCTGTTCCAGCGTTTGCAATAGGTCCTGTATACCACGGCTGGTTCATGCTCGGCACGATGACCGCAAAGGAGCACAAGAATGCGAGAATGGCAGCGACGCCGAGCGGTAGGTTTGATGACGTGTTCCAGTCTACCACCGAGTATCGGGCAAAATCGTTTTTCCGGAATAGGAAATGCTCGCAGAGGACGATGGAAGCATATGATGTAGCCCAGTAGCCGATGAGGTCTGTTAGCCAGAATTTGAATTCAAGAAGGGTCTCCGAACAGCGGAAAATTCACCCACTCAAAACATCCTCAAAAGCAGTGAAAAAGTGAGTAGCTCCCACAATGGCGATCGGTATGACTCTAACATAGGTTCATGTTGATCCAAGTATGGGCACAAGAAACAATAATTGCAAACTTACATCGCCGTACAGATCAACGAGTATATATACCTCGGCACCTTGGCAAACATAGGAGATATACTCATCAAGCTAACACCTGAAGGATCAAGATAATTCAGCTATATCAACAGATTTATCCCAAGGGAAAATTCACCTACCAAATGAATACATGGTTATTGCACAAGGTGCAGTGACCGTCAGTGCACCCAACACAACAAGGAACTTTCCAAAGTTGCCGATTGGCTCGAGGATTGCGACGAGGAAACGACCGAAATCTTCTCCATCTCCGAGCCCTGTTTCCCAAGAGGGTATTGCAGGAGCGGCGGAGGCAAAAGCTGCGCCGATGATGTGACCTATAAACTGGATGTGAACGGCTGACTGTGAGTGCAAATGCATTGGGAAGGCAATGACATACTGCAGAGGTGAAGATACCTGCATAAGCCCAGGAGAAAATCTTCCACCTACAATGGTTTCAGTATACATGTATCTTAGAGGAAAGATACTTACGTGGGTGTGGTCGACTCATGATAGATCCCATAATCAGCCGCGAACGAGCACCAGGTTAAATCCGAGGCACCGGCCGTAGTTCCATATGCAATTAGCATACCTGCAGCAGCAGCCGGTGTGGAGGAAATCAGGATAGGAATTTGAGCGACGAGCTGATTTCCTCCAACCCCGAGCAGGGCGATAAAAAGCACCACGCTTGGTAACCATATATATGTCTCATACCAATGTAAGGTTTTGTATCCGCAAAACGAAAGCTATAAAACGATGTCAATATAGAAAATCAGGTTTGCCTGACATCAAGATACTTACGACGAACGAGATAAGCACGATTATTACAATGCCAGTGGTATCATTTAACTTTGTAGACACCGCTGCGAGTACCTGACCGCCCACAATAGAGTTGATGATGAGCCATCCAATTTGCGAAAAGACGTTCAGTGTGGAAATAAGCATAGCGCCATAGTATCTAAAGATGTGAGTAGGTTGGTACACATGCGGGTAGTAAGATAATAAAGCAGATAACTCACCCGAAAGAGAACCTACTCTGCACCATAGTACGGGTGCCGAGTTTGGGACCGAATACCACACTGAAAATTCAAAACAAGATATAGTAGGGAAGAGTAGTATGTGCGGTGGAGAGGCGTACAAGTACGCAGGAACTAAACAGCATCTGAATTTCCAAGATTTTGTTAGCATCGAAGATTTGTGAGTGCATCGGAAGCCTACATTATGTCGGCAACGACAAGTACAATTATGCATTCGCGAAAATCTAGGGAGAAGAAGATTGGGCCTAAAGCGCCCGTGCTCATCCTGCGCGAAGTTTTGTATATGTATGAGCTAGGGAAACGCGGGACGTAGGGAGGCAAAATTAGCTCACCCTGTAAGATTTAATATCGCAGAGAACCAGACGGTGAACATCTGCCACATTCGGGTGTCTGTGCGTTCCTCCTCACTTGTAGGTGCTATTCTGTATGGGGGTAAGCGTTACTCCTCAAAAAAATCACAGTTGTGGCATATGGTAATTGAATCCACGGAAATTCGCGCCGTGCCAGAGACTTGAAAAAGATCCAGTACTTACCCATGGGTCTCTATTCCCCATCGCAGAGCGTGCCTACTTAAGCCTTTCCAACCCCCGAGTTTTGACCTACTACTCCGATCACCAAAGGAAGAGCCATCAAAATCTGCAGTATGGGGAACAATAGTGGTCGGTAAGCCAGGATCGTTCGTATCCTCCAATATTTTGTCGTTCATGGTGGGGAACTTCGCTGTAAGAGGGGGGGAGCAGCACTGTATATGAAGATAAGAGTGCTGGATAAAGAGGCTCTTTTGCAGTTCTGAGGTTTTTCAATCAATCAGATCGGAGTCAATAAATGCTGATCTTATCTTATCTTCCAATGTACACCCACTTGGAGCGCCATTGATTTTCTAAGTATGTCAATTCTGCCCTCTTCTGCCGTCGTTATATATACCTCCTTTTACACCTTTCCGACGAGTTAGTCAAGATGATATAATGATCACTGGGGAGCGCCGATCCTGCGTCGAACGCAGATTGAAAGACTTTATCTATGGACGAACTTCCGAGTTGTATATACTCTAAACTCAAGAAACACAAGATATCTATCTCAAGAGAAATGGGTATGGTACAAAGATGGAATGGAACAGGATGGTGCTGCGCCCTGTTGCACCAGGTTCCACCTCGATGCTGTGGTGAGTTACTGGTCAGTGGTGACGTTAACGTTGTGTTCGTACATCATACCGCGGTCCCATAGCATAATTAGTAGCCCCGTTTCACTTTGATGGAAAGATTTGCTAATACTTATGTATACAATTATGCGGGAGATTGGCAACATGTACAGCTAGTCACAGCCAGGTTATAAAATCTGCTGTGGAGACTCATCTTTCTCTCTATCACTTGTCCCCGTCATCTCCCCTTCCCACTTACCCAGCAATCGGACCCAGCCAGTATAACTTAACTATTATATCATATCATATCCCAGCACTCCGATGGCTCATTGGACTTATATCTTTACCCTCACTTGCATGAGCTTGCTTTTTGCAACCACTGCAGTAGTTGCACTCCCTACGTGCGTGATTTTCTTTCCGATTCAAAATGGCCGTAACTGATTCCTTGATAGCGAAGAGGAGAGCCGCGGATGGTGTGAGCTGTGTATTGAACACATGCCTGGGGATGCGCGCGCAGCATCTGAGTGAATTAGAACCGGCAGAAATATCGCCTTGCTCACATAGTGTACCACCGGTCTAGAGGTATGTATGTCAATTTGAGTACCGAATCATTATCCATTAATGGCCAGGCTCAGCGCTACCTGTCTTCAACCGCTAAAAAAACCAACATTACACATACACACAACGAGGACATTATTTATTTATCGCGATAGTTCATTCGAATTCCACTCTTTGTCTGATTAGGAGCTTGAAGATGCGACGCTGTGGCGAGAACCACCAGGACGACCATGTGTGATATGGTGATGGTGGTGTGTCTCTGCAGGTACTGGGAAGATCTCTCCAGGAGGCAACTCCAAACGCGTAGCGACAACTACGACTTCCAGGGATGTCGCTGCATCCAAATTGACTACCTCGCCCGATACCTGAAAGTTATGTTGATCCATGGCATTGTGAAGCAGAGAAACAATCAAATCTTGCCTTTTGCACACGCCAGTGGAAGTTCTCTTTAAGATACGGTTCCACAACGATTGGGTCGAATGAGTTCAAGTTGGAAATGTTCGCAATACCTTCGTTGAGATGCACGAATCCTTCGAGAACGACATCCTGTTGACGCCGACAGTTTGCGCATCGTTCGGCAGAGCTGTGATACATAAACAGAGCCAAATTATAAATTGAAGTATTGCGACAATGAGATTGCAGCTAACCTATTCACGAACCCGTGGAATGCTCCGACAAAATGGGGATCAGTAGCCCATTCCTTGGGATCACTGGGCACACTGCCTAAGAAGAATAAGACCTTGAAGCTTCCACCTATTTCGTACTTCTTGACCTGCACACGGGCAGTCCATTCCCAAAACTCCTTTTGTTCGTTGTTCCTTACAGTGGAAGCTATTTTTACTTGAGGGGCATCATCAATGCTTCTATTTGGCGTCGGATTGACTTTGCTGTCTACCAGGTGCGAAGAGGCATCGCTTGTGACATTGCCAATCGTGGAAGCGTCTGCAGTAGTTTGAGAAGAAGGTTGTTGAATTGCTGCCGCGAATTTCGTGAATGGTCCACCATAGAGCTTGTTAACTTGTGCAGCTATAGCAGATCGAACTGCAACTTCATTTCCCATATCGAGATTGTTAAATTCTGGATATGTATATCCCATCTTGGACGTATCGGTCACATTGGCAGAAATCCAATACGATGACTGGGTGTTCCAGAACGGAGTAAGATCTGGATATTATAAGATGATTAGTTGACTTCGGGTCCATCCGTACGAATCGAGCGTGAAAGTACCAGTATCCTTTCCAATTACAGTGTCGGGAGGGATAGTCCATGTCCCATCGCCAGAAGGTCCGTCGGTAATCCACACCCTCGGATTCAATGCAGACCACAATGAAAGCAGACGATCAACCTGGGCATGGTGCATAAAGAAAATGGGATCGAATCCTGCCGAAGGTATGTCGATTATTCAGCGCGAAAGAGTAACAAAAATGACCTACCTGCTACTGAAGGATCTGACATTTGCCCGTTTCCACCAACATCGACGTGGACACTGTCGTGGATACCTTGTGGAGACCATAAGCCTGCTGTTTGCAGTGAACACCAATGTGAATACCTTCAAGACTATTGCTGGTACTCCCTCCATCGTCGGGCGTATGGTTACTGAACGCCGGCCATGTATGAACTCGCGTCAGAAGGTTGTACGTCTTGGTCTTGAGTTGCGGACCAGCACTTCTCAACGTCCTGCAATGAACGTAAGAATTCATGCTATTCATTTGAGTATGCAGTGAAACTAACGCTTTCAATTCTGGAACATTGTCCGATGCATTGGCATCATCGGACAAAGGATGTCGAAGAGTAGTCGACCAAGACTGATATGGTTCAGGGAAGGACGGATCTATGGGGTGGAATGTATAACGTCGGAGAGGGTTGGGAACAGAGATTTTCTCTCCGCTTGGGTTAACGATGGTAACCTCGTCCAGAGATATTACTTCCGGCGGAGGAACTGGGTTTCGGGCCCAATCCCAGTATGGCTGACGTAGATTCAACGCGGCGTCCTGGTAACGAGCTCTATCTACGATGTATGTTGCGGCGATATCGACGGCCGCAGCCTGGATTGCTTGCTAACGAAGCAAAACAAATATGAGTCAGTGTCGACAGTTTTGAGCAAAAAAATCTGATTACCTCGATGAGTAGAACATACGGACGGTGGAAGGTTGGAAATAACACGCTGCCATGAGTGCAATATCCCTCCCAGGCATCAGTGTCTACTGGCTTATTTCCTGCGCCGTCCCAAGGGACATACGGAAGGCCATGGATCCCTCCGATTTGGAAGAAGGAGTCAATATCGTCTTGGCTTTTACTTGAATAAATGTATTCTGATTCATGATGTGCCAATTAATGAACGAGTTCCGCGATATTCAGCCTGATTTCGACTTACGCAAAGCCTGAATATAAAGAGAAAACTGGTCTTCTTGTTTGACGAAATCATTAATTTCGAGACGATTGGGTGCTGTTGCCCCAGAGGTTGATCCTCCAGTTGCGCCAGTGACAAGATAATGAGACATCTGAATGAACTCTGTGAAAGCAAATCGGTGTGTGGGGTTGGAAGGTTTAGACCTCGAGCTTTTAAGGATCCGAATGGGCACAGCTACTCCAGTGCTGTAATACTAACAGCCAAGACAGATACACGATCTACCCCCTAAGCATTGCCTTCGAAGCTTGGCTAAGTTGGCATTTGCTTATACTTACATCGAACTCCGTAGGGGGGGACGTCCATATATCTTACGGACCAACATAGCGATCGAGTAACAAATTGAATAAGAGGGCAGTCCCGAAAGAAGCGGAGAAAGTGGCTGAGATTTGTTTGATAGAACCATGTCGGTTAAGCAGCCTCTGTCTGCAGTCTTAGTAGTATTGGTCGGCCTCTGGAATCTGCCGTCCGATTGAGTGATAAAATAGAGGGTCAACACCAGCGGGACTAGATTCATTCCATTGCATCTTCGGCTGCCTTCAGTATGTGTTTTAGTCAAAATCCGGGCTGAGTTTGTACGGATCTAACTTTCACCTGAGCAATGGTAATAACCCTTGGTTCCCGAAGTAGTGTTTTGTTAGGCCTCCTTGAATTCTACGTCGATGTTAACGCCAACTACCTAAACTATGTATCCCGAACAGCGAGGATTACCCCATTGACACCGGCACTGAAAATTCGAGCCGCGTCTATGGGTTCATACTTATACACGAACATGGCTTCAACGCCGTGCAAGCATCTTGACTAAAGCTAACAACCGCTTGTGTCACCTAAGGTCATATAAATTGGGAAATATTCATTCAACAATCCAGTGGTAAGTACACTTCGCTCGTTTGTAGGACTATTGTGTAAATGAGAAGAAACGATGATCCGGAAACATACATAGCTCATCACTGCTCACCTCTATTATTTACACCGCAGTCGATATAATCTGGACTTCTTAAGTGCCATCCGGCTCCTTATCTCGTCAAGCCGTGTAACCCAGTCAGGATGTGGATCAATGCAGAATGAAATGGCGAAGCGGAAGGTCTGATAAACCTAGGCTTTGGTTGATTTGAACGTGTTACTTGGTGAGAGTTGAAGATGAGAGCTCCTACATAGAAAGGATTGGGATTTAGCACTAGCGCTATGTGTCCGCGAAATCGAGGAAGAAGATGCCGACATTTGAAACAACCGGGATACAGCAGAGGGTGAAAATTTGGTGCGCAGCAAAGGAGAGGTATGTGATGTCCGTTCGACTTTTTTTCTGCTACACAGCTCCAATATCTGTTACTTCCAGAGAAGTACGAGTGACAGTAACAACAGTAGTACGGGAGAGAAGACCTGGGGTTGGACTCTCCGAACATTACTACAACCTGATTACACCGCCGGTCAAATTATAGGTAGAGTTTTTCAGAGAGATTGCTCTTGTCGACCATGACATGTCCGGGAAATTCATTAGGAAACGAGAAGACCACGGGGGCGGAAGCTGGAATCGAATCTATAACGCTGAAGGCTTATCCGAGCTCGAGAGGTGTTGAGGTCTCATTAGGAACGGGGAAAAGTTTTATGTCAGAAGTAGTATAGCTGCGGAGACGGCGGTAGCACGAATATGAAAGATTCTGTAGAGGTTGCCTCAGGATGCCTCTGAGAAGCGAGAAGACGAAGGGGTGTTGATTCATTTTGCTGATTCAATATTCATGTCCCATCGATGACAGCTGAATCGCTTAGTCACGATATTCGGGCCTCGGCATCCGAATGGCACCCGCCCTACACGTGACATGTAACAGTGCACCTGGTTAGTTCACGAAGAATCGAAGATATGTACATAATATTCTCGTTCGTGAATAAAATCTCTTTGGAATTCCAAGACTACATTTAACTCCTTGCGCAAAGGCTTGTCGAAGGGGAACTCGGTGGTGCGTCGTGTCTGGCATTCCTAAGCCGAATGCCCCTTGGTCCGACTCCGTTTTCTGAAGTTAGGCAACGCTTTCTCTTCAACTTGAACGGGTATCCATTCATACACATCCATATCAAGATTACAGTAAGTACCACTGCTTCGTCTAAGCGTCCAAATCTTTGCCTTTGTACTTCCAAGTAAATCTATGACGCGACTCGTTCATTCAGTTACAGTACATCTTTACGAATCGCTGGCTCACCTTGAACAGACTTTCCCAACAAACTCGCGCAGTAATCTCCCCAGCACGTCGTCCTCTGTTCCAATTGAACAAACATGTGAAATATGGTTGTGTCCAGCCACGACCACGAACTCTGGTAAGATTCCTTGCGGACTTTTTCTGCGATATTCCTCTATGAACGAGAAGGTTGAATCTTGGATTTCTTTCCTGGAAGACCGATTTCTCAACTGTCATCTCTCGAAAGCAATCCGAACGTAATGACGTACGGGTCGTACTGTGCTAAGACAATCAAGCAAGGGAATTTTCTCGGATCCAAAACTAGAGATGATGCGGATAACGCCTCTATCAACCCGACTGGTGAATACTCATATATCTCCTTAGCGTCTTCTGTTTCATAATACGCTCTCAAAGCTGTTTGCCTATCTTCCGGTGTCGTATCGAAAGAAAAAGGGGTGGACAGGTAAACGATTCCCGCGATAGGAGGGAATACAGGCTTGGAATTCACATTGGAGTGATCTGCAAGATAGATGTTGGTTGCGATGTGCAGACCTCCTACACTTGACCCGACTAGGACCACCTTTTCAGGGTCTCCATTGCCAGACTGTTGCTTCGAGATATTGTGGTAGACCCATTCGCGAGCCATCTGAATATCATCCCCTCCCCCTGGATAAGCAACGTCGGGCACCAAACGGTAGTTGATTATGACGGCGACTATGCCATGGGACGCAAAGTAATTGCCTGTCGTCAGTAGCATAGGCTTGCAGTGGTAGTATCCTCCTGGAAGATGGCATTACTTACCCACATTGGCATATAGAGATCCTTTATACCAGACCTTATCCCCAGCAACCAAATTACCGCCATGCACATAAACTATCACAGGTCGCGGGGTTGTAGAAGATTCCGTAGGTGAATACACGTCCAAGACATTTCGTTCGTGAGGTCCGTATGAGATATCTTCCTTGACGATTCCGTGGTACTTTGTCGGATTCAAAATTTGGTGTTTCCGGCCGTATATCTGGCGAAAGGCCTTGGTTCATGCGGTTGGTTGGTCAGTGGAGACTCAAACTTTTATGGCTTACTGAAAAGCCCTACCTCTGCCACAGCAGGAGACCAAGTCGTGCCGTTTCGCTCGACTGCCTCGAGAATTTCGCTTTGCATAATTTTTGCCTTTGATGTCTGTAAAGGGTCAAGGTAGGAGTTCTTGAGCTCTGATTTTTATCGGAGAATTTATTGAGATGCATAACATGATTCGGTGCTCTGTAAACGGGACGCGGAAATACAAACATATCATAGGATCGTCTGCTGTTTGTGAACAACTAAAACGAACAATGAGCGCTAGTGAGCACAAGAGCACGGCGAGTCTGGTCCATTCGGAAAATCTGAATAAGTACATCCGAAAAGAGGTACACTTTAGAATTGTCTGGACAAAGGATGAAGTATTAAAATACCATCCGAACAGGGCGATGTCAAGGGCTAGTTATTCAATATTTTGTAAAAGGCGTAATGAATTCTCGAGCAAACTCAAAGCAGATTGCATCCGTCCCGATCCTGATTTCGAGCATGAGCTCGTCTGTCCAAACCTTTCCGCTTTTTTATACCTATACTCACCAAATACTTACGAGCTCATTGAAGGAACGCGGCGGTCATTGACTCATCGGAAACAAAGACTCGAGCTTACAGCACAACTCCGGCATGCTCTACCTCCAATGCATCCTAGTGCATCAAACTTCGCCTTGTGTTTTCAGGACAAGCGGAATGATAAATAACAAGTCCACTCAGTGCTTTGTTAGTAGTCGCCGTGGGGAAGAAACGTTGGGCATCTCTGTTTGGATACGTACAGAGATAGACAGAGAGAGAGGAACAAACTTGAAGTATTTAAATAATGGCCTGATAAGGACCATTCGTCGATAGTAGTAGTGTTGCCAAAGCCCACACCCAGCATTTACAAATTTACAAATTTACGGATTTACGACTTTACTGGGTTCCATACTACGGTAGGTCTCGAAGATCCGAACTGGTAAAATACACCAGATGATAACGTTCGTTCCTGTTCCTGCAATATTTTTGCAGCGTTAGTCTTCTGACCTCCTCTGACTCGCGGCTGTCTGGTGAAATCTAAGAAAGACAAAAGGTTTTTCACGAATGTTCCCAGTCGTAAAGGAGAGATATGCTCCAAATTTCTGTAGTTCTTCCACCTGTTCTGTGTCAAGACAATTGGAGGATAAGCTCAATAACAAGGGAAATAAGATGGGTCAACTGTACACATAGAATCCTTATACACAGACTGAAATCGCAGAAGACAACATCAAGATCCAGTAACACATTCGAATTTGAGGTAATGATTGTACATACATCCTAAATGCCGCGACTAACTATCGAGAAATGCAAAATTGGGGATAATCGTATGCTGCATCTTTGACCTAGATTGAAACAAATTGATGCCGTCAACGTCGCTCACTGCACACTGCGGTCTGTGAACAACGAGGCCAAAAAATGTGCAGGTAGTGCAGGCCGGTATGTTGTAAGAAACCCCTAGAGAACAAGGCTGATTTGATTCTTCATAAGCATCGAGTCCTCGAATTTAAGTAGGCGGTCGGGTTGTAGCCTCAGATACAGCGGCAATGACTTGGTTGGTCATGGAAAGCTTCTTCCAAAGCGAACGATAGAGTTCGGAATCATACTTTTGCAAATCCTCTGACAAGGTAGTTCGTGTTTCTTCGACGTGGGGTTTGATCGCATTGCGGACTAGTTCTTTGATTTGTTCTTCCATATCCAGCACAACGGTTTCGGGGTCGAAGGGGGAAGAAGGTGGTGAAACCGGTTTTTCGTAGTAAGCAGTCAGAGCCGCAGAAAGTGTCTCAATTTCGTTTCTGTCTTTGGCGCGACTTTTTTCATGCTCTTCCACACGTGCTAGCAGCTATTGATAAGATTTTTGAGGTGAATTGTAGCATACATGAGCTAGATGAAGACTCACGACTCGAATTTCTGCTTCTTCGCCTTCCTTCTTTGCAATCATATCTTTATGCCTCTCATCTATGCTCGAGTTGTCGATATATAGTTCTGCGATCCACTCGGAAAGCTCAGTGAGATTCATTGCAATATCGTCCATCTGCTCCTGCATATGACTGGTACGAGCCTCAAGCGGACTGACAATCGAAGACTCTCCTGCTTCCCCCTGGGCATGATATGCTTGCATCACCTCTCGCACCTCTGTTTCCTGTGAGGCGATGTTATTCTCGACAATCGAAACGCGTTCCAAGACTTCTCTTAAAGTAACATGAAGACCACTTATCTCCTCCTTTGTTCGTGCCAAGGAAGCAGCAGCAGAATCCTCATAGCCAGCATCGGTACGCCTTCGTTTGGATGAGTTGGGACGAGTCTCAGTGTCAGCATCATTGGATACGACGCGCTCTGCGGAAGTCAATGGCTTGTTCTCCGCTTCCTTTTTCAGCGCCGCTGCCTCTACTAATTTCAGATCGAGTTCGTTAGAAAGTCTCTGGAGTTCCTGAATTTTAGTCTCCTGGTTCTCCACGGATGTCAGGAGCGGAGTGAGGGATGAATTTCCGTTCTCCGCACGTCGAGCATGAGCCGCATCAAGTTGCTTCTGAGCGTCTTCAACCTGGGCTTTGAGAGACTGGAGCTTTGCTTTTCGAGCATCGTCAAGAGGAAAATGATTTTGTGATTGTTCCCATCGTTCTACAATAGTCCGCAGTTTTGACCATCGTAAGAAGCGAGTTTGGTACTCAGCTTCAAGTCTGGAGTAAGAAAGCATGAGTCATAAGATGTATACTAAAACAAGAGTAGCACACTTGGCATGTTTCTGAAAGTCAGAGTGTTCGATAGTATCCATGCTGGATATTTAGATGTTTTGTTTGAGGGCCAAACTTATAGGACAGTGACTCAGCCGGCTCTGGTCTTCTGTGTCACTAAAATCGAGAAATTCTGTCACAGACAATCTAGTAGGAAACAATCTAAAAAAGAGATGCGAATGTTAACAAAATCAACTCACAAATTCGACGCCGTTTACTAGATCTATTTCTTCGAAACTAAGTCAAAGTTGACTCTGATCATGATTCTGTTTCAGTGCACTTTTGATTTGTAAGCCGACGCGAACGCGTCTTTTCTGAATCTCAAGTTATTCCTTCCCGATACATAGTACCTTTTTCTCTCTAATGTTCCAGCGAGATCCAAGAGCAGGAGCTTTCTTAGGCGGAGACCGTGTGTCAGGGCAAGATATCAGGGATCAAAATGGTGCGTACTCGTTAAATTTCCCGTCATCTATCATGATCATGTCTTCAATGGACAGTAATCGCTGCACTATCTATCGCGAACACTTTGAAGAGCTCTTTGGGCCCTCTTGGGCTCGACAAAATGCTTGTGGATAACATCGGGGTGCGCTTGAACTCGTCAGTAACAGAGATCCAAAACCTTATACCACTATTTTGCCCAGGAAGTTACCATTTCAAACGATGGCGCCACGATTTTATCACTCCTCTCCGTTGAGAACCCTGCAGGTCGAGTCTTTGTTGACCTTGCACAAAAGCAAGACAAGGAAGTCGGAGACGGCACAACATCTGTCGTCATCATTGCCTCTGAACTCCTTCGTCGTGCAAACGAACTAGTCAAAGCTAAAATTCACCCAACCACAATCATCACTGGCTATCGCTTGGCTTGCAGAGAAGCAGTTAAATTCATGCAAGACCAGCTCAGCATCAAGGTGGATTCATTGGGACGGGATGCACTGATCAATACTGCGAAGACATCTATGTCCAGTAAGATCATCGGGAAGTGAGTCTTTCACTTGCTGGATTTGAAAAGCCATTTTATGAATGGCACCGCAGTGACGATGATATCTTTGCACCCATGGCAGTCGAGGCTATGCTGGCCGTAAAGACCATAAATTTAAGAGGGGACGTCAAGTATCCTGTGAAAGCCGTAAATGTTCTCAAAGCTCACGGTCGAAGCGCTCGGGAATCCCTATTCGTCCAGGGATATGCATTGAATTGTACTGTTGCTAGTCAAGGTACGCTGCTTCTGTTCCTCGTCTCATTCCTTTACCTATTTTCATTTTCAGCCATGAAAAAACGAATCACTAACGCCAAGATTGCGTGTCTCGACATCAACCTCCAGAAGGCCCGTATGCAACTTGGAGTCCAAATCTTGGTTGAAGATCCCAACCAGCTCGAAGAAATACGGAAGCGGTGTGTTTCTTATTTCCGAGTTTGACTAGTATGCCATGATCTCATACCATCTTAGAGAAGCCGAAATAACCCTCGAACGAATTCGAAAGATTTTGGGAGCAGGCGCCAACGTCGTCCTCACCACAAAGGGTATCGATGACTTGTGTTTGAAAGAATTCGTAGAAGCCGGTGCCATGGCCGTTCGTAGATGTCGGAAAGAGGACCTACGAAGGATCGCAAAGGCAACTGGTGGTCAACTGATTTCCACTTTGGCCAATTTGGAAGGCGAGGAGAGCTTCGAGGCTAGCTATCTGGGTACAGCAGACGAAGTCGTCCAGGAGCGAATTTCGGACGACGAGCTCATCTTGGTCAAAGGTACAAAAGTTGTCAACTCTTCATCGATCATCCTGAGAGGTGCAAATGACTACATGCTCGATGAGATGGAGAGAGCGTTACATGATACACTCTCGATCATCAAGCGTACCCTAGAAAGTGGTTCAGTAGTTCCAGGTGGTGGTGCGGTTGAGTCAGCACTTAGTATCTACTTGGAGAACTTTGCAACAACATTGGTACGTCGTTCACATTTTGTATTTGATTGTACCATAATATTGCTATTTAGGGCTCGCGAGAGCAACTCGCCATCGCTGAATTCGCCAGTGCATTGTTGTCAATTCCAAAAACGTTGGCAGTGAACGCTGCTAAAGATTCCACGGATCTTGTTGCCAAATTGCGCGCGTATCATCACGCTGCACAAAACGCACCTGTCGGTGATCCTAAAAAGGCGCTCTTGCGATACGGGCTTGATCTTATGACTGGAGACGTCCGAGACAACGTTACTGCCGGTGTACTAGAGCCGACAATGAGTAAAGTCAAGAGCTTGAAATCTGCGTATGAGGCGGCAGTATCTCTTCTGAGGATAGACGATGCGATACAATGTGTTCCAGGTATGTACATAGCATTTTCGAGCAAAAGATTAACTGATTGCGTTCGTTTGTAGAACCCAAGGGTGATCCGGATCCCCATGGTCATTAGTAGAGGTAATACTTGTACCGTCTTCGAGGGTGAATCAAAACAACGGAAACAGGTTACATACTGAAATTCAGATCTAGTCCTTGATCGTCGAGTTTGACCTTGTACCTGGGGCATGAAGCAAGTTAGCATGAATGTTACTTAGATAGATAAATAACGACTGGCAGGTTATCCTCCATGTCGAGAGCTACGTCCAGGTCTTACAATGGAGGAGCCATACGCCGATGTTCATGTCCAAAGTTAGTAGACTGCAGCACTGAGCAAGTACGGCGGCAGCTGAGAATTATGTATCCTCAATCGACTTGGTATCATACGCTTTGTTCCCTGGGATCAGTCACGATACTATCCCCGGGTATCACAATTTCCGATCCCGCGAATACCTCACTCCACTATAGCTTGATATCTTCCTCTCAGAATCAAGGACCACCATGAGTACACTCAGCGTGAATATCTCAGATAGGATAGCTACAATTACCCTCAACCGTCCCAAATCGTACAATGCAATTACGGTCGAAGGTTCGTATTCCTCGAACCTAACCCGGCGAAGTTATTCAATCGCTTGCATCGCTGTCAGATTACGATGCCTTTGCGAATGCCCTAAGAGAGATTGACAGAAGAGATGATGTTCTGGTAACGGTCTGGCAAGGTTCGTCTCGCCACTTTATTACCAAGTTTACTTTCCGAGGCATCTGCATCGTAGCGACTGGCAAGTGGTTTTGCGCGTAAGTAACTCCTTATTGTCTTTCTATAGATCCAAGTTGTGCTGACTTTCATTAAACTCAGCGGTACAGATGTTATGGGCCGTTCCTTGCCGAATGTAGGACCACAGACTGCTTTGTCGCCTACGAGCTCGAATAATACTCTGCGAGAAATGTTTCTGAAGAGAATTTCTTATACGACAACGGACTGTGGTCAAGCTGTATGTACAAGCGTTCTATTGTGCTTCCAGATTCGCTTCACGAAGAGAATCAATAAATATAGTTATACTCTCACAGCAAGGTTCTGGTCGCTGCCCTCAACGGTCCTGTCATGGGTGAATATGGATGAGTTCCTGCTTTATTGCCTGAAAATATGTTCTGATGCTCTTTCGAAGGTATTGCCGCCGGTAAGCGCTTTAAGTCTCCATTATCGATGTGAAGTAGAGGTGAACTAATACGATATTCTTCTAATCAAGCATTTCTGGGATACTTTGACTTCATCTTCTCGGTACCGGACTCTTGGTTGTCTGTACCATTCACCTTTCTAGGTTAGGATCTTTCCAAGGGGAAGGGATAGGCCGAATTTCTAGCTCAACTTTGAATCTCCTTAGGCATAATTTCTGAAGGTGGTTCAAGCGTGAGCTTCATCAACCGAAGTAGGTTCATTGTACTTGAGCAATGTCTGGCCTCATTGAGTATTTCTTTAAGTGGGTCCTGCTAGAGCCAATGAAGTCTTAATATGGGGAAAGAAAAAGACCGCTCAAGAGTTGGTCGCATGTAATTTCATAAAGTGGGTGGTTTTTACTTCCTGGAAGGTTCTTTTTGACTTCATACTTACGTGAAGATGTTTCGAATAGCGAGATTTTTCCATCTAAGTCAACAGAGGAATTTCATGCTGATGTACGCGCTCACTTGCAACAGCAACTTGAAGGCTTAGATCCCGCTGCTGTACTAGCAGTAAAGAAGCTGCTTCGCGCTGGTTTGAATGAGAAGAATGACCCAAACGCCGTTAACCTCAGAGAAAGCTATGGTAGGTATCTTGGATATCTAGGGAAAATTGTTGTTCTAATTATTATATCCCATGTGTAGCACAAGCCGAAAGATTTGCAAGTGGGGTACCCGAACAACGGTTTGGCCAAATAGCTAGGAAAGAAATCCGGCACAAACTGTAACAGCGAGGCTGAGAACGGCGTATGTACAGTCGTAAGCCACATATATTGTAATGTAAGCATGCACTGAAGGATTTTGATCAACCACTAACCAAAACGTTTGTACGGCGACGTTGAAAGTCAACCATTCTTCACTGCCTACATATGTAGTACTAGTTAACGAAAGCTTTCCGGATGTATTATTTCGAGAGGTAGCGGTTGCAAGGTACAACGAGTTGCGCCTAGTTTTAGATGATATGACATCGATATTAAAACCTTTGTGGTGTTCTTTTCGAAGAGCTCACTCGTGGTCGGTAAGGTCCGAATACTTTGTAAAAGTCTGGTCATGAGACGGTTGTGGGTGGTCGAAGCGGCGTTCGGAAGATCCCTCGGATCTCGGCCGGAGCTTGGATTCTTTACCTTCACCATGTTCACTCGTCGTTTGCAGGGAAAAAGATTTCTTGTTGCGTGTCTGCACACCAGTCGTCGCGTCCAGAATTCACGGAAGGTCATTGAAAAGTTCAAACTCGCGGACATTGGTGAAGGCATCACGGAATGCGAAATCATCAAATGGTTAGGGCGTCGTCTTCCTCAAAGAACTGACACTGAGAATACAAATAGGAATGTCAAGCCGCAAGCAGTCATCCAGGCATTCGATCCATTGTGTGAGGTTCAAAGTGATAAAGCTAGTGTTGTAAGTGCTTTCTTCCTAATACTGAACCCGCTGTGAATTGCTTCCCTTAGGAAATCACAAGCCCTTTTGATGGAGTTGTCACAGAGCTATTGGTTCAAGAAGGACAAGTGGCAAAGGTAGGGTCTAACCTATGCTTGATTGAAGTGGTCAAGGAGGCGGCAATTGGAATAAGTCCCAACGTTGCGGAACCTGTAAACACTTCATCGAATCCTGATACGAATTCACTGCCTACTATCGAGTCAGAACAAGAGCCCGGATCTTCAAAGGAATTCGCCAGTGCCCCACGACGAAAGCACCCAATGGACCCCACATTTACCCCAGACACCAAATCCAATTCCCCGATTTACGCTACTCCCTCCGTTCGTCATATTGCACGCCAGCGTGGCGTCGATCTTTCTCAGCTAGCTCCTGGAAGTGGAAAGGACGGAAGGATAGAGAGGCGGGATATCGACGATTATCTGGCTGGTGCTGCAACGACCGGGGCTCCAGTAGCCTTGCAAGATGATCAGGACGTCGTCGTTGAGCTTGGAAGGACGCGTCATAGTATGTGGAAAGCCATGGAAAAGGTACACTCATCAATAAATCACGTCGATATTGACACTGACCAGCAATCTAGAGTCTACATATACCCCACTTTGGGTGAGTTTCTCGACACTAGTACGCGTTCTGGACTGAACACGCAATGGTAGATATTCTACAACTCTTGACCTCACCACCCTGCATGGCTTACTGCCATCGTTAAACGCAAACATACCACCACACTTTCTCCCGCCATCTGTTATCCCCACACTCCCCTTGGCAGTTTCTCCCTCATCTGTTTATCCTCCCTCTCCACCACCAGAAGTCCCTCCATCAGGTCAATATACGCGTCTTACCTACCTCCCATTCCTTCTCAAGACACTGGCTAAATCCATGCTTGAATGGCCACTGTTTCGCGCGTCCATTACAACCACTGATCCTTCATCGAAGCCAACCTTGACTATTCGCCCTCATTCAGACATATCCGTCGCACTCTCTACACCCAATGGCCTTTACACACCTACCATTCAAAGTGCAGACTCGCATTCCATGTACGCTCTATCCTCTCAGTTGAAATACCTTTCCCATCTTGGTCGTCAAATTCCCTGTGGTTTGACACCAAAGGAAATGCCAAAACGCGGAGGAACCCTAACCGTATCTAACGTTGGTGCAATTGGTGCCGGTGACTTCGCTGCTCCGGTGCTAGTTCCTGGAGGCGGGGTTGCTATAGTAGCGCTAGGGCGAGCAAAATGGGTGTGGGATGTTGATCGAGGGGATGGTAGTGGGGAAAGGAGACTAAAACTTGGTGTTTCATGGAGTGCTGACCATCGTGTCATTGAAGGTGCAGAGCTTGCTGCGTTTGTTGAGTGCTGGAGGGGTTACGTTGAGAATCCCGCAAGGCTCATTGCGGATAGTGTATGAAGAAAACAAGGAAATGGGCAATTACACATTACTGTACAACAAAAATATTTGTACTTTTAGACGGAGGATGTACCAAAGCAATCAATCATTGCGTTGTTTTTTGGTCGTCTTGCTGCCTTGTACCTCTCCATCATCATCAACTTCTTCCATGTTATCCCATACGTCCTCATCTGAGTCTCCATCTCCCTCTTCGAGTTCCTGGGACGATGCGATTGGCTTCGTCGAAGAGTGATCACCATCCCATACAACCACTGTAGGTGTACTCTTTGAAAAGATCTTTTCCAGGACTTCACCCTTGTGTTCTTGTTGTTGCCCTGGTTGTTCTGGAGCAGGAAAAGTACTATGAATACGACAATAGCGATCCCTAGCGACCGAAACCATAAAAGTAGGTGAAGGTGCTATTGAAGTGACAGATCCAGCCAATCCTTCAAAATCAATTAGAATGGAATGGGAATCAACGTCAAGGACTAAAACAAACCTTTATAGCTGTATGAAACACGTCCATTCCTCAAATCTAAGGCGAACAAGTTTGAGCCACTATCGCTCACGAATACCTCACTGACATTTCCCCATGGTGAGCTCGATTGAACGGGAAAAGATTCACAAAACACGACTCACTGAAGATTAAAACCTTGTTCAAGTGTCTCTACACCGCCTACTTTTGCTATTTTCCAATCGGATGTGGGCCTTCGGGCGGCTCTAGTATCATATTGTCGTACAGATCCCAGTTGGGTACCTGTAAGGAGGTGATGATTAGGACCTGAGGACGCAGAAAGATAGCAGAGAGCCGTGATTCGAATAGGTTGACGGAGCCCAAGGTTGTCATTGGGTACCTGGAATCCGATAAGTATGAATATTTCGTGGAGAATTTCAGTTCCTCACATTCTTCGCTCGCCAGATCTCGCCAGGGAAAAGTGTATCGTTGCGTTTTCGCTTTTTGGCTGCTGCTGTGGAGGACGTGAGGTCTTCGACTCGATTCTGGAATGCACGTTCGGTGTCCCAAACAGACAAGTCGACCTCATCGCCTCCGTAGGCAAAGGTATTTTGGTTCTCGGATAGTCGCCAGTCACAGAGACGGGTGGGTAAGGAAGTGGTTAAGAATGTTGGCGCAGTGTCCGATGAATCTTGTTCAATGACGGTCATTCGTAGTGCGCCATTCGATGTGCAAGAAAGCACGTTTCTGGTAGAGAGAAGAGAATTAATAGAATATCGGAGGGAGTTGATGACTTACCTTTCGGTGCAATGTATTCCAACATATCTTTGGCCATTTTTGAGACGGGTTTCTGTCCATTGTTGCAAGCTTGTGATCGCATCATCTTCTGCGATGGTAAGTAGCTCTGCTCTTCCGTTAGAGTATCCTGCGGCTAGCTGTGCTTCATGAAATTGTGAGCACTTTGAACATCAAAAGTTGAAGACGGAAATACAGTACCAGGGTCACCGGTGAATCACTCTGTGTGCGAGCCGAGAGTACTTGTACGCCAGAATTTTCGGGCTTTTCTGTGGGCCTGTTAAGCTGTTCCAATTTGGAGGTGTCTGAACCAGATGTTTTGAGTTGTAAAATTTTGAGGTTTCCCAATTCATCGCCGGTGAAGAAACGCATTTGGTTTTAGGCGCCTTGCTGGCGCTTAACCAAGTTGCCAACTTGAACTCGTTCAATTTGGCCTCCACCTACGATGGATGCTTCTCTCAAAGAGCTCAGCAAGCTCGAGAAACTCACTGCGGAGTCCTCTGGGAAAATCAAGACAGCCTCCATATCAGATTCTCTCGATGCCCTTCTAGCTACTCTCCAATCTGCAAAGGCTAATATAGACAGTATAATTGAAGACTCTGGAAATACTCTGGCTCAAGTAGTAGAGGTTAGGAAGAAAGACATAGATGATCGCCAGAAAGAGATATATTCTGCAACGGCGAAATTGGGCAAGGCTATAGATAAAGTGAGTGTAGTCCCTTAGTGACGTTGAGTGAGTATGATTTGGGGGAAATTTGCTAATATTGTAAGCTTCGGTAGAAATTTCCTGCTAATTTACCTTCCTATCCGGACCTGTTTGAAAGCGATGATTCGATTGCAGCTCTGGAGAGGACCATTGCGCTACACTTCCTACGAACGGGTCAATTTGATACGGCGCATACGTTTCTAGAGGTAGGATGAACTCGCGTCAAAGCCGTCTCTTATTAACGATTGTCTAGGAATCAAATGCTGACATTCCTCCGGAACTCCGAACCCAGTTCATTGAACTGCATCGTATATTAAAATCCCTCCGGAATCAGGATATAGGCCCTGCTCTCTTGTACGTGTTCAGTTACTTCTAATCCGAATTCCTTTCGACTGTAGTTTCAGGTGGACCAGGCGACATCGAGCATTCCTTCAAGCTCGTGGCTCACCACTTGAGTTTTACCTTCATCGTTCACAGTATATCCGTCTTCTCCTGTCATCCCATCTTTCGAATCCTCTCCCTGCAATATCCTACGCCAATGCGGAACTCAGGCCTTTCTTCCATGATCACCAAGTAGAGTTTCAACGGCTTCTCAACTGTGTTATCTATCTACCCCTGTCCAGACTGCAATCATCACCTTATGCGGATTTAGCTTCTCCTTCCATGCATCTTGAGCTGGAACCTCTGTTTGCTAAAGAATATAGTGCCAGTTTGGGCATGAGTCGGCAGGTTCCATTAAGAGTTGTAGGTGATATCGGAGGCGGGGGTGCACTTGCGAAGATTGAAAAGTGTCGTCGGGTTCTACGAGAAAGGAAGAATGAGTGGAGTCAGAGAGATGAGTTACCAGTACGCATGCTTACACTCTCTTTCTATGTCATCCCCTTTTTTGAAGCTTCGTTAATCACCCTTCATATTGTGCTCGCAGATTGAAATCAGCCTCCCTCCGGAAAACCGATACCATTCTATATTCACCTGCCCTGTCTCCAAGGAACAAAGCACGGAACATAACCCACCCATGATGATATCTTGTGGGCATGTCATCGCCAAAGACAGTCTGCAGAAGCTCGCGAAGTCCTCGGGGTATGTCTGATACCATGATCTGTTATGCGTGCGCTCATCCTTTCCTGCATCTCCTACAATTACTCAGACGCGTGAAATGTCCGTACTGTCCGACAGAATCACTCTCTTCGGCTGCGATTCATGTTCACTTTTGATTCTTCCTCGAGATCAGAAGAAGACTCTTAAGAAGACTCGCTTGCGGCAGTGTTCTGTACAGTGCCGGTACAGTGTATGAACATGACTGATTTATTCTTGTAGCACCACATATGTATGTATTGCGACACGTTCATTGTAATTGTAGCGTAGGAAGTGGACTATGTACATGCATATCATCATATTTCTTGAAAGGACAAGGGTGGTCGCTGTGTCGGAGTTGGCATTTTCTACGGCCCGGCCCATCATGATGAGTCAGCGTACAATGGCTGTGCGCGCGTGGCCTGTTCGTTCGTCGGACCCTTTCCGCGCTTTCTAATCTCACTCTTTAGATCGCGCGTTATCCTCGTCCATCATGGAGGTTGGTCTTTCTTCTCTTACTTTCCCGATTTCCATATGCTCACAGATGTTTAGGCACTGCTCGATTTTTCCGGCGACTTTGATGTCGCACTCCTTGACAAGGTCGTTATGGCCTTCTACACCAGCTCGGGGCCTGAGGTCAGTAATCATGTCACATCTGACGCATATACATCGGACTCAAAGCTCGACATCCTTCCAGCAACAAATGGCCCAACAGGTCTTGACTCGCTTTGAAGAAAATCCAGATTCATGGACCAAAGTGCCAAGCATTCTGGAGAACTCCAACTTTCCGCAGGCCAAGGTGTGCCGCAATTCTCATCTGACTCTGAGATCGTCTGCGTCTTACTGTCGCTCCAGTACATTGGCCTTCAAATTTTAGAGAAATTGATCACGACGAGATGGAAGACATTACCAGAAGGTCAACGACAAGGCGAGTCACTGATATGTGTAGCCTGAATCGGAAGTTGACCATGTGCCAGGTATTCGTAACTTTGTCGTTGGAGCCACGGTCAAAGTCGCATCGGATGAGACTCTGTCACGAAAAGAGAAAACATATATCAACAAGCTGAACCTCGCCCTTATCCAAGTGCGTCGTTGAGTTTAATCGCAATTACCAGTCTGAGCAACTAATGGCGACCCGTCAGATTCTCAAACAAGAATGGCCACACAATTGGCCCAACTTTATCACGGAACTAGTCGAATCTTCCAAAACCAATCTTTCTTTGTGCGAAAACAACATGGTCATCCTGAAGCTGCTTTCTGAGGAGATCTTTGACTTCTCGGCTGAGCAGATGACGCAGAATAGGATCAAGAATTTGAAGAATCAGATGTGCGGGGAGTTTTCTGATATCTTCAAACTTTGCTCGGAAGTACTTGAAGAAGCCAACAAAGCATCGCTAATAAAAGCCACATTGGAGACATTTCTTCGGTTTTTAAATTGGATCCCATTAGGGTTCATCTTCGAGACTACCATTATCGACCTGTTGTTGAACAGAGTGCGCAATTTTCCGTTTGCTCAATAATCAAAATATTGACCTTTTCGTATCGCAGTTCCTGGAAGCTCCCGAATTCCGCAATATCACTCTCAAATGTTTGGCCGAAATTGCAGCTCTCCAGGTTGGGCCGGAATACGACCCCAAATTCGTCATACTTTTTGCGATGGTCATGACCTCTGTAAATCGCATGATCCCCCCGAGCACTAACATTGCTCAAGCTTACGCGAATGCCGGAGATGCTGGCCAGGAACTCGTACTGAATCTCTCACTTTTCCTATCCAACTTTCTGACACATCACCTGCGCGCCGTGGAGACCGAGGCCAATCGTGATGTTTTGTTGAACGCCCACCTTTACATGGTCAAGGTATCCCAAGTGGACGAACGGGAAATCTTCAAAATCTGTCTTGAATACTGGAACAAACTCGTCTCGGGACTGTACGATGAGATTCAGAGCTTACCCATTGGTGAATCAGGACTTTTGATGGGGTTGAACCTCGGCGGCTCTAATGGGAATATATTGAATGGCATGTCGCTCAGAAAGAATATATACAGCGATGTGCTTTCCAATCTTCGGTTGGTCGTCATTGAACGGATGGTAAAGCCAGAAGAGGTTAGTCATTTTCAACTGACACTCGTGAGTTCAATGTCTAACAGACAAGTCTAGGTTCTCATCGTCGAGAACGAGGAGGGAGAAATCGTCCGAGAGTTCATGAAAGAGAGCGATACCATCGTCCTCTACAAGTCTATGCGCGAGCTCTTAGTTTACCTCACTCACCTGGACGTAGCTGATACTGAAACCATTCTTACGGAAAAACTAGCGAAACAAGTCGACGGGTCCGAATGGTCATGGCAAAACCTCAACACTCTTTGTTGGGCAATTGGTTCTATTTCTGGTGCTATGAGTAAGTTTCTCGAATTCCCTGCCTGTCTACATGAATCAACCTTCGGTCACAGATGAAGAAACTGAGAAACGCTTCCTTGTCACGGTCATCAAGGACCTATTGGGATTGTGTGAAATCAAACGAGGCAAGGACAACAAAGCTGTCGTTGCTTCGGACATCATGTATATTGTGGGACAGTACCCGCGCTTCCTCAAAGCGCACTGGAAGTTCTTGAAGACGGTTGTAAACAAACTCTTCGAATTCATGCATGAAACTCACGAAGGTAAGTTCTTAGAGAAATTTCCGTTGATTCGTGTCGCTTCAAATCGATCTCTCTTGTCATAGGTGTACAAGATATGGCCTGCGACACCTTCATCAAAATTGCACAAAAATGCCGAAGACACTTTGTCATGCAGCAGTCCGGTGAACAGGAACCATTCATCGATGAAATCCTTCGTCTCCTTCACCGAATCACTGTTGACCTGTCGCCGTTACAAGTCCATACCTTCTATGAAGCAGTTGGTCATATGATATCTGCTCAGCCCAACAAGCCCCTCCAGGAGAAGCTTATTGCCAAATTGATGGATTTGCCAAACAATGCGGTAAAGTTTTGTTGTACATTACTTCATGGTACTTGTACTAAATGTCGGACTGCCTCGTAGTGGGATTCCTTGATGGCTCAGGCCGCACAGAATATGGACGTGCTATCAAATACGGAAAACATCAAGATACTATCGAACGTCTTGAAGACAAATGTATCCGCTTGCACATCTATCGGAAGTTTCTACCTTCCCCAAATCGGACGTATTTTTCTTGATATGCTCGGCCTCTATAAGGCCGTTAGTGGAATCATCAGCGAAACTATTGCCAAAGAAGGTTCGTTGTATTGGTTTCACCAGCAACAATATGAGCTGTGTAATGACTATCCGTAGGTCTCGTTGCAACGAAAACACCTAAAGTTCGCCAGTTGCGAACAGTCAAAAAGGAAATTCTAAAACTCATGGAGACGTATATCAAAAAGGCAGAGGATTTGGAAGCTGTTAACAACAATTTCATGCCACCTTTACTCGACGCTATCCTTGGTGACTACAACCGCAATGTACCTGCTGCCAGAGATGCTGAAGTTCTAAACGTCATGGCCACCATAACCAGTAGGCTAGGAGTGCGTCCCGTTTTAAATACTCCTTTTCTTCATTGTGCTGATCATTCCTTTCAGGCCCTGCTCACTCCCCAGATTCCTGCTATCCTAGATGCCGTCTTCGAACCGACCTTGACAATGATTAACCAAGACTTTGCTGAATTCCCTGAACATCGGGTTGGTTTCTTCAAGCTATTGAGAGCCATCAACATTAATTGCTTCCCCTGTAAGAGTGTATTGAGTTTTATCTACTGCTTCCATAACTAATATTTTTTCTCAGCTTTGTTGAGTATACCTCCCAATCAATTCAAGTTGTTCATGGACAGTATCATTTGGGCTATCAAACACACAATGCGGGACATTGCAGACACAGGTCTTTACTGTGAGTGATCCTCGAGAACGCCCATCTTCAAATGAACTATCAATACTGACTACATGGTATGCTAGTGTGTTTGGAGGTTGTCAACAATTTCGCCAACGCAGGCGATCCTTCCGTTAGCAACGCCTTTTTCCAACAATATTTCCTCAGTATCGTCCAAGATATCTTCTTTGTCCTCACGGATACGGACCACAAGAGTGGCTTCAAACTCCAGAGTGCCCTACTCGCACGCATGTTCGAACTTGTCGAGCTCAACGCTATTCAAACTCCACTATACGACCCATCTCAAGTCTCTGATCCCAATGTCACGAATTCAATGTTCCTTCGAGAATATACTGCCAACCTATTGAAGACCGCTTTCCCTCATATTCAGCCGTAGGTGTTTGCATAGATGTCTGAAGCTCGATCACTAATTTCCTGTATCTGACAGTATACAAATACAAGCGTTTGTAAATGGACTTACTGAGTACAACAGTGATATCAACCGCTTCAAACTTGCCTTGCGGGATTTCCTGATACAGCTGAAGGAATTTTCTGGTGACAACACCGAGCTCTTCCTAGAAGAAAAGGAAGCGGAGAATTTGAAGAAGGCTGAGGAAGAGAGGCAAGCGGCGCTGCGTATCCCTGGTATGCTCAAGCCTTCCCAACTGGAAGATAAGGACGAAGAAATATGATCTACTTCAGTATGAACTTTCTCTTTAATGACATTTTGGCTTCCGTATCATTCTTAATGGTTTACCTGCTTGCAGGTTGCTTTCGATAGTTTTCTTTCCACATATGTACTACTAGCTAGCTATACGTGCTCAAAAATAATGTAGAATTGATTTTGTACAAAGCTACCTCCCAATGCCATACATAGTAACACGCATTGGTAGATTCATCAATCTGAAGTGTTTGTCATTATTATTAGTATCCCTTTCTTCGAACTTCAACTGACGCATCTCCGATGTTCAAAAAGTCCGTCCTTTGCCTGGGGATGGCTCGGTGATGCTTATAATCATACAGATTCCAGCCATCAACAGACATTGCAGGACAAACGCCTATCAAATCTTCTGTTCAAAGATCGATACGATCAGCCGTTCTTGAGCAGTGGAAAATTGAGCCAGAAACACTGGAGGCGGTCTGGCCAAAGAAAGAAGGCCTGGTACTGGTAAAATGGTCCGTAATTTCCTTTCCAATTTTCCGTTAACTCATATATCCGCTTTTAATGCTTAGTAGAGAACATATATCGATCTATACCGTCCACGGAGAACCTATCTTCTTCCAACATTTCGATGGCCCAATCTATCCTACGCTTCGTCTTCTGCACAAATGTCTGCTCATTCCTACATCAACCCTTGGCAGATGATACTCACAGTCTACTTCTCTCACAGATCCTTACATTCTTCCTATGGTTAGGGTCGACCGCGGTGCTATCAGGTTTCTACTTGCAGGCGCACACATGATGTGCCCCGGGTTCACATCAAAAGGTGGTTATCTACCGCCTGCCGAAGAAGGTCTAGCGGCTGGCGTTCCCGTCGCGATACATGCGGAAGGCAAAGAACATGCTGTCGGGGTGGGTATTACCAAATTGGCAACGGAAGATATGAAAAAAGTCAATAAAGGTGTCGGGGTTGAGACAGTGACATATGTAGGGGATGATTTTTGGGTGATACAGTCGTTGTGACTCAAAGGTGTTGAAGGAAGATTCCAAATTGGTGCGTATCTGGACTTGTGCTGTTCTTCTAATCTTCTCGCTCATGAAACTCAGGTTCGCCTTTTTAATTAATCGATGATTACTGGTGCCCTCTCTTCATAGCTCTTCATGCGTCTGAATAATTATATAGTCCGAACCAGTTCGGACCAGGACCCTACCAGTCGTAGTGGTGTATCTAGCCATATTCAATCCGTACCGGATACCGAGACATATTGTTCAGGAAAACCCCCCACCAGAATACAAAAGGCACGCTCAAACCTTGTGTGATACATACTACTTACCATCTTTTGGTTGTCTCTTTCAATCTTTGTTACATAATCCCTGGGCTTTGCACCCCATTTTAACCTGTGATAGAAGCTTAGTCAAAAAAATAAAACATGATCCTTAGAAGATGGAATATGACATTAACTTTGAGAGGAGCGGAGACCCGCGGTTCTCGGTGGCATATCATGAAGCTTAGCGAAACGAGTGGCTTCACTCTTTGTCTTCATTTTATTTTAGCAATCACCTACCAATCATACGACAAGGATTGTATTTCCGAGATATATACAGTGTAAGAACGGTATACACAGTGAAGACCATAGAGGGAGCAAGATATAAGTAAGAGTGAGTAATGAGGGAGTAATAATGAGCATATGATAAGTTGGAAGAGCACGAGTATGAAAACATGATAGAGAACATGCATGTACATCTAACGAATTGAAGTTGAAAGCACCAGAGCGAGAACAATACCGCTAGCATTCTTGTTGATACATATTATACGGAGAGCGAAAGTCGTCGGAGAACGGTAAGGGGTCAGGGCCGAGCTCATAAGGGTAAAATGAAGAATCGTCCGAGTCAATGAAAATGTGGAGTGCAGCACGGCTGACGATACGAGGCCTGTCAGCAGGAAGTGGAATAGCGGCTGGATCAATCAAGGTCAACGAAGAACTCGACTGACCAGAAGGCGTAAGTGGCGAGTCTGACTCGTCATCAGACGTGTCTTCAATTGCATCCGGGACAGGGAGGTCTGGGACATCGTCGTCCAGCTCATAGTATGGTAAAGGGTCAACATAGGGAGATGAAGCCGAAGTAGAATCAAAGTGATAGGGATTGATAAGCGGGGGATGAAATGGAGGATATGGGGCAAGATATGGATAAGAAAACGACGATGAAAGGTAAGAGTCGTTGATGAGGTCGTCCGACGAAGACATAGGAGATGGCAGTGGACTCAGCATTTGGTCATAGTCATCGTCTATTTGTGAGACAGACCCACTGTCCGCACCAAAATCGTCTTCCTCGTCGTCGCCAAGTGTTTCCAATAATGAGTCTAACCACTGAGCTTCCGAGGCATTATCACGACCAGAACTGTCCACCAACTTTCCAGCGTCTGGAAACATGAACGAGTCGGTATCTTCAGTACTGATTTCTTCATCCTCGACTTCTGCTTGAGGAAGCCCCGCGTCTGCGTAGTCGGTTGTTGAAGAAGTACTAGCAACAGGTAATGCATTGATAATAGAATTTTTGAGTAGCACCCAACGATGCAAGTTACACTGGTGCAACTTGGAACGGGCCAAGGAGGAAAGACTGGAGGATGTTTCAGACGACATAGTTGAATATGCAGGTATAGGGACTACGGGCTTGGTTAAACAATAAGGATAACAGGATACAGGTAAAAGATAAGAGGACAAACAGGAGTAGGTTCACTAGTTGTCAGAAGCGGTGTATACGGTCGACAATTTCTGGTTCAAAAAGCAAGGAGCCGTTGTTCGATTTACGGACAACTTTATTAACCATTCTCGGGAGAGATGAGACCAGTCGGTAACTGGGACTGAGCCAATTCGGAGATGAAGATTACGGAGGGGAATACTCATGCAGACATTGTTGGTGACACCAGTGAAGGTTCAGGTGAGAGATGAGGAGTGCCGCGGTCTCTCTTTTAAATAAACATTATTACGCGTTTTATGACTCGGTGAACCAGTTCAATTCTTCGATCATTCCAAATTTCACTTTTTTTCTCAGGCTTTAGCTTTGTCCGATTCGGACAGACGCTGAAAAAGTCAAAAGCGCTGGTCTGCGCTGTTCAGAGATAAGCTCTTCCGCTCTATTAGCTACAGAAAAAGAGTCCGAGTACGTCGCCAAACTGATCTCATCCTTCGTCCATCTTATCATCTCCGCCGTCGTCTTTCTTTGTGTCGAGCAATTTTTTGATCTTCCCCATACTCTTCGGCGAGATATCACGAGCTATGGCGAGTAATTGCGCCGACTTGACTTCATCCCCTACCAAACGATACACCTTTGCAAGTTGAAATACGACGTTTGACTCTTCTGGCGAAGAATTGCGCAAGTGTTCCAGGTCTTTGATCGCGGCCTGTGTGTGTACGGATGAGTTCTTGTAACACGTATTGACTCGATCACTCACTTTGTATGCCTTCGCAGAGATAAGGATTTTAGCCCTGCGGTATCGCACTAGCGCGTTATCAGGCGATATTCCAACGGCTTTGTCAAAAAAAGCACGGGCTCCTTCGCGATCACCTCTGCGCTCAGCCACCTGACCGAGATATCAGTAATTGATAGGCATTCCATCATTGATGAAACGAAAAACATACCATCCCCACACATCCCAATAATACTGCGTTGTCTGGGTGTATTTCAACAGCTTTCCTAAAGTGATACTCCGCCAGGCGTAATTTACTCATCCTTAGATAGCATGTTCCCAGGCCATACCTACGACTCACAATGAATCAATGAATAACGATAACAAAAACGCCCATACCATGCATTGTAGTGGCGAGGATCAACACGTAAAGCAGTTTGAAAAAAGGTCACCGCTTTATCCAGATTTTCGTCTATTGTCTCGTGCCCACTTAGCGTGTACGCATAGGCACACGACGGATCCATTTGCGTCGCTCTTCGGAAGCAAGTCAGAGCTTGCGCTCGTTCCTTTTGTAACGAAAACAAATTTCCGATCGCGATCCAAGCTTGAGGCGACCGCGGGTCTATACTGAGTAACTCTTGCGCAAGGAATGAAAGTTCAACAGGTTTCTGCAGATGCCATAGAAGAGTAGAATACACTTCCATATCCCACAATCGATATGGTTCTAGTATGCGAACCGCTTTAAATGCCCGTTCAGCCTAGTTCGAGAAGGCCAATCAGTAATTGGTCTTTACATCAGGCTTTAGACTTACAGATCCATATTCCCCTTTATCGTAGCGCGCCTTCCCCACCATAGAAAGAACCCACGGGGTTTTCTGCTGTATGTGAGGCAATTGCTCGATTGCGTCCAGGCATTCTTGGGAATGGTAAAGGGCTGATGCCCGACCTGCCCTAGCAAATTTCCGCATGAGATCGTAAATATATTTGTCTGCTACTTCTATCTCATATGCGGCTTGAGCTGCTTGCTCCTGACTAAGTGTCCATGATGAAGGGGAGCCTGACCGAGGGGAGCTTGCAACCGCAGGAGGAGAGGGTGAATTTGCCACTTCCGCCTCGTCTTCATCTGATTCGATAGAACGCGAACGAGCATGGCCTTGTTGTTTACGTCGTTCTCGGGTTGAGGGCTGGAGATCGCGTTTTGTTAGGATAATAGAAAGTGCGGAAATAACCACATACTTTGGACGCGTGCTTAGATCCAGTACCACTCAAAAGTCGAGTACTTCGTCGAGTGGCCACATTTTGGTTGACACCCGCGCTTTTGGAAGCAGGCGGCGCTGCTCTGGAATTAACCGTAGGCTGGGAACGAGTATTCGAAGATGAGAAGGAGTTAGAGGACATGAGCGCCAGTCGTGTGCGTGCCTTTTTCAATGGGTCATCTATGGACAACTTCAATGGTTTAGAAGGCTTGAGGACATGCTGTGGTGCCGTCGAGCGTAGTTTCTTGGGCATGGGGCCGGCTTCGTCAGCGGACGAGAGGGGACGAGTAACGGGTTGTTGGGTTGATCCTGATACCGTTGGTTGAGAACGACTACTCCGATGTGCTTGCTGAAAAGTAGTATCGGCAAAGCGAAAAGGCGAATCGTTACTAGCACTGATCAATCCCGCACTTCAGTCAAGTACGGAAACAAATAAGTTGAGAATTTCATACAGAGAGTCGCGGGGGCCCGGGGGAAGAGGCATTCGAAATGGTTGTATTTGATTTGCACCTGGCTTCAAGCCACGAAATAGATTACCTGCATTACCTGCTTCGGGTGTAAAAAACCCAGCTCCTGTAGCGATTGGCCCAGAAGGCTTGGACGCATCGTCGTCGGGATGTAAGTGTTTGGTCGGATCGGGGAGGGGAGGGAATAGGTCATCAACGTCGGGTAACGAACCTATTCCACAGCGAGATGAGCGAAAGAGAATAGTAAGATGACAACGATATATTACCCAATGCGCATAAACCTTCGAATGCCTCCCATATCAGGGGATTCATGGTTAAGGCCTGGTGGAAGCTTTGAGCCGCGATGGTTTGACGGTTTCCTCTGAGCGCCATTGCTCCGGATAGACAGTGTATTGCAGCGGGGTCAGGAGATTGACGTGCAGTTCGCGAAGACGGCGCAGACGCTGTTGCCGGACAATGACAATGAGCAAAGACAGGAGAAGGACACTTAGTAAATGACGCACTGGATGCTGTATGGGATAGTTCCTTCGCCGCCTCTTCCAGAGCTTCTTGTGCCTCCCTGTACCTCCCGAGGATTTTACAGCACTTTGCTTTGAGCTCCAGACACCCGCTGCATTGATCTTGTCTGGATATATTTACGACACAGAGCGCAGGATAAGTCTGTCCTTCGCGTAAGAGAGTAATTGCATAGAGGTGGCGGGCGTCGTGACTGTGTTGATCCAAGGCAAAATAGCGTTCTGCATAAAACACTGCTGTTCTAGTCAAATCCGAGTCAAGGCAAGCCCAAACAAGGGATTGAAAGCGCTGCGCTATCACTGGTAGAAATGCTGGGGATTCTGAAAGGTCCATATACACGTAGATGCTTCTATGACATAGATTTGAGTAATAATTTTCCGTGGTGATAATGGCTGCAGGGAGAGATTCAAACACGATAGAAGTCCACCCGCATCATGTGATTCACGCGTCGTTGCAAATTGATCGGAAAAGCACTACAAGGCACTACACAAAAAAATCCAGAGAATACAAGAAAAAGGGTATATCGATGTTATACAATCCGTCGCATTGACCACAAAGTATGTTAAGCCCATGTATCTAAAACCTTTTTGAGCGCATTTCCTAGCATTTCTTCCTTTCCTGTTGCGTCCTTCAGTGTTTTCAGTACCTTTTCCATTACCGGTCTTACGGTTTCTTTGATCTTTTCGATCTCCTCACCGGCGATATTTCGGCCAATTTGAATGAAAAACGAGCAAACATTAATGCGGACTTCTGGTTGGTAATTGATTGGATTGTCAACATTCTTCAGAACGGCGATGAACATATCTAGTGGGGTTTTTGGAACAGGTAGACGCCCACGAGTGGACGGAGTAGCGATGGTTGGCGAGCTACTGTCAGTGGTCACTGACGTTGAGGCTGACGGAGGTTCGGCGGACGAAGGAGGATGTTCAAAAGAAAGCGGAGCCAAAATTGCTCGCAAAACGAGCGGAGCTATGAAATCTATGAGCGATCACCACTGATAGTTGACGCATATATGTTCTGACCTCCTGCCTTTTGCGTACTAAGTAAAGTCAAGGCAACAACGCCTTCATTGATAAGAAGGGGATATTGCCCACTACGGCCAACAAGACTCGCAAGAGCGGTAGCGCACTGCATCGTGAGAATTGCTTTCACGCTTTCTTTCTTTCTTCTCTCTTTGCCGGCCAAAAGATCTGAATCGACGGTCCCATTGGCAATTGGCGAGGATGCTGTCGTGACAGGTGTTCCAATTATATCACCGGACCAAAGAGACTTGATAACGTTGACAAGGACTCTCGTTCCTTCGCTTTTCACGGTAACAGTATCTGCACGTTTCACAAGGGCGAGTATTAGAGACAAACCCGAGGGAGGTATGGGCGTGTTTGTTGAAGGAGGAAGGACCAAGCTGAATGTGTTCTCCACTGAATTAATTTGGCAAAATCAGCATACAAGATGTAAGTTGAATGAAACAATCCAACCATTTGTGTTGCACATGTGCTTCACAACACCAATTGCGCTGACTTGTAGAACTTCCGCCATACCATCTGTTTTCTCATCCCACACACCGCTGTCGCAGATACTTTGTATCAGTCCAGCTCTCCCTAGAATGACATGGATGTCGGAACCAGGTGGGCCTGCTTGTGCGATGTGCTTTAACAACCCGAGCACACCATGCTTTACCTTGATATCCGTCGAAATAGAAAGCAGATGTTGAGATGATAGAGCTGGCGCCAAATAATGAGGAGGTGACAAAAGGACAGTGGCATTCTTTTCTGAATAGCAGAGTTAACGACGAGATCGCAGCAGGGATTAAGGATAGGCCCACCTCGTCTCGTTAAATTGCCTAACGAAAGACTAGCACATGTTGCCAAATCTGACCTGTCGAAAAAGGCTCCCTTTCCAGCATCCATGTCAATAACATACCCTTTCAGCCATTCGACCATTCTGACTACGAATTCTCCTCCCGCCCTCCCCTCGGAGTCGTCCCATAAGCTCATTTCTGCAGCCTCTTCGCCAGCAACCTCTACAACGGTTTTTATCAGGGCTGCTCTACACATGTCGAAGGCTTTTTGCTTCCGTGGCACGTCGAAATCATCAGGAGCGTTCGCCCAAAGAGAAGGATACTCCCCTTTCTCGATGAAATCAAGGATGGAGCGTAAGCTTGAGCCAGTTGGATGTTCCGAAGGGGTCTTGAATCCCAAAGCTAAACACAACCGGACGTCTTCGACGTCTAGGGACAAGGACTCTATGAGGGAACATGACTCCTCCAAACATTCGAGGTCGGCTTGTACAAGGTCGAAAAATATTTCTGAGTCAGCAGGAAATGTCATAGAAGAGGTTGATGTATGCGGTGGGGTGAAAGCGACCAAGACAGCTGTTAAAAATGGGAGGTCTTTGGTAGACAATGGCTGTAAAGCTATGAAAGAGGTCGGTGTACTGAAGTAGCGATCCATGATTGCTTACTTTCATCCTTGACCTCTTTTAATTCCACGAGCGTTCTCCAAACCCAAGCGGACAACATACTTCTTATCTGCCATTCCTCTGCGTCTGGAGACGATACGGAAAGCCATGCACCAGGAGGATAAACGACACTGAATAACTTCAGTAGAGTACTGCCCGCGTCAAGGGATATCAGGCGAATCTTGACAGGATCTACCCAGAGCGAGTTAGAACCGCAAAATGAGCGAAATCACAGGATCACGAACCGTACCCGACACTCGCATTCAACAAAACTCCAACAGCTGTTCTAACGACCTTCAGATGTGATAGGGAAAGAGACAGCAGCTGCTGAGACTCGGATAAACTATTGACCAATGAAGTGTATGCTTCTAATAATGAAAGAAGCACTTGAGGAAAACCAGCGTCGAGAAGAGAAGCTCTATTGTCATCTAGCAAGCAGTAGTAGTATAAATATGTATGATCTTCAGAGATAACAGGGCAACTGACCGTGATCCATGCATAGATTGGCAGATACTCTAAGTATCTCCAGTATGGGGGATGTGTACGATGAATCTGGTACGGTTGAGCCATGGAGAGCCAGAGAGAGTAATGAGCGGAGGTTTGTGAAGATTGAAGTTCGTCCGAGTATAGAGTGATTATCAACTACAGCGACCGATGTCATGAACAGGGTGTTGAGTACTAGAAGGAACACTAACTTGAACCATCTTTGTCGCGCAGGCCGTTCGCTAAGACTTGAGCAGTGGCTGTAACTTGCTGCCATGTATCATCACTTTCGGCATCTTGAAGATTTTTGAGTAGCTCTGAGAGCTTCTTCTCGAGGAGCAAAAGGTTGTTTGCCATGAACTCGAAAGTCGCTATCTGAAAAGGTTGAAACTAATCAGCCCTAAGTCCGACCAATAAATCTAAAGCCGAAAGGCCGGTATGAGCCGGTATGTTGCCGCGGAAGCCGCTGCGGGTAGCTTCCGGGCAAGCGTTATATACAGACCATGTTGCGTCCACTGTCCTTATATACTATTATACTATTGGACCAGCCATCTGCAATCTTTCCAAGTTATGACTCCGTCAAAGCTTGAAGAACAAACAACTACTCCACCATCCGCTGCAGACGCAGAATTCACAGAGAGACCATATAGTGTATATACGAGCAAAGAAAAATGGTTTATCGTAACTCTTGTCTCATTTGCAGGAATATTCAGGCGAGTTTTTTATCGCAACAACATGTTACACTGGTTGACCAGGATTCCTCATTCATCTTAGCCCTTTCACCGCGAATATCTATTTCCCTGCCATCCCAACGCTTACTTCTGTATTTCACAAATCCACTGAATTGATTAATCTAACCGTGCGTACTATATACCAGACGCCAACTCAACAACAGTACCTCAAGAACATACTTATATCAGGTTACGATGTATATGGTGCTGCAAGGTCTTTGTATGTCTTTCTGTATCTTCTATGGTTCATGAGTGATGCCTACTATCTACTGTCAGCCCCCATGTTTTTCGGAAGTTTTGCAGATTTCCATGGTCGAAGACCCATATTCATCCTATGTCTCTTTGTTCTATGTTTATCCTGTGTAGGATTGGCCCTTGTACCAACGAACGCTTACTGGCTATTGATGGTTCTTCGCTGCTTGCAAGCTACCGGATCCGCCAGCACGATCGCCCTAGGTACGTTTGTCTCTTTGCTTCGCACAACAGGCGAGTAAATCTAAATACAGGCGCTGGCGTCATCGGTGACATTGCTGTCCCCTCAGAACGAGGAGGATTCTTCGGATTCTACTCACTAGGGCCTATGGTACTGTTTTTCCTCGTATGAGAACTTTGATCCATTTTTAATACTAAGGCAGCTCGGGCCTGCTTTAGGCCCTGTTATCGGCGGTGCTCTTTCCGATGGATTAGGATGGAGGTCAGCAAGAATTGTGTAATCGACAACAATTAAATGCCTTGAATAGATCTATTTTCTGGTTTCTTTGCATTGCCACTGGTCTAGCTTGCATCATAATGCTTCTGTGAGATTTTCTCCTATCCTTTATATTGGGACTTTTCTCATCGTTCGCAAGTTTTCTCCCCGAGACTCTGAGGCAGATAGTAGGCGATGGCAGCGTTGTCCCAGGTCCCATTTATCGACCTTGGATACCAATCATTAGCTGTCATTCCACGGCGGCTTCGAACTTTAAGAGACCGCCGAAACGCAAGTTCAAAAACCCCTTGCTCTTATTCAAGAATTTAGACATTGTAATGCTGCTTTTCTTCAACGGCATTGTCTATTCAGTGTTCTACGCTGTGACAGCTTCCATATCTTCTCTTTTCGCAGATATTTACCCCTTCCTGAACGACAGTACTATTGGCTTGTGCTATCTCGCTATCGGGTTCGGTACAGCTGCAGGAAGTGCAGGGGCAGGAAAAGTTCTTGACTGGGATTTTCAGCGCATGAAGAAAGTTTACATCGAAACTCATGGCTCCAAGTCAATGAAGACTGAAAGCAATGATCTGGGAGACGATTTTCCCATCGAAAAGGTGGAATAGCGAAATTTTTCGCTTGTGTCTGATTCTGATATGTGCAATGTAGGCTCGCCTGATGTCGATGTCTTATTCTATGGTGGTACTAGTAGCCACCGGTATGGGATATGGCTGGTGTTTACAAAAGAAAGTCCACATTGCTGCACCTCTGGTTTTGCAGTTCATCAGTAAGTTATTCTCAAATATGCCGTTCTCTTCTTCAGTCTTCTTCTCATTCCCGCGTTTTAGTAGGTGCTTTGAGCATGGCTGTTATGAACCCCACACAGACTTTGATTCTCGATCTGATGCCTGGACAAGGCTCTTCCGTTACTGCTTGTGTGAGTCTAGTACACCAGTCAATTCGAGTGATTAATCTGTCTGCGTAGAACAACGTTGTCAGATGCTTACTAGGTGCTGTAGCCGTTTCGGTGATTGATATAATTCTCAGCAGTTTAGGACCAGGTTTCACATACGTCCTTCTCAACGGGATCATCGTCATCTCTATGCCCCTGCTATACCTAGTAATAGAATTGGGACCAAGGTTTCGCAAAAAACGACGAGAAGCCGACGTTCAAACTTTGGTTGCACGTTCTTAATTCCTACCTATATTACATCAACTTGAAGGTCATGCTAGACATAGATACACGACCTCTTTCGAAATACATACGCTGAAAACTGACGGAAACAACTATTTCTAATTTTGCTGAAGTCTCAAATCATCGCCAATACAAGGGTGCAGTCCCGCTTTCAACAACCATACGATGGGCTTCATCCAGAGCTTTGACTACGGCGTCAGGTAGTGGCCCTTTGGTGCTATCCTCGCAGTTCTGCTGCAGCTGGCTGACATTACTCGCACCGATAATGACCCCATCTTCAGGAGTGAGAACCGAGTGATGCTGACACCAACGCAAAGCGATCTCAGTTAAACGTAGATTGTGTTCCGTCTGATTTATGTGGTCAGTTGTAAAACACTTTAGCCAGAGGTGGAATTAATGAAAGCGCACCGCGATACCCTTGAGGTGTTCAAGGGCTTTGAAATAGCCATCTTTCAAATAACGAGCTCGGTACATTGTTCCCATCGCGCTTCCTCCAGCATCAAAACGGCCCCCCGCAGCGTTAGGGTCGTCTAACGAAGTAACTTTTCCGGCGAAGAGACCTCCTCTGTGAATGACAATGTCGCATTTAGCAATTTTGATTCAAATGGATATGATAAAGAGGCTCACGCTAAAGGATTGTATATCACAAGACGTAACCCATATTTACGAGCACAAGGAAGGAGTTCCGCCTCCATGGCTCGTGTAACTGCGTTGTACATCACTTGATATACCTTCGGCATGACATATCCCTTGGCCATGCAGATTCCAACGATTTCGGCAACCTGATAGAAATGAAGAGGCTTCTTGCCCAATGCGCCAGTGTAAACACTCACCTCCCAAGCTGCGTAATTGCTTAGGCCAAAGATCTCGCTGCAATGCAGCGTAGTGAGTTGATCGAGTTTGATCAGGACAGGTATCAAACGTACAAACGACCTTCCTCGTATAGCTTGTTGACCTCCGCGACGGTTACCTCGAAGGGGACAGAGCGATCAGGCGCATGAAGATACAAGACACGTATTCTGTCGCGCTTCAACTTCTCCAACGATGTCAAGAAGATCGAGCGCAAAGCTGCAGGCGAATGATCGCCTGGATTTACAGGATAAACCCTGATGAAATATCAGTGTGAAGCTTGGCCTTCACGGGAACCCATACAGACTTGGTATCAATAGTGGCGCCTTTGAGGTCGAGCTTCGACAGCAACTAAAAAGCGTCATACCATTAAGTATACTGAGAGGGTGCAGCTTGAGCTCTCTGCTTCACCTCTTCGGTTGTTCCTTCTGGAATCGAGATTTAAGTCAGGGATCGCCCAGTCGACCAACTTTATAGGTGCTCATTTTACCTGCATACACTCTAGCAGTGTCTAGCTCCTTGTGTCCATGCTGTAGGAACACGTCTATGATATTCTGGCATTCGTCCAGGTCCGCCGTGCGAACACCGTTCTTGCTAGGGAAACCTATGGTCATTGTTCCCTGTATATAATAATGATATCAAATCATGAAGATAGCAAGTATGCAGAGAGTAATTCGAGAACTCACGAAAATAAGTGGTACTCGCGACCCCATCTCTGTTGGTTGTCAAGAATAAGAATAAGAATAAGATTACACGGTACATTCGGTTTTGTCTGTCGGAGTCTGTCGGTGGGAGAAGGCGGGCGGCGCGGGTGGCCCGAACCGAAGAGATTTCTCAGTGCCCAGATGGAGATAACCGAGTTTCGTTCTCAGTTCAGCAATGGGCTCCAAGAAGAACAAGTTGAAAAAGGCGTTTTCCCCTCCTTTCCAACAGTCGCCTCCTCTACCTGAACCAGATGATGACGCAGAACTATTAAATGATCTTATGGCGCAGCTTGACTCTGGAAATCAAACCGTCCAGGCTGAATCTGCGCAAGTGATACAAGATATTCAGCGGCAGGAGACGGTCAGCGGTACAAAGAAGGATCCTAACAGTCGATATCAAGCTAGACAGGTAATATTCACTCCGTCTGCTCTACTCATGAGCTGATCAAACTTATAGGCAAGGAAAGCCGCAGCGTTGGCAGAATCATATTCTCCTTCCAATCCTGAAGCTGATGCACGATTGATGCAAGAAGCAAAGGAGGAAGAGTCAAATATTCGACGAATATGTGATGAACTGAATGTCCAGATCTACGAGGCAAGCTTCCTGGTTCGATTTTTGGCGATGGAGTCGCTGCTACTCACGTTACCATAGATCAATCCTGACGGTCACTGTCTATACTCTGCGATAGCTGACCAACTTGCTCTCCTATCGATCATACCCCCAGCCCAAGCAAACTATGCCACAGCTCGTTTAGCGGCTTGCAATTATATGTACTCACATCCTGACGACTTCATTCCCTTCCTACCTTCTACTTCCGGTGAAGATGGTCCTGGCGCCCTAAATGCTGGAATAATCAGCCCCAAAGGGTTTGAATATTACTGTCAAGCCATTCGAGATACTTCTGAATGGGGAGGCGAACCTGAAATCCTTGCTCTCAGTCGCGCTTTTAATGTTCCTATCCATGTTATCCAATCCGGACAACCTCCCATCGTGATTCATAATCCTACTGGAACCCCCAACGATGGTGACGTACGAGACAAACGGGTTGTTCGAATCAGTTACCATCGCCGTATGTATGGATTAGGAGAGGTTGGTCAATACTTTCGAACATATTATTTTTACTAACCTCTCGAGTAGCATTATAACTCCCTTCGTCCTCAATCGAAACTTTCAAACATATCCAACTCTTTACAGAATATCCTGAGCTAAACACACCGAAACTTTAGGATTACATGAATCATTATCTTGTACTCTAGTGGCTGTCCCCAATATAATACATAGTTTACAAAGGATCAAAATAGTAGGTCATCGTCATCATCATGTTGCCTACTAGCCATAGGTCTTGGTTCATCAGCAAGATAACCTCCGAAAGCATTGTCAAGATTTGAATATGGATCCAAATTACTCGCTTGTCTACTGTGCGGCGGTTCATCATCCTCTTCTGTTTCATCTTGGTCATTCGCGACGTCGTCCTGCGTAGGCGAAATAAGCTGAGAAGATTGTGTAGGAAGGGCCGACGTGTCGACATCGGTCTTCGCAGGTGGTAATGGAGCAACTGGCGATGACTGTGCTTGAGGTTCTGTTGGGCCAGGGCCTGCTACGACGATGGGCCCCATTGAGGGGAGTTGCGTACGCGCTAATGGTATAAGGACTGCTCTTGAATGTGCGTTCAAGGCCGGGCTATCTTTGAGAGCCTTTCCAGCTGCGTTTCGAATGAATGTCTGTAGAACGTTCAGCAATCAGCCTAGTTGTAGACAGTGGTGAACTCGCCTCTGGATTTTTATGATAGATACTCCCAAGCGTTCCCGTGTGTAGTAGTAATTGGTCCAGAGCCCCTCTGTCCATCCTGTCAGAATCCGTCGTGATGGGTGGTTTCTCAGACAGAACAATCTCCCCCGCGACAGTAGGGTTGATGGCAAGCATTCGCCAGTACATAAATCCTCGATCTCGAAGATCAGGATTATCAGCTTCCTCGGTCGTCCATTTCAGAACCTTGTGCACAAGTTCTTTGGCTTTGTCTACTTTCGATTTGTACACGAAAAGTTTGACGACAGCCGTCAGAAGGGCCAATTGGACCTAATGATCGTTGAATAAGGCTATCTGAAGATAACATGGCGTACTCGCCTCAGTGCTCTCCTCTAAGAAAGTGTAACACAAGTCATCAAGCAACTCATCTGCGTTGTCTATGATGTTTGCATATTGACCAAGAATCCATACCATGGAAGCTTTCGCTTCCGGCTCATCTAGAGCATCGAGATTCTCACAGAGATTGGGAATAATACCCTCGTATTTCCCGGGATATCGTCTGAAGATGTCCTTGATGACAATGACAGCTTCCTGGACCACATACGTTACTTTTGTCTCGATGAGGTCAAGTAGTGCCTGTATACAGTCATCTGCAGCAGCCTCAACTTTGATAGCTAATCGACCAATGGAACGAACTGCCTTGCGCACGAAGTCAAGGTCTACTTCTGACGCATATCTGGTGGTGCAATCAGCGGACAGGATAAAATGAATCTTCTGAGACGCACTCTTGCAATTCCGCAAGAACCTCCTTCGCATTCTCTGCTCGAGCCAATCGATACATAATTTCCAGCTTGGCCAGTTTGATATAGATTGGGTCATTGTATTTACAAAAAAATACTCGCACGTCGTTCTTGAGTACTGTTGGCCTTCTTTGAATGATCAGCAAGATGTTTCTCAATGCGACATATTGCACTTCCGGACCAGAGGAGAGTAAAGTGACTAATGATAGTGACATTAAATGAAACAACCGATTCAAACATGATGTTGCCACGAACCTAGGGGAGGGCCCATCTTTTTGCAAATGTAATCGATCAGTTGTCGGTTCTCCATGTAGTTCATCAGATACAACAAGGCTTTGATGGTTGTTAGTATGACTGCAGAATTTCCGTGTTGTAGTTGGACTATAATCCTCTCTGCCATCATCTCCGCATCAGTATGACGTTCGGGGACATAACGTAGCAGGGAGTCCAATATGTATATTTGCCCCCATCTATCACAAGTCAACACAAATTTGATGCTGGGATGCTATTTACTCACTCAGAACTTTCGGGGATGGCTGCCAGCAATTTGTTCGCCGTCGCTAGATTGAGCTTGAAGATCACGCCGTCTTGCCTATCGCCTATTTCGGATAACGCGGCAACAGCGTTGGCTACAACGGTTGCATTTGAGTCGAGCATAAGATCCCGCAGTAGCTCGACGAATCCTCCTCTCTCTGCTTTTCGTGGATCTGCTGAGTACAGTTTTGCAACACATATAGCCGCCGTCTTTCTCACATATGGATCGCGGTCTTTAAGTGCATGACGGAGGTTATCGGAAAGGGCTTCTGTGACGACGGGAATGGGGATGTATGACATTGTTCGAATTGCCAGAGCGCGAATTAACGGATTACGATCATTGCAGTCCTGATATTATGAGAAATTGAATAAAATAGATACAGAAAACCACGTACTTGGAGGAAATTCGGAATGACAAGATGTATCTGGTCAGGTTTAGACCGCCCATAGCTCACAAGAAATAGATAAACCACTGAAGATCATCAAGCTTTGATGTTGAGTAAAATTGCTAGTCAGACTAACTCTTCTTAATTTCCAGTAGCGGGGTACCAAGACACTGAACTACATCAGGAAACAATGGTGACACTGGACAAAAATCGAAGTTAATCACAAAGTGAACACTCGATGAATAGAAAACTATACCAACTGTCCATTCCCATTGTGATGTTTGCCACAATCTTCTTCAATACCGTCTTGCGCTTGACAAACTTTTTGTCCTTTGTTTCTGCGGCGAGAAGCTCTGCACGAAATTCCTAACATCGAAATCATCGTGAGGCTTCGGTGGTGGGTATGTCATAAACGTAAGTACCTCAATCTTTCCCCTCTGGAAGAACTTCGCATCCTGGCCTGGTTGGGACATTGCGTCGGAAATATGAGTGGAGGTCTTCACGGCTGTGGCCTGAGCGGGACCTGATGCAGATGAGCAGTCGACAGGTGTCAGGGATATAGGACCACGTGGTCGGTGCTATATAATTACATCCTTTAGCGCCGCAAATGCGGCAATCCCCGACTCTGAAAGGGTTCAACATTTTGAGCTTGTAAAATGGACAATTGATAGGTTGAGAATGAAGTACAGAAAGAAAAGTCATTTTGTAAGATATATTCTAGTGGTATAATGTATACAGTGATCTTGGAGTCCTTGATACAAAACATCAAGTTTTGCTTGTGACTCTTTCTTATTTTACAATGTCTCAAATTTAAGTATCTAGAATCAAAGTATAGTATATTAAGATAAGCTCACTATAATCAATGCTAAAGGACAAATTTTGATTAATTACGAATCAAATTGTATTAAGGGTAATTGTCATGGTTTTGGAGTCTGTTAAGATCATGTACACTGTGAAGCCATGCCAGAGGCCACAAGGTGTCTAAGAGCAGAAGGTTGAGTGGGACAGTAGTGAAGTTATTAACAACACCGCCGTTACGCCGCTAGTCCCCAGAGATTGAGAGTAAAGAAGGAAGAGAGTCAGAAGCAGCCAAGCTGGAGTGGCGGTGTTGCCAACAATGAGGAGCAAAGGGAGAGCTGTCATAAAGTACGCAGCCCCTATCATTTTCCCTTTCTCACCGTCTCGACGCCTTTACTTGTACAATACATCATCCCATCGCTGTCAATCTCCATCGATTACTGATCTATCTATTACTGATCCACCTGACCCATCTTCTCTTTCTATCGGCTTCCGCCTCCTTCCTTGCCCCTGAACTGTACAGTATTACATCGTTGTTTCTCGCAGACTAGATTATGTATATATAGCCAACCCTCCACAGCTTGGTCCCTTATCTTGACCTCTCTGTCATTATCTGGGACCAGGTATGTGCTTACTTATTATTACCTATGACTACGATACTCAATATATCTCTGTCATTATCTGGGACCAGTTCGCCTCCGCTCCGCTTAGTCGCTCCGCCTCACTGACCTGCTTAGTCGCTCCGCCTCACTGCCTGGCTTAGTCACCCCGCTTCCTGCTCCGCTAGTCACTCCGCCTCTGCCGCTTCGTGACATTAGGTCAAGATCCATTACTGCACTGACAGCCTACCGATAAGGTTGTCCTTGCAGGATCCGTAGACACCACGTCTTCCCCAGTCCCGCCCGATTCTGAAACACCTGTTGCCAGTATAGACTGCTCCGCACTCCCACACGCACTTGACCCCAGAGACCAAGCTCACGCCCATAACAACAACGATACTTGGCGCAATTGCCAGTCTCAACCTTGCCCCAACGCCCTTTCGAACTCGATCCGAGAGCCACTCACTGTGAGCAATATAACCTTCCTGCCAATTCCCCAACCCCGATTGCCTACTCCCATCATGTCGACTCCTGTCCCGCCTGCCCCAAATACCTCTGCTGAGGATCTCATGGCTCAGCTCATCAGACAAGTAGCTAAGCCTTGCTACAGCGATGGAGGAACGCTCATCATCCAAGTCAAGCATGAACAAACCCGAGGTCTTCAAGGGTAAAGATGGTGCTGAAGCTCGTCGCTTCATGGCTCAGTTCCAAAATTGGGCGTCAGAACAACCTGATCTCGCCAAAAGCCAAGTGAAACTTATCAAGTCCGCCTTGGGCTTCTTCACAGAAAGTGCCGGAGATTGGGCCACTCCCCATCTGCTACATTTCAGTGCAGAAAATCCCCCTTTCGGCGGAAATTGGGATACATTCTTGAAGGAATTTAGCCAGTGGTTTGAACCAATGGACCCAGGTATGGAAGCCCGTAGCGAGATCAAGAATCTCAGGCAAAGTAAAGGACAGACAGTTGCGGAATTCACTCAGAAGTTCAAGGATATCGAAGATCGGACTGAAATGTCTGATATTGACTTGCGGGAACATTTCTTCACTGCATTACTCCCAGAGATCCGACAACATCTCATCACCGTAAACATTGCCCAAGGAATTGCTCCGACTCTGAAGGAGGCAATCAAACGGGCCATATCAGTGGATGTCTACCTGCACGATCCCACCATGACTGGCCGGAACTCTGGATACCCTCCCACACATACCGCTCACACTACCCCTGCTGACCCCCATGCTATGGACATTGATGCAACCCACACTAGTAACGGGAATACTAGGGAGGCATTCCTAGCTCGCATGCGAGGACAATGCTTCGGCTGTGGTGCCCAAGGCCATGTCAAGCAAAACTGCCCATACCGAGAAACCACCTGCCGTTACTGTGGACGCCGAGGACATCTGGAAGCAGTCTGCCAAGACAAGTTCATGGGACTCGGACGAGACCGAGGCCGATGCCAGCAACCTCGACGCCAACAGATATCCGCTACGGGACCCGCACCATTCTCCCTGTTCCCAAATGAATCCGTCCAGATCGCTTCCTCGATCCCAACATCTGCTCCTGCACCCACAGCTGCTACTCAGAGCCCCCCTAATCAGGACTTTTCCAACCAGATTGGTCAAATAAGGGAATTACTTGATCATGCTAACGCTAGGTCCTCCTCGTCCTCTGGCTTTCAACAGGGTTTTTAAAGAGGGTACCCGCTTCGGCTGCACCGAGAGTACCCCGTAATCAGTTTGTTATGTTCGCTACTTCTTATATGACTCGCACCCATCATGTACAATATCGTCGATCCAGGAATTAAACTCTACTTCCCCACATTTCCGAATTCATGCGAGACTAAGAGGAAGGAATCACAGTATAACAACTGCAGCCATGGTAGACTGTGGAGCTACCGCCCTGTTTTTAAACCAAGACTTTGTCACCCGGAACCATGTAAGATGTGTACCCCTCCATAAACCAATTGACGTTTTTAATATCGATGGAACACCTAACCAAGCTGGACAGATAACCCATTTTGCACGTCCTAGCACTCACAGTGGATAATCAAGAGCGATGGATGGACTTTCTGATCACCAACCTAGGAGGTGAAGACATCATCCTTGGACTCCCCTGGCTACGGAAGGTAAATCCGGAGATTGATTGGGAGAAAGGACGACTTTCAGTAAAGCCTCCTCGAGTAACGATAGAAGAAGTCCCAGACGAGGAGATCTTGTACTCTCATCTAGCCGCCACTCACACAGAAACCCCGATCCTCGAACTCCCGGAACTGGAACCTCCCGCAGAAAACCCCCACATTGAGGTGCCACTAGAAGCGACCCTTGAACCGAGTGAATCAGCAGCGGTGGAAGAACCACCAATACACCGAATTCGAGCCAATCATAAAACTCGCCGCGCATGGGTAAAAGCAGGAATTCTAGAGGAACAGACGGAGGAAGTCTGGTGCGCCGCAGGATTCACTTACTCCCAGCAGCTAGCAGAGGAAGCCAACCGAGACAAACCCGTTAAAACCTTCGAAGAAATGGTCCCTGAGCAGTATCGTGATTTCAAGAAGGTTTTCTCAGAATCCTGCCTCCGAACGATTACCTGCCCACCAACCTTGGGACCATGCGATTGATCTCGTACCTGGAGCACCGGCAACCATGCGTACCAAGATTTATCCCATGTCCCTAAACGAGCAGGAGGAGTTGGATCGTTTCCTAGAAGAAAACCTACGAAAAGGCTATATCGTCCCCTCAAAATCACCAATCTCATCACCGGTCTTCTTCGTAAAGAAGAAGGATGGGAAACTCCGTTTCGTACAAGACTACCGGAAACTGAACGAGTACACTGTGAAGAACCGATACCCTCTTCCATTAGTTGCTGATATCATTAGTCGACTTCAGGGAGCCAGATACTTCACGAAGTTTGATGTCCGCTGGGGTTACAATAACATACGGATTAAGAAGGGGCATGAATGGAAAGGCGCGTTCGCAACAACCCGAGGCTTGTTCGAGCCTAAGGTCATGTTCTTTGGTCTCACAAATTCCCCTGCCACGTTCCAAGCACTTATGAATGCTATATTTGCTGATCTCATTGCAGCCGGCAAGGTGGCAGTCTACCTAGATGACATCCTTATCTTCAGTAACGATCTCGAGGAACACCGACGAATGGTACGGGAAGTATTAACCCAGTTAGAAAAGCACGACCTCTACCTACGACCAGAAAAATGCGAATTTGAACAACAACAGATTGAATACCTCGGACTCATCATCTCAGAAGGGGAGGTGAGAATGGATCCAGTAAAAGTAGCGGCTGTTCGCGACTGGCCAGTCCCTACTAATCTTCGGGAACTACGAGGGTTCTTGGGATTTGCAAACTTCTACCGACGCTTTATCCGGAATTTTGCCAAAATAGCACGACCTCTGAACGACCTGACGAAGAAAGACACCAGCTTTACCTGGACCGACACTCGACAGAAAGCATTTGATACCCTTCGAGAAGCCTTCATCTCCGCACCAATCCTCGCTCTATGGACACCAGACAGGCCTACTCGAATCGAGGTAGACGCATCAGGCTTTGCCACGGGAGGTGCCCTTATGCAGAAGCAAGACGATGGCCAATGGCATCCGGTAGCCTTCAGATCGGCATCCATGCAGCCAGCAGAACGGAACTACGAAATCTACGATCGAGAAATGCTTGCTATCATTGAAGCACTGAAGGATTGGAGGAACTTTCTAGAAGGACTCCCTCAACCATTCGACATCATTACGGACCATTCGAACCTCGAATTCTGGCGCACTGCCCAAGACCTCACCCGCCGACAAGCACGATGGGCCCTCTATCTGTCACGGTTTGACTTTCATATGATCCACCGCCCTGGTAGAGTAAACACCCAAGCTGATGCTCTCTCCCGCATGGCAGTTCATCATGTATCGGACAGCGATGATAACCGACAACAGACAGTCCTTAAACCTGGCCACTTCGTAAAAATTGCAGCTTCGATCCTACAGAACCCCTTAGAGGATCGTATCCGGAAAGCCTCAGAACGGGAGGCACAGATATTGGAGGGTCTCAAAACTGTCAAAGAGCACGGACT